GTTAATTTGAAGAATCAACCAAAAGAGGGCGCAAATGGGCAACTCATTTTTAGAACCAAAACTGAGACTTTGAAATTACAAACAAGTCTTGACTATAAAGATGTTAGACTACTATTAAATTTGATTAACAGGGTGTCGGGCTAGATTATTGTTGCTCCATCCATCAATTAGGCTATCCATGGGTGATTTTCTGTTCTTGGTAACAAAAAGCCGTAGGCCTAAAGATCGATTTGATAAAGTGTGCTCCTAGTTCTGACAATTATTCTTCAGTAGTCTGTAGCCAATATAATTATGTCTGGTTGAAGTGTGCTCATTGGTTAAGGTTTAGCCTCTACTTTCTACCATGGTAGAATGGTTTTACAGTGGTGTTCCCACTCCAATCCACCAGGGGTGTTGATGTTTTAGACGCGTTATTTCATGTCCACGCGCATCAAAATGGAGGTGAGGCGTCTTTAATGTTCTGTGCGCAGCAAACACGTAAAACAGCGCAGTAACGTCAAATGTGTTACTGATACGTTTAAATTATTATTTTTCTGATTCGAGTCTTCTTTGCTATAAGATGCTATGCTATATGACAAATGTTAAGTGCATATTTTGTCGTCCTAGTGGAAAGTTGTTTTTCTCGATAGCTTGTGGTGCAGCGGCAACATGCTGCTACAGTGTCTGTGTGTCCGTGTGCAACTACGAGATTTTCTCTTAGACGGGCTAAAGTCTGTGCATATTAAACTAAAAAATGTTAAGAATGTGTCATTTCATTGTGTTACAGAATCAGGACAGTAGGGAGCCTGAACAGGTCAGGAAGCTCTTCATTGGAGGCCTCAGTTATGAGACGACAGAGGATTCATTGCGAGCTCATTTTGAGAAATGGGGAACGCTCACAGATTGTGTGGTATGTAATATAGTGCATCGTATATTATTATTGTTGTTACACATATTCAGATCTTGCACCAAAATAAATTCCATCTTATACCTCACCTTCATGTAATCTAAACAGGTTATGAGAGACTCTGACAGTAAGCGCTCTAGAGGCTTTGGGTTTGTCACCTACTCCTCTGTAACTGAAGTCGATGAAGCCATGAGAAATAGGCCTCATAAGCTGGATGGCAGGGCAGTTGAATGCAAAAGGGCAGTGCCCAGAGAGGTAAGCAAACTCATAATTTCTTTTTAAATGTACTATACACTCACCCTTTAATTTTTTTCAGGATTCCAACAAGCCTGGTGCCCATTTGACAGTGAAGAAAATCTTTGTCGGCGGTATAAAGGAAGACACGGAGGAACATCATGTCCGGACATACTTTGAACGATATGGAAAAATTGAAAGTGTTGAAATAATGGAAGAGCGCTCCACTGGAAAGAAGAGGGGATTCTGCTTTGTTACTTTTGATGACCATGACACTGTTGACAAAATTGTTGGTATGTGGTTATTGGCTACTTTAATTACACAAAGTAACAAAGTTACTTTGTGTATTTTTGTCTTAATGGCCTGTTCTCCCTGTCTGTAAAGCTCAGAAATATCATACTATCAACTCCCACAATTGTGAGGTCAGAAAAGCACTTTCAAAACAAGAAATGAATTCAATGTCTAGTTACAGAGGTATGAATTTTTATTACAAACATGATTTACAGCTGCCATTTACGCAAAAGAGCTCACAATGCTGTTTCTCATTCCAGGTAGAAGTGAGAGATACGGTGGGAGAGGAGGGAACTATGGTGGTGGCAGCAGTGGGGGCAACTTTGGCAGAAGTGAGTAGTCAAAAACGGAATGTTACATTTTTCTTGATACAAGTTCAAAATGTTAAAGCAAATATGACAGTTGCACAAGAAAGTCGAACCACTGCGTCACAATCTTGGGTAATAAAAGCAACATATGCTTAACTCAGTAATACTGTGACATGGGAATGACACTTGCCACTGATTAAGCATTATCTGTGGCAAATGATTAATTGATTAATGTGGTGTGTGTAATTCCTCAGTCGCCCTTTGTTCAGTCATAAATTAAATTAATCAATCTCCCTTTGTTAGGTGGAGGTTATGGTGGAGGGCGGGGTGGATATGATGACGACTATGACAATGGTAAGCTACTTTTGATTATCCTGTGAGATGTCTTGGTCTAAGTGTGTAATGTACTTTTCTGTAGGCCCCGGAGGAAGTTACGGTGGTGGTTATGGAGGAGGGTGTGGCGGCTACATGTCTGGGTCGGGGTATGGGAACCAAGGTGGAGGATATGGGGGAGGTGGAAGTGGAGGCTACGGGGATGGGGGTAAACCTTTTGCATGCAACTAAAACCTGCATTATTGTAATAAAAAATAAATAAAAATCATCCTAATACCTTGATTCTGATATAAATTCTTTTCAGGATATGGAGGAGGTGGAAATTACAATGACTTTGGGAATTATGGAGGGCAGCAGTCCAACTATGGGCCCATGAAGGGGAACTATAGTGGACGCAATTCTGGAAGCCCTTATGGTGGTGGTGAGTATCAATAATCAATAGGTGTACATTTATTTAAGAACTCTGGCTCTCTGTAACCAATTCCTCCTTCACTGTAGGTGGCTATGGCTCTGGTCGTGGTGGGGGCAACTATAACTCTCGGCGATATTAATTATTTCATGTTTTGGTAAGTCTTAAGCAGTTGCACAACACCTCCACAGTACGGTACAGCGTAAGTCTGTTCAAAGTGCAGAATAACTCTGTTTTATCCTGTATCCATTCAACAGGGCTCAGTTCTTAGCAGGAGAGAGAGACAGAGAGAGAGAGGAAAGCTGCAGGGTACTTTGAGAAAGGAGCAGTCAGACTTAACTGCAGCTAAAAGACTGTCTAGATATTCCTCTTCTCTAAATGTGATGTTTCACTGATCCATTTTTTCCTTTTGTGCGTCTAAGTTGTGTGTATTGTGCCTATGGTATCAGGGGTCCTTTTTGTATTTAAAGCCAGTTTCTTAATGTCCTTACTTTTTTATATGGTTAGTTCCTTCTGGTTGCATTGCAAATTGTGTTCTTGCTGAACAATTTACTAGGTCTTCATATCAGCTAGAATTACTCACCACACTTTCAGTTTATTATGATTGCTCTATTGCAAGTGTCAAGTGTATTTTCATGTTGTATGTGACAAAGAACAGATCATTTTATACCAGTGTCAACAAATGTGTGATGCCGCATTTAGGAACTTTAAAATGCGTGTCTTGTTCTAAGAAAAGTAAAATAGATTGTTCAAGGTATTTTGATCAGTAGAAAGAAATGAATAAAATTGTGTAGTAAAGTGCAGAAAGGTCCAGTGATTTATTTAGCAAAAAAAAAAGTTGTCTGTTGTCTGTTTAGCTTATGAAACCTGATGCAGAACACCCTTCCTCTCAATCTAGGTACCAAGCTATGGGTTTATGTAGGACAAGGACATATGGACTGCTTTTCACGTGTATGTAGAGTGAAAACAGCCAGAAGCACCATCAGTTGGGCACTTGCGTCACTAGTGTGGAAGATTGAACATGACGATCAGACAGGACTTCTCCAGCGCGAGGACCAGTCAGCATTTTGAGAGACAGAGAGGCCAAAGACGGCATCCAGCACAAAGCCAATGGAGGAAGCTTGCATTGTCTGGCTGGTAGTGAGCATCTATTCTCTCTCAAGGAAGCTGCCACTAGCGAAGAAAGACTAGTTCCTGGACACGTTGGTTCCTGTTGTGTCAGAAATGCGTCAGGCCAACAGAATATTAGCTCTCAGACGTTAAACACAGAGTCAATTATGCTGATACAGAAGATTGAGGTAAGAGTAACCGCTTTGCTTGATTTTCAGATTTGGAAAGAGGAATTCTCTTCTTGTGGAAAAGAAGTGATAGCATGGAAGGTAATGGATGGGTAAGACTTTTCCAAATTTTCTCAGGTTCAGGTCCACTGCTTCAGAGGTATTTGGACTGTGTAGAAGTATTTAGATTAAACTTTAAGTCATAGTTTTAAAGTAGGGTAGCCTACATTTATAAAGTGAAGTTACTTTAAAATGGCTTTAACATACTTTATATAAGTGAAATGGTCTATAATAGGCTATATAAATATTGTAGCCTGTACTGAGTGCTAAAATGCGTAGCCCAGTTAAGTGATGTAAAATGTATGATTTCTTGATAGTCTATCCAAATAAAGATTATACTCATATTACCTGCTTGCTCATTTTTATAATCTTTTTGGCTTTACTTTATATCTGCCGTTTTGATACAGGCAGATAACCTTCAGTTAAGACTAGAAAAAAATGCTCTTGTGGAGTAAGAACAAAGGTTTCACTTTTGACACAATTTTACCTTGCAGTGTAAACAACTTGAGTTGAACCTAGCTAACCTTTGTCCCTGTCAAAGGAAGAGCAGTTATTCAAGCCCTGCCCATACTGTAATTTAATCTCTCCATTACCTAAACAATACATGCAATCCTCCCATTGGGTAGGTATTCATCACATTATGGGACTGAAATCTTTATACACAATAACTTCATGAGTTGGATTATGTACTACAAATTACAGAAAGAATGCATGCATCTGTGTTTAAACATGTATTTGCTACCTTAGCCAACCTGTTTCCTGTGTGGCACAAGGCCTAGTATTCATACATTTGTTTGTGTGAAAGTGCATTGACGGCACCTAGATTACATAAGCCTTCTTTGAAAAGGCAACTGGTTGCTCTGGTCACGTCTTGCGTAGGAGTGTAATTTTTTTTTTTTATGTAACTTTGTATGGTTAAATGGGTGCAGTAGGTGTGGTCTTATCACATGGTGTACAGTATTAAAAGAATTGGGTTACTGTAAAAACTCTCCAGCTCTTTAAGAATGAATTGTGAAAGCTTTTTTGTTTTAAACACAAAATGCTCTTTATGTTCACTTAAACCATTACAGCATGCCACAAAATTTAAGAAGGAGCTTGAACATATGGAGTGTTACGTAACAATTCTTTACACGTCCACATGGCTTTAATTGAAAGTTTCAGCTATAACCACAATGTTCACTTGTATAAAACTGGAGCCCGTATAGCAGTATAACACTAGTTTATTGAAAATAATTCAGACTTTAAAAAAGGCAAATCATTTCTAACATTGATTGAATGCACACAGAAATATATACACAGTATATACAGTAGAATAACTCACAATCTGTCTCAAAAGCAAGTAATATTGTATACAAAAAGCGGTATCAGAGATATAAAATAGTAATGTTAAAATATTACAACATTTTAAGAATGAGCAGAAACCACACACAAAGCAAGGAATACAGTACTTCTGCTAAAATACAGGTATCTTAAGCTGCACATCTACAAAGTTATTGCATAGTGTTTCAAAGTCAAAGCAGTACCATGTTACTTATAAGAGATCAGTGGTTTTCACTCTTAACAAAAGTCTTTTTAATGCGAGGAACAAGAAAGACGCTGCCATCAGTGGACTGCTGCAGTGAGTAGTCAGAGGGAGAGTAACCGTTCCCCTTTTCATCTTTCAGTAAACTGAAGACCTCCAAGTAAAGGCTGTTGAGCTGCTTTTTCATTTCCTTCAGATTCATCAGGTTTTTGTTCTTTTCACTGAGCAACCGCTCCTTTTCATCTTTTAGAGAATCCAGATCACTCTCCAAACCCACTATGTTTTCCATTTTGCGCTTTCGACAATTTTGGGCAGCTACCTTGTTCTTGCCACGGCGGCGAATATCACGGACCAGGGCCAGCTGGGCCTCATTGAGTTGGTGCTTTGACATGAGCTCATTAAAGTCATCCACAGGTAAATTGATTATCATGTCGACTGTGAAAGGGATTTTGAGGGCCTTGGCCCTCTGTTCGTCTCTTGTGAGACGCACATCAGAGCGCTTCTTCAACTTGTCCTTTGTAAAGGGACCTCTGTTGTGACCACTTTCCTCTGCTAGCTTGGTCCTCTGCTTTTTTAGAGTCTTTTCATGCTGTTTTGATGATTGATCTGTTGATATGGAAATTGATGTACCTGGCAAGTCATCTGGTGTAAAATTTAATGAAAACATCTCAGAGTAGTCAGATTGTGCACTTCCAGGGTTGTGGTCTATCTCATCCATGTCTGAATCACTGTATCCATAGCCATCGTAGACTGATTTATCTGGTGAACTTGCATTTGGACTTGGGTTTGGACTTGCATTTGATATTCCTGAATCAGAATCTGGCATTTCCACAGTGAGGCCTGGTTTGTCTCTGTCAAAAGCTTCTCCTGGTGAGAGGCTATACAGATCCATTGGAGTGAATGGTGAATTATTTGGTACCCCAGACATGACGCTGCCCTCATATTCATCACAACCACTGCTCTCAACAGCCACATTTTCTGGGTAAAACAGGTCACAGAAGTCTTCAGCTTCAGCAGTATAGTTAGCTGGAGCATCCACTTGGCTCTGATTGTCAGAAGGAAGGACATTGGGTGTGACTGTGTTAAAAGAGCTGAGATATCCAGTAGCACCAGTATTGTTGGTGTTCTCTGGCACAGGGTAGTAAGGATAGTTTGGATTCTGCACTTCTGAGTTTGGATAAATGGTAGTCTCCAATGTGTCCTCCATTTGCATGTGCATGCATTGCTGAAAAAGAAAAAAAAATGTATTAAAGTGTGGATAGATAGCATATGAATACAGCCTTACACCTGTACTGTTGTACAGGCTGAAGTACACTGTATTCATTTAGCTCATCTCTGTGCTAGAAATATGGATTTAAAGAAAGCAACTTCTGTTGCCACAGCTGCCCCGAGGTAGACTGAAGCAAGGCAGCTAATCTGTACCATAGGCCTCTCATTAGCTATTCACTCACAAAGCACATGCACACTAGGTAAATGTCTTGCCCTACGGCACAGCAATATTAGATTATTGATACACGTCTATCTAAACTTGTGTTAAGTGATTTGTGTGTGTCTAGCATTTGCTTCTAACTATATAATTTTGGATGGTTTCACACAAATAAATATCCAACTCTCTCTTTTTCAATTTAACATTGTCAACTTTAAATGGCATCTAACTAATCTAACTTATCTACTAACCAAAGTAATTTGTAGTGGGTAGGTAATCTATTAAACTATTTGAGTGGAGAGTAACAAAAGTGGCCACACCACTCCACCTGTCACCTTATTCAAACATAAGCAGACCTTGTGTAAAGGGCAGATGAGGGCTTTCTGACAACTATTAGAAAACTGCTGTTTCTATGTGTTATTGCTATTTAAACAATTAACATGATCAGAATTCGCTGCACACACCTGCTTCCCCACGAGAACCAAATCCTGCGCTCAAACAAAAAAACGTTTGTCCTGAATGCTGGGCTCCAGCAGTTCGAGCATTCTTTGGGTATTTGTAACCCAGTGCAAACATTGACTCCATTGATGCAGTAGAATCCATGTATTATACCTGCAGCTCTGGGAGAGACAAAAGCTCCATCCATGCCTGCTCCAAATCTGTGGACATCGTGTGTGGTGCCTGTTGAGCAGGGGAAGGTGTGGACATGCTATGTGGAGGTTGTTGGACAGGGGCAGGTGTGGTGGGCAGCAGAGATGGCTGCTCTGGAGTCATCACAGAAGTGTTCTGTAAGTAAAACATCAATGAGCATAATATAACTACAAATACTGCATTAAATAAGAATTAAGTATTTACCCCAGTTTCCTCTACAGGAAATGTCTCTGCCAGCAGTTGTAAGCATTCATCAAATGAAATGGTATCATTATTTTCTTCAATGAAGTTGAGATTCTGTAAAGAAAATACAAAATATGTACATTATTTTAAAAACTGCAGAAAGGCGAGCAAGGGCCTATGTGCACTATTTACACCAATGCAAAACTACCAACCCACCTGTGCCTCTGTAATGGCACAGGATGGGGTGGTTACCTAGCTACAGCAGTCCGGGCCTATCAAAGGTAGTGGGAGTGGTCCAACAGCCATGACATGAGTAATGATGCTTTTGTGCTTGTACCTGTGTAACCTCCAGAGGTGTGCCGGTCGCCTGCAGTGAGGCACTGGGCGCCTGGCGGGGGATGTATTCTCCGGTCTCCTCATCGAGCTGGAGCTGTGCCAGTAAGGCCTTCTTCTGCTCCTGGAGCAGATGCTGCCTTTTCTGCTCCTCCAGTTCACGCTGTCTCTGAAGCTCACATTCTTTCTGACGATGGTTGTAGTCAAACACCTCACGCCTTGCACCCAGATCTATGTCTTGTTTCCACAGGATGTCAATCAGGTCCATGTCCTGTGAGGGATACAGATATGGTCAGGTGCACGCGCACACAACACCAGCGTATGAGAGGAGAGCAGCTTGCCCGCTGTGAAGCACAGCAACTGCCACACCTCTGCCACAGTATCTGCACAGACAAGACTGGCAGTAATGTCGAGCGGTAGGCCTGGCATGAATAATGGATGTACTTCTCTTTTTGTATAGTGCCAAGGCACCACCACACACCAACACCAGTCAGTCACCTTACCCGAGCCTGCCAAGCTGCAGTTACAGATCTGATTAAGACAAGGTGTGACTTTTGTCTGTCACCTCCAAAGGGCAGCTGCTCAGTTGAAAAAACAGCCATAGTGGCCCTGGTATGGTCAATTTTAAGGTATAGGTGGTAAAACTACAAGTCTAATTGATCATAAAAAATTAAGTTCACAATGGGCACCATTAGTGAAGTTGCTTTATGCAAACAGAGTTCCATTTAAAAACTTCTAAGCTTTTTACTGCAGCAACTGCTTTCACAAGGGGTAAAATGTTGTATAAACTCAACATCCTTCCTCAAAAGTTTCAAAGCACATGACCCGTTTGTTCCTCAGATTTATTAACATTAGTAATGGACTAATTCTTATGACACGGCCTGGAGGAAGTGAAAAGGAAACTGGCCACAGAAATAACCAAATGATGTAGAACCAAATGTATATAAACATCCCGTGTTCCTGGATCTCCATTCCAGTTTACAGTAACCCACGGGAACAGTCTGTTGACATATCACTCACTTCAGTTTTACCCTACACAGAAATAAAAAGCCACAAATCCGTAGTACCTCAGTGTTGCATCAGAGCTGTGGCTGCTCGAGGATTACATGTTACTGAGGCTGCCTACTATAAATCATACTCACCCACTGAGAGGTGTGCACACAAGCAGACATTAAGGCTACTGCGGGAATGAGGAAGTCTCCTTAAAATGCCTGAGCACACATCTTGAGGTCATCTATTTCCAAACATGAAAAACCCACACTACTTTTTGTGTTGGTCACACCTCATAAGCCTATCAGACAAGTCATACAAGTCCTTTAGAAAAACAAATAACCGCTGCATTGACCATAAAAGGAGTTTTCATCACTCCTTTCAGGTACTAATGGATACTTATGGCTTCAACTATAAATTCATACACATATAATGAACCTAGTCTGATCCAGCCAAATGCATTAAGAAAAAAACTGTGTGTTACAAGCCCTTATCAGAAACCAGGCCCACTTGGCAGTAGCACAAGGAAGCTAGCAAATTACTTCAAATTCCCTGAATCTCTTTTTGAACAATGGGCGTAAACTATCAATTACATAATTAAAATTTAAGTAAAGCTGCCCTTGAGCCAGTTGTAGGTCATTTGTCAATTTGATCATATCAGATCCAATAGTTTAATGTTTTCTTAAAGATTAACGCAGACAGATCCCAATAAAGTTATACAATACATTTAAGATATTATAAACACATACTCTTTAGACGCTTTTCAACATAAAGCTATATATACTAGCTATGAGGTGATTACAATGTTGTCTATGAGACATGAGGTCAAAGTGTGTGTACATTTAGTTTTGGAGTTGTTCATTTACCACTCTTGAAGCTGATCACAAGAGGGCCTCAGAGGGACCTGGCTCTCTCATCACACGCCAATGGTCATCCACCCCTGACCACGGATGATGAAACACAGCTGCAAGTGTTCCAAAACAGCGTGATCACTCAGCCGTGGACCACCAATGACCCCTCATTGTGACAAGTTTAGTTAAACTCTGAAGTACACGGCCACATTAGCTACATATTTCACCGCTTTATGTATCAACAACACTATTATTTTATGGTCTGGACCCACAGAACATGTCCGGGCCTGTCTCGACATGATTACACAACGCACACACGCGCATAAACTTAAAGGTAGGAATATGGAAACGTGAATCTGACTTCATTCGCAAAGGTTACGAACATGTTTGTGGTAGATAAGAAGATCACATGCCTGGAAAAGGGGAGTGGTGTAACTAAGCGGCTACTAGAAAGATCTGTGAGCCAGTTGGCTAAAATACAAATAAAACATGATAAAAAGCTATCCAGTACACCACGATAGAAGTGTTCAAATACATTATATAACAAGCGGACAGGTTAATTTACAGACAAATAATGACACAAGCTGAAGCTAAAGAGAACAGTCACACAGCTCTTTACTTATCTCAGTAACCAAGTTTTCACATTGACACATAATGACCAAAGAAAAGAAAAGAAAAAAATTAAAAAAAAAAAAAAAACATGAGATTTTGCGCTTTCCTCGAACTTCAAGCGAAAGTGTCAACGTCAATGTCAGGTGATGTGTCTGCGTTCACTTTTACCTGTTGACTCTGATGCAGCACCTCCATTTCCATCATCATGGAGTAAGCGGTGGCGAAACAAAGCCCGCTGTGTCAATAAAGATCTGTAATCTCCGTATAAAATGGCAAATAATCCGACACAGTACAAGTCCTTCTGAGTTGCTGAGTTGAGACAAATATTACTGCTTCCTCTAATCTGATGATGATCATTACGGAAACAAGAGCTCCTCCCTCACGTGGCGGCGTCAGAAACGCCCCTCTGCACTGACCAATCAGGCAAATTCTTCTTATACTTCGTTTTATCTATTTAATAAAGCTCTTTATGCACTTATTTACTAAAATCCGTGTTAAACATGATGATAATAATAAAGCCGTTTTCTTATTTATTCGTTTATATATTTCTTTTTTGCTTTTTATACAGGCAACCATTTGGCGTGTGATGATTTGGTGTCTAGTGCCCCCTGCTGGTTAGTTGGTGGGTTACAGAGTTAACATGTCCCATGATTGAAAAACAAATACATGTATCTACACTTTGTTTACCCTAGAAAGGTGTACGTAGACTTGCCGTAAGCCTTTGTAGACCTACATTTTTATATACTCGCACATATAGCCCTAGTTCCCTGATGGTATTTGCTTTATACATATTACCTCTGTGTTAAATAGTTTTCCTATAATCAGCTCTTCACTATGGTGGCGAATGAATGAAGCATTGTCATAACCATAGATGAAATAGGCTGAAATAGGCTTCACAAAAGTTAAGTTGTGAAGTTACCAGCTTTTAACAGCTCAAGACATTTAGCAAGACAGACTTAAGTTCCAACTGTAACACCTATTTGTAAAGGACCTCACACCGAAGTGCAGCCCACTGTGCCACTGCGCGAAATTACACTAAAAAGCCCCTTTCCCTCTGAAGCGCGCTCCTGAAACGCGTTCACGTTTGGCAGCTCCACGTCGACATTCTTCCAGCTGCATATAGTGAACTGCACAGGACTGGGGGAAGAAAAGATAAAAGCGGTCCTAGCCACCTTACGAATAGAGAGCTGCATGCCCGTGGACTACGGCAGTGAAAAGTGGCGATTGCATTGACCATTCAGCTATAGCGTGCTATGTGTGGAGATTGCTTTCCACTTTAAATTGTATCTGCTCTAGCATTTCTTCCTCCTGTCTGATTGCAGCTTGTCCCTTGCGCCAGCCTACATTACATCAGGTACAGTATGACATAACTTTGTTTTCATTTTAACTTGCAACTTAATCAATCATTTGACTGAAAAAATAGTAACTAAGTAATATTTTGTCAAATTATACCCTATGCTGTTCATTGGTGCGTTAAGACCACGTAGCTTAGTTTAAGCACAAACCTGAAAACTGTAGCTGCACTTTGTTGTTGCTATGGCTTTTAACATTTTCTGTATTCAGTCCCTTTCATGTTGAGAAAGTTTCATGCTCAACAGGTTGGCCTAGGTCTATACTGGCTATGCTTCAAACCCTAAAATGCAGACCACTCAAATGCAAACTAAGCATTTCTCATTATAGGAGAAGAGTACATTTGATTCGGTTCTAAAAGGGAATAAATATCCCATAAGCTACAGGCTTCAGTACACCATAGTCATAATATAAAGCTAGGCATAATTCAGTAACAATATGACAATATGTAAGATGACTCCACCTGCCCTACCTTACCTGTGTGACACCAGGAAGAATCCATACCACACAGTCCTTATACCAAAATTCACTCAAGTTTTGTTTTCAGGTTTTGACTTGTTATTTCAATATTTCTTTCCTAGGGTCAACCACTAAAGTTGGGAGTTCCACAGACCTCAAGCAGGATGCATATGATTAGACTTTATACTGGGTTCTGTATAGGGTGAGATGCAAAGTATTATTTCTGTGCTTTTGTGTTTTTCAGAAAAGAAGTACCCTTGTGATGTGGCTATGTCTCGCACTGGCCTGTGAGGTGGCTATGTGGCTTTCCAAATGAAGTTCTGTGATACACTTAGACTCTAGTTGTTTGTAGTCAGTGCATTACAGAACTTTGTTTTGGAAGCCAGTATCTTTGGAAATCACATGTGACACTGTGTTTTAAATGCTTTTTTGTTAAATAAAGCTGCTGACTTTGAGAGCTGATGTTCTATGATTAATGTCTGTATAATCCCTCAGTCCTACAGGTGGGATCTTTAGCAAAAGAAAGATTAAATTCTGTCAACTGGACAAAGGTTCTTTCAAATGAATTCAGAACTGATATTTTCTTTGGCTTTCTGTGATTATTGATCAATTGCGGGTTCACCTACATTCAGAGTTTAGGCTACATCATTGGTCAGTAGCTATCAATTAAAATACATGTTAAACATATGAAAACTAATCAGTCAGGCAAAATTGTCTTCTAGTCATAGGGTTTGTAGATCTAGGTTTGCACTTTTAACCTTTAAAAGAAGCCCAACAATGTATGGATAATAAGCATGAAATAAGAAAAATAGTTTTGCAACAACCTTTTCTATAATGAAATTGTTATCAGTCAATACAATTTTGGAGTATAAAGTGGAAAACACTAAAATGTTTATAACTGAAAGAGTAAATGTATGTAAAATCCCTTAGCCGTCCTCAGAGAAAGAGTAAATGCAACAACACTGATTCATATTTTTTAATAATTAACATTAGTATTAAAACCGTTTCTATTCTTTGTGTTTTATCTTGTTGCGAAGAAATTTCTTAATTCGTTCAATATCATAAAATAATGAAGTCGAGAGTGAAAGAGACGAAACTTTCATTTTGAGTAAACGAGATGTCCGTGAAGGCGGCGCACTTTCCCTGCGCTCCCCTCTGCCCCTCTGCTCCCTCCCTTCACAAACACGGAAGCAGCATGGCGGCCAACAGCAGCGGCGGCTCCGACAGGCAACGAGCTGCACAGCAAAGACTCAAAATAATCACCGGGCATTTACAGAGACCCACAGATTACCAGCCAGACATTGCAGCAACCGAATGTAAAGCTCCGGAAAGTAACCCCAGTGTCTCTAGCGGGGAGCGGACCGTGCCGAGGAGGAGGTAACCGCGTCCGGAGCATCCTCTGAGCCTTAGCTTGGGTTGTGTTCACCCACTTTTCTTAGCATACACAATCCAATGTATTATTACCCTAGTCCAAGGGATGTTTGTAGAATAATTAATGTCACTATATCTAAAATGCACGTTACATTTCTTCCGTTATTGCTACCAACACTTTGCTACTCAAGGCCATTTATTTGGTCCATTGAGGGTGCGGTTTTACTTGGCGTTTGGCGCTTCCAAATTTTCTCACAATAATATTTATTTTTGTGTCTTATAATTATTAATGTATCCGAAATATTATCTTTCGGCTGTGCTATAAAAGCTGCATGTTACGCTGTCACGTTTTCATAGTATTTTACGTTCTACCGTATTGTTTTCACTTTCAGCATACTCAGTATTTTGATGAATTATTTGGGTTAGTTTTTGACTTAAGTTCATTCATACTTTATAGGATATACGCTCAACATTAGAAGTTTTTTTTTTACAGGAGAACAACGAATTTTATTGTGACACGAATAGTGCTCATGATTAAAGTTCGGGAATGTAATTGGGAAATCAAAATTCAAACAGTCAATGAAACTTCCCCGCCTCCTCGGATGATGTGATTGGCCAAGACATGTGGTGGTCTGACTTTCAACCTATTGACATTTCTGCTTGAGCCAAAGTGTGCTGACATCTAGCGTTTGTCTGAGAAACATGCATGACAGACTATCTCCATGGCCTTAAAAGTTCAGACATTCTTATATTAATGTCAAGGCTCTGTGAATTATTTTTTAAAACAGTAGGACTTAAAGCCTTTAGCCCAATCTTGCTCTTTGAACTGTTTCTAAAAACCTGGATTTGCAAGTTTTGCAACAGTTTTAGTGAGTTTGTCATTTGCCTCAGGGTTGACTGCCCCAAGGCAATTTCTTTGCTCATCATTTTAATATGGTGCTAATTATCAGGCACTGTATTAAAAGACAAACCCCAGCCATTGGAGTTTGTCTGTTGGCTTTGTGAGAGTGAGGGATTTATTTAGGACTATTTTCTACTTGCTGATCATGTAAAATGGTCAGCTCAATTTTTTTCTTTTAACACTTGGAGTGAATAACATGTCTTATGTGCCATCTGCTCTGTTCTTTTCACAGGCAGGACATTATGAAATGGAATGGTTGGGGTTATAGTGACTCAAGATTTCTCTTTAACAAGAAAGGTCAAGCTGAATTCACAGGCAAAAGGTAACCAAACCCATTTACTATTATTTGATATAATTTTATTGAGAGATGCTGCCTTAGTGTTGGCCAGTTTCAGACTGCTACATTTACAGCCATGTGCTCCTACTGACACCTTGTGGTTGGCATTATAATTACACAACTGTCATCTGTTAAGGTCACTGGTGTTATGTCTTCTAATATAAACCCCAGAAGTTCAGTTAAGCTACTTATTACCTTCACAGGAATTATGCATTAGTGTTAAATATTTGTTACTTACATTTTTTATTTTCTCATGCTAAAGGAATTTACTTTTTAAAGAAGTACTTTTTTGTGGTTGTGGTTTTGTGGTTGTTTGTCCTTGTTATCTATCGGCCATGACCAAAGCTGCCTGAGATTGTAGATATTTGTTTTACTTACAACATTAGAAGCAATGTCACAGAAGTCATCTGGCATTCATAGAAAGAGTGAGAAAGAGTAATGAGTGTCCACATCCCTTATATAAACATAGAAGATAAACAGTAATATTGAAACTAATTTATACCACTGACTCAAAAACTCGAGCTGATTTATTCCACAAAATCAACAATATTGTTAAAAACTATGAGTTGCATTAAATAAATAAACAGCAGAATGAAACACTTCAGTACTTAGTTTTTATCTGTAATGAATCATAGTTATTAATTGAACCTTTTACCGCATACATAGCCAAAAAATAACAAAAAAAATTCCAGAAAATGTACACACAATAAACGTTGACCCTCCCAAAAAAGTTCCATCTTTCATAACTTGAACATTAAGTCAATATGGTAATTACTGTGATAGGCCTATGTAAAGCCTGTTATTATCTGCCCGGCTTCACAACTATCTTTGTACAGCACTGGCAGTGATCTGTTGTACAGGTTTTTTCCACTGCGTTCATGGTTTCTTGGACAGAGACACAGCAGAACACAGTACTGGTCTGGCCCAGGCAGTGCCAACAGCTCAGATATACAGAACACTGAGGTCACAATAATAGCATTGTTACATGACTCGAGTTAAAGGCAGGATATGTAGTCTGTGCTGCTGCTCATTTAAAAAAGGAATTACAATCACAATTGAATTTGAATGGCCTCATGTGAAAGCTCAAAACCTCCAGAATTCACCCACTGAACTACTTATTACTTATTGTTGACTTGTTTAATAAGCTGGCACAGTGTTTTTTAGGTAAATATTTATTCTGTACTTTTTTGCATAATTTTTTGTTATTTTTTTGGCTATATGATAAGTTTTAAGCCATAAAAGGCTGACAAAATATAATTTAAATACTAAAGTGTTTCATTCTACTCATGATTTTTAATAATAATGTACATCTTGAATACTTTTGTGGTTTAAAACTGTTGTTAGATTATTGTGTCAGTGATATAAATTTGTTTCAATATTATAGCTTATTGTCTATATTAAATTCGTCATTAAATCACACTTTCAAATTTGTTATTGTGACCAAAAATGAGTAGCTAATTTTATTTAAAAAAATGTTTTCATTCATTTTTGAGCTTTTAGCCATATAATAATGATTTTTGCAGTTCAGTTTTTGTGTCCACACATAAGTGAATTAGTGTTTAGAGCTATTTGAACCGACTTGTTTATTTGTATTTAATTCCAGTCCTGATTATTGTGATGTTACAGATATAGACTAAGTGGTATGATCATTCCTGGGCTCAAAGACTGGTTCGAAGGCACATTTGGAGCAAGTCTTCAGCACAAAACTCCTGCAACAGTGAGCCCTGTTACTGCCAAACACATGCCTCAACATGCGAGGAGCCAAATGTCTAAAACCACTCATGTTTTTACAGCCCATACTAAATAGCACTGCTGTACACCCTGCAACTATTAATGAGGCCTTCGTGGAAGAAGTAAAAGCTACATCTATTCCTTTCTCAGTCGAAGTTGAGGACAGAGTGTTCCGTGCACATGGTAAGAAATGTTTTAAGTGTGTTTTGTATGCGTTCAGCTTACGTATATGTATGGATATGTTCATTTTCTTATAGGACACTGCTTACATGAGATCTTTGCCCTGCGAGAAGGGAAGATTGGCCGTGTTCCTGATATGGTAGTGTGGCCAAGTAAGTGTGAAAACTGAATCATACCTGAATTTGATTGGTCTGTTTCTATCCACCCACATAGTAAACCTGATCTTACCAGTCCTCTGTGATTTAAAGGGTTAATATCTCTCAGAAGAGGTGATGTTAATATGTATGAGTGGAGGCTTGCTGTCAGTACAAGGATGGTCTGAGCAGCAGTTTAGGCTACGCACAGTACAGTTACCAAATTATTATTTTGAGCCTGATCACTTCTAGCACGTATTTTATATTGCAAATGGACACTCATCTTAGTGTGATCAGATTTTCAAAATTCAAAACAGGGACACACCTGGGTTTGGATGGTTGGTATAAATAAAATTGTGAAAAGAGCCCATAACGTTGTCGTTTTGCGGGTCCCTTGTGGGTCAGTATATAATCTGTGGGACTTGTTGGTGCATTTTTTTTGCCTTATGGTCATTTTCAAGCACGGTTTTCAGTATTTTAGTTAAACAAACGACAATATATTCCCCTCTTTACTGTTGCCAGGTACAGATGAGTCAAAGCCCACACTGTATCATCACATTAAACGATAAGATATATCGATATTGTGTTATTTTTGCACACCTCTAATAACATTGTCTGTAATTTCCATTCCTCTCCACATTGAAGCTTTTATTCTGTTAGCTAAAGATCTTTTGAGACAATTCTAAAACAAACAGGAGAAACCAGTTAAGCCTATCTTTGTAGGTGGTGGGTATTGGTGCTCTTGTCACTTGCTCACCACTCCTCTGTAAAAGGATGAGGAACCCATGACTCACTAAAACACATTTGTATCGATCAGTTCATCCCACTTTCTGCCTCACACAGACTGTGAAAAGCCCTGAGCACTTGAAGGTATAAGAAGCTTTATTCACTAGAGTTACACCCAATTTACATGGGTTTATTCAATAGTATTAGCTTCCCATTTTTTGACTAATTTCCTCTATTTTCACATTGTTTCTCTTGTATCATAATTATTTAAATGCATCTTCTCTTTTTTTTCAGGCTGCCACAGTGATGTTGTCAAAATTGTAGAACTGGCTTGTAAACACAATGTATGTTTGATACCATATGGAGGTAAGACACTTGCATATCTAAACAAATAAAGACATTTTCTCACATTAGCCAAATAGCTGAACAGATATTACAATGCTGAACACATCTACTCATATTTTCCATTGTGTCAAATATGTGTTCCCGTATTAAAACATGAAGCATTAGAAACGGTTTTCTGCTTCTCTGTTTGCCAGGAGGGACAAGCGTCTCCAGTGCCCTTGAGTGCCCCCCAGAGGAAACCCGCTCTATTGTGTCCTTGGACACTTCTCAGATGGTATGTAACGACAGCAAAGCATTATGACATTAAAAGCAGTTCAGATAATTTAGTTTAATCAATATATTTATGGGATATTCATTTAAGTGACATACTGCCATTTAAATGAAATGTGAAATTATAGCTTTTTTCTTAATAGTTTTATAATGCCCATAGTAGGGATGTAACGATAACCGAAATATCATGATATTGTATTGTCAGAGTTCTCACAATAATATCATGGGCCATTACAATATATCGAATTACAAGTCTCTTTGCTTAAATTAAGAATTATGGTGCAGTAATAGCTAAAAAAAATAAAAATAAAAACCCAAGATAGAAAGAACTACAAAGACCATGATCCTTTGCTCCATTTCAGTGCAGACTACATGAAGAAATAACAGTCCTTAGCACTTTTAAGTCTTTGTTCTTTGGATTAAGTCTTGTCAAGGCATTTTAAGAGGAAAAAGTATCATATTAACAGTTTTAGTTGTTTATCCTCCACAAAATATCACAATAAAAATTGTACCGTGAGATGTATATCATGAAAATATCGAGATTTGGATGAGAAATTTGGATATTGTTACATCTCTAATCGTGAGCCTTGTAGGACTTGGATATTGTTACACCCCTCACCTATAAAATAATAAGTTCATAGATGTGCAGATACCCCAAGGGGTTATCCAAACATCTATGCATGCTAATAGCACACGCACACACACACAAATAAGTTTATACCACCACATTTTTCAGTTATCCATATTAACATAATTAGTTTGTTGAATTGTTGTCTTCTTTTCCTTTTCTTAATAGTTGATGTAGGGAGGTAGGGGCACATCCACATCCACACTACATTTGTGAGTTCTAATAAAATGGTGAATTTGAGCGCTTAGGCCTTTGATGGTGGCGCGCAGAGCAGTGATTTATCAGCTGTCGTCCTGCTGTGAGCCACTGGCTGTGGAACCTAGACACCAGTGGTCACTGTTCTGTGTCAGGGGTCAAAGGTCAGGTGACTCCAGAGGAAGCACATGAAAGGGGCTATGTGTGCAGAGCGTAAACTTTATTACCTCTTGAAAATAATGGATGGCAGGTGTAAAATTACCTCCTGTAGGTAAAGCTAGGCCCTGCACTCCGTGGCCTTAATAAGAGCTATGTATTTGGAAATGGAGGTTCAGTTTGACTTAAACCTTGAACCAACTGTTTTCTTTTCTAAATGTCCTATATTACACAAAATTGACTCTTCTGTGTTTTAAACCATATTATAACTGTTATACCTAGAATTATGTTTTGTTTTATTCACACATGTTTGAGTCACTATTTATTATTAGTCTGTCTACATCTCCAAAGCTCAAAATGCTTAGTTCCACCTTGTGATGTCATGTAGTGGTAGCTACTTTTACCTTTAGTTCAGTAGAAATTGGCAATTTGGGGATGAAATTATCCAAATGGTTCTAGTGAACGTGTGTGGAGTTATAGTGGAAAACTTCCTGCATTACATGACATCTCAAGGTGGTGTTTTCTGTTTGAGAGAAACATAAATATGCAGGGTTTGTCTGTTAAACGTGTGAATGAAACTAAACAAAACTCAAAGTATGTTTTGATGATGATACAACATTAGAACATCAGAAAATAGTGTAATATATCCCCTTTAACTGTGCAACCAACAATTGTTTTAAACCTACTGCAAATGATATGGTAGCCTACAATGAAAACAACATACTTGCATACAAAGAATATCCTTGCACGTGCTTTTTTGCAGAATCGCATCCTGTGGATCGATGAGAAAAACCTCACTGCCCATGTAGAAGCTGGTATTGTCGGTCAGGATTTGGAAAGACTGGTAAGCTACGCCTGTTACGATGATTACAATATCAACTGTCATTCAATATATGAAAGCTGGAACAATATATTTTGGGACTCAGTATTTATCGTGGGTATTTTTTTTGCAATAGTGAGGATATCTTAGCCATTTTTAATTTAATAACATAAGATATGAGCTCTAGAGAGTACAATAAATAACTGCTATGGTTAATATCAGTTCTCTCTTGGTGATGCTGTCTGTTAAAATGTGCACTATGTAGCTTTTTGGTTGGGGGTCCATCACCTGCTTGTTTCTGTGGATATGTTGCTGCTCAGCCTGGAATGTTCCACAGTATGACATTAAACAAGCTCTACATTTGTTCAATTACAGGTGGTTTTATACCTAGAAAAACAGGCATTCTGACTGTGAGTGGGTAAAATGATTTAATACCGTAATGTAAAACTTTCCAGACAAAATAATAATGTCTTTGTAGAAAAAAGATCTGATGGACCTACCATAAGAAAAGTTAACCAGTGCACCTTTAAAACTGGTTTACTGGGATTATTCTGCTTTGTGTCATTGTCATAAAGTATTTTCAGTATTATCGCAGTATATCTCAGCAGCAATATATTGTGCTTAAAAATTTCTTATCGTGCTTACATGCAGTATATTCATCCACTGAAAAAGCACAACTCCTCAGCAGCACATGCCATTGGCCTACAGTGAGAGTACTGAGTTTAGGACAGGAGCAGCGTGGTGGAGATTAGGGACCCAGCCTTCAGACATGAGCAGATGGCACCATCACGCTAATTCAGAAAAATGGAGAAGGAACAGGTCTGTGATGAAGGGAGAGCGTGAGTTGCATCCAAAGCGAGTCACCTCTGCATTTTATCCACTGCTTTTATGGAGCAGATGGGTCTGAATTGTAAAGTACCTGCTTGTGGAGAGATGTCATAAAGCACGGTCTTACATTACCTCCTGGTGGGATCACTGCCTCTGCAAATTATGTATTGGCATTATTCTGACTTCACATGCTCGTATATCTCTTCAAACTGCCTACACTCACAATATTAATGCAACCAACACAGCATATAACGTATTACAAAATGACAATTTGAGAATAGGCCTGTTACTATAATTATTATATTGACTTATTGTTATATATATGATGGAACAATAGATTTTGGGGCTCACTATTTATCATGTGTATATTTTTGTTGGAATATTGTTTTTTTTATGTAATACATTAAGATTTGAGCTATTGAGGGATGAAAAAGTAACTTACAGGAATAATTATTGGTTGTTTCTGCTATTTATTTGTTGTTGTACTGTATTTAAAAATAGTTTATACTGTGCTTTATTTTTGTGTCAGTGGCATGAAGTAGTTTCTGTGGTATTGTTTATCATTATATTCCTCTGTAGCATTAAATTTTGCTTCAAAATTTGTTATAGTGACAGGCCTATTTAAGAATACAATCTTTCGTCTATAAACCTTAATTGCTTTAACACAACACAAATTCTATAACTTGTGTAGACATTGCTTTCACAAGTCTCTGCTCTGTAAAGCTTGTTTATTTTTGACTGTAAAACCGTAAGCTGCTATAAAAGCGTAAGTTTGAGTCTTGAAACACGGCAGAGAGCACATTTTATTTATTTTTTTATTATTTTAACCTCTTGCGTGTAATTAAAACATTCTTGCGTATTTGGATCATTACAATTTTTTTCCCCAATACTTATGGCTATCCTCATTCCAAGTTGTTTGTTTCCACAGCTTAATGAGAGCGGTTACTGCACAGGGCACGAGCCTGACTCCATGGAGTTTAGTTCCCTGGGAGGCTGGGTTGCTACCAGGGCATCAGGCATGAAGAAGAACATCTATGGCAATATTGAAGATCTGGTAATAAATACTTAAACTGTGTTTTTACCCCATTTATGAACTAATAACATCCAAAATGTTTTCGAGTTAGATGGAATAGAGATTTCAAAAACACCTAGAAAAACAGGCATTTTGACTGTGAGCACTCCACAGATCTGACCTGTAACTTGGTCTGGTTTGGTCTCCATGAAGATAGAAAGATTTAATGCCATACTGTGAAAAATGTCAGACAAAACTATAAGCATCTCCATGTAGAAAACCATTTGACGAGCCCTCCACCAGAAGATTCACTATATAACTTCTGACAGAGGGTCCATCGCCTGCTTATGTACATGGAAATATTATTATGTTCCACAACATTTAGTCAATTCCAGTTGCTCTAAAATACTTTGAAAATATGCATTCTTACTGTGAGTGGGGTTGCCTCTCCACAGATCTGACCTGTAACCTGGCCTGATCATGTATGTGTACTGCTTGTCTCCATAGAGATACATACAATAAATGCCATACTGTGGACCAGCCTTAATACATTTACTTAAGTAGATTTTTCATGTGATACTTTTACTTGAATATTTTTTTACTCTGGTATCTGTACTTTTGCTTAAGTAACAAAAATTAGTAGGCCGAATATTTGTCATTTTGCAGTTGTCGTGGCAACACATTCGAAATGACATCGTTTATGGCTCTGATTGTGCTTACTTCTAATGCCCGTGTAGGTGGTCCATGTAAAGATGGTGACCCCACGAGGTGTGATAGAGAAGAGCTGTCAGGGCCCACGAATGTCCACCGGCCCAGATGTCCACCACTTCATTATGGGCTCTGAAGGTTTGTTGACTTTTCGGTGACTTCACTAGTGAGGCTGCACATGCTGTGTTGGTTAAGATAGTCCATAGTGTTTGTGTATGGACTAACTGGGCTGATAAATGGTCACACCGGGTTTGTTCTCATAGGCTTGTACATATTAACCAAATTTGGTAGAAATGTTTTTTAACTGACTTAGACTTAGATTTTGTGGAAATGATCTGTAAAATAATACCAAAATATACAACAAGACTGTCCATGTTGGATTATTACATTAATGACAGACTCATCTGTTTCATCACTTCTCACTTTGGCAAAATTGGTAAAACAACACAGAATACTAAAATTTTTACCACAATTTAGACAAACTTTATTGTCTAAAAAAATTATTTGGCCACAATAGCTCACACATGACAATATATTATAATAACAAAAAGCAAAAATATAAATGGTAATAATAAATATATAAAAAAATAAGCAGCAAAAATAGCAAGAGACTGCTGCCAAATATGTACAAGTAAAAATAAAATATAGAAATATAGTAATACAAATATGTCTATATGCAAGGTTGTAAGGAGAACCAATGCAAAGGTGAAATAATGATTGACATGACATATGATCATCTATTACAAAAGGGCGAGTTGTTGTACTGTTGTATGGAGTATGGTATGAATGTAGTCCTGTATCTCTCCCCGTTTTAGTTTGGAGTTCGCAAATGTCCTCTCTTTCCCATCTCAGCGACCTGTCCTTGTGAGCGCCCACAGAGGATACTGCCATATGCCAGGTCCCCCACAACATAATGAGCATATTGAGACTCTTGGCATCTCTGTGTGAAACAGCTGTGCGCACAAACTTTTTATTCTCCCTGCAAAGCTCAACAATCTGCTCTCTGGCCATCTTTTGGTGTTTGCAGAAATATCAATTTGTACATATTAGTCAAAATGTCCTGTAACTTCTGGGTTAAATTTGGTCTATTTTACAAATTCAATTTAAATATTCCACAAATCAGGATTCAGGCAATGATGCAAACCCAATCAAGTAAGAGGGAGTAGTGTCCTTTAATAATACAATAAAAAATATTTATTGCTAGTAATGGTACCTAGTCCACTTAAAAATATCCAGGTATACAGCTAAAACATTTCTTCAATTGCGTTTTTCTTATTTTGTTCAGAAAATTAATGGTGAAAAGAGCTTGTATATTTTTAATAAGACAAAATGAAATCAGGAGCAATACAATATGAGGGAAAAAAAGGTGGTTCATTTTTTTCATATCGCCCAGCCCTTACCTTGATGCTTTAAAGAAATGAACATAGTACTGCTAATCTAATCTCATGCTTTTGTATCCTTGGATGACTTTGTTGATACTGCAGTTTGTTTTTCATTTTCTCCTAAAAGCAGCCAGGCTCTTAATTCGACACAAACTTAAATTTTATGTGTGTACTATGCTTCTTCTCTAATTGCATGTTTTAGTAAAAGCTTACATCCGTATTGCATTGTACCACACTACTGCTTTCACTTATCCCCATGAGAGTATTTTATGGCCTTGCTTGTCTCCTACTCAAACTGTTGCCCCGCCCCCCAGTGTCTCTCACCCTCTCTCTTCCTCTCTCTCTTCCCTCTGGCTCCTCCTTTTTTTTTTTTTTTTGTAGCTCCACCTCTTTTCTGTCAGGTGGGAGGAGCCTGTAAAGCTGTCCAGGCCCCATGTTCTTTTTTTACTTGGCCACTAGGGAGCAGCGTGTGGTATTCAGGGACATGCAAAGGCCCATTAAATGCCCTAACCGCCAGAGGCTACCAGCAAAATGATTCACAGCCCATGAAGAAAATTTGATCTAAAATAATTCATAATTGCCATTTATTCCCTTGCCCCAAGAACTTGGCAATTTTTTTTTTTCTTCTTTTTTTGGTATTACACTTAATTTAAAAATGTTAAACCTTTTGAATAGTATTTTAAAAATCACATTTTAATTATTTCAGTTTTTAATTTTGCCCATGTTAAATGCAGAAGCAAAACCCTGCACTGTGTCTGTCATGAGATCAGACATGAATGCTAAGACTTTTTCTGATAAAGTTGCTGATAAACTGCATTCAGCACCAGTGTTGTTAGTAGAAAAAACAGATCTGCCAGTGAGTGAAATGTGAGACAAAGGTCAAACTAAACCTGAGGGACATGTACCCTTTTAAAAGCATGTAAAAAACACCAGGCCCTATTCATAGTGACTGGCTCATACCCATGTTTCTTTTTTCTTTTGCTCCATTTTCTGCAGGAACCCTGGGTGTGGTTACCGAGGTTACAATGAAAATCAGGCCCATGCCAGAGTATCAGAAATATGGGTCAGTTGTATTTCCCAATTTTGAGCAAGGTGTCGCTTGTCTACGAGAGGTTGCCAAACAGGTGTGTGAAAAAACTTTTAAGTTCATACTGGTTTTGTTTCCTCTGTCAACATATGATAAGACTGAGAACACAAGGGACATTACTTGGGCACAGTAGCTCACATACCACATTATATTACAAGAACAAAGAGTAAAATACATTCTAAATAAGTAGCAATAAAATAGCAAAAGACCGGTGTCAAATATGTCATAATTATATAAATGTATATGTACAAGTAAAGTAAAAAACAGAAATATAGTAATATGAACACAGTATATCACAGTGATTATACAGAGCAAGGCCTGTCACGATAATTACTATTAAAAAATATATATATCGTTTATATATATTAGATGGAATAATAATTTTGGAGGGTCAATATTTAGTGTAGAGACTTTTTCTTAGCACTTGTGGACAATTTTTGGTTATTTTTCTGTACTATGATAAGATTTGAGCGGTAGAAGGCAGAATTATGAACTATTATGACTCATTACAGATACAAACTATCTACTTAAGAGTTACTTTCTGTTATTTATTTATCTCAGTTGATATTATTTAACAATTTTGTACATTTGGAATAGTTTATATAATTCTGCTTTTATGGTTTTGGTTGTTTATTGATGGTATGACAGGCCTACATGTATGAAATATGTGGGATAATTCATTTCAGCCATTTACACTTGGATGAGAACATATTTTATATTATACAGTATATTACTTTCAATAATTTACACTGTATGTGTATGTGTGTGGCCATTTAATTAAAAGTCATTTCATTTTTACTAACACAAAATCTCTGTTCTTTCCAGAGGTGCGCTCCAGCTTCTATACGGCTCATGGATAATGAACAATTTAAATTTGGTAAGTTTTTTTTTAATTTTTTTTTATCATTGCTGGGTTATGGGTGGAAACTTATATCAGAAAGGCAGTATTTATCTTATTTATAAAGAATTTAAATTAAATTAAATTAAATTATATATGTATTTCATCTATACCTTTAGCATCTCAGAGCCTTCGTTTTCTATTACCCAATATAACCTCCCACTTTGCGTGTAGAATTATGAAACCACTATCCTCTGCAATCCATACACTTAGAAGACCAACACCAATCATTCATTTTAGTGGAAATCATGTATGTGTATTTATTTTGCAATTTTAACAGAACAGCAGTGCAGAGTTGTGTCAATACAGTGTGTTTGCCTCTGGGAGCATAAAGAGCATAGAGGCAATGTTTGATTTACCTACGATAACCCTGAATTGTTAAATTGATTATTTTTGCGGCAGAACTGTACACAGCAGCCAAGATTTCAAAGCATGAAAAATGACCCCAGCTAAAATTAAGCAATTGTTAACACAGTTTTATGATGTTGTTCGAGAGCAATGTATCTGGTATTGCCAAAGATTTCCGTAAAGTTCGCCAGTCTTCAGGGACCTCATTATCCTTCCCATATTTCCACTTTTTTCCGAGTAGGCACTTCTTAGCATTAAGTAGGGAAGATGAAGCGGCCAGGTTCTCCACTAATGACTGAAACCCTTGGCTCTCAGACACCTCCTTGGGCCTATTAGAGCCATGTTCTTACATTCTTCTAATCACAAGAGCTGTTGAGGAAGGAGACTGGATATGTTCACAGATCCTTTCAATTTGGGACTAACGTCAAGATGAAACGCAGTCTCCATCCATACACAAGATAAAAAATTAAGAAATTTGTACTCTGTTATATTTTAAAGGTGCACTGTGTAATTTTTGTTGTGGAAGATTAGCCACTTAATGCTTTGCTCTGTTAATGGACAGTGTGAATTGTTCTTATTGTTGACTATAATTTCATTGTATCATTTATTTCTGTAAATCAGGGACTGCAGTTGGAAACTAGAACATGAGGTTAATGTCTCTGTACATTGTCTGCTCAAGTAAAGACTAAACTAAACTTGCCTCTTTGCAGGGAGATTATATTGCATTGCCATTAATGTTCCATAGAACGACATTAAAGGGACAGTTCAGAATTTTTGACATAAGACCTCATTTCCTAGTTAGCCAGAGTGTTGGAGACGTGTGGAGTCACTTTTTTAAGTATTCCATCCAGTCCTTGTATTTGCAGAGGTCGCTGGTGCTAGACTAGTGCATGTCAATGGCCATAGTTAACCTGCCACTAAAAACAGTCTTACCCATTCCACAAAATACCCGAAGCAAATCTATTACACCAGATTGTCGAGGTAAAGGTCTGTGTAGAATAATGTTTGAAATAAAGCTAACCTTGAATTGTTGCATGTTGAGGGACTATTTTCTCATATATCACCGCCACTGCCAAACTTTCTATCAGGAGGTACAACTCGCTGCTGCTGCTCAGACATAAATCTTTCAAATGCAGGGTTGGTTTTAATTCTGAAATTATTCTATCGATACAGACATTTACATCGATAGTCTGGTGTAATATTAGATTTGCTTCAGGAGCTTTGTAGAGTGGATAAGACTGTTTTTAGTGGCAGGATAACTATGGCCGTTGACATGCACTAGCCTAGCATCAGCAACCTCTGCAAATACAAGGACTGGATGGAATATTTTAAAAAATGTCTCCACACGTCTCCACCACTCTGGCTCACTAGGACATATCCAAAATTCCAGACTGTCCCTTTAAACTTATATCTTTAAATTTGATACGATTACAGGTGTTTTTATTGCTCATAAATTCAACGAAAAACATTTGTACCATAAGCAGGGTAACATCTCCACAGATCTGACCTGTAACTAGGCTTGGTGGTGTTACTTGCCTGTTACCATGGAAGCAGATAAGTTTAATGTCACACTGTGGAACATACCAGGCACAGCAGTAACATCTTTGTCTATTTTCCAGTGCACCTTTAAATAAATCACAAAAGTAAAAGTTGAAAGTTAAATCCTTCAAATTGTAAGAGTAATTTTCTCTCAGTGGATGTTGAGTATTTAATTATTGACTATGATGGCTGCAAAGACCTTGAAGACCTGGAATCAAATTTTGGAATAAAAACAATTATATAGTAAGTGATGAAGAGACTTGAGCATGGGGTGAATAAATGAAGTGTTAAGTCTGGGTAAGATCGCCGTGACTACCCTGCTGTGATTGATTGTCGTCCCATTGGCCCAAGCCCCTCATTTTCACTTGTCCACAGGCACTTTTGTTCGTCCGATCAGGAATAAATCAAAAATTGTAGTTGAGGAAGACGGATATCAGCATGTCAAAACCACTTCCCTTTGGAAACCCTCTGATTTATAGCTGCTGTCGCTTGCAGTCACTGGCCAGTTGTAAAGTTATTTAAATGTTACAGTTTATTTAGTTCCTTCTTTGTTCTAAACCCCAACTCGAACTGGCTTAAATCTGTTTGAGGATGTCAGCATCATAATGTAATTAAGTCAACTGTCTTGTCTCATTAATTGTATATTCACAATCTTTTTTTTACAGGGCATGCACTGAAACCCCAAGTATCTTCAATTTTCACATCATTTTTGGATGGTTTGAAGAAATTTTACATCACAAAGGTAAAGCTGCTGTCAGATCAGCCTTGACACTACTGTGATAGCATAATGACAAATGAATCTGCATCTTAAATCTGCAGTTCAAAGGCTTTGACCCCAACCGTCTGTGTGTGGCCACCCTGTTGTTTGAGGGAGATCGTGAGAAGGTTCTGCAGCATGAAAAACAAGTGTATGACATTGCTGCGAAATTTGGGTAAGTTATTGTGTCTGAGTCATTGGTGTATGAATGTTTGTGTGAATGGGTGAGTAGTTCCTTGATATAAAGTGCTTTGAATGCCTATATGCTATATAAAAATGTGACTGCTGACATTGACCATTGACATTTTTAACTGTATCTTTATTTCGTTTCTCAAGTTTTGACTTTTGTGTATGTTCCACTCATATTTTTTAAGGGCCCATATTATACTATTTTCTGATCTATGTGATAATGTTGTTTCCTCAAAACACACCTGGAGTTGTGTTTTTGTGTTTGTGTTTTTGTTTTATTCACACAATTATTTTTATTACACAATTATTAAGTTCATCACACAATTCCTCCATATTTAGGCTGAGTACATCTGTTCTATTTTGTGATGTCATGTGGTACAGAATGTGCTCCACTGTGTTTTTTTCCACTGTTTTTACCCCACATTCCTTGACTAGAATCATTTCAATAATTTCAGCCCTGGAATTGCCAATCTCTACTGAACTAAAGGTAAAAGTTAGTTAATTTGAAAACTACTGCTTCATGACATCACAAAGTGAAGGTTAATAATAAAGGGTTACCTAAAATCTTGTGTGAACGAAACAAACATTCAACTCCAGATATGTTTTTTGATGAGGTAAAAGCATTTTAACATGGCTTAAAGTTCACATTAGTCAATTTTGTGTAATAATATAGGACCTTTTAAGTAATGTGGATATAGATGAAAAGTAGCTTTTTCGAGGGTGGGTGCTTCCTTGTGTGACATCATTGGTTTTCTCTTGACACAGCCTTCTCCATCATCTTCTGAGATTGACACTTCTTCCCCAATCGACTCATTAAAATGTGCTTAAGGTTTTTGGCACAGTACTGCAGTAAAATTAGTTATATTCGAATGTTAGTTTTAATAATCTATGCTTTAAAGTAGCTACAGACAGAGTATGTTTTGTATATCATGACTGACTTTAGCTCTACCACTAGCCCATGATGAAATTATACAAAAGTTGTCATCTACAGAGCACTTGCCTATTGTTTGAGATCAGATTTTGTCACCCATCAGATAAAGTGTCAATGATAGATTATTGTGGTTGTTTGACAAATATCTTTTTTCCTGGAGTTAGGAAACGAGAGGAAGGGTAAGAATCAATATAGCGATTTTCTAATGAGCTTGCCCTGATTAGTTTGGGAGGTTGATGTAAATTTGATTACACACTACAGGTGATGGATGTGTGGCTGACCTGTGGCAGTGCACAGAGCATAGCTCCATTGATCCATACATTGTGGGATTGACAGGCTCCCTGGCAGCTGTTAAAAGGAGGAGCGGTGGCGCCGACAAGCCTGAAAGGAAGCGCTGTTAAATATTAAGCCTGTTATCTTCTTGCAGGGGCCTGGCAGCTGGAGAGGACAATGGGCAGAGGGGCTACATGTTGACCTTCGTCATCGCGTACCTTCGGGTGGGTCACTACTGTGGCATTTTGACGGACAGTTTAGGAGTGTCCAGTCTTGACACGCTCTCTTACAGCAGAAGCTTAGTGACAACACAAAAGGTTGCAGAGAGAGATCCTGTGGTCACAGTAGATGTCATTCAGGTGTCCACTTCATACACACAGCTCAGTAGGTGCAGTCAAACCACAATTGGCCGTGAGTATAGAATGCAGAGCGTGACAGTGGTTCTTCTGAATAGCCCTGATGTCTAATTGAGCAAAAGAAGAAGAGCCCTGGGTTTCTTTTTGAGGGAATTGACTCTTTCAAGTTTCTTGTTTTATTTGTTTTTTTCCACAGTAATTGTATTTAATTTAAACATATTTTAGAAATATAAATTTATCTGTTAAGTTTTGAGGCATTTGAAGCAATTTCTCCCTAAATGTTAACAGTATCTTTAAAAGAAGCCTAAATTTATAATTATTTATAAAGAAAATAATGTTCTCTCTGGTTCCACACAGTCAGCATACACCACTGGTTTTCATTAGACAAACAGAGAGAAAAAAAAAAAAAGAAAAGAAAATAATTGTGTGAATAAATGTGTTTGTATTTTTACAGGACTTGGGTATGGATTATTATGTGATTGGAGAATCCTTCGAAACCTCTGTGCCTTGGGACAGGTGTGTATAGACGGGCAAGCCATGTGATTGTTTTCCCAATTTCCCTTAATTCTTGGCATCCTCCTTCACCTTCATAGAAGTAATCTGTACTTTGTCATTATTTTGCCTCCATACTAGACACTGACCAGTATGATTTTTCTTCCTGGCCGATGTCAGTTGTCTAGAATCCAGAGAAATGGCCGATAAGCTCTGTCTTTATTTTTGGGTTGATACTTATTATTTTTCTCCAATTGTGTAATTTGAATTTACTACAGATTCACTCACAGCCATGTTTTACCTGTACACATTCCATGCAGCTATCGCTTTGTATTAAAGTGTTCAAAAATAAAATAAAGCTCTGTATATTTGTATATTATTGTATTTTTAAGCCCTAGATCACATAAAATAAAAAAAAATTGCCTGTGCTGGAGATTTAAGGCTGATAGGTGTTACTCTAAAAGACCAAATATTGGTGTATGTTTCCCCATACACAAAAGCAGTATTTCAGCCTTGCATGTACCTTACTTTTCCCATCAGTACGCATTGTTTTAGTATTCATGTCTCTAACACACACATGTAGCAGCCAGCAGACAGTTTGTGCCGTATCTCAGCTGATGGAGAGAGCAGAGATCAGGCACTGATGCGAGCGCCTGTGCCCGCCTCATTACCCGTCCTCCTCCCCATCCTCCACACGGCACACTCCACTGCACATGCTCAGCACTGGCGGCCATTTTCACTCCAGTGGGGACCTCTCCCCCACAATGCTTTTTATGTTCAGCTGTGGCTGCTCCTTTTTCTGTCATTATGTTCTGTTCTAATTTCGTAATTGTAATATCTAGTTCATATTTATTGTTTTTAAAAAACTTAAGTAAAGTAAGTGTACTTTTTGCAGGGTCTTGGACATTTGTCGAAATGTGAAGGCTCGGATCATTCGAGAGTGTAAAGACAAAGGAGTGCAGTTTCCACCACTTTCCACCTGCAGGTATTAGTTCTCACTAAACAAGCTCAAACCTCAGTCTCATCTTCTAGTTCTGGGCTAAATGCTCCATACATACAACTAAGGAATATTAATATTATATTATAGATTTTTTTTTTTTTTTTTGAAGAGAAGGATACTTTCACTTGGCCTTCAACATCTTCTGAAAAGTTTTACAGACCTTAACCTTATACTTGCTAAACCTGATCCCAGGCACCAATAACTACATGAGCCTGAGAAGGCTCAGCTCTGACAGGCGCAGTGCCTGGCGGCAGGAGCGGGCAGCAGGAGCAGGCTCACAAACTGTGCAGAGATTAGGCCTCTGTCTGATTATGCCACAGCCATTCATTTCCCGGCTGCAGTCTGTCAAATGATTGATTTGTCCATTTAACCTCAGAGTCAGTGTACCAGGTGATGGCCATGTCAAAAGGGCTCTGCAGCCAGCCCCTGTGCAGAGGGCCAGCCCACACTCTATTAATGCAAAATCAAGAAGAAGCTTTGAATTTTGAACTATTGTGTTCACACATAATAAGATAAACATATTCAGGCTTAGATCTGATTTATTAACAGCACAATGAAAGTATAAACATCGCAGGTATATTTTTAGGTTTAGCTTTCCAGTGGCAATATGATTATAAAAAATATGATCTGTAAATAAAAATACAGTCTATGCCTGTAGTTAACAGTTAAAAACCTTGAAGAAAAACCTTGTGCTTATTATCTATTACAGGGTCACTCAGACTTATGATGCTGGTGCCTGTGTCTACTTCTATTTTGCCTTCAACTACAGAGGACTCAGTGACCCAGTGCACGTGTATGAACAAGTGGAGGTAACATTAAAGTGGAGTTTAACCCTCCATTATCCCCCATTAAATGATCAACTGTGAGCCACAGTTAAGTTGTGGTTTTATTTCTGTTCAGCATGCAGCTCGAGAGGAGATTCTTGCCAATGGAGGGAGCTTGTCACATCATCATGGAGGTATTTGGTTTTCATTACTGAATGTAAAGAAAATGCTTAATTCAAGTAGTAATTGGTGCCTTGTAACCTGAGCCTTCGCATGTTAGTGCTCATCTAAACTGTGTTTTATAAAGGACCTTATGCTGATCTGGGCAACATTGCTAACGTGGCCGGGGATCGTGTCCCCTCTGTAAATGTGCATTTGGATGGAGACCTTTCACTTGGACATGTCCAAAATATTACTCTGCAGTTCAGATAAATGGCTCTGACTTTGCCATTTGTTCATTTGAGCAGAGGCCAAATGAAACGTGAGTTGAGGGGAGGGGGCCAGCTCTGCGTCCCCCATCAGGCCTAACCGAAATGGCTGCTTTATCTATATTGCCATCCGCCTCGCTGTTTTCATACATCACTTCAGGCTATTCATCACACCTGTCAAAAACAGTATGCAGTGAATCAGCTGCAATATTAAATCACCATTTTTCCTGAAGGCCTAGACGGGTTCAAAATTAAAAGATTGCTAATAAAAAGGAGGCAGTGGGCTGCGGTAAATGATGCCAGTGTTATCAGTGGCTGTATAGTGACCTCCAAACTGTGGCCTGGCCACCCCGATCTGCTCCGCGCTGACAGCGGAGAGGAGGGGATATTGATGCAGCGCCTGTGTTTGGGGCCCACTCTGTAATTGTGATTAATAACGCTGGGCCTTGCTATCTTGCCACAGACAGGCTGGTTTGTCTGCCCACAATCAGCGCTTGACAAATGGAGCTAGTTTCACTGGGTTTTGTGTATCAAACCAAACAGATGTAGTCAAGGATGGAGAGGTGGGAGGGCACCACAGGAAATATACATTTATGTGGCCCTGAATTTGCAGCAGGTCAGTCTTCTGCTGCCAGGTGCCTCTGGCCTTTGGACTTGTAGAGTTCTCTGCTGAAGATGATGTAAATTTAGTTGTTTCAGGCTTTAATTGTTCTGAAACCCTTTGAAATGCGTAACACGTGTTCTTTAGGTGTTGGTAACTAGGGCACTAGTGTTCTGCAGTGTGGAGGTGTTAAACATCCATCAGCTGAAGTTGTGCATCCATCAGGCCTGTGCAGACCGTTGTAACCTCTAACATATCGCAGACGCCCAGGTCACTCCTGAAGATCGTCTTTCATGTCCAAATTTGTCAAGGAAGAGAAGTTGAGCCCACCCTCTACGGTCTCTGTTGGACAACCACCTCGAGGAGCCCAGTGCCCATAGTCTTCAGTTACATCAGTGTGAGGCCTGGCAGGTTCTCAACTTTGCATAGAGAAAAATGACCTATTTTAGTCAAGTTTTGTCATCTTTCTATTCCCTTGACTTCTTCGCTCAAGAGAGAAATCTGTCATTGCAGGAATAACTACCTGCATCTCTTTGCATGTCTCTGTGGCACACATGACGCTGGCTGAGATTGATTGCAATAGGACTCCAAAAAGAAAGAATATGACAAGATAGATGTGTAAATTATCACTGTTATGGAGGCAATGATGCAGTGGCAGCACCTTCTGTTTTCTCTCTTCTTGGTGAGAGGAGGGAGGGATGGAGGTGGGACCAGGATGAACCAGAGGTACAGGAGTAGTTAGTGGTTTGTGTCTCCGTCTGGAGGTGCGAGGGGGTGTGACCCTGGTGTCTGCCCCGTGTCAGGAGACGGGGCTCCCCAGCCTCGTGGCTGATCTCCATCTGGGGTTTCCCTGCTGGCCCTCCCTCATTCATCAAGTCTCTACACAGCCTATTAACATGGGCTTCCCCTGGCACAGAAAAACCCGTCATATCACTATGAATGTGTGTGTGAATATTCCATTGTGCACTTTTTATCTAATCTCTACTGATAGCTCAACCTTTATTCAGATTACATCTGCTCTTGGCCACTTTGTTTTCCCAGGGTTACTGTTATTGTTAGCCTTTTGAGGAGCACTGCTTAGACTCACTCCCTGATTTCATCGAGGTAGTATAGTGATGATAACACTAAAAACTCACCCCATTGGTCAAACTATCAAGATAAACAAGCTTTTTTATTGTTGCGCTAACAATTATTTAATACATTTTAATCTTTAATCAATAAAAAATAAGTAACTCCTATTTTGTACAATTACGTATAAACATTTACTAGTAATTATAGATCATGTCAATAAATACGTTGACTTTATTGATGCAAATCTTCAAATAAGCAATGAACTAATATGGATAGTAACTGAATAACGATGAAGGAATTGTTAGTTTAACTGTTACATTTTCATATGAAATTGAAGAGTCTCATTTTGGCCACCAGATGTTGCCAAAACATATTTTAAGCGCTTGGCCCCTCTAGCTTCAGTTGACAGAACTAAAAGTGAAGTTTTGTGAAGTGTGTTCAGTACAGCATCAGTACAGTCAGCAGACCCGTCTCTGTCCCTGTTCTGAATGTCCTGCTGAGAGCTGTGGGGGGCAGAGCTGTAGAGGATGTGACAGGGGACAGCTGCTGGAGCTGTGGGGACTGCTCTGGGCCCACTGCCTCAACAGGACACTTCTTGGTTGGACAATGTTCTGCTGACGGAGGCCAGACAAACTGCTGAGGACAAATATGAAATAATGAATACAATGAAGAAATAAATGCATTTTATATTTTTAAAAAGAAATGTTGTTTGACCCAAGCCAGTATGTACGATTATAGTTAATACTACTACAGGATTTACTTGTACTTTTTACATATGTCAAGGTTTTGTGCAACATTTAGCAACATTCATACTGGGAAAAAAGTGATTTCTTAAATGTGACCCTGAAGCATTTGTCATTTGTCCTGTTGTGAGAGATTCAGTCCTGTGTCAAATAACTTTATTAACATGGTTTACAGAGCCATTATGTCAGGATAATTGCAGTATTATTGGGATCGGGCCACAGTTCCTGGTTGGTGATGACTGTGCTGTGTGTGCTTTGTGTGTTGGGGCATAACTGATGTGCAGCCCTCCCAGGTCAGGTCTAGGGGCCCCTGAGCACACAAGGGGCAGATGCAGGAAGAGACTACAGAGAGAGAGAGACTGAGAGAGAGATGAAGAGAAACATAACAAGGGGAGGAGGAGAGGAGGGCGGGGAGGGGTGTGGGGGGCACTGAAGGGGGAGAGAGAGCAGGGGACGTCCCGCTCCAGCCGGCCCCTCCTCTGGGAACACACACAGCCTAATGAGTTTGATAGTCTGCTGAGCTCCATAAATCATGCCATGCAAAACATTTCTCCTCCCTGAATAAAAGCATTTATCACCCTCTGTTTATTCACTCACTCTCACAAGATTGATTGGCTCCCGGCAGCCTGCTGAGCAATCAGCCGTGCCCATTCCTCTATTTCTTCCCTTCGGTCTTCTTCCTCCAGTTGTTTCTTTCTTTTATTTTATTTTTTTTCTGTCATCCAGTGGGGAAACTTCGGAAGGAGTGGATGAGAGAGACGGTCTCTGATGTGGGTCTAGGGATGCTCAAATCTGTGAAGGACTACGTCGATCCCAATAACATCTTCGGCAGCAGGAACCTCCTTTAATTTCATTCTCCTGTCCATCTTTGACTCACCTTTTCTAACCACAAGTAACATTGTTGGATACTAAATGTGATTTTAAAATGGACAGAGACTTGTTCTGTTTCATGAAAATGTCATTGGTGCCATTTATCGATTCACCCAAACCTTTATTTTAAACAATATTGCACTTAATATGCTGTAACAATCATGTTTAAATAGATACATCTCTACTGTTGTCATGGCCTTAGACTGTACAGATAATGTAATGTCATCAAGTTATCTTTTACATGACTGTGGCCAGAGTAAAACTCGACTGATAATGCAACAGTTCAGATTATTCACCTTTACTCGCATTTAACTGTTACTTTACTCCTTGCCAATAGTTACTGAAAGCACCTCATCTTTAGTTCTAAATTTCTGATGTGTGTGTGGCACGTCTTTAGTGGTAACTTCTATGAATGCGCTCTCTAAAGCTCTGTGCCTTTCTAACATATTTGTTTGCTCCTTGTCCATGTGTCTTTACCTGAGGTTTGTGTGCCCTGTTACACTGACCAACCTACTCTAGTGGACTGTGTGTAGCCCAAGTGCTGGACAGATGTGTTCTTAGCCCCTCTGCCCACAGAATTGTTACGCCCATATGTGCATAGTTTTGTACCGAAACCCGTGTGGTTTGTTACTAACCAAGTGAAGTGGAAAAAGCCATTCTGTTTTGAGTCCTGCCTGCTTCAGTGAGAGCCTGAGAGTAAAGGCCAGTGATCCCGGTGCTCTGTTGTACCAAAGATGTAGAGTATGACCAATCACTCTCGACCTGTAGGCTACATAAGAACATATGCAAACTCCCTGAATATGTTTTTCTATTTCATCTGATGATAAATGTGGTAAACGTTTCATCACTGGTGTTCCCAGCTTTCTAGGCTTTTCTTTTTGTCTCTAATTTGTATGAAGAATTATTGCTACTTTTATCTGAATTGTAACAGCCATTAGCCTATGTAGGCCTCGTTTTCCACTTCTCTAACGATGTAACATCCATTTTGTCAAAGCTGTTTGTGCAATAAACAACTAAAACTCGTGTATGGAGTTGTTCTCTCAGTGTCTCTGTTATGCACGCTTTATTTTTAATTCTTCAGCTTTTAGATACTATATTTTATTTGTTCTGTCAGTTCCCGCCGGAGGGGTCAACCTCCAACCACGGCCCACGAGCGGCTCTCCTCCGGTACAGCCGCAGCACCGATCCAACTGCGCTCGGCCGATACTCGAGCTCGGAGCAGATCAGCGCAGCAGGCTTTTTCTTCTGCACGCGCTCGTTTGGGAGTCATCTTCACCCACGCAGCCGCCCCCGCACCGCTGCTGACGTCACTACCACCTATCAGCAAAAGCCGTTTAGGCTCCTGACAAACGCTCCGGCTTTAGGCCCATCTCTTATCAGTCTCACCTGGGATTGTGTAGATAAAAGTGGATGACATCACATACATCAAATGATAAAGTGGAAATTAGAGATTCATCCATAAAAATCTCACTTATTGTTTTGAGGCCGCATTCATCCTAAATAAGGTCTGTGATCTCATGTGGAAACTGTACTTCACGGAAGTTGTCCTAAAGATGTTAATGGACACTGCTTATTCGTGCAGTAGTAGACTGTTTAATTGAGATGGTTCAGATTTTTTTTTATTTAATTTTTTTTTTTTTGAGTGTCCACACGAGGGCGCCACAACACAAGACACACCTACAGAAACAGTATAAAGCGCAACAACACGATAGAAGCGGAGATATTTTTTATTTAAAGTCTCTACAGAAACATTGCACATTGCCGTTTCATGCCTTGGATGTCTCAATTGAACCCACTACAAATAAATTCCGAGTTTAAACAAGGAAGAATAAATAGTTGCAACTTAGTCTGTAAAGAGACGTGGCCATATAGGAAAAGTATTAGAAAAATAGAACAACAGCGATATTTATACGTAACTTGATGCAATAGGAGCTCAATTCATGCATTTGAGGGTACTACGCCTTTACCTAAATGAAGTTTAAAATATGAGGTATTTGTTGGCTCACAGGACTGCTACATCCTACAAACTGTACTTTGGGTTCAATACAAACATGCAATTCAACTGTGTGAAGTCAAATTTAAAACTCAGTAAACTCAGTACAGCAGAACACTGATCCATGCCACACATCGGGAACAACTTCAATTAACAAAGCTACAACGCAAGGCATAAGGCATAACCGTTCCAATTAAGACTGACAGACTATTTCAAATGTTACGTTTCAGTGTTTACTAAAAAGGGTGTGTTCTACAGAGAAGAAAGGTAAGAGATGTTAAAAAGGCACATTGAGATAGTCTATGGATGAAGAGACACTGAATATTATGAATATATGTTCTGCAGTTAACATGGTTGACAACGTCTGTCATTGGTTTTATAAATTGTGACAAAAATGCATCATGTTTTCAAAATGGATTTTCATTCTGTCTATGAATCCTGGTGAGGAGGCCATGCATTTTTCATTAGAATCTTAAAACAAGGCACAGTAGGGGAGGGAAAGGAGCACTCAATTTGCATTGCAAGCACTGTCATAGGTCCTGCTCATAGACTGTGTATATATGTGTGTATATATATATATATATATATATATATATATATATATATATATATATATATATATATATATATATATATATATAGTCTATGGTCCTGCTGTACAGCACTCCTCGATCTTTCACAATCAAATTGCAATCCCAAGTGTACTGTACATTTAAACTGCACTTATAAATAACATTATATTCAGAAGCCTATATACACATTTACAAAAAATAACTCTTGTCCAAAACACAATGTGCGAATAGCAAACACTAATGCAAACCAGTATTCTTCATATATTGTGCTGAAAGTGGGTGCAATGCCCAGAAAAGGAGCAGTTGGTCACAGTTGACATGTGACAGTGTTTTAAGTGTTTGTCCCATAGACTGTATGGTTCATCCTGACGTTGTGTATCTGTATCGCTGTACATCTGTAAGGAGAACCTTTAGCTGGCCAAACACGTGTGAGAAGCCCTCAGCCCTCCACACTGACGGGAGCAGAAAACTCAACACAGCACCGCTCTCACGTTTAAAGCTCATCTTTCAAAAGCTCCACACTCTACGTGAACTGCTCTGCTTTCTCTGCAGGCTGCTTTAAGAGGAAAAAGCTCAGAGGCCTATCTCAGGCAGCAGCAAAAGCTAACTCACAGGTTTAGAAGGTTCAGGAGCACCACTGCAACATGGGGAGCTGCCCATTTTAGCTGCAGCGCCCCCACCTGGTTCAGAGCTGTCAGCACTGCGTGGGCTTGCTGGGGCAGAGATGCTCTGGCCGCGCTGTCTCTTTTTGTTTAGTTCTTCCCATTTGGATCTGTTCGCTTGGATCATGTCAAGCATTGGCTGAAGTTTAGGATTCAGCTTGACCAGAGTCTAGAGAAAAAGAGAACAAATGAAAGTTGAATCACACACATGTAAGACAAAACTACAGAATTAGCATAAGAAGCAGAGCAGCATTCATCAAACACATTTTGGGCCACACTGCAATAAGAGCACACATGGGATGTGTGTGCAGATTACACCACATGCCTGGCTCAGATTAGGGACCCCTGTTGTGTTGCGTTAGTCCTGACTTGTAGTCATAGGTACACGCTGTCATCAGATTTAATAAATGACCTGAGAGACGAGGGGTTTGTGCTCCTCTGTTCTCTGAATACCGTCTATTGGATTTCCTCACAGTTCTGTGTAATTAGTTATTGTTTCATTAACCCCGCTTCACATGGAAACTGAAAGTGGGCTCAACTCCCACTCACAAAACACAGGCTCCTCTTTGGTATAGACCAGAGGAGTGCACATTTTTCTGTTTCTATTTGAATGCTTTCCCTAAAGAGTAGATAATATTTTTTTTATTTAACATCAGGCACACAGTAAAGATTAAAGTGATGCTTCACTAATGTTTGTTCTACAATACTGCCACATTTAAAAGCATGTGTGGGCTAAATAAACAGGTACATTTGTCAGTATGGCTGCACTGGGATTGCATTCTGACTTTAATGGGCACTTTTACAGCCAACCAACAGAAAAGTGAAATTTGAAATTGTTGTGTAGGTGGTTCATTCTAACTCAGCGCCATAATGTCACGTGTTTATGAAAAGTTATGAAAAGTGTGCGACTAAATAAATCATACTGTTGTAATTACTGGAATGTGTGTGCTACTAATTATGAGGCACTTTACCTGCACACAAAATTGATTTCCATTTGCTGTGCATTGATTCAGTGAGAGCGCTTTGTGTGTGCCTTAATATGGACTGCTTTTCATGAGTGGGGGGCTGATACTGTGTAATGATTCTGTGCTCTGCAAATGTTCACTCCTGAGGAAGATTCTGATCTACACAGAGCTGTCAAAAACTGTCAAAAAACAATGATTAATATAGCTCAGAATATAGTGCAATATAGGCCCTTTAAGAAATACTCAAAGATACAGTGTACATTTCTTTGTGACTGGCTAAATCTGCCTTTCTGTTTGTGTCTGTGCACCCATAGCCAAAATATTTTTAGGCCTTACTTAACGTTTCTTTCTAAATAATTAACTGCAGAACAAATGCAGAGCAGTTCTGTCACCTTGCAAGTTTGAGTTTACGCTGACAAATGCCTTTCCCTTCTCTCTCTCCTGCTTATGGGCCAGAGAAAGGCTTCATTTTGGCCATTACTTCTGGGGTGATTTTGATACTAGCAAATCCAGACAGAACAACCATATCATCACTAGAACCACCATGTACCATGAAGGAGCTGTGGTCTACACTCTAGACCCTTTAAAATGTGTAAACTAAAACATTATAAATTCCAGAATGGAGGTAAAAGTAAAATGGAAATGAGGGCATTAATCTCAGAATATAACAACATATAAAACGGAAATCTGGCAAAAATTTGGCAAATGAAAACCTCTTGGATACATGTGAGTGAAATCAGAGCCCAGTTTAAAAACATTTAAAATATTATGATGAGAAATCCTCAGAAAAGTTGAGCCCACTATAGTTTTCACTTCATCTACAGATATATTAGACATTTCACCATAAATTATACTTTATGTGAAGCTCAAATACAATTTTGAGGTTAGAAATTTGTAAATTCTTTTTTTTTTTGTTATAATGTCGTAAAACCCCTTAGCATTTAGATCTTTTAATCACTGAAAATATATTACATCAGCTTCACTTTGCCTCCAGCTGCCTCTATTCCAGAAGTTTTAACTAACTAATCTATTATTTTATGTGGCCTTTTTTGATTTTGCGACCGTTTGTTTTGTGTTTTGGGGAAACTGATCAGATGAGTTTTGACATGGTTGTGAGCTGGGACCTACAGAACCAGGCTTAGCTAACAGAGAAGGATTAATATTCCACAAAGCGAAGGAGCACCACCAGGAGCAGAGATCAGTAAGATCAAGCTGGAGATCTCTTACGCCCACGGACCCAAGCCTCTGAAAGTCCTGTGTTCCTCCCCCGTTTTGCTTGATTTTAATTGGCAGCAGCATCATGATCACTAGGAAGCCCCCATGCAGATAACACAGCAGTACTCTAATGCTTTTGTCAAGGTTACATACTTCCGCAACGTTTAACAAAAATCCTCTACTAATTTCTAATCTGATTTGTCTTTCCCTCTACAAGACAATGTCATCTCTCTCTTACTGTGAGTGAGAGGTAGAACTGAATGAAGCGCTCCGTCCTTCACTCTTTTTTACAGCTCCTTTCATAAATTGACTTCCAACAATCTTAGCAGGGCGCAGTAAGTCCGCTTTCTTCTCCTGCCGCCCACACAGCGCTGATGGGAGGGGCAGCTCAGGCTTTGACGTCATTCAGAAAAGCACACACATTACAACACTGGTGAGGAGGACGCTGTATGGATTTCCATTGATGGATCCAAAAAGAAGCCCTCTGATGCAGTTACTAACACAAAGGCCAGCTCTTCAGTGGTACCTCTGGTAAGATAACCAGGGTACAGGCATACTTTGTGTATGGTCAATGTCAACAACATACATCCAGTACATTCTGAGTAAACTCACTGAATAATCACAAACCAAATATATTATATAACTCACTGCTAATATATTTCAGTGATCATTCAGCAATTAGACGAGAGCTTGCAACTTGGATACCAACAGAAGAAGTTAAAGTCCAGTTTTTTCTGCAAAGACATGACATGACCACTCACCTCTGTTCACACACTAAACAAATATACTCTGAAGAACATGATGCAACCTTGAAGTTATTTCAAAGCTTTCAATAAAACCCATTTGTGAAAGGGAAAATTGAAGCGTTGTGGGTGACGGTTTACTGCTGGCGTCAGTAGCGTAGAGCTACAATAGCTGATGAAGGACAGATGCGTGGCTGATGTCAGAGGAAGAGGATGAGAGCGTGAAGGCCACACAGAGTCACACAGTCGTACCTCGTACAGCGGAGAGCAGATGCCATCAATCCACTCCAGCTGGAGCCCCGGCAACTCATCCTTCCTGTTTCGATCAAAGATCGCCTGCAATGTACAACTGACAATCAGACATTTCATTGGAATATTTTTTAAATTTGTGTCTTATTGGGATTAAAAAGATACAAAAACATTATATTAAATACAATATTCACATGTAAATAAGAATAGTGTTTGATGAGCTTGAAACATTTAACCAATAGTGAAATATGGGTGTTCGTAAGTATTTGTAACCTCCCCCTCCCATCCTCGCTGCTCTACTTGATCCTAGGTCTGTTCTTTCAGTTCCGGTGCCGTCTCTGCTCTGCAGCCTAAACCTGAGAGGATCCAGAGGCTGTGCTTCAGAGATAGTCACCAGGCTACCACTTAAAAGTTCATATTTAATTTCCAACTCCCACACACCCAGCTCTAAACCTGAGGCTACGACACGACTTACTTAAGAGGGAGCCAATGTGCCACGTTCTGATTAGTCAACACCATTAATTGTGTGTAAAAATCTATGTTAATATCTCAGCACCTTGAATAGTTACAATATAATAGTGTTACTTAAATACAGTTTCATAAATTGGCTCAGAATATGACAACACTGTTAACAAAAGAGATCTTCGGAAATATTTTCACACTTCTCTGTTCAAAGTATTTGCTGTGCTTTAGATTTTTCAAAGAACAATTTCCATAGTCCGCAGTTTGCTCTTGGCGGCCAGCAACGCGTTTAAGTGGTCTAGCTGACAATTCACTTTTCTCACACTGGGCTCTCATGTTTCTCTCACAGTGAGTGTGGAACTGCAGAGAAAATATCTTCATCAGCACCATCGGATGTAGAGACAGAAAGACAGAAGGAGAGACAGAAAGAGAGTAAGAGAGAAAGAAAGGAGGAGAGACAAAGGAGAGACAGAGGAAAAGAGACAGAAAGAGGGGAGGAGAGACAGAGGAGAGACAGAGGAGGGGAGACAGAAGAGGAGAGAAAGAAGAGGAGAGACAGAGGAGGAGAGACAGAAAGAGGGGAGGAGAGAGAGAAAGGAGGAGAGACAGAAGAGGAAAGACAAAGGAAGAGAAACAGAGGAGCAGAGACAGAGAAGAAGAGAGGGAGGAGGAGAGACAGAGGAGAAGAGTCATAGTAAAGTTACTCACTGATGGTGTAAGCTTCAGCTCTGATCTCTCTCGATCTCCCTGCTCAAAGAACTCACTGGTAACCAGTTCAGCCACCTGCACACACACACAGAGACAATTAAATACACACTCCTCATTTTGTCCTGAGTACAAAATGGAGAAAAAAGCATTTCTGACCTTCTTTGAAATATCCCAAGGTTTGGTCACAGCACCAAGATCACACGCTGTCATCATCATGGATCTGAAAATATGACACACACGAGGTCAGAAGTTTTATCTACTATGCCAACATACTTGTACGTTACTGGTTATGACTGTAACTGTGTGTGGAAAAGGTTCCATAGGTCATCTGGACACTGTTTTTAAATAAAAAACACTGAACTCAGTCCATTATAAACTCTACTGTCTCAGGCCAGAACAATCTCAATTAAAATGGTTTCAGGGCAGGAGTTGAACTGTCTTGACTTCAGAAACAGTGTCCTGACTGCCTTTGGATCACTCCTGGACAAAAGAGGGATTACACAGTCTCATTTGTGACTGCATTAATTACTAAAACCTGCAGAGACGTAAAACAAGGTACAAGGTGCAGTATGAGTATGAGTATAACTGTTTGTACTTGGATGGGAGACCACTGGGCAGACACTTCACCCACATTGCGGAGTATGAAAGTGAAGTGTGTGTGAGTGGGTGGGTTTCTTGACAGGTGCAATGTAAATCCAAAGTCTTATATTAATTTGTTATTTTTCAGAATTAATTTATCGCTCTGATTGTACAATATTCAAATAGTAAAAGATATAGATATTTGCACATGAAACTTGGACAGAAAATAAATAACCACATATTATCAATACAACATTTTGTCATTTTCTGTCAATTTCTCTAAAATGCATTTTATATATATATATTTTTTTATATTTATATTTATATTATATGTAAAAGTGTAAAAATGCGGCTCTTCCCATTACCTGCACATGTCCCTGTGTGCCTTCACGTTCCAGTTGTACTCCCCTTTACTCACCAGCTCAAAGAATGTGTTCCTGTTCCTGCGAACACATCAGCACACAAGCGTAAACTCACTTAAATCCACAAGGGGGCAGTGTCCGCTAAAAGACGCCTGCTAATGACATGCTGTGACCGTCTTCATAATGCATGAGGTGCGCTGGCTGTATCGGGAGAAGGAGCTGTGTGCTGCGGTGAGACGTACTCGAAGTAGAGCGTGAGATCTGTGGCCAGGATCGACTGTTTGAGGAGCTGCATGAGGTCGCTGTACTCTGTGGACGACAGGTTGGAGAAGATGTTGTGACCCTGCAGAGGAGGAATACACACAAAACAAAACAAAAATAAATAAATAAAAGGAAAGGCATCAACGAAAATACCTGTTTTATTGTACTAAGATAGATCTGAGAACGTGAGCGTCAGCAGTACCTTTTGTAGTTTAAAGGTGCACTGTGCAACTTTTCTGGTGGTGGGTCCTCTACCCACATGTCTCCATGGAGATATTGCAATTGTTCCATGGTATGACATTAAACATACACATGGAAATCAGCTGCAGAGTCCCCCTGGCTGGAATGTCCCCCTGAACTGTACCTTTATGAAACTAAGTTAGATAATCTATATACATATTAAAAATAATATTTTTTTTTCTTTATATTTATTGTAATAATTACACACTCAAGTTACAGTATATCTCAACACATTTGTTTATGTTGAGCACAAGCAAGTATTCTGATTTGGGAAGGATGAGCACCCTGCTTCTATCCTCTGTTGCATGATATGACACCTGACAAGAGCTGATTATGTTCATGGCAAGCAGGTAAGGAAATAATTAATAGTTCTTCCCAAATCAACAGTTACAGATGTTATAGGACATGGGGAACAAGAAATCTGCCGCTTCAGGCAGATTGGTAAACTGACATAAACAAAGTCTGATGTTTGGTGTCGCTACATTCACATTTAATTTTATTATGATAGAACGATGATTTTCGAACTCAATACTGCACAGTGTGTGTCTGTGGCGAGAACGTCCCCTCTCTCCTGGGCGCTGCAGTTACAGGGGCCAAGAGGGAGGAAGGGGATTTGCCAAGAGAATGGGACGTTCAAGTTGGTTCGTGCAGGTATTCATACACATCTACTATTTATTCATTACGGGTGTTTCTATTGCTCAAAAATACAATAATTCCTTCGGTGAATAGGGGTGACTCTCCACAGACATGGATTGTAATGTAGTGTAGTGCTGTAACCTGCCTCCCTTGCGATAGACAGATTTAGTCTATACTGTGGAACATTTTAGACAACGTAATTATATTTCCACAGAGACAAGCAGGTGGCGGACCCTTTCACTATACATGTTACGCAGTGCACCTTTAATATACCATGTTGCATATTGATTATCAGTAATTAAGAACATATGACTGAGCCCTTGTAAATAAATATGTTTAAAAATGCACCATGAAAAAAACCACAGTTGTAAAAGTAGCAAAAGTTCAGTTTAATGCTTGTCTCTGATGTATCTCATAGTCTGCCATTCTTCAATAAATGTCTTACTCCATGCAAATATCTATTAGACTAGCAGTGTCTCCTTTATTAGCACACAGAAAATATGTGATTTCTATCATATCTATTTGATCTTTATTTCAGAAAAGCGTACATTAAGGACAGATGTAATGTTAGAGTATCATGTACACACTGAAGCAAATCTACTCAAAAGCTACAGGCTGACTATAAATCATACACTTAATAATAAAAACTGTGCCCTCACTGGCCCCCAGGTCACACCTTGGACACTTTAAGCCCCACAGCATCATACAAAGTGAGTTATCCAGGTGTAGGATAAGTACACAGGCCCAGCAGCAAAAGCATTTTATTGGTACTTTGTGCAATAATAACATTAAAGGTGTAGAGGAGACAATAGCAAGCCCCTCCCCTCTTCTAGGTGGATGCTCTTAATAAGTAAGCATCATTTCTCACTTGAGGCTCTCTGGCATTATGTATTATATATTTATGCTCCACTTAGCTCTTCTCCAGAAACTGTGCAGAGAGTGAGAGAGAAGAGATAGAATTAAGTCTAAGAATGGGCCATAAATTGAGCACAGCTATGGAGTTTCTGCCATCAGCTCGCGTGTTCCCATTAAAGGTCCTTTATTATTTAAAAGTGACTCTTGTGGGCTTTAAGTTGTGTTATAATGTTGTTACCTGTTCAAAAACATACCTGGAGTTATGTTTCATTCACACTTTTGAGTAACCATTTTGTATTAGTCTATACATCTCCAAAGCTCAGAATGTTCTGTTCCACTTTGTGATGTCATGTAGCGGTAGTTTCCAAGTTAGCAGCTCCTTTTACCTTGTGTTCAGTACAGATCGGCAATTCCAGGGCTGAAAGTATCCAAATGATTCTAGTGAATGTGTATGGAGTTTAACAACACAGTAGAGCACTTCCTGTATTATCACATGACATCACAAGGTGGAACAGAGCGTTTTCTGTTTGAGGGAAGATGCAGGAATGGTGTCAAACATGTGTGAATGAAACAAACCACAACTCCAGGTATTTTCAATGAGGAAACAACATTATAACAGATTAGAAAATAGCATAATATGGGACCTTTAAATATTGAACCAGCCCAGACGTAAAGGCCGCTCCCATCACAGTGGAGCGAGAAATGTGAATGGCAGAGGGAAGTTTGGCCACACTGCAACGGGAGTGATGTTTCTTAAGTTTACATTTTAATTAATGGATTTGTAGAGACTGGCTGGATTAAATCGTGAGCCTCCTATCACTCTCAAATTAGCCACACTTTTCATTTATATGCTAATAGGACGCTAGTAGTTCAACTCTGCTATCAACAGAAGCCATTATGATATTCCAAGTAAACATTTGTCAGCTTACTGTGTTGTCAGCACTGTGATAATGAAGCCACTAGAACCCACCCCTCTAAGCCCCTTCGTAGCTGCTCCCTCAAAATGTCTTTAATTACAGCCTCATGCGAATTCAGTCACCTGGTAAAATGTCTCTCTCACCCAATTACCAGCAAATCTATGGGCTCTGTAATTACATTGATTTGAGGGCAGCTCCAGCCTTTTGTTTACTCACTCATATATATATAGCTGCACATGTTCGCCTTTGGGCACACTGGGCAAAAACAAGCTTTCTTAATTTATGGACTGCAAAAGAAACAATATTGATTCTTTCTGATATAGAGTTGGTCTCAAAATAGTAAAGTTCTCCAGGAAAATTAGCACCAGGGGCCATGACAATAAAGTAAAGTTAGTTCTTAGTACCTGTTAGAATAGGGAATATTAAAATTAAACAGTTATTTGTCATTTAAATTGTGTTGGTGGCAAATTTATATTGTGATAGTGTATATTGTGAAACGATGTGCCATTACGGCAGACGGTTGTTTTATCTTGTTTTTAAGTGTAAGTTGTAAGTTTTTAAATGTAAGCTGTAGTAGTAATACTGCTAAAACCTCTTTAAAATAGTGACATGTACCTTGTTTTATATAGAAACTTCAGGTACCCTGTTGAGATTATTAACATTAACTCTTAATGGCGTAAATACGTCTGAGTGGTTGTTAAGATGTTAGGTACTGATGCACTCTTTTCTAAATATGCAAATAATAGTTTGAATATTCATGAGTTCAATTATGATTTAAATAATAGTGAATGTTATTTTCGATCTGGATCTGGTGTATATGTGTCATTTGTCACGTCACCTCGCTTTGCAGGATCATAACAGCGTGGTTGAAATGGTGGTGCTCTAGTGTAGCAGAGGTCCCATAAAGCAGAGCCAGAGCTGAGCCCGTCCTGAAACACAAAAACATGATTCCACTAAAACACTTTCTTAATTTCAGAAAGAAAAAGGTGCTTTTCATCAGTACTTTTCAAAGACCAGCCAGAATGTCCTGGAATCAACTCCCAGGTGGACCTATACAATTTTGTTATACAATTTGTGTGTGTACAATGACATTTGATTTACACTTGACACACTGTATGTTTATTATGTGACTGAAATAAAAACAATGCACCATTCTGACATGGAGTGTACAGCAGGTCCTAGTGATAAATGCTACTGAATACACATCATTGCAAAATGTTACAAGAGCAAATTAACTAGCGTTTCATTGAGCCATTCATTTATTGCAGCTCATGTTTTATTTATGTTATGATTTATTTAGAACCTGGATTATCCTGTTGTATGTTTATTAATAACCTGGTCTTTATCATTATATTTTCTGTAGCAATATATTGCACAATATATTACAAATGTAATTTTATGACTGACTGATGATCAGTGTAACGTCTCTGTATGACACAGCTTTAGGCTTGTGTAATTACAGTCTTTGTAAATGAATAGAAGATGAGCCTCAAACAATTCTCTAGTGTGTCTCTATTCTGCGCTTTAAAAAGCTTGGACTTAGATAGACAAACCCTTTTAAAGCATTTCACTACTGGCTCTTGTTGATGGTGGTTTGACTGGTGCAGACTGCTGCAGGAGGGACACAGGTTAAACAGTGTGTAAGAGGCACGGCCATGATGCGGTAAATGGTCACATATATTTTTTATATATTATTTTATATGTGTGTGAGGAAAGAAGAGGTCTTACTTTGCCTGAAATGCATTGTTGGTGCCACGGTGGTCTAAGTCATGGCAAACACAGCCCACGATAAGAGCCAGGATCTCCACTTCTGTGAGAGTCTCTTGAAACCCTGCTGTCTGATTGGTGCAGAGCAAAGAAATCATAAAAGTCATAAAAGAGCTATGCAATGGCAGCACATTTTACTTTGTGATCTGATAATGCTGTGAACTGCACACTGAATAAAAATGGAAAACAGTCGAACAGCAGCATCTTCCTAAAAAAAACAGTATCTCCCTAAAATGCCACTGGGACTGCAGTAAGGCAGCCACGCAGAGAGATTTATGGCTTGGATGAATGGGTTCTGGAGGCCATGTGCTGAGTGAGTCACTATGGGTCACTGTGGGGATAGGAGCAACCATAGCACTGTCCTTAGACCACTTATTAAAACATATGCACAGTAGAGAGGAGTGGAAAACAGCTTACATTTGACTATTTCAGTTTTCTATTCATTCTGGTCTACGTAGATGTTATTTAGTGTGATCAAGCCACATCCCAAAAATCAGATTAAGTGGTTTTAATGGTAGAGCGGAGAACTGAAGTCACTCTGCTGTGATCACGATAAAATTAACATCTGGTGTTTTCAGCAACGAGTTAAGACTTAACTTAATGAAATTTAGCAATTAACAAAATTGACTACTGTCCAAGTAATGAGAGCTATTTCTTTTTTCCTCTCAAATTGAGCCTTAGATAATCCCAAAACTTTCTGTCAGGACTATTTAGTAGCAAGGGTAACTAGTAATCTGTGGCAGGGGTTCCCAACTACCAGTCTGGGGCCCAAAACCCATGGGCCATGGGCCATCTGGTACCAGGCCCCACAGGAAAATATTACAGATCTTTAAAGGAGTTTACTTATTTTTTTACTCTGCCTTCATATATATGTGTTTTAGTCTGAAAATATATTGCAAATGAACCTGATAAACAGCAAACATGAGTATTAAGACGGGTTTTTTTTTAAACTATGGTTTTATGCATTTTGTGCCACTATTACTGGCCCCGCCCCCTTCCACCAGTCCCTGAAAAATGTTTTATGCTTATTAAAAAGGTTGGGGACCAGTGCTTTATGGTTAGGAGCGACAACAACTCATGTGTCATCTTTAGCACCATATAATCACAATGAAGTTGTTTGTGTTTGGTCAGTGATGGGAGGAATACTTTGAAAATGTATTTAGTTACAAAATACTGAATACAGGAATTTAAATGTATTTTGTAACATATCAAAGTACTGTATTCTGAATACTTAGAATGGTTTTAAATTAAGTTGCATTTAAATTATTGTTAAAATTATAATTATTAACATAGGATTGAAAACAGCTTTATTTGATTCACTGTTTGCCATTTCTTATCACTGAATAGAGAAGGAAAATTTTCACATGCACACATTATAGGAGCAAAGTTTTCTAGTTTTCTCACTACCGCCATATATTCCTTTGATTTTAGGAAAGTAACTGTACTCTGAATACAACCAAAGTTACTCAAAATTTGTATTCAGAGTACATGTTCCCAGTGCATGTATTCAGCTACTTCCCAACACTGGTCATGGTTAACATTATTGAACACAGAGATTTACAAACAGCTGTGCATTATCATTCTGTCATTTATTTATAATTTACCGTTAGCATAGCAAACATGCACTGGCAGACGTTGAAGGCATGTCTCCAGTTGTGATAAAGAACCATTCTGTAGTTTTTCCGGACTGTCAACAGCCATCTGCAAAGTGTCTAGAGGAGAGCAGAAACACACAAGCACATAGGTCAGCTGTCATCACAAAAAAAGAAAACTATTTTCCCAGGATTTAGCAGCATAGCCTCACCTCATAGTCAATCTTAAACTTCTGCAGCATTCCCAACTCCATAAACATCCGCAAAGCAGCTGTGATCATGGCGTCCACGTCCAATGAGAAATCGTCAAAAGACAATTTATCGATGCCCAGTTCACAGACAAGAGGGATGTTGGCTGCCTGGAGTTTGGAGCAGGGATCACACAAAGAGAAAAAAGATGGAGAGGTTAAAGGATGCAATAATATTTTGTTATAATAGAAATACAGAGATATGCTAATTAAGAGGCCAAACTCAAGACGAATGAACAGACTCTACTCTCACTCTATACATCTGTGGCATCTGGACATATCATAATATTTTTCTATCCTAAAGGCGCTTATGCAACTTTACCAGTGGAGGGTTTGCAAGTCTTCATGGGAATGTTATTAATTCACCTGGAACGTTCTATAGTATGGCATTAAGCTTATCTATCTCCAGGGAGACAAGCAGTTTGCAGGCCAGGTTGCTGCAGATCTGTGTGTTCTTCATAGAAGAATGCATGTTTATCAAATTTATTTTTGAGAAATAAAAACACCCGTAAATGATAAATGTTGTATTTTTGGAACATTATGAGCAAAGATGGTTACAAGCAGGTTCTCCACCAGAAAGTACATCTTTATTGTTTATATGTATTAATATGCACATTTCTAGGTAAGTATGTATTCATGTAAAATCTAGAAATAAAATGTTCCAAAGGTTACCACAGACAAACAGCTCCAAAGTAAGCTGTACTCATTTCTGTCTAGACTCTGCACACCTGACTGGGCGACAGGTGCGTTGGAGGAGAGGCACTTAACTGTTTTTAAAGAAAACTCCTGCACACTGTCTCACTCTTGATTTTTCTTTTAGTGGTACGACATTTCCGTCCCTTAGACCTTCCTCAGTAAGCTGTATCAAGATTTCCAAATGACAAATATTATATTTATATTAGCTACATTTCCTGCTGCCTGCTGGACTGATTGTCAGAACATAAATGTGTAAAAGTTGAAAATCTTTTAAGCCAAATTATCTATATGTTTATGCTTTATTTGCCCCCTCACAATTTCTTGATACATTTCGTTGCCTACATTTATTTGACTGATAAAATCTTACACTACACAAATATGTACTGTTTGAGTAATGTCTAAAATAAAACACTGTTTAATGACTGTTACCATGAAAATATTAGCACTTGCAGCATAAACGCAGCAGAATTATTCCCCATGTCTTACTTTGTCACACAGCTGTCAAAAGAGTGAATTTATCTGATGTTCTTTTTTCTAGATTCTCAGCCCTGGTCTGAAAAAAATGCTGGGGTAATGTGTAAATTAAAACAGTGCTTAATGTGTGACTGCTACCATAAAAATATTAGGACTTGTAGCAAGAACACAGCAGAATTATTCCCCATGTCTTACTTTATCACACAGATGTCAAAAAGTGAATTTGTCTGATGTTCTTTTTTCTAGATTCTTAGCCCTGGTTGAAAAATGTCGGCTGGCTGTGTTTGCCTGTGCCATTTGCTCCTGGTGAAGTCCCAGTCAAGTGTGTGCCGTATGTAGAGCAGTTATGAAAGAGGGAAGTGAGGCAGAGGCTGAGATCACACGCGCACTCTGAGAAGCGGGGTTCCTTCTCTGTGATAATGGCCACAGGGGAAAATCCAACACATGAAAGTGCAGGAAAATAGGTCATATCTATATTTCAGAAATGCCACGCCAATTAAAAATGTAGATATTTTCATTTTCTCATCTTAATAAATAATACACAAGGAACTATTTGCTATTGATTAGGCAAATCTATTTACAAATATCACAATATCCTTTGCGGCAAACAGTTATAGGGTTTTGAACCACCGCAGAGAAAGAGAAATTATGGAGAGAGAACTGGCTGGTCATAAATCATCTTTGGTGACTTAATTTCACGTCAATAGGGACAGTCCAAAATTATGAAAATACTGAAATGGGTTCATATAAATAATTAATAAGTCTACATATAATATAAATATAAATACATTAATGAGTAAATACATGCACCTAAAGGAGATCAATTACATGCTGAAAGCTGCACTGACCTACTTTCATGTTAGGTTTGTGGGATGGAAACATAAGCAACAACGAGTCAACAAGGCCCCATAGATGGCATTTTTACACTTAACCCAAAAAGAGATGAAGGAATATTATGAGCATATCAAATACTCTGCATTACCACCCCCAGGTTTTGGTTTCTGTTGGTACTTGAGAATCATTGAGAGCTTTTTTTTTGATAAAAGTGCAATGTCCAGCTTTACAATGGCTTACAAAAAAGAATGAAAAAACAGTTATGGTTAATCTCAGATAATCAATGTTTTTAAAAAGGAGTCCTCATATTTTACAAAAAAACAATTCTTTAAAGGACCCATATTACACTATTTTCTTATCTATGTTATAATCTGATTTCCTCATCAAAAAACATACCTGGAGTTGTGTTTCTTTACAGTCTGTTCCACCTTGTGATGTCACATGGTAATACACAGAAATGTCCCAGTGTGTTTTTAAACTCCATACACCTTCGCTAAAATCATTTGGATGATTTCAGCCCTGGAATTTATAATCTCCACTGAACTAAAGGTTAAAGGAGCTGTTAACTTGAAAACTACCACTGCATGAGCCTTTTGAGCTTTGGAGATATAGACAAACTAATACTAAAGGATTACTCAAACATGTGTGAATGAAACAAAACACAACTCTGGATATGTTTTATGATGAGGAAACAATATTATAACATGGCCTAAAGCTCACAAGAGTCAATTTTGTGTAATATAGGACCTTTAAAAACTGAATTCATTGACTGTGATATACTATCTCCACTGAACTAAAGGTTAAATGAGCTGTTAACTTGAAAACTACCACTGCATGAGCCTTTTGAGCTTTGGAGATGTAGACAAACTAATACTAAAGGATTACTCAAACATGTGTGAATGAAACAAAACACAACTTTGTGTATGTTTTTGATGAGGTAACAACATTATAACATGGCCCAAAGCTCACAAGAGTCAATTTTGTGCAATATAGATTCTTTAAAAACTGCATTCATTGACTATGACATACTATAAAAACTACAGCCTAAACAAACCCGAGCAGCTGTTACCTTAAATTTGTCAACTTCAGTCTTTGAGCAAGTGGCATGGTAAGACAGCACCTACAAGACAAAAACACACAGAGTTAGCATCAAGGGCAGGTGTGCAGTAAAAAGCACCACATTTCTGATGAGGACGCTGATGGCAACACCAAGCTCCCTTCAAACCGCTGCAGGAGCTGAAGTGTCAAATCTGATTTCATCGGCTTTTTGCCTTTATTTCCTGAGAGAACCCCTCACAGACCTGCACTCACTTATTGGATCATAAACCCTCATGTTTATTCAGCGCTGCCAGGAGCAATGCATCTACTTATTTAATTTTGTGCCTCTACCTTAAATGTTGTAACTCCACTCCCCTTTCTTTCCCATACAGTAGAACTAACTGCTCTAAAAGCGCTCCATTGTAATCTGCGACAATGGCTGACTAGTGCTGAATGGCTATGTACGCAAGCAGAAGAGGGATTGCTTTTCAGCGTCTCTCATTAATTTTCAATAAAACCTTTGTGCAGAGGTTATCTACAAAGAGGGATCAGCACTTTTTTCATTGCTAATTCTGAAAATATGAGACGTAAAGGACAGTGCTGGTTTGATATTGGCTTATTAGGAAAACAATAATATAAGGTAAATATTTCATTGGTTGTGGTTACATGTGCACTCCAAATCTGCTTATTATCAGAAAAGTTCAGACATCAGATAACAGGGCTGCTTTTCACAATGAGCAAAAACTTTTGTCTTTTGAGCTCAGTTTTAACATCATATCATGGGATTTTAACCAGCTAAGAAGTGCAAAGGACACTAGTGAAGGACTGTTGGATTTTGTGAAATTAACTGATTGTTTTTTCTGTATCCATGAAGACCGTGCAAGAAGGAGCTGGCTATGGAGTTCACTGCCACCATATGTGGCAGCAAATGTGGCAGAAGTTCTTCCAGAGGAAACACTTTAAGGGATGAGCTCATTTCATCAGCAACAGAAACACCAGAGGGGGTTAAGGCGTTTCCTGTTGTTTTCACCTGGCTACCCCTGAAGGCCTCTGTGATGCTGCAGGACACAGAGGATCGACACTTTCCACTCCTCAAAATGCCCTGACACAGATCTGCTTACCTGACCATTCCTCATGTTAAACTGCATTGAGACTGAGACATAAAAGCAACTGAGACTTGCAGCGTAAATGTTGCTGCAGCAAAACTTGAATTTCCTGCAGATCAATAAAGTCTCTCTCTCATAATAATCAGATTTTGGTGTGCATGTGAACATAGCCAGTGATGGTCAATAAATAGCTGGTCATTTATTTTTACATATCAGAAAGCAGGGTATATATTGATAAGTTTATGTTCTTACATCCAACGCTACAGACTGTTTGGCCCAGGACTTCTTCACCTGGTCATACATGATGGTGTTGTTGATTCCCAGTCCACAAAAGATGACAAATGCCTGTCACAACAAAAATCACATTAGCAACCGCAACAGATGTGGGTTCCTTTTAATGTGTGTATTTCTGTACATAGTGACAATACAGAACCTCAAAAAGACGTTGATCTGCATCGTCAAAGGGTTTCCCATCCAGTCTGTTAAGTACTTGAGCAACACCTATTACACAAAAGATTAGATTACGACAGACATTTGTAAATACCAACCAGTCCTGCTATCACCAGTATTGTTCCATGTCATGTGGGCAATAAGCATTTTATTCTACTCAAACTCTGACTCTCTCAAACAATAACCATAAATCTGACATAATTCTCTGTTGACCTGCCTCTCTTTGTAGCCAATTAAAAAGTTAAAAGGCTGTAGAAATTGATGTTGTATTTTAATTAATCAGCTATCAGCTATTCTTCCTGGAGACCTATGTTGCATGTTTTTTGGGTTGAAATAATATGAAGGCATGAATAAAGGAATGACATGCAATAATGAAATACTGTCTGACTGAACTCCAGTGTTGAATATTGTTAAAGCTGGATGATCCGATGCAGTATGCTATGTTTCCGTTTTCAAAACATAGAAAATTAAAAACTAGAATAGTTCATTTGCTGAATTTTACAGATTTTTTTCTTGGCCAATGATGCCTCTCCTGTTGCTTTAAAACCACTCCAGCAGCAGTATTAACATAATGTCTTTAGTTATTATTCACAATAGGTCTTGTTTACAATAGGTTTCAGATGAAGCTATCGGTGTAAATAATCCACTCACATCCAGCTCACAGGCGTCTACTTTTAGGTCTAACATGTCTAATTTCATTACAGTAACAACAGTATTTTGCTCTGACGGGTTTCAAAGCACTGCCTCTAGCCTTGGTGGCAATACAAGGATGTTCATTCAACTGCGTGTATCCTTGACGGGAGAATTTCATCTCCTGTTGCTTTGTTTGTATAATGGTTTTTCACTTCAGGTCCTCAGGTGCCACCCACGCACATGGATCTCTCCCCCTCACACGTTCTCTTCCCTGTGCCCCTCCTTTCTCCATAAATTCACTTACACCTACGCAAAAAGGACCCAGGACACGACACATGACACAAGAATACAGCACATACAACGATCTGCTCCACACACACACTGGGCCATCAGCTACTACCATTGGCCCTCTCCTACCACAATATCCAGCACCAAAACCAGGCAAGAAATCAATGATTTATCAGTGTGTCAGAGTGTTTGCCTAGGGCTGAATAACAAAGACAAAGCACACAGTGAGAAAAAGGGAACTCCACTTACAAGTGTGGAGTAGAGTGTAGGAGCTCTATGGAGCTTCTAACATATAGTACACACACTACAGATCTACTAACATACAGTACACACAGTACAGAGCTGCTAACATACAGTACACACACTATGGAGTTACTAATGCATACTCTCTACAGAGTAAGGTTGTGCAAAAATATAAAAAATATTGATATGTCGTGATTCTAAATATGGTGGTATTGTTATCATGAGCTAATGAATCAATACATTTGATGAATAAAATAAATGCATGTCATATTAACTTTGTCATGGTTAAGTCGCGGTTTAATAAATACTGTTGCTAAAATGTATTTGGTTCTTAAAAAACAGCAATATATCACAGAGTATCAAGTGAAATATCATGTATTGCCATATCACAATAATATTGTGTGTATCATGTATTGTATGTGATTCCCAACCCAACTACAGGGCTACTAACATACAGTTCACACACGACAGACACACGGGGAGTCACAGGGAGGTCAGTCACAGCATTGCAGTGATGTGTTGAAAGGTTATTTGCTTACCAATAATCTGATGGTTGCTGTTCCATATAGGAACACAAAGCACAGAGCGGATGTGAAAGTCTGAAAACTGGTCGGCCTAAAAGGAGAGGAGCATTTCAGTAACAGTTAAAGTAGTTTGAGCATCTATTTTGTTCAGGTGAGAAAAAGGCACAAATATTGATTGCATTGATATCAATATTTGATTAGATTTTATTTAGTTTTTTCAAAAACAAAATTTAAATGTCTCTTAGTACTGATTTCACATAAACATAAAACAAATCGGAATTTTCATTTAAAACTTTTTTTTTTTTCTCTTCAAGTCTGAGCTCCAAACTATATACGTTTACTTTTAGAATTGGCTGTAGACCTCTTGATCCAAAAACCCATATCATGACTGATTTACAATCTCTTGTAAATCTTTTAATTTATTACCCAGCCCAAATCAAAAGTGAGAAGATTCTCTGCACTACAGACAATTTTCCATCTGTTGATGTGAATGATGATGTGAAGGGGAGTGAAGATAATTTTAAAATCTAGTTTTACTGTTTACAAAATATATTCACATACCTCTCTGTTATGTAAATGCTACAAGTAATTTTGTACTTTTAGCACGCATTATAAACAGGAAGGATATTTACAGTCAGAGACATAAAAAATATTCACATGGCAAAGTAAATTAAACTGTTTATTTTTATCATTTTCAGACGAGTCTGGAGTTTAATTTTACTACATTTTTTGTATCACTCCCTTCCCCCAGTTGGACACTGTATATAGTATATTTACTAAACTTGACGTATTTAGAGAAATCCCTATTGACAGTCATTAAGCAGTTACCTCGGCATCAAAGCGTGGATCTTGATAGGCATCACTGATGTTTACAGGCAGTCCTGTGGAGGCTACCAGCTCTGCAATGCTGTTGTTAATGAGCCAGTCTGAGTAAGAGGATTTCTCCATGCTGTCTTTGAAACTGTCATGAAAGAATGACACACAAGACAGTCAAATGTTTAAAGTATGTTCAATTTTGTTTAATGGACATTTCATAGCACACAACAGTATGCCTCTCCTGCTCCCTGAACTAGTAATGAACACCTAATTGTGTGATTGTCTCCTTCATTGCCAAACGCCCACACACCTGCAGGGCTACAGCTTCCGAATAGTATATGAGCTAGACTTTAACACTGTTTACTTTAGAATAGATATAGCAAATATATATGTTTGAAATGTCTTGTTTTGTCTTTTGAGAATATAACAGAAACAAGTGCGTTGTTGACTGTTGTAATATCTTTAATCAAATAAAGTGCAAGTGTGGATAAATACTGCACTTTGAAGTGGAAAAAGAACAATATGCCTTTCTAGGCTGATCTCTGCTTTTCTACTGTGTCTCTTGCCGGTCATTTAGCTGCTCTAGACATCTCCACTAGCTCAGCATTATCCTCCCCGTGGGGAAGGTCGGGTTTGTGAGACACATTAGATCCTACACTTTGCTCTTGCCTTTTGACACAAAATTTATTTACTTAATTACACACGTAGATCTACAACAGCGGGGCCTGCTATTCAGATATGAACATTTAGTAGGATTAGCCATGCCACAAATGTAGTTATTTTAAATATATGTGTTACATGAATTAAGCTAAAAGAACTGCATGCATTTTCAAACAGCTGGTCAGAGGCCCTGTGTTTGTCATTGATCAATGACCATGTACAGTAGGATTACAATTTGAGTCATTTAAACTATATCAAGCCTTCACCCAACTGTCCCTTACAGAGGAACACATGATCAAAGTCCAATTCACCATGGCTGTTACAGTACACCTGGTATTTACAATCTACAAGTGAATTCTGCACAGTTCAGCAGAACTTTCATTACCAGTATGCATGTACATCGAGTGTCTGGATCGTTCACTTTGGTCATAACTGGTTCCTCCATTGTGTAATATATACTGTATGATTGTGCCTCAGGAGGAGGGGAGTACATACCTGGTGTCAGTGTCAGCACTACACTTAGGAGACAGCAACTCAAATGACTTTGTGAACTTGACAACCTGAAAGGTTAGGAAACACATCACTATCAAGGAAACTTGTAAATGCACAAATAAACACACACACACACACACATATGTCTATAAGCTCCGAGTACACATTGCACAGAGAGAAAAACAATACCGGTGACTCAATGTCCTCCAGCAGCTGCACTGAGCAGCGCTCGCACTTAAGCAGTGTCTGGGCACGGTGCATGATCTTCCTGACAATCTTCTCCAGGTCAGTCTGCTCCTCAAACAGGTCATTGACGACCTCTAAGAGCGCCTGAACAGCACAATAAAGAGGGCACAGGATTTAATCTCAACATACACTTCAGAGGATATGTGTCATGTGAGTTAGCCCATTATTATTAATGTCATGGCATAAAACAAAACACCTAAAAAGTGCTTATCCCGATATAAAGTGGGCTTTAATCTAAAGAAGCACCCATTAAATTTCAACAAACAGAAGTATATGGCCTAGGCCATGTCTGCATTCACTGATCTGATTTCTCATTATCTTTCCTTCATCACAAATCAAGGTATGACATAATTAGTGGTGCTCTAAACATTCCTCCAAGCATTAGATCACAGCCCATATACCACTGGAACACAGGCCCATCCCCCTCAACAGATGCAGAGAAAATGTCCACACTGGGCCTCATGCAGCTCTGCAGTGGCAGCAAGTGGGCTGAGATCAATACACAGTCACAATGTCAGCACTGGGGTGAGGGGGGTAAGGGAGGGGAGGGGGATGAGGGGCTGGAGGGTGAGGGTATGAGGTGAGGGGGGTGAGGGGTACTGGCCCCAGCATCCTTACCCGACTCCTGTCATATTCCTTTCTGGAGGCAGCGAACAGTTGAGCGTTGGAGATGGCAATCCCACAGAAGGGGAGGTACATCTGCAGCACCTGCAGACAAATAGATATTTGAATCAGATATTTGAAAATGTGAGCTAAATGAAGCGTAATTTCTGGTCAAAGTAAGAGGTTCTAAAAAATAACTTAATAATGACTTGATCTCTGCTTCATTTTGTTGCCTAAAAGCATTAATAGCATCATTACTTCTGTGAACAAATTAACTCAATTTGACTAATATTTTACCATTTTACTATTCTGACTTGCAGTGCCTTAGGCTAAAAATGTAAATTTTGTAATACGCTCATATTCTCACATAAATAATGCAAGCATTCGATGTAGTGTGGTAATGTAGATTGGAAAATCAAATCAACATCTTATTTTGACATTGACTACGTTATTTTTCATAACATTAGAAATAATTGACAATGTAGCACATGAAATCATAAAATGCCAAGAAAAACATTCTAGAGCCAAAATGAAGACCATGAAAGAATCCATAGATTTTAGGGGAACATTTCCTGTTACAAGCCCTTAGTGTAAAGCATCTATCTTTAGCAACTGTCTACTGTGTAAACAACACAATGGGCACAACAGAGCCACTAATATTTACCACCCTCAGTGCAACCAGAGGCCGCTCTGTGTGAATGGGAAGTTAGTCAGCTGCAGTCGCTGATAGAGGAGCACTCTGTCACCTCTGAAATGTCTCCGTTTAGCCATCAATGACCAGAATGAGCACAACACCAGTGCTGCAGCAAACATAACTTATGAGTGTTCTAAAAATTACACATATTTTAGTATGACAGACTAAGGAGCTAACCTCTTGCTCTCAACCATTGATTCATATAATCACATGAATTCTTGACAACTCTAATTGCAAGGTTCGTGATAATTATAGACCTTCAGTGATATACTTGGGAAAGCTACAACTCCTTACCTAATGCATATAGATGTAATTCTCTGTCCTTAAATACACTAGCACTAGGATGTCTTTAAATGCACATGTTCTAGCTGTGATATTCAGAGAAAATTCAGAGGAACAATGCAACACATTGACAACAAGCTGACTTTTTTATCGGTTAACAAACTGCACGTCTCAAAGGTAAGTTTGAAATTAATTATTTGTTCCAAGCAGGTAACATTATGATTAATAATGTTTTTTTTCTTTATTGTTGCAGATTTATTTAACAGTTAATTAAGAAAACACACAATCTCACTGACCATGCATTTATTTCAACATAGATACAACTGGACAGACCAGACAGCCTCTGCAGGGCTGAGCTTTGTGACTGTGACCCCCACAAGCTCCCTGGTCAGTAGCGAAACGTCAGCTTCCAAATTAAGTGGGTTCAGCTGTATCTAGTTTTTATATCGAAATTAACACCAATACCAATACATTATCTTAAAATGTATATAAATTATAATGGTTTTATGTCTGTTATCTAATCTGTGATGAGGTCATATTAATCATACATCAGGAAGGAGCTGTCCTCATCCTGCCTGAGGAAGGTCAGAGTGACTGAAACATCATTGAAGTAAACGCATGAGTGAAACAGTGTGCAGGAGTTTTCCTTCTCTCTACACACCTGTTGCGCAGTGTGTTTAAAGAAAACACAAGAATGAAAACATTATTTTCATATCGATTTGAAATTTGAATTGTCTATAATATTCATAAATCCACAATGTTAAATAGAGGAAAAAATACCCTTTGATATGAATGATGGTTATAATGAATACATGACATTGTCCTATGATTATGCATAATAGTTTAAGTGACTGAAGGACTGACACAGTAAGTTCACAGAGCAAATGCCATTTCAGCTGTCCAAAGGAAATCTCCAGTGAGGCTTTCCCTGAAAGGTAGTGGACATCAATAGCCCCAGTAGGAGCACATTCATTAGCAGGCTGGACTTTGGGGATCTGGCTATGGATCTACGGTGGAGCTAACAGGCAAAGCCCAGAAAAGAGCTGCTCTCTAATTACATTCTGTCAGCAGGCCCATTACACACGGTTGCATTACAAACAGGATGCTTTACCTTTGGACCAGGCTGTATAGACTGTTGTAAATATAAAGGTAAGGGCCTCAGGCACTGTGCCACTTCCTCTCTCATCTGTAAAATGTTAAAGGTGAGATCCAAACACACAAGCACCTACTGTAGCTGGACAGTAACATGTATCCATCCTTCACTCAGGGTGAAGATTGTATTGTATTGTAAACGTCCTGATCTAGTTACTAGTGGAGTTTAAAAACACAGTCAATTAACTTTTTACTAAACTTATTCTATGACCACAAGCCTTTGAACACGGTAAAGAGGACAGGGAGAGTACCCACAGAACCAACTGAATAAAAGAAAATGTAACTTCACTCAACCAAACAACTTTTTACAGTGTACTTGCAAGCATATGTTATACCAGACATTTGTTTTGTTCTAAGGGTCATCAAATATTTATGCAACATATAAGGCTAAACTTACTGTAGAAAGTACGTCACTGCTGGCTACAAACACCTCAGTAAATGCACTACAGTTACTGCAATACCACTCTGACAAACCACTGCTCTCTTAAATAGAGGACTGGAGTGAGTTTCTCACACTAGTCTTGTATTAATGATTCATACTGAACACATGAGAGGGACATGACTGGGAGCACTCAGTAAAATACGACTGAGGCTTCACGGTGTCCAACATCTACATTATTTAAGTCTGATCAATAGTAGCAGCTTCAACATTCTTAGAAAATGCTTTAAAATATATGCCAGTTGTTATTGTTTGAGTTTCATATAACCATTCTGCATGATAAAGTTAACTGAACTGCTGTATTCTAATGATCACCTGGTATTTTTCCTTTAACTCTTGAAACCTCTACCTCCTTTGACTGCAGGAAAAGACAATAGTCAAGTCCAGATATGAACGCACACTGCAGAGACTGCATGATGAACACAGCTTATACAATAGCCATATATTTCTCCTCACAACATAATGAGACAATGCAATTACACATGGGTTGAACCATCATAAGCTTCCCTAAGGACTGTAGGATATCAACACAACATAATTAGGATAGTGTGGGTTTAAAGCCAGTCCTATAATGTGTTTAAAAATCCTATAAGGTTTCAATATGTGAAGGGCAGCAGCTTATTTTAATAAAAGTAATACCTCCAGCTAATAACGTTTACAATAGCAGTGAGCTTTAATGGGATGCTTTTTCTTAAGATCCAGAATGGAGTTCTCTGATGCTAACATTGCCTTTCATTACTAATTCAGCTGCAGCCATCCTGAGCATTAGAGTGATGGTGATGCAAAGTGACGTGCACTGAAATGTGCTCAAACAAAGAAATCATCATCTGAATTTATTATAAACAAATGATAAATTAAAGAAGACATTTGGTGTGGTTCAAATATTGTCATCAGATCAGACGTTTGCTCTTGCAGCCTTTAGGCCATTACATGCATAGGGAATCAACAGAAAGCACTGAAAAATCACTATCAATTTTAAAACTGTGCTATTACACATTACATTATAACAATTTTTATAAAGGTCAAAACATAGCCAGGGTGTTTTAATACATAAGGTGTTCGTATACAAACACACTGTGGAATCATTCAAATAACAAAAGAATAGTTTTATTCTTTCCCCCAATGTGCCAAAAGGAAAATTAATCCACCCACTCCCCAGTTCCACAAATAACATATTTTTTGTGAAATTCACACCAAAAAACAGCTCACAGGTTTCACAAACTGTTTGGTGCCAAAGCACAAAACTTTGAGCTGGTTTTGAATTGACTAAAGAGCTGAAAGACTGAGAGTTGTAAGCCAATAGTGACAGAGTTTGGAGACAAAAACGGTCCTAAGACCAAAATGTGATTTTAGAACATTTCACTTTTTAGAGCAAATGGGACACGTCTATTAACAGTTGAAATGATACACTAAATTGTGGTTATTTTTTAGATGATTATAGTGATTAAAAAAGTGTAGTGGGCCAAATGTACACATATGGCGTCAGTATGTGTAGGCCTGTCACAATAGCAAATTTTGAAGTGTGATATATTGCTGAAGTAAATATAGATGATAAACAATAAACTGAAAATATTTTATGCCACTGATAATATTTTATGCCAATGATCTAAGAGCAGATTTAAACCACAAAAACTATTCTAAATCTACAATATTATTAAAAAGCCTCAAGCTGCAATAAATAAATAGCAGTACGAAACACTGTAGTACTCAGTTTGCATTGTTTTGCATCATAAAAGTTATTAATTCAACCTTTTACGGCTTATCGTATAGCCAAAAAAAGTCCCTATAATGTAAATGTAAAATACCCACAATAAATATTACTCCCAAAAATATATTGTTCCATTTTCATATATTGAACAATAAGTTGATACCATGAAAAACCTATCAATATGATACATTATGGAGTGAACTTTTATGATCATTGCCTTCAGCTTGCTGTGATATGGGCTATTAATACTTCTCTTAAACTCATGAATGGCTATGAATTAATGACTAATGATTGAGCCTTTTGAGACAAAGGCATGATCTTACCTTTTCATCGTCTTCAGTGAAGAGTTCTCCACTTGAGGTCTTGTTGATGGCCTGAGCTACTCCAATAATCTCCCCATCACTGTTTCGAATGGGCATGCACAAAAGTGACTTGGTTTTGTAGCCTGTCAACTTGTCAATTTCATCACTGAATCGACGGTCCTACAAACCCAGGACACAAAAGATAAACACAAGTGTGGATGTTTTATCATAACTCTATATTAGAAATACTAATATGAATTGGGAATAAATAAGGGGAATATTGAGCTGTGAAAGAAGAACTGTGTCTTGCTTGAGATTACTGAAGGGACTGTGTATTATTTCAAACCAAACTAGATACACAAGCGTCATATTTGTGCACGGAGGGCCCAGGCACTGACCTAGATCTGCCACAAAGAATGGGCAACACTTTGTAATAGCAAATATGGTAAATGTGCATACATAGTATAGGGTGAAAGTATTATTCTACAGAAGAATTTTTTAATCGCGCATTTCTTGCACATTTCCATTAATTAAGCATCAACTGTGACAGAAAAAGTGATACTTTGATCCCCTGCGTCTTTCCCTGTGAGTGACTCATGCAAAATGCTCGCACGCTTGCACACAGAAGCAGGCACCTGATAAGCGTCAGGAATGTTCACTGTCTCTCCGTGTTCAGCCACATAGCCAATGATGCCTTTTCCCCAGGGCACTTGAACTTCATCAGAATTCATTGAGGGCAGAACTGTGGTACCCGCGTGCACATCAAAGAATTTAGACACTAATGTCTTTTTATTTCCTGTGCCTTCCACTAAAAACAAGGAGCACCGGTCTGCGTCGACCATAATACAAACAAACACGAGGATTTTATAGCTCAGGCTTGTTAAATCCAGATCATTTGAAATGTCTTTGACCAGTTCTAAGAAAAACTCTCTTTCGTTGTGCTCTTTGAGGTAATATTTAAAATCCACAGCGGTGGATGGGTACTGTGGGATGTTAACTCTGGACTCAAGCAGAGCGCTCAGGATGTGCGCAGTGGTCGGGGGTAGAGAGCTCGCTTTTCTCAGCAGCGCTCTCCTCCTCATGCTAGTCAGCGGCTCTTGTGCCCTAGAATTCACATATTCGTCATACGTTCTGTTGACATTAATCGCCTTTGACCTCGCAAAAGTTTTTCGGAGCTCTTTCTGTGAGGCTCTCCTCTGCAGCCCATCACATTTACTCGCCCAGCTGTCCTTGCACACGGAGCTCTTCTCCTCCCGAGGCTCGCTCGGAGCCGCTGCCGCTGGATTACTTTTGCTCGCCTGGTGATTCTTGAGCCATTTCTCCACCATGCCATAATTCCCCTTTCGATTCAAATAGTCCTCGAATAAGTCAGGGTGCGAGTCCAAAAAAGTTTCAACGTCAGAGAAGAGCATTTTTGACACTGCCATGGCTCTTCTTCACAGGGTCCTCAGTGCACCAAACCCATGAAGTTGAGCGAAGAAATATCATTTATGTTCCTTAACTGATGCATAAGTAAGGTTTCATTGTAAAACCCCAACTTTCAGGCTCTTTTGTGTCGGGGATCCCTTTGAGGCTCTCCATACATTTCCAAAGTCCACTCAGGAGCGCAAAGGCTTCCTTTGCGCGCACTTCCATCCTTCAGCACATTCGGGGAGTCTAAATGAAACCAGAGCAGAAAAGGCTGCACTGGCACTACACCTTTGAATTGCAGCTGACCGTCACAGCAGGCTTTGGGAATCACATAGACTCCAGCGCTCTCCAATGTTGTGAAGACTTTTAGTGCGCAGTGACGCTGGTTGTGGTTGGCTCGGTCCCGCTGACGCGCTTCGTCACGCACAGGAACTCAGTTGTTTTAATGATCATGGATTTCTGACTTGATTTACCTTATTTTCATTTTCCAGAGAGCTTCAAAATGTAATTATACAGTACATGCACTGTTGATTTCTAGCCTATAAAATAAATAGGCCTATCACTTCAGCCTACCATGTCTGCCTCGGCCAAATAGTCTACGCTAGACAAATTCGTCCAGAATGAGCTAAAAATTATTTTTACAGGAAACCCAAGTAATAGCCAATATAGTTCTGCATTAGTTAATTTCCTTATGGAAATCACAGTAAAGATAGTGTGATGCAGTAAAACGATGTACGCACAAGATGGCGCTACAAGATGCATTTTCGAACCCCACAACAGATGAGTCTAATTCAGTACAGTTGACTTGGTTGTAGTCAAAAACATAACCATTTAATTTTTGCCAAAAATCATTAGTCTCCCAAAAGTCAGATATTTTAAACTGACACCCTTTCAAGACACGCAAAAATAAAAAAAAAAAAGTTTTAAAAACAACAATCATGCATTGTTAGATCAACAGCAAAAGTAAATGCTAGGTCCATTTAGTGTAATTTTTAATAAATTTAATTCATTATATGATACAGTTGCCCTGTGGTGGACTAAAGGGCACAGTTAGAAAACATTTAAAATAGATTCATAACATCAAAGAAACATGTAGTAAATACTACTGCTATATCTAGGTTTCTACAAGATCACAGCTCTTAAAACCATTATGACAGCCAACCTTCCTACATAATATTCTGTTGAAGAATTTCAATAACTTATTTAGAAAAATAGTTAAGGCAGAAAAAAAAAGTAAGTTTTGAATTTGGAGGTAGAGCTGTGATACATGCAGCGAGTCGAGATGCCAAAAAACACTGTGGTTGTCATATTTGCAGGATTTTGATATTAACGATACAGATAAAATAACATGCGAACAGAGTTCTTTATGAAGTTGCAGACTTCAGGTATGCTATAAGATCAACTCTTTCATTCTTCTTTTTGATGCCAGCAAAGATCATCTTAGTTCCAGGAATGTACTTCTTTGGGTTTTCTAAATACACATTTAGGGTGTCCTCATCCCAAACAATACCTGAAATGAAAGAAATCAAGATGTAAATGTCATATTATACAGAAGGACAACATGTATGACTGTGGATTCAAAGTCCTTACCTTTGCTTTTGTTGGCGTCTGTGTAGGAATAGCCCTCTGCCTGGCCTGTTTTACGTCCAAACAACCCCCAAAGGTTTGGACCGACCTTATGCTTCCCGTTCTCCTCAACAGTATGGCACTGGGCACACTTCTGAACGAAGGCCTTTTTTCCTTTATTAATATCTCCAGGCATGTTCTAGGTGTTAATAAAATGAAAAAATGAATTATTTGAACTCGAGTTAAAGCCTAAATCAAAAGCAAAAGCATCTCATGCTAAGCTAATGCTAACCAAGAGGTGAAGTTATTCTATAGAGCGTATATTCTGAACTATTTTTTAACAAGTTCTATTAAAATTACTTTACGTAAACCATTTAAATAATAGCAGGTTACATAGTAAATGCCAAATTTAGGAGTATAATTGGAAGTTAAGTCCTTGTTGGACATTTCAAAATTAGAGGTCACAACACACAATGAAACTGATTGAGATTTGTGGCATTTAAGTTGACTGTGCTGAGTTGGAAGGGAAATTACTTTGAAACCTTCGGTGAAACAAATCAAAAGTGATATTTGAAGAGTGACTTACCGGTCAAATAATCACAGTTAAGCTTTAAAAAGAGACTTGTCTTGTCCTCGTGCCGGGTAGACGACTCCAGTAAAAGAGCGCAGGCGCACACCAACGTGGTTTCTTTCCGCAAAGTTACGTCAGTCATTACGTCGATAAGTCAGCTGACTCTTTCATCACGTTCGATTACGACACTCAAGTTAGAAAAGTCATCTAGTGTCAAGGATACACGGGATACACGGATAAAAGTTCAAATAAAACTAGTAGTTAGTGAGCGACAAAGTTTAAACTAGTATTACCAAAAGTCTTATCTTTAATTTTCTTACAAAGACTGTAATAAAGTGACAACAGGCAGTTTTAAAAGCTTTTGATCACCCAAATTGAGTTTAGCCTAAATGAACAAATCAGTTTTGTAAAATCTAAAAAAGGGAAAGAGAAAGAAATGTCTGAATTCATCCTCATGTGGGATGATTTCATTAACCCATCCTTCCTTCTGTTCCCTGAATGGTGATTTATTTTCTTGCTTTATGCTTTAGATATACAAGGCAAGAGGTATAAAAGGCTTATTAAAATGTTGTGAATTTTAGGCCTATGTGACCCTGATTTGACTGAAAATAAGTGGGCTAACTAGCTTTCTCTTTTACATGTCCAAGAGTTTATTAACAAATGAAGAAAAAATCTAGGGGGTTTTCTTAAATATACATATGTACAACTTAAATTTTGCCGCAGAATGTAGATGGAGTTTATTTCTATCCACTATGTGTTTACTGTCTGTCCTGGGCAACACATTTTTGCTACCAAACTACATCGGTAAGGTAAGCTAATTGCACATGTTTTCTTGTCTGGGGTTATTGCTTGCTAACTGCTAAAGTAAGGTCATAATGAACGATGAGAGATAAAGCTTTAATTCAGCTTGTGAAATGCTGTTTAATGCTGTGTTTAACTAAACCATAGAGACAATTTACCTTACCTCTAGTTGCCCATATAAATCCATAATTTGCCCCCAGAGGAGTCTCATTGACATGCGTCACTCCGTTCCACTTTAGGGTTGCTCCGGTGCCGTATTTTCCGCGCATTCTCGATCCGCTCTCTGTGATCCAGACCGGTGATTCGTTCCCGCTCAAAGCCTGTGCCGCCGCCGCCGCCGCCGCTGCTGCTGCTGCAGGGAGGAGCGAGCGCCGAGTGCAGTTCACCTGAGCCGAGCATCACCACAGCCCGCATTCAAGGAAACGGGCTAACACAGCACTTTCCACTGCCGTGACTCTCGGTTACTGCGAGCAAGTCAAGGTGTAAAGCAGAGTTTTGCTGTGGACGTTTATGGAAGCCATCGGTGTTTGAAAAGCTCGGAGTCTGCCCAGTCAAGGGGACGGCTCAATTGTTTCCTGCGCCAAGAACACTTAAGACATGGTCATTACATCGTATTTGTGGTAAGGAAATCATATTTTCCTGTTTAGACCTTTCATGAGCCATTAATATTTTATGGATAATTAAGGAGATTAAGAAGCATTTCGTGACAGTGCTGTGCAATGTGCCGGGCTGTTTGGCCGCTGTTCAGAGGCAGCATCTCCGTGTGCATCCTGAGTGAATCACCAAGGACCAGTCAGTCAGACACGACTCTTGACTCTTAGCAAGCTGCTAAAGGTCCTCTACGGAACCTTCATGGAGACAGCGTCCCCCAAATGTTCAAGAGGGTCTGTCAGTGGTGATCATTGATCAGCCAACTCTTCCTGGCTCTTATCGTTAGTGTAGCATAGCTTACAGTAGACGTAATGCGTCACAGAGACTTTCACTGATGAACTAATCTATATTTGTACATTTTAATGTTGGCTAAGCCTCTATAAGATATCGATGTATACGTATTTATGGCGTAAGGTATGTTTCCAGACAGCCTGTTTATCTGCTTTGATACTGACCTACCATCCATGTTATAGCTCTGTCATTACAGGAATAGAAACTCTTTTTAAAGTAAACTTGTATTGCTGTTGTCTTCTTCAACCATAAATAAAAACTGGTTTCATGAAGGTCAAACAGTGACTTTGCAGATGCTTGACTAACTTGAAATCAGATTAAATGTACATGGGAATGGCTTCTTGAAAACACTGCGTTCATTAGCAGGCATGATTGATTTTCCCATTTATTTCTTGGCCCAGTCCCGTTCAAGGTGTTCCTATCTCATTTCTTTGACCAATGTTTTCACCCTTGATTTTGTGAAAGAACAGTGACGTGGTAAATATAATTGCATATGAGTTGATTTATTTTTAGCATAGCTTGTTCAGAATCAAAACAACAGTGTAATCCTTTGCACAATGCTATACACGATGTGACTTCATGTAGTCTGACACATGACACCTACCTCCAGTTAACAGTCAAAACATTGTTGTACAGATCAATGTGCATTATTAGCCTTGTAAATTAAGACAACTGTCATCCTTAACTGCTTCGTAATACTACCTTAGGACATGAGTCTGCTTTATCTACGTTAATTATGCAACATAGAGGGGGACATTAGCCAGCCTGTACAGTGAGCGCGGGTCGATAAGGTCAAGTTGTGGGTGGCTTGGATCATGGCAGGACTGTGTAAACATTTCCTTCTACTTTAAGAATTTTTCAGGAGATTAAAGATTTTCTGATTGATATTATAATGTTGTTTCCTCATCAAAAATATACCTGGAGTTGTGTTTTCTTTCAGTCACACATGTTTAACACACAAATGCTGCATATTTAGACTGTGTTCTTCTCTTAAACTGAAAACACTCTGTTCAACCTTGTGATGTCATGTGGTAAAATAAGTGCTCCATTGTGTTTTTAAACTCCATACACCTTCACTAAAATCATTTGGATAAGTTCAAACCTGGAATCAGCAATCTCTAATAAACAAAAGATAAAAGGTAGTTGTTAATATGACATAACATCACAAGGTGGTACAGAGCATTTTGAGCTTTGGAGATGCAGACAGACTAATACTCAAACATGTGTGAATTAAACAAAACACAACTCCAGGAGTGTTTTTGATTTGGCAGCAGCGTGGCTTGAAGCTCACAAGAGTCAACTTTGTGTAATATGTAACACATCCTACAATATAAAAGTTGTAGTTTGAGGATGTGAAGCCGTTTCACTTCTTAGGATACTAAACCTCATGTCTGTTTTCTTCTGTATTTTACAGATTACGAGCATACTGCTGTGAGCTACTGCAGTTAGATTATCTTTTTATTTGTCATAGGCTTTTGACCCTTACTGAGACCTCTACCAGCTACCATTTTCCCTTTATTTTACTGCAATGATAAATAATGTTATGTGCATGTAATTGCTGTTTACATTTCAAGATGGGAAGATTGCAGTTCATCTTGCAGCTATGTCCTTGAGCCATACATGATGTAAGATCACAAACAGTATAGTCAAACAGGAAGTATAGCAAAAGTTAAGGCAAAGACCCCTGCATTTAAAATAGTTATAAGGATCAGTCACTAGTCAATGATATGGCAAAGAATGTATACAGAGTTTTTCTCTCATTCATCAATCACATCATTGAATAAATTGGTTAATGAACAAGACAAGACATAACATGACTTATATGCTTAAAAGGCCCATATAACGCTATTTTCTGATGAATGTTATAATGTTGTTTCCTTATCATAAACATACCTTTAGCTATGTTTTGTTTCCTGTTACAAGTGCTCCACTGTGTTTTTAAATTCCATACACCTTCACTAGAATCATTTAAGCCCTGAAATTGCCAATGTCTACTGAACAAAAGGTAAAAGGAGTTGTTAAAACTATGGCTTCCTGACATCACAAGGTAGAACAGAGCATTTTGAGCTTTGGAGTTGTAGACAAAATAGACTAATAAACCAGGATTACTCAAAGGTGTGAATGAAACAAAACACAACTCTGGGTATGTTTTTGATGCGGTAATAACAGTCTAATTTGTGTAATATAGGACCTTTAAACAACAAATAAGTGCTTTTATGCTTGTTTAACACAAAAATCACATAAAGTCTCTCATTTATATCAGAAAGACATTCAAGAATTTAAAAGGGCAAACTCAAAGTCAAAGGGTTTATACAAAGTACATTAGAAAAGACAGCACTTTTTTCACTTATATAGACTGTGATGACACTTGTTTCCTTATTAGGTCAAGCAGTGAGTAGTCTAATATTGTGCTTCGGGTTTAGCAGCTTATATCCAGGTTGGCTTAAGACAGGCCAGGCATGATGATGACGAGAGGATCTGAATTATAGATTATGCAGTGAGTATGCTCAGTGCGCGCTCCCTAACCGCACAGAGGAAAACATCTCAAACACGTGTTGGTTTGCTCTCTGCACGGTGAGAGAGTGAGCGGGGGGTTCATAGTTATAAAGGGAATTCTCATCAAGACTCTTACCACAAAGATTGTAAAATAGTACGAACAAAAAGCAGCATTGATTTTAGGCCTGTCATTATAACAAATTTTGAAAGGTGGTATATTGCTGAAGAAAATATAGATAAATGATAATTCTGAAAGAAATGTGTTCAACTGACATAAAAAACGAGCAGATTTAAACCACAAAAACTGTTTTAAATGTACAATATTTTGGTAAAATCATGAGCTGCTATAAATACAGTAGAATGAAACGCTTTAGTGCTTAAGTTGCATCTGTTATGAGTCATACTAGCTATTTATTCAACCTTTTACTGCTCAAATCTTATAATATAGCCAAAAAATAACCAAAAATGTTCCCACTAATGCAAATAAATCAAACACACAATACATACTGACCCCCATAAAATATTGTTCCACTTTTCATACTGTACTGAACGATAACCCAATATAGTAATTATCGTGACAGGCCTAACTGAGTCATGTTCTTTTTCAAAGTTCATTTGTTAAGACTCTCAAACAGATCATTTATTTCAGATGTTGTGTGGGAAAAAAAAAAAAGTTATATAGCAACAAATAAATCCTTACTTACACAAAAAAAAAAAAATTAAAACTTTCAGATTTTGATACTGAGGAAAAGACTTTCTACTTGATACCGTTTTGATATCACAGTGATGATCAAACTATTTTTAGACAGAGAATAGGGCTGTCAAAAGTACTGAAAATCAAATACCAATCAACTAATAATAAAATTCTTCATTAGTATCAAAACTAGCTACTAATTTGAGCAGGTATCGATACTAAAAAAGTCACATTCACAGGACAGAAATTAACCTTTTCTAGAATAATTTTGAGTTGTATCAGAACAAGTATAAGAGCACATAGATAGTATATGCCTATAGACCACTATGGAGCTTGTCTGGATGACTGAAGGATTACACAGATAAGGTCGTATGGTAATATAAAAATAAAGCATTATTAGACAACACTACCATGTAATTTTCAAAACAATATATTAGAACTTCCTCTAAGGTTACTATGTAGTCTTATATTAACTTACCTATCTAATGTTGTCAATTTCATGTGATTTTTTTTTATTATTGCATTTGATACTTTAGGTTTTGGCATTGATTAGTACTGTTGACAACCCTATGACAATTACCTATTGTCAGATTTTGTAGTGTCTGCATTACTGTCTATAAACAGCTTTAGCTTTAATGCTGTGGGGGAGGTTTGTCCTTCTAGCCTTGTTTATGTTCCACTGCAGCATAAAACTGTTCTCGTATAGGACATATATTCAGCCCATAAATATGTTGTTTACAGTTGAAATCTTTAACAATTTTAGTGTAATAACATTATAGTAGATAGTATACATTTGCTAAGTAACTGAATCTGAATTATGATTGCTGGTCTGTGTTGCCAAATGGAAACTTGCAAAGCTCTCTTGAATTGACTAAATAATGACCAGCATTCACTGAGCTGTAATTTGGTTGCATGAGAATGCCACACAACATTACACTTTTATTGCCAGCTGCCATTTGTTTTAATTACATCAGATGTAACCGCGGTAACTCTGGCCAGTGTTTTAATCAGAGTTGTGGAAGTCTGTTGACTTTGCTGATAAGTAATCAGGAGTGGTTCTTGTAAATATAATTAACGTGTCCATCAGTAATAGTAAGTGTGATAAGAAAATATCTAAAAGGCAAAGCTGCAGGCTCCAGTGTGAATCTGTGAGGGGATTTGACTGAGGGCATTCCTGAAAGACTGTGAGACAGACTTTTCTCTGGATAATAACAAGTGAATGCTGTTTGATCAGTGACAATGTGCAGAGTAATAAAGTGAGGAGTGGAGCGCTGGACTGTACAGGTGCTGAGGAGCATGCCTTTTCACAGACACTGATTTGTTTGCTGTTCCTGTTAGAACCGCTGGATTATATTGCATTGATTTGAGGCGGAAAATCGCTGAAACATCCTGAGAAAGAAATAGCTACTATGTGATGCAGGTCCAGTACAGTTCCTAGCGACCAACATTACTTTGTACGTTGATGTTCTGTATAATTGTTCAAAACACACTTTTCATAGTGTACTGCCTCGACTTGTTTTCTGCGATAATAATTGGTTGCTGCAAATGTACATTATATTTTTGTCAACACAATCACAAAGAGCTGCCTGCATCCCACTATTGTCACAGGATTCCACAGCTTTACATTTTACGCTGTTCAAAACAATTGGCTATTCAGAGCTTACACAGAGCTCCACATTTAAGCATGGTTCAGTCTGAAAAACAGTTTGCCAGAGCATTTTGATCAACAGAAACTAGCATTCAGGTGTTCTTATATTTGTTCTTCTATTTGTCCATGTGACAATGTATTCCTCTCAAAAATTCCACAATATCACTTTAAAACTATCCATCTTGCATTCATTCTATTAATGTTGTTTTTATTGCTCAAAAACATCTTGATATTCATGCATTCTAACTTTGAGTGGGGTCCCCTCTTCATAGATCTGGCCTGTAAGTTAACTTGGAGGTGTCACATGCTTGTTTTTATGGATAAAGCTAAGTCTAATACCATACTGTGGCACCTTCCATGCAAAGCAATAACACCTCCATGAATATGAGTAGTGAGCGGACCTTTCATCAGAAAAGTTACACAATGTACCTTTAAAGTGTTAGTATAAAGCTTTGGTTGGACTCTTTAGGCAGCAGGTCGGCCAAAACTGTGCTGGAGATTTAGGCTAATAGTTACGTCCGTCTTTCTCAAATTCTAAATGGTAAAGAACTGAGATATATTGATATCCAAATACCTCAATACCATATTTTCACGATATGCATGTCATGATATTTTGTAGAGGCTCACTAAATTGTGAATATGTTACTTTTTCCTTTTAAAATCCCTTCCCAGTCCTTTGGGTCTGTCATAACCTAAAGAACTAAGATTTAAAAGGTTTTAATAACATAATTTCTTCATGCTGTCTGTGTAGAAATGGAACAAAGGATCATGGTCTATGTAGTTCCCCCTGCTTTTTTAGTTGATGCTGCACCATATCAATGAATTTAAGCAGAGAGACTTGTGATTCGATATTTTTGACAATACAATATCACTATATTTCGATTATTGTTGCATCCCTGTTCAAGAATTGTAAGCAGTAACTGTTGTTTGTGTTTTAGATGAGGAGCGAGCAGTGACCAGAAGGAAGTATACTGCCCCAGAGGATGCTCCTGATGCGGGCTGAGCGCTGAGGGACCACAGACCCCCCTTTCCCCTTCACCAAAACCCACCATGTCCCAGTACCAGCAGTGCCAGCCCCCCCCAACGCGCCTGCCCCACGGCCGCGCATTCAGCTCTGAGGACAGGGGCTCCACTCCTCTGAAGACCTCAACCCCCGTGCACAAGAGCGCCTCGTCCTCCTCCTCCTCCCAGAGGGACAGTCGGCAGGTACGTCTATAAAGTTACATGCGCCAGACAGATGCACTTTGAATGGCTGTAACAATAGAGCAGCAGCAATCGAGACTAAAGATGATGTTATCCTGATGTCTGTCAAAGCTGTTCTGTGTCAATCTTTGCTACAGGTAAAGCCAAGATTTAATTTAATTTACGAATGCCAGAATTAATCATCTTCAATTTGTAAACATTGGCCACATACAAAATTTAACCAATTTGATCAATGCATATACTAAAACTAAACTACTATTAACTAAACTAAACATATGTGAGTGTCAGTGCCTTAATTTACTTTGTTCTAATAACACTGAACCAATAAGGTCTATTTATATAATTACAATTAGGGATGGGCAATATACCACTATATCAGTTCCAATATTGGCATCTGTGATATCGGAAAGGTTTCCCAGCCATATCAGTATTGATCCAGTATAGAAAATTTTGACAATATTTGGCACTGATATTTTTTTTTAGCTGCCCCAGTCTCATTGTGCCCATGTGTCATACTCCCCAGTGCGTCCCTAGTGTGTCTTAATAGGTAATAATTAAAATGGAAATATCAATCAATTAGGAAAATATCTGGCTGTATGTTTACATAATAATACAACAAATGATTTTATATTCCCGATAAGCCATTCTCCTGTAAATGAGACTCAGACCACTTGCCTAGGGCCTGACTCAGCACTTTTCCACATACAAATATCATTACTAGTTAGAAAAAAAATCATTAATAAAATGCCCTCGAGCTCCTCCACGGTTGAGATGACTAATCAGCTATCCTTGTGCAGACCTCACTGTGTATTATTATGTAAATGAGATACTTTCGTAGCCAGCTACACCACTCTTATTTCACAGTTCACGGGTCAAGCACTTAAATTTAACCCAATCCAGACCGTGTGAGCCTCCCCCTTCTCTTTTCTCCTCCTTACCCCGCTGAGCCACTGCGTCACCATAGCTGCGGAAACTGGACACCAGTACTGGAATCTCTGACATCATAGCTTTTCCGTTGGACGCGCTTCGTTAATATTTCATGAGCGATGCTTGGAGACTCTGGGCTCCGCTGGACATGTGGCACTCTCTGGAAGGCGCCAAAGGAGACAGACACTGGACTGGCAACTCTGAGACCAAGTTAAATATTCGACTTGAGCAAAATCTTGTTATATGTACTGAAATGTACATATTGCTTCATTATTTTTAAAGGTACAATATTACCATAGACTGTATAAAGAAGTGGACTAAGCGAGTGTGACTTCAACCATAGCATTCAGCGCCGCTCATGATGCTAACGGTTATAGGAGCGAATCTGGAGCCAGGCTGTACGTTATGAGTAGGATTTTTTTGATGGACAAAATAGTGAAAAACAATTCAGGATCATGTAGAGCGGGTTAATACGAACATTTTAACACCAAAATGACAAGGCTCACTGCTGCAGTTACAGGGAGAGGGGTGACAAGATCTCAATGTAAGGCAATTGGAGCCAGGGTCAGAAGGAGCCGGAAGAGCCTCCTGAAACACTTTCTGTTTGGCACACGGCAGCTACAGCGTTAGGTATGTCCACTCATATATACTCTACAGTCTATGAATATTACACAATATTGACTCTTTTGAGCTTTTAGCCATGTTATAATCTTGTTACTTCATCATAAATATACAGGGTTGTGTTTTGTTTCATTCACACATGTTTTAGAAATCCTTTATTATCAGTCTTTCTATATCGCCAAAGCTCAAAATGCTCTGTTCCACCTTTTGATGTCATGAAGTGGTAGCTTTCAAGGTAACAGCTACCTTTAACCATTAGTTCAGTAGAGATCAACAATTCTAGGCCTGAAATCATCCAAATTATTCTAGTGAAGGTTTAAGGAGTTTAAAAACACAGTGGAGCACTTGTATTACCACATGATATCACAAGGTAGAACAGAATATTTTCCATTTTAGAGAAGAACTCAGCCTAAATATGTAGGGTTTGTGTGTTAAACTTGTGTGAATGAAACAAAACACAACTCCAGGTATGTTTTTGATGGGGAAACAACATTATAACATACATCAGAAAATAGTGTAATATACTGTAGCCCCTTGTCAGTGTTCCATCCTGTAGGACTCTGGTGTGTAATCCCTTTTCATCTCTTTTTAATGAAGTCCTGGGCTAACCAAAGCTGTTTAGATATTAACAGCCCCAGCTTCTCCTTGCAGCTTCCATTTAGCTCCACACACCTGCCTGATCAGGAGCTAAAGATAAGTCGCTATGGTTTGGGACTCATTAACATTTAATTGGGATTTAACTCTTAGTGGATGCAGCTGCTCATAGTCATGACGAAGCAAAATGGTCAAGCTGTGAAAAATCCATATTCAGGGTAACAGTGGACTCTTTTCGGAGTGAAAAAAGTGCAAATGTATGAAGCATTGACTGTATATATAAATGGAGATAGCTAACCCTCTAGAGGACGCATTTCAAATGGGAAGTGAGCATGGGAGTACTTTTGGCTCCATCGACTCTGTGTCCAATTGACTTAACACTGAAAATTTTTACTCCTCTCTCTGTAACTACTACAGTGAGCCTTGTCATTTTGGTCTTAAAATGTTTATATTAACTGAATTAACAGCTTTTTATGATCCTGGTATTTTTATTTTGCTATTTTGTATGTAAATAAATTTGTATTCCATATGGAACCCGGCTCCAAATTTGCTTCTGTAACCGCAGGCCTTATGAGCTTGATTTGACTGGGGATGGACGCCAGGGGAGACGTCACACTTCGTTGGTCTACTACTTCTTTATACTATCTATGGTGTGAAGTTAGTAACAGGGTAGCTAGTTCTTTAGTTTCAGAGAAACTAATGCCCAGTATAAGACTTGAGAACTTAGAACTCTAAATTATGTTCATTATATACTTTATTTTGGTTAAACCTGTTCAGTTTAAGATGCTAAATTTGAGCCTAGGTAAATACGTTTGCTCTTTTGCAAGAATGATCAAATAGGTTTGTGCTTGTTGGAAAAAAGCAACAGGCCCAAATTTCCTGGTCAATACATGAGACTTTCCGCTGAGCTGCTGACAGCTGCTGCTCTCTCCTGAGAGCAATTAGAGGCAGCACATGCAGAATGCAGAGCACCACAGATACTGTTGCCTGGTCCACACTTTACTTTGTGCATTAGCTCTGGCAACAAACCTGTACTTGCACACAGATTTCATGAACATGTCTGACACACGTCAGTCTTTTGCTGATTGTGGTGTGGTCTGTATAATATTGTACAGTGTATCATATGATAATACTGTCATTTACAATGAAGTTCAGGCACAACAGCAGCATTCAAAAATGTGAATATTGAACCTTCAAGGGTGTTCAGATGCATCAGTGTGCCTATAATACAATGGATGATGAATTTATCACACTTGTATTCCACTTTTGAAAATTGAAGAACCCATTTCTTTAACCAGTATGCTCCAACCATTATTTATTATTTATTTCAATACAGTATAAAGTATTATGATGACACTATATTATTATTATTATATTAAGTAACTGAAGACACATACTAAGTGCTGGAGCTGGTGTAGTCTCTTCTTAGTGCGTGTACAGTGTCTCTGCCCTGGTGTTGTGCCATCATACTGGTCAGGTGACCTGTATTTGGATAGGTGTTTGTACTATCGTGTGTTGTGCTGAGTCAGTGGTGACCTGTCCCCACACAAGCTCACAGAGCGGAGGTGGAGGAGTTAGATTAGAGACACTGCTCCTCTCTCAGGGTGTTAACTCCTCATCCATGTATCACGCCTCCTCCTCCTCTCTGCTTAACTGCTGAGCCAGCCTCACACTGCAGTCAAATTCATCCTCTTTCCTCTGTGTCTTTGAGCTGCTACAGCCTAATTGTACAGGCACACTGAGGAACAAGCCCTTCACGCAATGGTTCAAAACTAAATATAACAATATTGTGTAAAAGCCCTAAACTGGTAAGAGTTGTACTTCGTGCCTCAAATATCTTCACCTGCATTTGCATAATTACATGCTAAGTATACCACGCTAATTATGCTGTCATTACTTAATAAGCATTTTCTGCACTCTGTATCAACAAATACGCAGTAAATTAAGACAAAAATAGTATACATTTTTATCAGTAACTTTTATTGCCAATATGTTTATTTCCCCTATTGATTAATTACAGTTTAGAGGATGCTTTTATTCTAATCATCATTTTGCTGGTCCACACAACCATTGATATGTACAGTACACACTCTGTAGTATTTATTGAGTGTGACACTCATTAACTGTGTGATCAATAGGCTGTGCAGTGCTGAGTTCATGCAGTGAAATGTCCTAATTCTCCATCTGTAGGCCTCTCATGGACTATAATGAATTAAACAAACCAGGCACTGCACAAAAGATATTTATAGTGATGATTTAGCCTAAGTCTCCCCTAAGGACATGTGTCCTCCATTCACTGTAGCATTAACAGGTGTGTCACACTGAGTGGCACTGGGAGGAGCTGATGTTCGATGTTTTAATGTGTTCAGTTCTTCTCGCTCTGTATGGTTTTGTAGTAAACAGGTTTATAAAGAAAAACATGCAGTGTACTTCAGGATGACGTAAATACAGTGGAGAAAAATCTCTGAGATCATGTTCACTTTGAAATCCCTCTGTGTTTCGAATCATAGAGCCTCTGCCATCAGCTCAAATGGAGCTGTGGGTTTGTGTAATAACCAATGTATTGATCTGTGGTGAGAGACAGACTTCTTAGAGCCTCTTTTCCAAACCACAATATTTGTGGAATGGAGCATGTGATTTAGTGAAATATTGATCAGTCTAAGTATGCAGCAGTTGTATATTTGTATATTTGCTGTTAATAAATAAATAAAAGTCAGTAGTTCTCAAACAGCATGGCCTCTTTGGGTGCATTCACAGATGGCAGACTTGGTTTGGTCTTGATCTAGTCCAGGGCTAGTTCCTAAATTAGTCATAGTTTAGTCACAATTTTGATAAAGTCTGTGAAGTCTGTGTGAAGTGTGAACGTACCATCAAGTACCATCATGACTACACCTCAAGACTATAATATGCTTGTTGATGTGGTGATTGTGGTGTGTGATTTGCTTAAATTTAAGTTCTGCATATACATGAAGCATCTGACAGGAGAAGTGTAATCTGTGAAGAAGAAACATGACCTCATTACAGAAGTGATGTGCCCCGCTCTCCTCTGCCCTCACATTAAACAAGCTGCTTTTTTAAAATAAATGTCCCTCAAAGCAAGGTGTGACCTCAAGTGTGTGTGGAACCATAGACTGTATATATAAATGGACATAGCTAACCCGCTAGCTGCTGCAGACCAAATAAGAAGTATTCATGGGGGCGCTTCTGGCTCCATCAACTCTGACTCCAATTGACTTTGAAAAAATTGTCAAAAAACAGATATGTGGAGAGGCGACCCCACTCACAGTAAGAATGAATGTTTTTGAGCAATAAATAACACCTGTAGTTGAATAAGTACAAGACAGATTAGTTTAATGCCATGCTATTAGTATTAGTATTTCAGATGGAAAAGCTTTGTGGGTATCACTGGCTCCTACATTCAGCTGAAGACACACCAGAAATGTGAGCTTGGAAAACACGACTCAATACAGTCTCCTGTCAGGGCAGTACAGTGAGAAGGGCATATTGCTCTAGTCACAATGATTCCACCGTTGCCAATTCTTCGCTCCTGGTGAAACCGGGTGCAATCTCATACCTGTTCTGTCCTAACCCTTCGCTCCTTTGCCTCCTGAAGCATCACTTTGATACACAGAGCCTGTAGCGCGAAGGACAGCGTGGTCAGGGGAAGCTAATGGCGTGGAAATGCTGAGAGGGCAGAAGAAACCTGAATACAGTAGTAGTTTTAGTATGTTTTGTTTAAGTAAAAGACTAATCTTACCTAAATATATAGTGTCTTTTTAGTGTATCAGTTTTCGGCCTTAAACCTCCAGCATAGGTCGATATTTAGATTTGGTCAATCTGCTGCCTAAAAATACACACAAAGCTTTATTCTAAAACACTTTAATATGAAGATGGACTATACAGCTCTCTTATAGGTTTGTGGTTTAAACAAATGTGGGTGATTTTATAGTAAATTTAAGTTACATAAATTAATACATTAAAATCATAAAAATATCATCAGAGCTTATCGGCCATGAGTTGCTATGGATTCTAAACAATTGGTAAAGACATTGGCCATGAAAAATATACAGTATTGGTTGAACTCTAATCTTATCTTATATTATCTTATCTCTTTTAGGAGGCAGACAGCTGGGAGATCATTGAGGGGCTGAAGATTGGCCAGAGCAATGTCCTGAGGCCTGATAAACATGAAGGTTTTATGTTGAAGAAGCGGAAATGGCCACTGAAAGGCTGGCATAAGGTGAGCGCATTAGCAAACAGTGTCACAAAGGCTGCTACTACTAGCACAGCTGTCTCCAGAATGCTAAACAGCCTGTCTGCCAAGCAAAGTGTTTTATTCTCATGCACTTAAGTCCACCCTTTGTCAGGACTTATCAGTATTAGTATGTATAAGTTACAACTGAACTGATGCAGTATGAATTTAAAATCTAACCTTTCTTTCTCTTAACAGCGTTTTTTTGCTCTGGACAATGGCATCCTCAAGTACTCGAAGTCCCCTCTTGATGTAAGTGTCTCTGACGTCACCCCCCTGAGCGGCGGGCAGCATGCTCTGACATCAGCTGTAACTGGCCCTGACTCAGCAAAACATATGACCCCACAGCGCTGCGCTCTCCGTGCTCCCAGTGGAGTACAATGTATAACACTGCATCCAATTTTAATAGCTCTTAAAGGGGCAATATGTACATTTTTGGTGTGGGGTCTGTCACCTGCTTGTTTTTATGGATATGTCGTTGCTCTGCCTGGAATGTTCTGCAGTATGACATTAAATAGTTCTACCTTACATTTATTCAATTACAGATTATTTTATAGCTCAAAAGTACTTAGAAAAACAGGCATTCTGACTGTGAGCGGGGTTGCCTCTCCACAGATCTGACCTGTAACTTTGTCTGGTTTGGTCTCCATGAAGATAGAAAGGTTTAATGCCATACTGTGAAACATTCCAGACAAACCAATAACATTTCCATGGAGAAAAGCATTCGACAGACCCCCCATCAGAAAAGTTACACAATGCACTTTTAAAGACTGAAAGAGGCAAAGACACTTTTTGAAAAAGTCACTACTTACAGAATAGTTTTTTAATCCAGTTAGACTGAAAACTACAGTTTATTGGTTTAATAACTAAGAAGTGCCTGCTGCCCTTGGTTTTGTCGCAAAGACAAAAGCAAGGAAATGAAAAATGTCCTCATGTATTGTGTCGGCCACAAGTTTGAAAGAAAGAAGGAAAGTTTGATTTTTCTGCCAAGCATTGCCACTAATGAGGTTTGCAAGATTTGTAATAGTATGATTCAATTCACAAAGCACATTTAGGACTCAGTTCACACAATGTACATTTAATCATACAGAAGCATGGTATACCTGCTTGTCTCCATGAAAATGTTATTGCTTTGCCTGGAATGTTCCATGTTATGACTTTAAACATTTCCATCTAGTATTTATTAATTACTGGTGTTTCTATTGTTCAAAAATACAGTATTTCCTTTTGTGAATAGGAGTGACTCTCCACAGATCTGAACTGTAATGTAGTGTAGTGCTATAATCTGCTCATCTTCCTGGTGATAGATAGGTTTAATCTATACTGCCAAACATTCTAGACAAAGCAACAACATTTCCATGGAGGTATCAGGTGGCAGACCCTCCACTAGAAATGTTATGCAGTGCACATTTAGTGAAATAGAACACACTAATATAAAAAACATATGGACTTTAGAATGTTTGCAGAGGTCTAAACTATCCAAAACAAAGGCTATTTGGTTGTTTACGCAGGAATTTATGGTACTCAAGTAATTGCAGTATTTGTGATCACTGCAATTCCTATTTGACTGCATTTTCTCCAAGTTACCAAAGGAATTATAGATCCTAGAATATTTTTGTCATTTTTGTTAAGTTTTTATATTGGTTTAGTTTTAAAGGTTCTATATTATGTTATTTACTGATCTGTTATTATGTTGTTTCCTCATCACAAACATTCCTGGAATTGTGTTTTGTTTCATTCACACATTTTTTAACACAAAAACCCTGCATATTTAGAGAGAGAGTTCTGTTCTGCTAACATGAAAACGACCACTACATGACATCACAAGGTGGAATAGAGCGTTTTGAGCTTTAAGATGTAGACAGACCAATAATAAAGTGCCCCTCAAACATGTGTGAATGAAACAAAACGAAACTCTAAGTATTTTTGTGGTGAGGTAACAACATTATAACATGGCTTAAAGCTCAGAAGAGTCAAATTTGCGTCATACAGGACCTTTAAATATGGTTCTCTCTTAGATCCAGAAAGGCAAACTCCATGGCAGCATCGACGTGGGCCTCTCAGTCATGTCAATTAAAAAGAGGAGTCGGCGCATTGACCTGGACACAGAGGAGCATATCTATCACTTGAAGGTAACACCGATCAATACTGTCACAGAGGCTTTGTTATTTAAGATCAGACTCATCACCCAGTTTCCTGTCTTTGGTTCACTTTAGGTCAAATCTCAAGACATTTTCGATGCCTGGGTGTCCAAGCTACGTCACCACCGGCTTTACCGACAGAACGAGATTGTGCGATCTCCTCGAGAGGCCACCATGAGAACGTTTCCTCCTCCAACCGCCATCGAGCCTCCTCCAATTGTATCCAGTCTGGTTCATGAGGCCAAGGTGAGGGCCTATATTATGCTATTTTCTGATCTGTGTTATAATGTCGTTTCCTTATCACAAACAGGAAGCTAGAGTTGGGCTCGAGTTGTGTTTAGTTTCATTCACTCATGTTTAACACACAAACACTGCATATTAAGACTGAGTTCTTCTCTACAAAATGCTCCACTGTGTTTTTATACTCCATACGCCTTCACTAGAATCATTTGGATAAATTCAGCTCTTGAATTGCCAAATTCTACTAAACAAAAGGTAAAAGGGAGCTGACAGACTAATAATAAAGGGTTATTCAAGCAGGCGTGAATGAAACAAAACACAACTCTGGGTATGTTTTTGAGGGGTGACAACATTATAACAAGTCTTAAAGCTCACAAGAGTCAATGTTGCGTAATATGGGACCTTTCACTTTTTTTCTTTCCATGCAGACTTCAAAGGAAAATTTGGGGTAGAAGGGAAATGTTCATTATAAGACTTGCCTTAAGCGGACTGTCTAATTCACTATGGGCTTATCATGGGAGTTCATTTTTTAATAGAAACTGGGATAGACTAAAATAGCACAGACAAGGAGATGCAAAACCCACACCACAGATACTGATTTTCTGCCTTTGCCACTATTGACCTTGCTGTAGTCCCTGATTTGTATGTTAAGGACAGCGATTGTGATCAGACTGGTAATTGGATCCAGATCATTCAGATAGCAGATTGGCTTGTTTGTCTGGACTAACTCTAAATCCCTCTCAAGTGTGTGAACCAGTGAAGCTTAAACCTCTCAGGTGAAGGTGCCCACTGGGACTGGGACTTTGAGCCAAGTGCAGATTATAACAGGTGAGCATCTCAAATCAGATCAGCTGCAATGGCCTCATGAGCACTTCTTCCAGCTGAACTACATTGTACAGTACTACATGAAAGGCCCACAAGTAGGGACGCACCGATCTGATACTGGTATCGGATATCAGTGCCGATACTGAAAAATTTGCTGTTTCAGATATTGGCCTTTGCACTGGAGCACTGTAACACTTTATTTTGTAATTGTGGTTTATTACACATAACGTGAATGAATGAAGTGTGAAATGTGGGACCTGCCTCTCAAATCTGCAAAACAAATTTATCTACGGGTACGAATAAAGCAAACTAACCTAAATCTCAGTTCAGCTGATATCCTGATTGGACATATACATTGATATAATAAGATTATTTACTGGCTGCACTGTAGTCGACCCAAAAAATATCATTATGTTTAACCCTTTATCTATACAAAGTTGTTCTGTAGGTACATCAGACATAAATAACAGTTAAACATTTGGAACAGTTTTGTCTTATTTTATTTTTGTTTTAAGGAAATAAATTCTGTCTTCAGTCTCTGCACTGTTATCTGTTGATATCGGGTGTTGACAGATACTTAAAGCTATAATATCGGAATCGGTATCGGACCTGAAAAAGCTGGATCAGTGCATCTTTACTCACAAGGTCTCCATACAAATGCAAAACTGTTTAAGCTTTAGCTCTGTGTGGTGTTTTATGTTATCAGTGAATGAATTATAATATATAATATAATATATGATATATAATATGTTGTTAATGTTATTGAGGATTGTGAATGAACTTTCGAAGCTTTATTAAACCCATCTGCATATCTGAATGATCTACTGTAATAACTAGGGGTGTATCGATGTCTTTCGATGCAATATTGTCACGGTATGAACCTCACGGTATGATATTTATTGTGATATTTTGTGGATGCTAACAAAACTGTTAATGCCTTGACAAGACTTAATTCAAAGAACTAAGACTTAAAAGTGCTTAGAACTGTTATTTCTTCATGTAGTCTACACTGAAATGGAGCAAAAGATCATGGTCTATGTAGTTCCCTCTGTCTTTTTTTTTTCTATTGCTGCACCATAAGTCTTAATTTAAGCAAAGAGACTTCTAATTCGATATATTATGATGATCCACGATATTATTGAGAGAACTTCGACGATACGATATGACGATATTTGGTTATTGTTACATCCCTAGTAATAAACATCAGTCTGTGGTGCTCTGCATTGAGTATCTTCAGTGAAAAAATGTTCAGACACTCCTGCATTACATTACGTTTTGAAATCTGAAATGTTCGACTTTATTATCTGCTTCGATTAAAGCAGGTGAAACCCAGCAGCTTGCCATGGCAACCAGTGGCCCCCAATAACAGCAGCAACAGCAGCCTCCCGGCCTCCTACAGCAACGGCCAGAGTAAGGTGGCGGTTTGGCTCCAGGAGTCAGAGGAGATGGACAAGTGCGCCGAGGGTAAGTGCTATTTCCCTGCTTATATTTGGAACTAACCTGATTGAACACAGCAGTAGATTAAATAATGCTCCAGGCTTTTGTTGCCTCGAGTGCAGTAATGAAAACCATTTGGTGACATTTCTCCCTGTTTGTAAATCTAATTGTTAGACAGTGTTGGGAAGTAACTGAATACATGTACCAAGAATACCTGTGCAGAATACTAATTTTGAGTCATCGTGTTCTAGTACAGTTACTCTTTCATTCGGTGGTATTCAGAATGCAGTTACTTTCCTAACATCTAAGGAATATATGGCGGTACTTTATCACAAAATTTAGGCTTCAACCTGTACGCAGTCAGTGAGAAAAATATAAAACACTTATTGGGCGTGTGAAATGAATGACATGAACACAACCTATTTCAAAACCCTAACCCTCACCCTAACCTATTATTTAATCCCAAAGGTTTGATTGTTGGAAGGATTTAAAACCACTAGATTAATATGACAAGTTTGTGAACTCCACCCCTATAAATAATGCCTACAGTATTACACAGGCACCTCACCTCTCCTCCATGTGAGATTATAAAATACACTGTGTAAGTAATCATTAGGCATGTTGTATTTATGAGAATTCATTTTATAATTGAACAACTACAGTGCTCTCAGTCAATCATAAATATTAATAAACCTCAAACCTGAATATTTAAGAAAGTAAAAATTAAGTTTTGGGTTTCTTAGGGGAAAATCTATTTGTGCACAAGTATTGGGCAACTAATAATGTGTAGAATTATTACGCCACTAAATGAAAAAAATTTAATTTTCAGTTTTCATCTGTCAGAATGGTAAACAACAAAAAAATTTGAAATAAACATTTCTGACATAAAAATAAATAAATAAATCAATGACCAGTATAGCCACCCATCTTCTCAATAATGGTCATAAGCTGTCCATGGAGTCATAAGCTGTCCATGGAGTTGATTGTCAAAAGTTGACAATCAACTTTTTGTGCAGCATCAACCACAGCCTCCCAACACTATTCAGAGACGTTTACTGTTTTCCTTCACAGTAAATATCCCGTTTAAGAAGGACTCACAAGTTCTCAATATGGTTTAGGTCAAGAGAGGAAGAAGTAGTACAAGTACTTCAATGCATGTGATGGAGCATTGTCCTGCATAAAAATCATGGTCCTCTTGAAAGATGCAGACTTTTTCCTGTACCACTGCTTGAAGAAAGTGTCTTCTAAAAACTGACAATAGATTTTGGTTTCATTTTGAGTCAGTTTTCAACCCTTAATGGTCATCTTCTCATCTTTATTAATACCAGATCATACTAACACCCCACCTCCACCTTGGTGGCGTATGAGTCGAAGTGGAGCTCTGTGCCTATTACTGAGTCACTCTCATCTCAACAGTCCATAAAACCTTTGAAAAATCTATCTTCAGATATTTCATATATGTCTTGACGTTTCTTGTTCAGTGGTGGTCGGGTTTCAGCCTTCCTTACCTTGGCCATTTCAGAGTCTGTTAAATCTCTTTTTTGGCCCAGTTTGCCTGGGGAAAAGAAGCTGCCTCATAATTCTGACACCTTGATATAGGATGTTGATCTCTTAGGGCCACATCCTTCCTCGTAGGACAGATACATATGCTTAAATCTAATAAGAATTAAAGTTTATACAGCTTATATACATATGCATACAAATTATAATATGGTCAAAATACCCACTTGCCTAATAGTTGTGCACACAGTATATGAAGATGTTTTTAATCCTATGTTTCGTCTTTAGAATACAGTGCTCTGATTGGACCATCAGAATACGTTACAAAATACATTCTAATGCAGTAATGCAAATATTCTTCCCATCCCTGTTGTTGTTAGAGCTCGCTCGATGCCAGTCCAACCTGACCGATTTGAGTCGACTGTTGCAAAGTCTGGAGATACTTCAGAGAACGCAGTCAGCTCCTAATTTTACTGAAATTCAGGTAAAGATTTTCCCACCTTAAAGTAAGTGCACATACTAACATTGTTGCTGTTAAATATAAAGTTTATAACAATGCATTGTGCAACTGTGTGGGCGTATTGCTGCCTGGAATCACTTGAAACCACTCACACAGTTTGCCTCATAATTGATCAGCCATTTTGTTTGTATTTTGCACTGCTTATGTTAAAATCCCAGCTCACATTATAATTTCCCTCATAATTCACATCATTTCATTGTATTCACTGTGTTGTGTGTTGATGTGTGCCACTTAGACCAATTGTGTAGATTTGTCTAAGAAAGAAAAGCGCATGAACAGAAGATGGAGAACAAAAAGTGTCGGGAAAGATGCAAAATTCCAGCTTCAGGTATTCATTCTCACACCCACAAGCATTCACATAACACTTGTAATTCTCGTATTGCCATTCTATGTGTAGCTATGGGTGTGGGCTGTTATCTTTAATAATAATAGCTATGCACAAGGAGATTAAATTATTTGTACTGAGGTAGAGATGAATCATTTCACAGTTTCTTTCATTTCATTAACTTTGTTCCTTAATGAGGTTGCTCCACAGTTGGCTTGTATTAAAATACCGCTCACAGAGACTTGCATTTTTTGCCCATTAACCTTTCTTTCGTTCTTTATGCTTTTCACAAATTACAGTGTTTTTTTTTAAATGTACTTTTGTGCAATGCTGCTTCACATACCACTGCAAAAGAGGGTTTGAATGTTTATTTTTATTTTGTCGCTTTGGTCATTTATAACTCACCAAAACTGCATCAAAGACGACTGGGCTTGCTAACATTCTGCAACTAATTGGCCAACTGGCTCCTGACTGAGTAAAGGGAAAACTACCGTGTGTAATGGAAATAAACTTAGTAGTCGTGTGTTAGCAACAACTCCTGTTCCTTCCAGGTGTTTATTTATGGTGTTTTGTGGACAGAATCTTGTACTGGTAGAATGTAATGAAGTAAAAGTAATAAAGTACAGAAATTTTTGTTTAACTTCTTAGGTTCTTTTTAAAGACAATGCAGTAAAGTGTATTTACCTTGTTGACATGTTTCGGCTGCTAGCTGCAAGCCATCTTCAGAACTGTCACCGGTGTTGGTGGTGACGTGTCATATATCAGCTGTTGTTACTTCCTGTAGGCGTGGTCAGCCTGATGGACCTGGCAGGTCGCTCAGACTGACCACGCCTCCCGTCGCCCGGTGTTCTCTGGAGGAGGGTGTCCCAGGTGTGTGAAAGGAGGAACGCGCCGTCATCACGGTTAATGCTGTCCGTGCCTCGTTTCCTGATTTCAATGGCCTCCTTGATCCAGCGTTTGAACTTGTTGTTTTCCGATCCAATGGCCCGAGCCCCGTCCCAATCTATAATGTGCTGTTCCTTTTACAGTGGTCTGATATGGCGGATTTTAGGTTTTCCTGTTCTGCTTTGTCTTTTTGTGTTCTGGTGAGTCTCCCTGACGTTTCCTTCTGACAACTCAAGTAACTCAGTAAATACACTTTACTGCATTGTCTTTAAAAAGAACCTAAGAATTTAAAGTACATAAGAAGACAAAATGAACATCATTGGCTTAACAGAAATTTCAGGTATCTGTACTTCGCATTTTAAAGTGGATACTTTTTGCTTTTACTTTTGAGAGCAGATATCTGTACTTGCTACTGCACTACATTTTTATTGGACTGAAAGTATTTTTTATTATTGTCTGAGACCTGCTAAAAAGGCTGAGATAAATAAATCTTCAAAATCACTACATGTGACGCCTTATAAGACCTCAAAATCTGTGCAACATACTTTAAATTTTTGCTTTAAGTACGTTTTTAAACAGCTGTTTGTCTCCACGAAGAGTTATTGCTTACCCAGGAATGTTCCATGGTATTACATTAAATATATCTAACGTTTATTCATTACGGATGTTTCTAATGCTCAAATATACAATAATTCCTTCTGTGAATAGGGGCGACTCTCCACAGATCTGAACTGTAATGCAGCGTAGTGCTGTAACCTCCCGTGATAAATAGGTTTAATCTATACTGTGGAACATTTGTGACAAAGCAATAACATCTCCATGGAGAGAATAGACCTCTAGAAAAGTTTCGCAGTGCACCTTTAAGTAGATTTTTTTTCATGTGATACTTTTACTTTTACTTGAGTATTTATCTGCTCTAATAGCTGTACTTTTACTTTACTTATTACTTTTTTTTTACTTAATTATACTTTTACACTTTAATTTACTTAACACAATTGAGTACTTCTTCCACCACTGCCATCTCGTCTCCAGGTCCCACAGTCGGCGAGCATGTCCCCCATGCGTCTCCATTCGTCCAACCCTAATCTGTGTGCCGAGCTGGCCGACTACCAGCCCCCTGTGACGAGGCTGATGGAGACTGTGGAGTATACCAGTGATTACATTAAACTACAGGAGGAGTTCTGCACCATCGCCCAAAAAGGTCTGTGCAGCGGGCAGTGTATATGAGTAGTAAAAGGAGAGGTCATTAAAACATTCTAGTCATATTTAATAGGATTCATTTTCAAAGGTTTTAATGTGAAAATTTGAGTAAAAAAATAACTAACTACTATATTTAACTACTTTTTTGTCTGCTTCTCTTTTAGTGCACTCTCTTTTGAAGTCAGCTTTTAACACAGTGGCCATAGAGAAAGAAAGGATCAAGCAGATTCTGTCAAACCAGGAAGAGACGGAGCAGGCAGCACAGATCACCTCTCTCAGGAAGTCACTCTCACAGGTAACAAGCTACTTTTGTTTTTCATTCAAAGCTGCAACTGTTTGGAATCTGAAGAAGAATCAGAATGTACTTCCTTGTTTACTTCATGTAGTTTTCATATGTTTTTACATCATGTAAAGACATCAGTTTCATATGTCATCATATCACATCAGTTTCACTTCGTGGAAACCGCCTGACCTCGCAGCATTAGCATTAGGCGTGTACTTTTGTTATTTAACCAATCGCTGCTATTTGGTCGTGACGTACAGTATGTAATGCACTGCTAACGGGGCTAACTGGTATAACAAGCTTTTCCCAAATCCCGTAGGAATAACGGCAATAACGTCTTCCCCTTGATAAAATTCACCAAACATTCTACAGTTTTAATATGCCTTTAAATCCTCGATCTCGAGAATCATTGCCAACAGATAATGTATGGTTTCATCTACATCCATCTCGACTACTTTGTTTACTGTTGTGCTGTACCACAGAAAGGGACCCAGTCATGGCTTCACAGCTCTTCGCTGAGTGGCCGGTGCGCGGTGTACATCTTCTGAGGTTCTTGCAAAGCCTCTAGTGTATTCCGATTCCTGACCTAATCCATGGAGAGAAATGAAATTGAGCAGAGGCACTAGGTGGCACCAGCCTGGCTATTGGCAAGTAATTCCCAATGTATACTTTGCAGCTGATGACCTCAACGTTCCCTGAGGGTGTGATGCTAACTCTAAGCACTGCTCTGTCTGAGACTTATTAGACTACAGCAGGTGCTGTTTAACAAGTCCTTCTCAAATGGCATTATAGTCACAAGCTAGTTTTTTAGTCACTTTCACCTTTTTGTTGAAATCAAACTTTTAAACAAGACCATGAACCCTCTTATTTGATCACAAGCTCTTGAAAATGTGTTGTTTAAATCCATTTTCTATTTTTTGTGAGTTGTCAGACATTTTTGGTAGTGTTTGCTACTGTGTGCGTTGTGTAAACATGGTAAACATTCCGCCAGTACACATACACGTAGAACACCCCCATCCTGACATCACTGCAAACTATCATGTGATGAGCTGATAAGTAAAAAGTGGTTACTGGAAGGTTATTGAAATGACTAAGATCAGTTTCCAAACTTGAATGCTCTTTTGATTACATATCAGTGTAAAAACCAGTTTAATTTTGTTCTTAGTCACAGATGTGCTTGTGTTTTTGACAGACCAGTTTATGAACACTGCTTCAGGCTTAAGAAATGAATCATCACTGTCATTTATTTCTTGTCTCACATATTCAAATCCACTGTTTTTCTGTTGGGCTCATTACCACAGGCTGTCAGACAAAACTACAGACACAGCAATGTTTTTTTGTTTTTTATTTTGAGCCGTCAACGTAATCACAATTAGAAAGCATGAAGTGTGAGTCGTGATTGTCAAATTATCCTTCTGCACTAATTACTGTGATAAAATATGTGGTTCAGTTCATTAACTCTGCTCCTTAGCCCAGTCTTCCAACTTGTCACGTAATTGGACTTTTCCTGCTAAGAGTTGACACCGTTTCAGGGGAACATTTTTTTCCTATTATCAACGATGTGTCCCTAATTGGGCACATACTATATGGTAAGGCAAGTCTGTTCTAGGCAAGGGGTCAGAGTTGATGTCCAAGTAGGAGTTTAAGACATGTCAGGACTTCTTGAGCAACAGCTGCAACTGTTGTAAAATCCAACCCCCGCAAACAATCAACCTGCCATCTCTGACCTAATTGGCTCAAAATACAGGCAGCGTAAAGTAACTGCACCTGACAGTATAGCCATGTTGGTGGTTAAATAACATAATGTACTACATTCTTCTTTTCCAGTTGCACTAAAATGTCTAAGGTTACGAGTACTATTACTACTAGGGGTGTAACAATATCCAAGTCTCATGTTACGATATTGTGATGGTATGAACCTCACAGTACGATATTTATTGCGATATCATGGGAAAGCTTATGATAAGATGGGGAGGCTCATGATTACGGATGTAACAATATCCAAATCTTTACGCAATATTTTCACAATATACATCTCACCGTACGATATTTTTTGTGATATTACTACTATTACTACTATAGCACTTAACTCAAGTCTTAAAGGTGAACTGTTAATGTGAAGACCCCATATGTGAATGTTAATTTTAGGTGTTTTCGATACACCATTTGGCCAATATTTGGACATTTTAGCTTCTATCGGTCTTAAATCTCCTGCCCAGGCTGATATTTTGTTTTGACCGGCCTGCTGATAAAAAAAAAACAAAAAAAAACATAGAGCATTATTTGAATTCTTTAATGTAAAGAGATAATTGTTGAAAATGTGACTATTCTGCTGTTACAGATTTGTAGTAAAGTTAAATTACATAATTTCGAGGGGAAAAAGTCTGCCCATCCTATCGGCTCAAAAATATCTGCAGAGTTTATTCACCATCAGTTGAGCTGGATTCTAAACAATCGTTGTCATAAAAAAAACAGCCATGAAAAAACCCTTATCAGTCGATCTCTACTAAAAAGTACATTAAAAACTTGCATTCTTTCTGTGAGCTGGTCGCCTCTACTAAGATCTGACCTGTAACATTCCAGACAAAGCAATAACATTTCCATGGAGACTACTGCGCTTTAAGTCTAGCTCAGAGGCTTGGGCAGAATACATTCTAGTGGCATCACTTTTAACATACTGATGCTTTGCGGCTTTTGACCTTATCTTGCAATTGTTCAGGATTTTGTTTTGGCTCAATATTTATTCTATATCATTTCAGTACACCAAATATCACCTACTACATACCCTAATAAACCACTTTGAATTTCTAAATGTACCATATTTAAAGGTATTGTGTATAAATGTACTGGAGGAGGGTCCGTCAAATGCTTTTCATGCTTTTCATGAAGATGTTACTGCTTTGTCTGGAATGTTTCACAGTATGGCATTAAACCTTACTATCTTTATGGCAACCAAACCAGACCAAGTTACAGATCAGATTTGTGGAGAGGCCACCCCACTCACAGTCAGTATGCCTGTTTTTCTAGGTATTTTTGAGCAGTAAAAGCACCTGTAATTGAATAAATGTCTGGTGTTTAATGTCATACTGTGGAACATTCCAGGCAGAGAAATTACATATCCATAGAAATGCCCAAAAAGTTACATAGTGCACCTTTAACTATGGAATATTTATGCTATACCTCTGTGAAACTAAACTTTTTTTTTACGTTTAGGCTGTGTCCCAGAATGCAGAGCTCCGAAGTCGCCTAAACCGCATCCACTCTGAATCGGTCCTGACTGAGCAAGTTGTCAGCGTGAACATCATCTCAACCCCTGATGAGGTAATGCAGGTCACATATAACACAGTGACGTGTTATTGACTGGGCTAATTTTCTGCTCTCAAGGCTAGCATGCTGGTTGGAAATGCTTCCTTGCTTCCTGCGTTTGACAGTTGCTTTATTGATTCCTGTCCGCACAAATTGATGGTCCTTTTGGTAAACCCTGTCACTTGAGTTTAAAGGATTATCATTTTGTAGCAGCTCATGACATCAAGGTTAATGGAAAAAATGACTAATTACAAATTTATGACAGACTGTTTTGCGTTACTGTGAGTGCGAGCGAGGTTCTAAATCTGTCTATGTTGTTACGAAAGGCATTGTCCCATGAATTGTGTTTCTTTGCCACAGGCTGGGGAACAGATGGGGATCCCTCTGACTCAGCAGGCTTCCAATGAGAGTCGACTGTCCATGTCCGAGTCCGTGTCAGAGTTCTTTGATGCCCAGGAAGTGCTACTGTCAGCCAGCTCCTCCGAAAACGAGGTATAATGCGGCACAATGGGGCCCACACAATGACTAAGCTAATACACATTGGCTGTTGACATAGGAAGGATGTTGTACGGGAAGTTGCTGCAGATAGAGATAAAGTTTCAGTGTAACATATATCAGAAAACACTGTTTTCTGTTGATATATGTTATATGTTTCCTCATCAAAAGTTTAACACACAAACCCTGCATATTTAGGCTGAGTTATTTCAAACCAAAGACAAGCTTTGAAGATGTAGACTTAGAATAAAGGGTTACTCAAGCATGTGTGAATGAAACAAAACACAACTCCGGGTAAGTTTTTGATGAGGCTTAAAGCTCTTCTAATTTTTTGTTTATAATTTTGCTTCCTGATTGGACATAGGAGGGGTTTCCTAGCCACTATACATGGCTATGACACTCTTGAAAGAGATTTTTTATCTCTAGAAATTTTATAAATGATTGAATGGGGGGTGAATGTACCCGTGCTAATACATGTCTAAATTACACAATTTATTTTGATAAGTGAATGCTTTAAACATCCTGTATTACATAAAGCTGGCTCTTGTGAGCTTTTAGCTGTGTTAGAATGCTGTTTTCTCCCCAAAAACATACCCGGAGTTGTGTATTGTTCACATCATGTTTGAGTAACCCCTCATTATTAGTCTACATCTCCAGAGCTCAAAATGTTCCACTATGTGATGTCATGAAGTGGTAGTTTTCAAGTGAACAGCTCCTTTTACCTTTAGTTCAATAAAGATTGGAAATTGTGGGACTGAAATTATCCAGATGATTCTAGTGAAGGTGTATGGAGTTTAAAAACACAGTGGAGCATTTCTGGTATTACCACATCACATCACAAGGTGGAACAGTGTGTTTTCTGTTTGCTAGAGTTACTCAGCCTAAATATGGAGAGTTTGTGTATTAAACGTGTAAATAAAAGAAACACAACTCCAGGTATGTTTTTGATGAGGAAGAACATTAGAACATAGATTAGAAAATAACATAATATGAGACCTTTTAAACTGTCTGAAAAAAAGAGTTAATTAAGAGTAAATTATCTGTACACTTTGGATGAAATTTTCTGTGTTCATTGCTACATCTTCTATTTTTGTACTTTTCAACATTTTCTTCACAGACACAGTCAAATGCGCCAAGTCATAAAACATATTGTTTGTGTCAGAATGCATCTTGTGTTTGGTGATTTGCAACTCCACGCTTTATTTTTTTCTTTCAAGATGTAGCTTAATCTTTGAGCTGTTTTTTCTGTAATCACCCTTTTGAACACCCAGAAGCAATTGCTCTCTGGGGGGCGATGCGGCTTTGTCCCCAGACATGCATTGAGCCATATTGAAGGATTACTCACCAAGGAAATTCATCAAGGCCCCGTCCTTTAGCCCGACTGGCTGGCCCTGTTAGACTTGTTTCACACTTCTCCAGCAAAATCTTATTGACGGAAATAGTCTTTATCAGAAATTGGCTACAACATGCTTCCCTTTGGCAAAATATAACGGTATTATTGTGTTGGTTGTAAGTTTAAACCCCTGCAGTGTCTCAGCTCATGATTACTGCAGAGGGGTAGATAGTAAGTGACTGCTGCAGTTTGTTGGCCAGTGGCAATCTGCAGTATCTGTGTGTGTGTCCGTGTGTGTATGTGTGTGTGTGCCTGTGTGTGGCCACTTCTTCAACTCAGGGACTGCTTTTGTGTCATTGAGTCTTGTACATTACTGACTCTATCCACTTTGTACCTGTTCCCCTCACAGGGCTCAGACGATGAGTCATATGTCAGTGATGTGAGTGACAACATTTCCGAGGACAACGCCAGTGTCACCGATAATGTCTCCAGACAAAGTAGGTCACTTTCTGAGTCTGAATCAACCATCAAACCCCACCATTAGAGAGGAAAGAAAGCAGGGGACCCCACTCTACACTCCCACACGCACACATATCCAAGGTTATTAATCAGTACGACTGGAGGAGTAGAGTGTGGCAGGGCTCTTTGCCAGAAGCTGTAACTGCAGTGTGAGTGGAATCTCCCCTTTTATCATTGTCACACTTAATAATGATAAAAGGCACTTGAAAGTGCACTGAAGAACATGAAAATCACACACAGTACATATTAATTGAAAATGATGTAAGAAATGTAGAGAAATTACATCATCTGTTTACCTTTTAGATTTAACTTAATTTGTATTCATACGGTACAGCCAGAGCCTCAAAGGGTTTTACAAAAATAGACATCAATAGGCAAGCACTGTATTTCACCTGAGCTCTGAAAATCTGTTAGGGGAAGGAAAACCCAAAAAGGAGAAGTTAGAGCAGCTATAAATATTTAATAGTAATTCATCATATTATATAACATAATAATGGGTTTAGGTTCATATATATATAGCCACATCTAGCAGGTGGTGCACAGTTAGAGTCATGAAGGGGTCAGGACAGGAGCACAGATGGGTCCAGCTAAGTACACATAACTGGCCAACAGACTTTTTAGACAAATACTCTCCCTTTACTCAGGATGTAATGATATCCAAATCTCTCTGAATGATACTTTGGTGATATGCATCTCACAGTACAATACAACGATGAACAAAATTGCGCTGCTTTTTCTTTATAAAATGCCTTGATAAGCCTTTGGTTCTGCCATAATCCAAATAATTAAGATTTAAATATTTAAAAGTTCTTAATAACACTTATTATTTTTTCATGTAGTGTGCCCTGAAATTAAGCAAACTATCATTGTACATGTGCACTCTGTCTTTAGCATAGACTATATTAAAAAGTGGACTAAGATAGTGGGACGTCACCCGTAGCATTCGGCTTGAGTCAAATCAAGTTGACAAGGCTAGCAGTTATAGGGATAAGATTTGAGCTATATCATTAATAGGAATTCATTTATAGACAAAATATCTAAATAAAAACACCAGGATTATGTAGAGTGAGTTAATACGAACATTTTAAGACCAAAATGATGAGGCTTACTGCAGCAGTTACAAAGAGAGGGGTGAACCGTATTAAATGTTAAGTCAGTTGGAGCCAGAGTCGATGGAGCCGGAAGTGCACCCATGTTCACTTCCTATGTGGAATGTGGCAGCTAGTGGTTTTGTCATATCTGTGTGGTGTCTAGCTATCGCTGCACCAAAACAATGAATGTAATCGAAGAGACTTGTAATTCGGCCCACAATATTACTGTGAGACTTTTGACGATACAGTATTTTAATATTTTGGTTATTGAAGAAGTTACAGAAGTATGCAGTATAATGTATGGCTTTATTTGTTTTTTTTTTACATACAAAGTTTGCAGAATAAAGATAAGTTAATACAAAAGACCTACCTGCTGTACTGGGTGAGGATTCCTGAGGGGAAAAAGTGTAGTGTGTGCAGTGTAGCCTCCAGAGTACTCACAATCACGATATTTCTATTTTTGTTACATCTCTAACCTTTACTGTTGTTTCTACCCCTAGTGGCCAATGGGGACTTTGCTGGCAGTGCCTTCCGTAATGGGCGCCGCTCCTGTCTGCCTGCTCCCTGCCCTGACACCAGCAACATCAACCTGTGGAACATCCTGAGAAACAACATTGGCAAAGACTTGTCCAAAGTGTCCATGCCAGTAGAGCTGAATGAACCTCTCAACACTCTACAGCGCATGTGCGAGGAGCTAGAGTACAGCGAGCTCCTGGACAAAGCCGCAGAGACCGAAGACCCATTTGAGCGCATGGTAACAACCGCACAGAAAGCAGCCCTTTTTAGTCTCATTAAAGGTCCTGTATTAGAAAAACAAAAACATACGTGGAGTTGTGTTTTGTTTCATTCACACAGAACAGAGTATTTTCTTTTTGAGAGAAGAAATATGCAGTGTTTGTGTGTTAAACTTGTGTGCATGAAACAAAACACAACTTCAGGTAAGTTTCTGTTGAGGTAACAACGTTTTAACATAGATCAGGAAATAGGGTAATACGGGCCCTTTAATCAGCAAGCCACTGACAATCCTCTCTTTAACCTGCCCTCATGTTGTAACGGTTGTCAAAGCTCGCCTTTATTTACTCCATTTGATCTCACACAGGTTCTCGTGGCTGCCTTTGCTGTCTCAGGCTACTCCTCCACTTACTACAGAGCAGGAAGCAAGCCATTCAACCCACTACTCGGAGAGACCTATGAATGTATACGTGAAGATAAGGGCTTTTGTTTCTTTTCTGAACAGGTACATGGTTTTATTAAAATGAAAAAAAAAATACATAGAGGAATTGTTATTATAATCTTTCAAAAGTAGTAAGTCTTTTATATTACTTTTGATACCATGCATGCTTAGACTGCAACAGAATTAGATGGAATATAAGTACATTACATTAAAATGAAAAAATATATATTAAGGAATTGTAGCTCCAACTGCTATCCTACTAAAAGCTTTTTATACAAATTATGTCTTATTGAACGGCCATGTTACATCAGATTAAATATACATGATGACATATTTAATGCAACACCTTACCAGAGCAGCTGGTAAAAGCTTTTTGCTTGATGTTGTTTCAAAGGTGAGCCACCACCCTCCTGTCTCTGCATGCCACTGTGAGTCGAAGAACTTCACCTTCTGGCAAGGTAAGCCATGGTCCCAATGTGCAAGTTAAAAGCATTATTGCGTTTTTGCCTTGTATTTAATGCTGTCATGTATTTTGTAATATCTGTTTCTTTTTTCTAGATGTTAGATGGAAAAACAAATTTTGGGGAAAGTCCATGGAAATATTACCTATTGGGTCTGTGAATCTAACAATCCCAAGGTAAAGTACTAAAGTAGTAGTAAAGTAGTAGTAATTATTTTTCAAGTATAGCTGATATACATGCTTTTTTCTACGCATAAAAGCAGTGAACATGAATGTAGAAACCTTTCTCGTGCTGCATTATACAAACTTGACTCATGCCAGATTGATATGTGTCACTCTGAAATGAGATCTATACATTATCCCTCTGGGATGGCTCTCACTGAACTGCACTAACTGAATCTGACTGGTCAAAACGTCACAGTGGACCAAGCTGAAAAATCAAACTTTTATTACATCCATTTGAGAGCAATGCATAGACAGACCTTCCCTGTCCACAAAGGCACAAAGTGCTTACCTTCTGCACATTTTTCACTAAGTAAATATTGATGCTAAAATTGACTGAAATACGTCTGTTGGTGTCTCCATGCTTGTTTTGATTTGTTTAACTTCTACACAAACCTCTATGCTGCTCTGTGATTGGTCCGCCCGTTTAACCATACAGCGCACTCCAAGGTGGATTCTCGTGAGTTTGTGAACTCACAAACATTGTGAGAATCCATCTGAACATCACTAGAATGGAAGTGCTAAAATCTGTACATCTCAAATTATTCTTATAACCCACTCTTCCTCTTTGTTCTGTGTCTCTTGTAGGTTTGGAGATCATTACGAGTGGAATAAAGTCACTACCTGTGTACACAACATTCTGAGTGGACAGAGGTGGATTGAACACTACGGAGAGATCACCATAAGAAACACAAAGAGCAGCGCCTGCCTTTGCAAACTGACTTTTGTCAAGGTTAGGAAAACGTGTTTTTGCTAACTTCAATAACAATAATGTTACAATAAAGACAGTATTTTAAACACAGTGGCCACATCTTTTCCCACAGACATCTGTAGACTGATTGTTGGCGTTTCTTTTTCCAGGGAAATTACTGGAGTTCAAATGTGAATGAGGTGCAGGGATTTGTGATGGATCAAGAGGGCAAAGTCATTCATAGGCTTTTTGGAAAATGGCACGAAGGCCTTTACTGTGGAGTCCCTCCTTCTGCCAAATGTGTCTGGAGACCAGGCATGCACTTAACTGCTTCACACTGTCGCCATACCTAATTTTTATTGCCTATTCTTATTATGCCTCTCCATTGTTCTTTATATAGGCTCCATGCCCACAGACTACGAGTTATATTATGGCTTCACCAGGTTTGCAATTGAACTAAATGAACTATGCCCAGAATTAAAAGATGCCCTACCACGGACTGATGCTCGATTCAGACCAGATCAGAGGTAACGGACCATCTGTTTTGTTTTTATTTTTCTACACTGTTGTTTATATTTCACTTTGGCTTTTCAGGTACTTGGAGGAAGGAAATCTTGAGCTGGCAGCCTCAGAAAAACAGAGAATAGAAGATCTACAGAGAGCCAGGCGGAAATGGAACGAGGAGAACGACATCAGGCAGGAGCCGCTCTTTTTCAAGTCAGTTCAGAGGATAAATCTGAATCTCAATCTAGTGTAATTGTGTTTCTGTAAAACTGTGAAGTAAAATGTTTCTTTCTTCTTTTTTCTTTTCTTCTTTTTTTTTAACAGAAAAGTGATGGATGCCAATCACAGGGAGCGATGGGTCACCAACAGCACATACTGGGAGCTCCGCAGAAACCCTGGCTTCATCAACATGGAGTCGACTGTACACCTGTGGTAGTGCATTGACTTATAATCACAGACATGTGGGAAGCTACCTATGCACAAAAGGAGTGTGAAAGAAGGTATTAATAAAATATGAGTGCATGGTTTGGAGCTGCGGCAGAGCTGGGGGAGGCCGGATGCCCAGAGATCCTGTGGAGGTTTAGCGGCGCTATCATGTCGTCACCCATCCATGGAAACACCCTCTGGGGTCACCTTCATTGTGCTCCATAAAGCTGGGTTGTCAGGGCAACAATCTAACCACTCCTATGTATTTGTGCCCTGAGCTCGTAAACGTCTGTCCTTGCCTTAAAAAGACATGCATCTCTCTCACACTAGTGCTGTTTAGACAAATACATCTTAATCCTCACTGTTGTTTGGCTTAGATTAATCTTTAAAAAGTAGTTAGTCTTTTATATTACTTTCGATACCATGCATGCTTAGAGTGCAGCTCTTACTGGCATCGAGCTTTATTTATTATATAATTGTAGAGAAAAAAAGAGTTATTTTTATATATTAAAAACATCTTGAACTATGAATTTAGTGAAACGGAAATTAGAGTAATTGGCAAATTGTATTTATTTATTGCCTTTTAATACTGTTGAATTTACGTGAAAGCAGACACCTGTGAGAGAAAAAATTAAAAGATCTTAAAAAAAAGCAGCATTAGATGGAATAAAATAAGAAGTTTGATGGTTTTACTTTATTTTGAAGCTTTTACTGACAAATGCAGCTGTAATATGTGACACAACATACTCCACAAAAACCAGCTCACAACAGTGTCCCGTGTCTGTGCATAGTACTACTCTTATAGCTCTCCTCTGTCCCTCTGCTTATTTTAGACATGGTCATGAGAAGAAACCTGAAACCACCCCCTCCCCTCTTTACTCACTCCATTACACACACTCAATTCTACTCACCAACCTACACATCTAAATGGTCTTCAAAGGACATACTGTAGTCTCATACTAATTTTATCATCCCTCTGTAGAAAGCCTGGCACAGTTAAGAACTTTTTGGCTCTTATTACTGTCAATTTAATAGCCAAAAGTTGCTCACCCACTCATCCAGCTTCGGACCAATCCTGCTAAGAAAGATGTAACTTTATTTTTAATATGTTTTATTATGATACATATATCTATTGTGGTTTTACAATTGTAATGATGTGAAGAAGCCAAAGTAATCCGATGTAAGCCTTCAAATTAAACATAAAAAAGCATTTCCAGGAAGTTTAGACTGTGCTGACCCAACATGTCATCTCCGATTGAATAACACCTATAACGCGTTGATCAACAATAAATAAGATTCAGTTTTTCATTTAACACTAGAGCCACCTGCTGGACGTTCTGTAAAACTGCAAATTATGATTGGTTATTGATCTTTATCCAATATGTTTTAGCGTTTTAAAATGAACGTGCGATTGTATATTTACTTTTGTCAGAGTTGTTGTAATCTTGTTACATTTTGCATAATTCTGATGGAATTTTCTTCACATTTTCTTAACATTTAAACAAATATAGGACCCTTCATAAATGCTCATTGGGAGACAGATAATGAGAAAAGATTTATTTTTAGGAATACTTTATGCACTGTTCACGTAGATTATAAACCAAAAATTAACATAATCGACTTTGGCTTTACATCATAGTTTTCTATTTTAATAATGTGCTAAAAATCCAATGCTAAATCTCGTCATCATTGGTTTCACTTACTGTGCCTTAATGAATTAGACTCATGTATCACAAACACATAGGATTCCCTTATAAACATGAAGGTATGCCATTAACCACTGTCCCCACTAACAGCTCATTTGGCTCTGATGTTCCTCATTTTGAGTCATCTCCGGTGGTTAGAATATGCAACCAGCTTAAAGGTGTAACTTTTCCGTTGGGGTCCATCGCCCTCCTTTGCTTTGAATGTTCCACAATTTAACATTAAACAGATCTACCTTACATTTATACAATTACAGGTGATTTAATTGCTCAAAAATACCTAGAAAAACAGGCATTCTGACTGTGAGCGGGGTTGCCCTCCACTAGAAAAGTTACACAATGCACCTTTAAAGTGCTTGCAGAATTTCTGAGATGACCTCCTGCTTCTCCAACCATAACCATACACACTTTAACTGTAAATACAAGAGCTTTAGACTACAAAAAAATAAAAAATTAGCCATTGGATTAAATAATTTTAGCGTGAAAGGATTTTAACTTATCATAAAAATAAAAAAAAACACTTAATGATTTTAGGGATAGATGTCAGCCACTGTTCTAGCTGCATGTCTAGATTACACAGCCTGCCAATGAATGAATGAATGTCGCCTTATGGAAAAAGTTTTGTTTTTTGAATTGAAGTCATTGCAGATGTTTCACAAAAAAGCACTATGTCAGATCCGTCATTTCTAATCTTCCAAATGGGTACCTTCTGAAGTGCAATTTAAACAAGTACATATCTTTCCATAAACACTGTACACTGCTGCTACATAGTGCTTGTTCTAATAAAACTCGAAAACAAACCACGTCTGTCATTATTCTACCTTTTTAGTAAAATATGTTAGTTAAAAGGCCCATATTACACTATTTTCTGATCTATGTTATACTGTTGTTTCCTCATCACAAATATTTCTAGAGTTGTGTTTTGTTTCATTCACATGTTTAAAGCGCAAACCCTGAATCCTTAGGCTGAGTTCTTGTCTCAGATGGAAAACACTGTTCCACCTTGTGATGGCATGTGGTAATACAAAAAGTGCTTCTGTTTTTAAAATCCATACATCTTCACTAGAATAATTTGGATGATTTCAGCTCAGGAATTGCGAATATCTACTAAACAAAAGGTAAAAGGAGCTGTGCACTTGAAAATTACAGCTTCATGACATCACAAGTTAGAACAGAGCATTTTGAGCTTTGGATGTTGACAGATTAGCAGAGGTCGGGACTTGAAAGTCGGGACTTGAGTCACTATTTTTAGGACTTGAGACTTGACTTGATAAAATGGATGAAGACTTGGGTCTCAACTTGAACTTGAAGGGTCAATGCCTTGGGACTTGACTCAGACTTTAGGCCTGTGATTGAGAAGCACTTTTTAATGTGAATTCTTTCTGTTCTAACTGTAATGATTCCCTCAAAGATCTTATTAAGACATTTAAAAAGGAAAACTTTGCATTTCTACAACTCATATAAATACTCATATCTAAATATACTATGACTTTTAAAGTAGAATTTATCTTAAAAGTCATATAGAATGCAAAAATCTGAGCTGTATTTGGTATTTTGGTTTAAAGACTTGAAATGAATTGAAGCTCAAAGCAAACGACTTAGACTTGACTTGGACTTATGGGCCAGTGACTTGAGACTCGACTTGGACTTGCCTGTATTTGACCTGGTACTTGACTTGGACTTGAGGTCAAAGACTTGAGGCTTACTTGAGACTTGCAAAACAAAGACTTGGTCCCACCTCTACAGACTAGTAATAAAAGGATTACTCAAACACGTGTGAATGAAACAAAACACAACTCCAGGTCTGTTTTTGATGAGGTAAAAACATTCTAATAAAGTGTAAAATTCACAAGATCGGACCTTTACGTCACTGGTCAAGGTCTGCAGATGGAAAGTTGCTTATAGCTAAATCTGGCACAGAGCATCTTTTCTCTCTGAGTTTAATGTCTTTCTGTTCACTGTCCTTGTTTTAAATAAATAAATGAATAAATAACTGGACAAAGAAGCTACAATTGTGATATAGTGCCTTTAATTAGCAGTCAGTTATTTTTAAACACAGCACACACAGTTCCATTTGGTAATTTATTGTTCTAATTAGAGGACCTATAACATACTTATAATTGACATTTTGTTTAACTAAACGGTGAAATAGAAATACAAGTAAAGATTAAAGTACTGCACAAATGTATCAAGTGATTTCTGAGCAGCAGAGGTGGTCAGTAAAGAAGTAAAGTTTAATGCACTGTACTTAAAGGTGCACTGTGTACCTTTTCTGCTTTTCTGATGTTATTGGTTTGCCTGCATCTGACCTGTAACTTGGTCTAGTCTCATCAAATGCTTCTCTCCATGGACTTAAGTTTAATGCCATACTGAGGAATATTCCAGGCAAAACGTAAAAAAAATCATCATGGAGACAAGTACGTGAAATGCCTCCATCAGAAAGTTACATAATGTACCTTTAAGTAACGTACAGACAGTTGGAAGTACAGATTATTTTAACCCACTACATTTGAAAGATAAATAAAACCAAATAGAGTTTACATCTTGTACTCAAAAGTAGTATTGTTTTTGTAATGTTTTTGAAGTTCCATTACTATTAATTTAAAATATTTATTGAAAAATACTTTGTACTGAAGCAGTTTCTACGGCAAATTTACTTTAAAAGGTGCATTGTGTCACTTTTCAGGTAGAGGGTTCTTCAAATGCTTTTCTTCATGGAGATTTTATTGCTTTGTTTGGAATGTTTCACAGTATTAAAGTATTAAACCTTTCTATCTCCATGGAGACCAAGTTACAGGTCAGATCTGTGGAGAGGCAACGACGCTCAGTCAGAATGTACCCGTTTTTAAAGTATTTTCGAGCTATAAAACCACCAGGTAATCTGTTTAATGTCATACTGTGGAACATTTTAAACAGAGCAATGAATCCATAGAAACAAGCAGGTGACGGATCCCCAACCAAAAAGTTACATAGTGCACCTTTAATTGGAGAAAAGAAATGAAGTCTTTGACCACCGCTGCTGAACAGTTACAACATAAAAGTATTTAGTCTACAAAACAGCACAAAGGTAAAATGGACCTGATTTTCGATGCATTATCAGTCACTGCATTATTTGTTTACTGCTTGGGAAGGAGTTGAAGAGTTTAAGCACGTGTATTAACTAAAAAGCTGGTGATCATGAAAATACAACACATCAATTATCATATTTATATATATAAAAAACAATAAGTATCAAAACAATAAATTAATAACATGTAATAGTCACTAAAAATAAGGGTTATTTTTCACTACATTTAAAGTATGTCAACTCAGCCAATTCTAAAATGTTAGCTCAAATTGGAACACATTATATTTTATTGCTTTTTTCACTTAATGTTTAAATAAACACATGGCAAAACATCAAACTTAACTGAAACATGATGAAAATGTAACAACAGCTGCTACTGTGAACATTGATAGTCATGATAATACCTTTACTGTGATGTTTGCAGAGGATGGGAATGGAAAAGAACCTGATTGACACATATACTAGAGGGTTCACTTTGAGGAGGCCATGATCTTGATGTATTGAAGTGCATTGTGGGCCGCGTCGTTGTGAGCGTTGCTGCAAGAAATCCCAGTACCGTGACAAACAGTGACCGGGGAGGTGGACAGCTCTGCCAAGCACTGGTACTGTCCATTCACAGTTAGTTCATCTGTAAGAAAATCATGACTTTAATACCATAAGTTACATCTATTAGAGACATTTTTATCAAAAGGTGCACTATGTAACTTTTTGGTTCCTGCTGAGTTCTATGGATATGTCATTGTTCTGCCTAGAATGTTCCACAGTATGACATTAAACTGCTCTACTTTTTATTTGTTTGATTACAGGTGGTTTTATTGCTCAAAAATACCTAGAGCAACAGGCATTCTGACTATGAGTGGGGTCGCCTCTGTGCAGATCTGACTTGTAAATTAGTCTGGTTTGGTCTCCATGAAGATAGAAAGGTTTAATGCCATACTGTGAAACATTCCTGACAAAGCAATAACAAGCAATGTCCATGGGGAAAAGCATTTGACGGACCCTGCACCAGAAAACTTACACAATGCACCTTTAATTGTAATACTTAACTTAACTCAAATAAAAATACATCAAAAAATAAGAATTAGAAAGTTTCTGTTTCTCCTAGTCAGAAAAACTAGATTAGCAAATTCTTATCCTCCAGAAGATCCTCTAGTTTTTTACTATTAAGTAGAGATGTAACAGCAACCAAAATATCATGATATCGTATCATCAAAAGTCTCACAATAATATTGTGGGCTGTCACAATATATCGAATTACAAGTTCCTTTGCTTAAATGCATGGTTTTATAATAGCAACAGCTTATAAACAGAGGGAACTACATATCCCATGATTCATTTCAGTGCAAACAATATGAAGAGATACGATATGTTTTTTACTTAAATTGGGATTATGACAGAAATACTTTACACCAAAATCTTGTCAAGGTATTTTAAAAGCAAAAAAAGGTTCCCATCTACAATTATATTAGTCTCTTCGCAATAAATATCGTACCGTGAGATGCATATCGTGATAATATCGTACTGTGAGATCTGGATATCGTTACACCCCTACTATTAAGAGACCATTTTTACCAAACCAAACCAAATTTTTGCACGTACCTGGAAATTTCAAAAGGTTGTTTATGTCTTTAATGATTAACAGATACCCAGTGTTTCAGGGAGTTATTACATTCTTTCCTTGAGTGGTGTTGTCTCTTACCAATATCAAAATATGTGACTTCAAAGCCTTGTTCTTTGGACAGGTCCAGCATCATCTGGATGTAATCTGTGTTGGGAATGCTAAGAGGGTTTCTTCTTAATAGAGAGATTTTTTCAGCTGTCGAGTTGCGCAGGTTCTCCAGTCGAACACTTGATTTAAGAGTCTGAAAAATGAAACATTCAGTTCACAAGAGCTCACCTCAAGAGTGTGAGAGGCCAGAAAATATGTGTCATACCCATGTTATTTCAGAACCATCAGAGAGGCTTTGTAGCTTTGCCACCAGTTTCTCAGCAGCCGCCTTTTTTGCAGCTTTCTTAGTGTGTCCTACCGCTAATTAACAGAGCGTAATTATGTAAGATTAGCATGGACTCTCATAGATTTTAAAGAATCTTATAATGTACCTTTCTCAGTCAAGGACTCCATACGGCAGGTTACTGTGAACTCTCTTTTGTGAGGAGGGCCGGCCTCCATCATAACTGTGTACTCAGGTAGACGCCAGCCTCTCTGTAATGCAATCTCCTACACAGAAACAAAAACATCAGAATTACAATGTTACATTATTACAAACAGAGGAAAAGGGTTCCTACACAGTGATCAACAATATGTTCAACCAAAAATGTCAGTTTATAAAACAAGTCTACAAGGTTAAGGTAATTTTAGCAGATCATTAAGTAGCACTAGTAAATACTGCAGATTTAAAAGTTGATAATGTGGTTAATTCACAGTGGACACATCATGTTTGTGCAGATGAGAAAGAGCTCTCAGGGCACCTGTAGCTTCCCCACTGAGTTGCTTGTGTCTGCTGCCACACCATTGCTCTCAGACTTCACAGGGACCTTCCTGTTGAGAACCAGATCAAAGCAGTTACTACAGCTGCAACAGATCTGCATTCAGAGCAGTCCTCCAGGCTGTTTAAGATTGTGTCTGCTGCTGACCCTGGTCTTAGACCAGGCCCAAACGCACACGTCATATACAACTGTACTGGCCAACAACATTATTTTCTATATTTATGTAATGGTAGTAGTAGCATACATGAATACAATTATTTTGATAAAACTTCTTAGGAGTCTGTACTCACTGTGCTCCACCCTCAATTTGAAGAACTTTTAGAGCAGCCTCAGCAGCCTGATGTTTTGCAGCTTTCTTACTGGAACCTTGGCCTGAAATAATCAAACAAATCATATGCATCATTATTTTAACAAAAAAATCAAAGCCATTCAATTTTACCAGACAGAAGAGTACCTTGGAAATGAAAAACTCCTCAGTTCAATGTTAGTAGCACTTTCAAATGTAAAAAGCTTATGCTCTATTATAGAATTGACATTTAATGAAATGAAACAGGTTTTGAGTTCCACTGCCTCTCTATTATAAGCTGTTAGGAGCACATGAAGTATTAGTAAATGTAAACAGTGACCCCATACGTACCAGAGCAGTTCACATCTCCGATCTGTACACTGAACACAAAGCTGGGCTGGTGAGCCTCTCCTTCAGACTTCTCCAGCAAATACACGGGCAGGTTGCCAGTTTTTGTGCCAAATTCATGAAGGATTTGAATAGGAGTTTTCTCAGGAACTCTTCTGTGCATCCCAGAGTCCAAACTGTATTGAAAACCAAAAGGCATAGTCCTTTATTCCCCATTATATGATGTCTCTAAATTAATTCATCATAGCCTGTGCTATTATAATCCAACAGGACAGGCAGATGTGGTCACATGCACCTATAACTACAGAGCAAAGCGCCATTCACAGTTGGTGCACAAACTCTGTCCTATAAGTATTTGTGTGACATAATTTTACATCAAACATTCCCACCAATAATGGACTGAACGCACCACTGGCAAACCACTGTAGTTCAGGTGAGCTTTCTTTCTTGCAATTAAATATAAATGGGCACACCATGGCTCACATGATGACTAGTGTAACTCACTAGAGCTGGGTATCATCAAGAAGTTGCCGATTCGATACATATCTCAATACAGTGAGCTTTCGATATAATTCGATATATTTCAAATCAATTCGATACAGTTCAATAAAAAATAAAGGCTAAATCATGGCTGTGATACTAAAAGTCTTCATATGAAACCCATTTTAATAACCAAAACAGTGAAAATGTCAAATGAGTTGCATAAACGATTTTCCTTCCTCTAAACAAGCAACAAAACTGTAGCACTGTAACTACATAATTTGGTAAAATATATCAAAAAATACTCTTGGCGATATATCAGTACAGTAGCCCACGAAACGGATACTTTATCATCACATTAAAGATACAACAGATCGAAATTTTGATATTTTTTACACTCCTATAGGCCACCCAGTGTGAGGGGTGTGAGAATGAAAAGACTAAATGCTCTTGGATTGACTGGCCAATTGCAAATAAACCGGCCTGTGGTCATGTTCATAACTACAGATAGGCCCTGTTGCTTTGGTTATGTTTGGATGTTCGGTTTTATTTATTTTAAGTTGATGCTCTCTTTAGATCTGTGTTTTATGTGCTGCAAACAATGGTCCATCATGCTTTTTTCTGCTACATACATTTTCGACCATATTTAAATACGTATAAATAAAAATCACTACATACACGAATTACTTAAAACGGAGCTGCCAAGGTTTTTAGACACATGATTGACGGTAAATGGCCAAACACTAGAGTCACACACAGACAGTTTGAAGCTTTAGTTTCGTTTTTCGTGATCACAGCGGGTCAGATGAGAGAAAAGCCGCTCACCTCGTGTCCGCGGCCACGTTTAAAGGACACTGCTCCTGAGACATGCTGGACCCACTCGATGAGATTAAATATGAATATCTGATTACAATATACTAAAGGTTTCAGACACAGGCTTGCATAAACACAAAGAATTGCATGTATCTAATATGAAAACGCTAACATCTGCGGTTCAAACAGACCGGATGTTATTATTATAAACATCCGGGTAAGCGGCGAAAAGGTAGTTTACTGTCCCCTACTGGCGAACAAACTCAGTAAATTACATTGAGCAATAAAAAGTTTTAAAGTATAAAGTAAATTCCTACAGATGATAAATGAAAATATTGTGTGTCTATGTACACTTGATGTTTTATCTATGAGCATAATTCAGTTTTTTAAATCTGCACTAACAATTCAATTCAATCTTTATTAAGAACACACAATATCTGGTTCATTGTATTAAAAAGAAAATAGTAAGAATTAAAAAGTTAAATACAGTGCATGTTATAATGTATACAGGCAAGACCGCCAGTGTCTCCACAGCTGAGAGGTGAATCTGACAGAGCTCCTCACAGGACACACTAATGATTCGATTGCTCAGATTCATGGCTCTACACATAAATTAATAAATACAACAACTGATTGTGACAGCACAGGGTTTTACACCACAATTTACAAACATTTCACTGGCGATACAGAACCTCAGCACTTTCAGTAATATTCTCAAAGAATCATTATAGGCCACTGTCAAACTCTGCATACTCTTTTTCTTGTAGTTGCGCCAAAGATGCGCAGTATACAAAAGTGAGCAGAAACATAAAAAAAACCTATCTGATATTTTATTGACATTTGCAATATGAAGTAAAATAATTAATACATATTTGTATTTAAGAAAATATGTTTATTTTCTGAATGCTAAAAAGACTTACAATACAATCAAATGTGCAATTTTTTTTTTTTTCAGTGGTCGTTATTGCCACAGTCTGGGAGGATGGGCTGAAGGCACAGGGAAGATCACTTTCTTTCGCAGTGAAAAGGCTGGCTGAGGCATCTGTTTTTTTGGTTCTTTTGGACCAGTCTTTTTGCTGACATCTGCATTCACCTTGGTCAGGATGGAAACAAGGTCCAGTTGCCTGCAGAGGAAACAATGCATTTATATCAAAAGTTTTTCTACACCAGGCATTATGACAGAACAAAGAGAATGGTGCTTATTATTTTCCAACAGGCTCCTACAGCTCAGATCAAACAGTGATACAGAACTACGTTCATACCATACTCAATACAATACAACAACTCACCTTTATGTAATAAATACTCCTTTCCTTAAGACCTTACTTATTTTTCTATTGTACTTTTACTTGTACATATACAGTTACATAATTATGTCTTATTTGACACCTGTCTCTTGCTATTTTTGTTACTACTTATTTAGAATGTATTATTACCATTTACATTTTTCACTCTGTTATTATAATATAATGTGATGTGTGGGCTACTGTGCCCAAATAATTTCCCTTGTGGATCAGTAAAGTTTGTCTGAGTCTAATCAAGTTCACACATTATCGTACTATTATCATATTACTTTTTATGAAATACTTATTGTGTTGTTCAACTTAAATGTGTGGGTGTCTATTAACTGCCCTGTTCCATAGAAAGTACAAATAAACATGTAAAACCAACCTGGGTACCATATGGATGAGGTTTTCACACAAAGTCTGGATAAACCATGAGCCACTATTCCTGTCTCTGTAGGAAACATACGAGGGAACTGTGGCCATTCCCAGTAAGAAATCAGCATCAGACGGGATCGAGTCCTCAACTTTAACAGCATCGTTTTCAATACAAGACACTGGACCATCCGACTCAATTTTGACTGCTTGCTGTTCTTGCTTTCCCTGGCAAGCTTGGATGAAAAATATCTTTGGTTTATCAATAAGAGAGGGGCAGCTGGAGCCATTGAAAAGCGCAGTCATCTCATTGATAGGGACAGTTTGATCATCTACTCCAAACACGCCCCCCTCCTGACCGTGGCTCAGGATACAGCACACCACAGAGTCCATGTCTCTGTGGTCTCTCCTGCTCAGATTCTGCATCACTGACAGCATCTTCTCACCGGTGCAGTCATTATGGACCTCCACCTCGAAGCCCAGCCAAGAGAAGACTTGATTCAGGCACTCTGCAGAGTACACAGAGAGTTTTGAGATTGTATTGTTATTTTTTTTTTTTTTACATGTAAGATGACCTTAAGGGTCCTGAAAAGCGTCATTAAATGAAATGCATTTTTATTATTCATTAATTTAATAATAATAATAATAATAATAATAATAAAAGTTCAAAAACTTGCTCAGGGCCAATCAGCTACGTCCTCAGTAATGATCACAAGACCTATAATTTTATTTCAAATCTGTTTCCGAAACTTCCGAAAATCAACCATGAAGTTACTAGAATATTTATCAGAATCTTGCATTTTAAACTGCCCTTTTGGACTTAAAACATTCACTTTATGGATATTAGTTGCCACATAGCTGCTTGAACTATTAATATTGAATTTTTTGGGGAAAAATCTATGGGAAAAATTTACAGAAAATTTTCTTCTAGAACTGGTGTGAGCAACCACTGTTGAGCTCCACTGAATGCCAATCATTTTAGCACTACCAATAACGTCTAATTATCAGGAAGGAGTTTCACATTGTTTTGAATGGTTCACAGTCATTTTCAGTTGTATTGAAATTTGATTCATTGCACCATCTTGAACACAGTTTTTTCACATTTTGTTGATGTAATTATCTAACAAATATGACATCTTAAACTAGAGCACACACCTTTGTCAAACTGTGTCCCTTCACGTTTCTTCTTATTGATGAAATCATAATTGTTTATTATCAAACAAATGCCTCTTTTCACTCCATTCATTGGGTATGTGCCCACTTCCTGTGAGATTGAATGCAGAGATTTTAAGATAAATAACCATATCAGACAATAACATGCTGATGCCATTAAATAGAGAAATACCTCATAATTTCTGGCTTCAGAGGAAATATTAAGCTCAGAGTCTGTTTTGTTAGAAATGTTTGCACCTTCTGTTGACATTTTCAAAACACAACAGATTGAATAAAATCCATTGAACAAATTCATTATTTAAATGGTGAACAGGTTTACAGACCTTTTACTGAGGAACAATTTGGCACCATGTTTGGCCCACTGACTTGCTCAGGTGAAACACTGGAGTCCTGACAAGAAGCTGATCCATATGGAAAATCTACAAAGAAAATGTACTGCATTATAATGACAGGTTTATTTATTCATTTCAAGAAATCACCCAAAACTCACCCACAGAGGCATTTGGGCGATCAACTGAAACCTGTACAGAATGAGATGGAGAAAAAGGATAGATCTTAGAAAGTGATTATCAGTGGTGGAATGTAACAAAGTAAAAGTAGTGAAGTACTGTACGTCAATATAAATTTTAGGTATCTGTACTGTACATTTTAGAATGAATACTTTTTACTTTTAGTTTACTACATTTGAGACAAGATATCTGTACTTTCTACTCCACTACAGTTTAGTGTTGAAAATTTTGCTGGAAAAAACAACTGATTCAATTGTTTCTACTGAACAAAATACAGTGCAAATCTTTATCAAAATCAATGAGATCAATTTAAATCCTTTTAAGACCTCAAAATATGCACAATATACTATAAGTACTTTTATAAATGGTTACTTTAATACTTAAGTAGATGTTCTTTATCTGCACTTTTAAAACTGCAAATGAATGCAAAAATCTTACCTGAGGTGTGGATTGAAAACCTATGAGTAAAAAAACAGAGAATCAATTTCAAATATTTGACAAAACACACAGCAGGATACAAAGCCGAATGCAAAAGCAATAATCTCTGCTTACTCATGCCGTTGCTCCCTTCATACAGCAACTGGTCATACAGAGGACACTAAAATAGAAACTTGCTGGTTAGATGTGGCAGTTCTGTGCCAAATTGAAAAATAATTCATATAATCATACCTGATTCTGATCTGCAGGAAATGGCAATGAAGTCGATGAATTCATTCCTTCAAAACCAGATTGAACATGCACAGCTATGATACAAAGCAGTGTAATATTAGATGCAGTGGTGGAGGGTAACACAGTAAAAGTAATAAAGTACTGTATTTAAGTATATAGTCTAGGTATCTGTACTTCACTTAAGTAGATTTTAAAGAGAATATCTTTTACTTTCGCTACATTTTTTCACTACAAGGTCTCTGTACTTTCTAATCCATTACACTGTTGAGCTAGAAGTATTTTTATTACAGTTTGAGACCTGCTGAAAAGTCTGATGGATTTATTTAAGTTCATAGTTTGAGTAAACACAAAATATATAAATAAAAACAGGGGAATAGATTATTGTTTCTGTTAGACAAAATTCAATACAATTCTTTTTCAAAATCACACCTTATAAGACCTAAGATCTGTGCAAAATACTTTTACTTTTTACTCTTTTAAACTGATACTACTTTTACTTAAGTAGATTTTGTCATGTGATACTTTTATGTTTACTTAAGTTTATTTATTTATTTGCTCTGGTATCTGTACTTTTACTTAAGCAACAAAACTTAGTACTTCTTTCACCGCTGATTAGATGTATTGTAAATGCATGTTCTTAGGTGTGTGTGGTTATTTTGTACTTTACCCTGCTCCTTAAAGCGATTGATTTTCTCATTCAACACAGGACACACAGACTGAAATATCTCCTGAAGTAAATCCAGATTAAATTCACTGAGGAGGTCCATGTGCTCCATCTCCAAGAAAAGCTCCAAAGTTGTCTGAAAATGTAAAGATCATTTCAAAGCTAGTTAAACCATTATTATTGAATTGACTTACGCACTTACAACATTTTCGTCCAGCTTTTTTCTTGGGAGTTTTGGGTTTAAAAGGAATTTGATACTTCTCAGGTCTTCGTCAGTGATATCTTCAGAGAGATTGTACAGCAGCTTTCTGAAATAAGATGCATTCTTTATTGCCTGACCAGCCAGAAACACATGCACAAAACTTTATACATACGAGCAGATTCCTGATTTCACAGGGCATGACTGATAGGCCGATTAACAAGTCAGAGAGGCACATGGATAAATCATCGAAGCACCAAACTATTACTTAACTCAGGTAAAATAAGTTATATATTTTGTTCTGAATAATATGAAAATTCTGGAGAGGAGTTGACTTCCATGTTTGAGAGGCACTTGCTACAAACTGTGGCCAAACCTTTTGTCAAAGTCAGAGCTCATAAGATCTCAGAAGCTCAGCAGGGCTGGGTCTGGTTAGTACTTGGATGGGAGACCACTGGGAAAAGTTTCCAGGTTCCACAGGCGGGCACCAGTGGCAAAAACTGTTGTTGTGTCCTTAGGCAAAACACTTCACCCACATTGCCTATTTAAAAAGTGGAGTGTGTGTGAGTGATGGTGGTGGTCAGAGGAGCTGATGGTACAGATTTGCAGCCTAGAGTCCATCAGTCTGCCCCAGGGCACAAAGTAGCTTACTAGCATTGAGTGTGTAGTGAATGAATAATGCACTAAATTGTAAAGCGAATTAGAGCATCTGTAAAAGCGCTGTATAAGACTTTATTATTATTATTATTTATTACTTCAAATTAGCAGCAGTCATCAAATTGTCTCAACTTTTTCACCCTCTATTGTCCGGTTTCAGTCCCCTCTGAATTTGATCACTTAGCCAGGCTGGTGCCACCTAGTGCTTCCGCTCAATTTAATTTTTCTCCAGCGACTAAGTCAGGAATCAGAATACACTAGACGGTTTACAAAAACCCCAGAAGTGCGAATCCGGGCACCAGCCAATCAGCGAAGAGCCATACATTCTGTGTTGGCAAAGATTCCCGAAATCGAGGATTTAAAGCCCGAACAAAGTGAATGTTTGGTGAATTTTATCAAGGGGAAAGACGTTATTGCTCTTCTTCCTACGAGATTTGGGAAAAGCTTAATATAGGAGTTAGCCCCATTAGTAGTGCATTACATACGTCATGATCAAATAGCAGTGATTGGTTAAATTTAAAAAAGTACCCGCCTACCGTCGAGGGAAGGAATTATAATGCTGTGAGGTCAGGCAATATCCTTTATGCATTATTATACTAATACAAATACATATTAAAATAACAGATGTGAGTTTGTCAGACCTGTATGCTGGGATGAGCTCTGTCCTTGGTCCTGGGTGAGTTTGTTGGAGGTGTCTGACTAGGCGCGGTCTTTGTATAGTCAGCAGCAGCTCTTGGAGGAGGTCAGGTTTTTCAGGTGAGAGCAGGTCCTGGTCCGACAGAATGGAGCACAGATCACTGAAGAGCTCCAAGGAGTTCAGGCTGCGCTTAGAGACATCTGTGCAAAGGAACGCCAGGGCTTTCACCTCCTCTGACCCCAAAGACTGCCCTATTTGTAACAGCAGCCTCTGAAAATCCATCTCCTATAGCCACATGTTCAGAAATGGGGTCAGTGTGCATGTATATCCAGAGGAACGCACACAGTGGTGCAACGTAAGTAAATAAGAACATAAGTAAAAGTAAAGTACTGTACTTAGGTAAAATATATAGGTATCAATCACAGACTTTAGAAGGAAGAAGTTTATATACAGTTTTATGATATCAATACATTTTAAACTAGATCTTTTTTACTTTTACTTCACTACATCTGAGAGCAGAGCAGGTGTCTGTACTTTCTACTACACTACTTTTTTCCGCTATTTTTGGACAGCACTGAAAAGTTTTTTTTTATTACAGTTTGACACCTGCCGAAAAGTCTTGGGGGTTTATTTTTTTGGCGTTCATAACAACAAATACACAAATAAAAACAGAATCACTACATTTCAAGCTTTAATAGATCTCAAAATCTGCTCAAATTATTACTTAAGTAGATTTTTCCATGTGGTACTTTTACTTTTACTTGAGATTTTTTTTCCCCTTTGGTATCTGTACTTTTTAAAGTAACAAAACTGAGTACTTCGTCCACCAAATAACACGTGTAATTTAAGATCGGAGCCCCTGATTATATAGGAGGTTGGTCATTTTGTATTTCGTTCTAGTCCTAAGTTTTGTACTTCTCCTGCAGGGTTAAATTCCTTTTCAGGCTGACTTACACATTAAGTTTTGTGTATTTCTTTTCTGTACAGATTTGTCATATATGTATGGCATATGGTCGAATGGTCAAACATGGACAACAGAGGTCACTGTTTATTTTTACTGTTGGGAGTTGCTTTCAGGTGGCTACAGTGGATTACTCCTCTTTTTGAAGTGGGTACAGATAACTCATGTTCAATCATACCATCGTAACAAAGAAATTCATTTGGTAATTTACTGTAGCTTTACTTTTATCCAAAAACTGGCCTAACAAGCAGAGTCTATCCTTAAATATCTACACCTTAAATGAAGTAAATTCGCCTACCTGTTTTGAACAAGATCAAGTCCTTTTTTCAGCAGCAGTCGAGTCACAACAGGCCCATTAGTTTAAATTTAATAAGCTACTGAGGCATATGGACGGTCAGAAAGAGTCAGCAAACTAGGAAAAGTAATTTGTGAATAGCGAATATTTTCTCTGCGTGCCGATACGGGAAGAGTCAAGAACGAAAGTAAAAGTAAGACTGTGGGGAAACACGCGTCACGTGACAAAGTACGGTTATTTTTTAGATAGATCGATTTATTTATTGTCATTGTATGAAATACAACGAAACTTCAGCAGAGCAGATCTGTAGCAGTAAACATTTACAAATACACACACATCCTCACATCCATACCAATAAAAAACATTTATTAAATAAAATAAATAGATTATTGCACCGAGTCCCTTCAGGTCTTTTATCTGTGCCTGTGCCCTTTTAGCACGTCCACTGCTCGTGGATAGAAGCTGTTGCGCAGCCTGTTTGTGCGTGTGAGGGGAGTTTGAAGTCTTCCTGAGGGGAGAGTGTGGAAGAGGCAGTTCCCGGGGTGTGTGGGGTCCTGCAAAATGTTGGAGGCCCGTGTGTGGAGACGTTTGGAGTAGATGGTGTCCAGGTTCGGGAGTGAGGAGTCCACCACCTTTTCAGCTGTTCTCACCACTCGCTGCAGGTCCTTCTTTTCAGCAGCTGTGCAGGCTCCATACCACGATGTACAGCAGTACGTTAGAACGCTTTCGATGGTGCACCGGTAAAAGTTGGTTAGGAGCTTCTGGGAGAGCCCGTTCTGGCGGAGTGTTCGTAGAAAAAACAGTCTCCGCTGGGCATATATAATGCTGATGGTGTTTAGGCTCCACTTCTATGTTCTATTTTTGGACATGTACTATTTAAACTATGAAGAAACTTGTAAGAAAACGGTTACACAGCTGCAACATTCACAGTGTTGTGTGTCAAAAATATATTTCACTGTGGGACCTAAAAAATGAAGGACACCCTTTGATTTATTAGATTATATTTTAATAAATAGACTATTAAGTAAATAATGAATACAATTCGAACTTAAAACAATATTGATGACATACAGAGCTGCTCTTTCGTTCTCAGTAGTACATAAATGTTAGTGGAGAAGTGCACGAGGCTGAGGGTTAGACTCCAGAGTCTTGATTCGTCCTCTGTGTCTCACGCGCACACTGAGCCACGCGAGGGAGTTCAGCCCAGTGCTGTCAAAGCTGAACCTCTCTGTGTGGGACACAAGCAACACACACATGTTAATAAGTCACTATATAGCCCGCATAAACCTGAACAATAGCGAAGGCAACAGAAAAGGTGAATATGAGCCTTAGAAAACCACCCGACTACATTCTAAATTTATATTCTAATCCTATAACACTTTTTTTACAGTGGCTTTTACATTTTATTTTTATTTATTCATCCATTTAAATAAAGATTTTTCAAGCACTTACTGTCTGTAATGAGTGAGTGCACAGAAGTCACGTGTCTGCGGCCCAGACCGTGGCTCCGGGACATCACACAGTCCAAGTACAGGTCCCAGAAAAGTCCCGCGAGGTCCCAGAAAAGCGCTGCGTGTTTGTTATTATCAGACGCCTTGAGAAACACCATGAGGTCCCAGAACGCGGGCACTGAATCTGCGATGCGAGGGGAGCGCATCTCCAACAACAAAGCGGATGACGACTCCCAGCACTGCGGGTGCGCTCGGGGAACCACCAAGGGGTCAACCTGGCCTGGTCTTTGCGCCATGACGCACAAGCAACAAAGCGTCAATACCGTGACCGTGAGTAGTGACAGGTGCAACGGAACCATCTATAAACATATGAGAGACAGAGTGATAGAACTTAATCTGAAGTAAGAGGGCAAAACAGATTACGAACTATAGAGAAGATTTTGTGCAGAATAAAATGTTATAATATAACATAGCCCTTAAATTGCAATATTCTGTATAACATATATGGTCTATATGACAAAAAACACTCTCCATCACTAAGAAACATTCCCCCTAAACTGACTTTGAGCTTTAATCAAAGTTATTAATAAATTTTTCTTTAAAAAAGTAAGATGCTGAGAAAATCCACTTACCTTTAAGTGAGGCCAACAAAGGATCTATAGTGTTTGATGGAATTTGATAAATAGCTATCTGTTAGTCCTGGCTGACGTCACCCCTCCCCCCGTGGAGATCTATGAGCCACTTCTTCTCACGTTCAGTATGGATGTCTGATCATCAGCCATATATGATCAATAACGACCTTAATATGTAGTTCTAATTAATGATCAGCATGCATACAATACAACAACAAAAACAGGAGTGGACTATATCAAGTATATCAACACTTACTGTGTTAAAATGGACACATTTAGGCAGCCTGAATGTTTCAGATTGATTTAGTGTCAATATGGTCACCCTGGCTTTTACTGACAAGTCCCCAAACACTTTGTACTGTGATGTGTATTGTTTATTCTTCTACATACACATCAGGTTTATACCAAGACTCACATACACACCCAGTCCTTGTCTTCAGATGCACTTCAGAGTGCCTGTAATACCCATGATGCACACACAGTTTGTTCCGCAGTCCCATACTAACCTCATGGACACAGAATACAAGGGTGGAGGTTTCCTGATCAACATTGTCACCTCAGAAACAGCAGGCTGTCAGCCTAAAAGAACAAGTGCAGCTGTAACTGTTCAGGGAGTGGTTTGGCAGTTACGTTTTGATGCTTTTACTGAAATGTCACATACATAGATGATCTCAGGTGCAATTACTTTCACAGTAAGAGGTCTGCGTTAAATGCACTGGGTGGATTCACTCCTGATGATGCAAAGTGTACTTGTAATGACCGTTTCTATTCCAGTCCTCAAAGGACTGTGGAAGAAGAAGACTTATTCATGTATTGATTCATAGAATGTATTGTTTAGTTATCTGAAAACGGAAGAGGAAGGAAAGAATGGCAAAATTATTGTTATTATTAAAAAATGTGAAGTACATTGGAGTCAGGTCGGAACAAGCGTCAGTGCCTGAATTTGAGCTACCTAGACCCCCGAATTTCCCCTTCTGGGGATCAATATAGTATTTACCTATCTGTCTATCTATCTGTCTGTCTGTCTATCTATCTATCTATGTATTATTACTTTCTTAGTTCTTAACAAGTTCTTAGGTTCAATGTACAGAGGAACTTTATCATGATGCTTCATGCCCTTGAAAGTCCAGTGTTATGTTATACTTCACTTTTTGAACTTTGAACTGTTGATACCTCATAAAAAACTATACTGTTCTGGTTCTTATGGAACAGCATTCTATAAATTGAAGTGCAAACATTATCAGATGTTCAGGTTATAAAGGAGTCAGTAAAAAGTCTCATGTGCATGATTGGCTTAACCCTGCACCTCAGTCACCTGAGTCAGTTTAATCTGTGTGAATATGAGCTGATAATTCTCATTTGTACAAGTATTGGTGCCAAAAAGTAGGGTTGACCTGATCAATTCATTGCAAGCTTTACTGTGCAACTTCAAAAGTAGCAATGTATTTAGCCTAATTTAAACTGCCTCACTCCTCAAACAGTCAATAACAGTCAGTTATTCTGCTCTCTGCTGGCATCTTATTCGATGGCGCAGATCATTTTACATAATTATACACATTTATGTGTTGTACATCAAAATTAAGTAGTTTGTGTCCCTACTGACAAAAAAAAAAAAAAAATCAGTAATGCTAAGTTGCTGAACTGTCAGAATACAATTTGAGTATATATATATATTTTCAGCATGTCCAAGACACACTGGGCAGCTTTATCTTTTGAATCACACACAAATAACAGTTTTGGTTTTGTTAAATAAAATTGCTTTATTGAACATCATTGTTTTACTCCCCAAAAATACAATGACAAATGAAAAAGCAGAGACAAAATATGTCCATAATTTATTCGCCAGTCCTGTACATGATGCAGTGAGAGACACGAGACAGTGACCACATGGAGGTTACACTGAGGCCAGTGCTATGGCAGCACCTGGAGCACACCACCTGTCAGAGAAGCCCTGGGCCTCAGTAAGTACAGGCACCATACAGTGTGTGTGTGTGCGTGTGTGTGCGCGTGTGTGAGCCATACAATACCAGGTCAAACAATGACAGTCACACAAACAGGTTCATATGTAAAGGGTGCTCGCTTGTTTTATTTTCAAAATATTAATTATTATTTTATTTGTATTTATTTGTAGTATGTTTAAGCATCATGAAATGAGACATATGACATGGCCAAATACAAAAATTGCAAAGGATTTTGTAAATCCTTGTTTATATTGAAATTGTTATTACCCATACGTTGTGCAATATCTCTCTTTGCATAGTAAATAAAAGTTTAAATGTTTAGTTGTTGTCATGCACCTATCTTTTGTAGAGTATTTTGTTGCAGATTTAGGGGACTCCCATACAGAATTATAAGCCCACTATAGTGAAAGCATGCAGCGTAACCAGTAGAGTTGAACTTCAACTAAAAGTTTATGAAAGCGAGGGCTAAGCTAGTATAGTGGGTGTTGAGGAAATGGTCAGAGGACAGACTTCACACCAGCATGAGAGGCACTGCTGGCTGCAGACAGAGACAGCGCTCTGTGCAGCGACATCCATTAGTTCAGAGATGACTTCTTTGGCTTTGCAGTTCACTGCTTGAGGGTATAGGGTTTGTGACAGTAACCAGACATGCTCTCAGTTTTTAGATCTGCTTTAAAGAACCATTTGACCTCTCTCAACAGTCATGAATTTGTATAATAATTTGTATTTGAATAATCATTATTATATATTATTTTATATTATGATTTGGTCCATAACACCCGCTATACAGTACAGCATGCTAGAATGTTAAACAAGAGTGACTGATGTCCTTTTGAGTATGCTGCCCACACCAAACTCTTCCTTTATGTACACTATTGGATGTGTGTGTTGACTATGTGCACTGCACCACCCTCCTGGGCCCTCTCATGCACCAAGCTCCTTAAAATAACCACAGGAGCCTCACCCAGATCCCCACAGGGTTCTACAAAGGCTATTCCACACTGGAACTTAGTCACTTCAGTATGTTGTTTTTGCTGTATAAATAGTCGTAGCTTTCGTAGCCATGCAAAGCCCCACTAACTGGGCTCCTCATGCCAGGGCACCAGCAAGCAGCATACTTTGTGCAGATTATCATGCCAGGTAAGAGTGGTATGGCTTCCGCCTGAACGCCTGCACTGGCACTTAAGGATGGAAGAGGATCTGTCACTCTAGATATGGTAAGGGGCAGCTCAAGAAATGGGGGAGGTTATTTTGAAAAGGCTGTATTTCTATATTTCTACAATGGAATTTGTTAAAATGTCCACTATGTTTGTTTTTTATTTTGTTTTGTTTTTTCAAGTAAATCTAATGCCAAAGATCAGCAGCAATAAGTGCAGTCCAGCAGTCGGGTTGCCAACTGAAGAAGCCTTGGAGGAGTCCATCAGTGATTGCCAGCTCTCCTCAGGTTAAATGGCTGTGGCGTTGGGGTCATACCGTCGTTTCTTCACATTTCTTGGAGCAAAACAAGAGAAAAATGGTCAGTGTCAATACTGGGTACGTCTGCAACGCACACAGTGCAACCTGGACAAGCTACCACACTCACATCTTCAGTCTGGACAAGACAACAAAAATACTAAAGACACTGAAGTGAGGAAGGTTGGTCCATGTTGGCTTGGGAAATACTGACAAGAAGGCAGTGGGAGCATTTGAAGCATTAAAAACAATTTGAATCAGTATTTATATTTTTTTAGTCTCGAGGTTGACAAACATCTCCAGCTGCCTTCTTGGAAACTGACTTATGCGTGCAATGAGGAGACAAAGTGAAGAGATGTGTTCCGTTACCCGTTTTGATGGAAAAGACATTAGTTCCACTCAAAACATAACCAGCTGGGAGGAAAGAGCTACACAAACTTTACTGTATAGAGGGAGAGAGGAAACAAGCACACAGAGGATGACTACAGTGGTAGCAGTAGGAACCACAACATTGGGACGACATTTACAACACCAGGAGTGATGCGTAACCTCCCCGTACTGTGGCTTGTTGTGGGGCCTTGTCACTCTCTCATGCATCTGATCCAATAGTAGGCCAGTAGGAGGTGGCACTATTGCTATGATTCATGCAGTGCAATGCGCCGTGTCTGTACCAGGTCTGTGAAGCAGGCAGCAATGGCAGCTGGTGTGGGCGGGTCCGAGAGTCCTGCTCTGCACTAGGGCGGAGCCTGGGAATCCAGGTGGGTGTGGCCAGCCATGGCACAAAGACTGCCAACAAAAAGGTCCTGACTTCTGCCTCTGCAGCCCTTAACCACTCCATTTAAAGCCTCACCCTCAAACACTGACGGATTGAGAGAGAAGTGATGGATGTGATGAGAGCATGACAACAGTGGGACCTGTGATCAGCCTTTGTGCAATGAACTGGCCTCCTCCAAATCAAACAAGTCAACATGCAGAATGTCTTCAGATATTTGGTCATTGTCTTGCATGATGCTTTGCTACCTGGCATGCTTTGGTGGCTGCAGGTTTGGATACTTCGTTTAAAGCTTAGGCCTATTTAGGTCCAAGTTAACACCCCTGTTGCTCAAGACAGCAGGCTATTTAGTCTTTGACTGGATCTTATTATAACAGGCTACTGTACAAAGAGTACTTTACCATTTCCAGAGTCTATGCGGTGAGAGTATTACTGAGAGGGAATCTAAAGCTCATTTAAAGCTCTGATCCCTCGTTGTACATGCACGTCAAACATTGAGCATGTCCAATTAGTTTGAGTTTCTGCTACAGATTCAGAGACAAGCCCCACAGGATGTGGAGGTTTCTACCTTCACATCTTGATCTACATTAAAAAACAGCCATATGTAGTGGATGATAGCCAGATATGTACTGTACGTGCAGGTAAAACATGAGCATCTGGTCCAGCCCAGGGCTTCAGGTCGGTAGCAGGAGCTCAAACCCTGTGTCTAGAAGCAGCAGGGATGCTAGAGTTAGAGCAGGAGAGGCATGCGGCGTGTTGCTTACTTAAAGCCCCATCCAGTCCCCCCCAGCACTATGGCAGCCACAAGGATGGCTCCGGCGATGGAGCCTATTATAAGATTGGTGGCACTAGGACCTGTAAAGGGTTATGGGGAAAAAGACATGAGTTTGTGTGCTCACTGGAAGTGTTATTAATGACATGTAACGGTACAATGATGATTTCACATGGAACAAGAACATACCATAATATACTATTACAATAGAATGACCGGTTTTGAATTTGGCATGCTTTTCAGACCTAAGATATAACTCATGTAATGATGCAAATATACTAGTAACTGTACATTTATCTGGTGTCAGTTGAGGTAGTGCATAGTGATATTTATATTACTGTACAGAAGACTAGACCATCAACAAATTTAATTCAACACTTTAACAGATGATATGTAAATGAACCCACAGTATGAATGGTGAACATATTTTAGGGTCCCAGTCACCACACAGCCTACCACTGACTGACAAGCCAGGTCACTCTGGACACGTCTCAGACTAACATCTATCTCAACGCCCCACATGCCCCAGAAAGGAGAGGATCATAGGAGCAACAACAGAACAACTAAGAATAAGAGGAAGAAGAGGGGAGAGGAAGATGAAGAGAGAGGCTTGTTGTAATGCAGAACAACAGGAAGTGAGCAAGAGGAGGAGGGAAGGAGGAGGAATCCATCAATCAATCACACAACACTGAAAACATCCAATCACAACAGTTATATGGTCATCACCAACACACAGTAAACACAAAGCCACCGGGACGCACACACGGGCTCAGGCCGGCTCACGAGACCGCCCGCACACTGAGGCATCACTATGAGAGGAAGAGCTGTGAAAGGGTTCAAATGCTTACTCTATTCCCCACCCTGTGCCTCCAAATATCACCCCCAGGGCCAGAATGGTCCCTGCTACTGCCCCTATCAGCCTGTTAGTGGCCACGCTCACTGTGCAGAGGGAAAAGCAGGATTATTACCACCTGGTCAACACAAAAACCCCTATGACCACCTACTCGAACCTCCAAATCTGCTCCAGTTAGTGAAGTCTGTATGACCATATACTGTAACAAGCTAATCATTTGGAAGTGTTTTCATCAAATTATGTTTTAGTAATTGCCAGTAAATCAACAGTAAAAAAAAAAGATTAACAGTATTACATTTTGATCAGATATTCAATATGCCTTGCAACGCTATGCTGCATTTTATGGCACTCATTTCAAAATATAAACAGTGTATAAAATAGCACAACTTGTCAACGAGATAAAACCAACCCTTGGGTCCTTCATCCTGAGTGGCCTTAGTCTCTTTGGGCGGATCAGGCATGCTACAATCTGTCCCTGCCCACGTGGTGTCACAAGTGCAAGTGGCTTCATTGTTGCACACCTGTACACAACAAAGAACACAAGGAGTCAAGATAATTACAATATCAACGTTCACTATGAAAGCTGGAACAATGTACTTTAGGCTCAATATTCATTTTGGGGGTTTGGGGGAAGATTTGGGGTATTTTTATTGTAATACGATAAGATTTGAGCTGTAGAGGGTGAAAAAAGTAACTTCTACGGCTAATTATTGGTTCATTCTGCTACAGATGATTTACATGGAATATCTTACATTATTGTTATGGTGTCAGTGCTTTCAAGTAGTTTCAATATTATTGTTTATCACAGTATATCTCTGTAACAATATATTGTGTTTCAAAATTTGTTATTGTGAGGTGTTATAAACATTTTGCAGTTTGTTTTTCTCTTGTGCATCATCATCATAACACATCACTTTTAATTACTTATATACTATATTTAGTTTCTTGACAATGGATGAAAAAAGCTTAGAGGCCCCCATTCTTTACACAACAACAAAGTAGTGCAATCTGTCAGGGAGGCATGCACACTCATATAAAGCTATGTGTATGGACTCAAAATATTATAGGTCAACTGGATTTTGTTGTATCTTTCTCAGACATCAACCAGTATTTGAAACGTTTTGAGAAAGTTAAAAAGAATAAAACCCAGTTAACTGTTCTAAGTAATTGTCACACTTTTATATTTTTTATGACATTTTGAAGAATCTTAAAATTACTGAGCAAAGAGACAGATTTTTGTTTAGATTTTGACTTGTGACACTGAAGAAGGATGGTTAAACAGCAGCCAAAATAAGATAAAGGAGAAAACAAAATAACACGTCTGACTACAAAAATATTAGAAAAGAAGACTTGATTTTCCATGATTTTATGAAAGTAACTATATTCTGATACCACCCAAAGAAATAATAACTGTACTGTACTGTACTGTTACTCAAAATTAATATTCAGAATACATATTTTCTGTATATGTATTCAGTTACTTCCCAACACTGAAGAGACTGAGAGAGAGTTGAGTATGTGGCTTTATGCAGTGTTGGGAAGTATCTGAATACATGTAACGAGAATATTCTGAATACTGATTGTTTTTAATGCTATGTTTTGCATCTTTACAGTATAATTTTAGAGTTACACATTACAAAATACATTTTAATTCATGTATTCAGTATTCTGTAACTACATACATTTTCAAGTACAAGTATTTTTCCCATCACTACTTCTCTTCTAATATTTTTGCAGCCAGACAAGGTGTTTTTGTTTTCCTTTATCTTCTTTTGGCTGCTGTACCACCATCCCACCAGTATCAGCTGTAACATGTCAAAGTTTAAACAAAAATAAGTGTCAGTGTCGAAGCCGTACCAAGATTCTTCAAAATTCAAATAACTGGACTGTCTTCTTTTTTCTTTTCTCAAAACATTTCAAACAGTCAAGTCAAATGTATTTGTATAGCACCACAGTGGACCAAAGTGCTTAACACAGAACAGTAAACCGCAATATACAACTCACAGCAAGACAAACAAGATTAAAAGTGCTCTATGTAACTTTTTGGTTGGCGGTCCGTCACCTGCTTGTTTCTATGGATATGACATTGCTCTGCCTGGAATGTTCCATAGTATGACATTAAACAGCTCTACCTTACATTTATTCAATTACAGGTGGTTTTATAACTTTAAAATACCCAGAAAAACAAGTATTCTGGCTGTGAGTGGGTTCACCTCTCCACAGATTTGACCTGTAACTTGGTCTGCTTAGGTGTCCATGAAGATTGAAAGGTTTAATCCGCACTTCTCTGCGAAGAAAAGCATTTGACAGACCCTCCACCAGAAAAGTTACACAATGCACCATTAAGATAATTTAGGTTAAAATAAATCAAATATTGGTAGATGTTTAAGAATGAAAGAACAAAACCCAGTTGACCTAATAATCTATGTGGATTAGGGACACACCTCATCATCTTTTTCAGTTCAGATACCGATACAGATACTTAACTTTAAGTATCTGCCGGTCCCTAATATGATACAAGTGTAGGGATGAAGAAAGACGCTTATTTCCTTAAAACACAGTTAAATTATTACATATGAGCTCCAGTAGTGTTATGTAGCTATTCTTTATCCTTCAAATGAACAGTTTTATATAAGTTGATGGATTCAACATTTATATTAATCTCACTGTGTATGTAATGGTAATGTAATATTCACTTTTGTTATTTAATCATATTATAATCAATGTATCAATATGTGCACTTAAACAACTCTGTTTCTGAGTATTGCAGATTTCATGAGTTTGCAGAAGGTCACGAAGTCCTATCAAATTCAATAACAGGAAACATCTTGGGCGACCATTGCTTAAGGAGGATAAAACTAAGGAGGATGAAATGAGGAAGGGCAGACTGACCTTAACTCTGGCCTGAATACTGTATTGAAGTGTTATTTTTGTTTTTCCTGAAGCAAAAGAGGAACTACTCCTAAATGTTTAATGTTTGCATGTTCCCCCTCCCGTTCTGAGAGGAGTAGTTCCCATTGTAACTAGGGGTCCTAAAATTGAATAAAAGGCGTGGAGAAACGAGAGAAGGCTTTAGAGAGTATTTGGGTGAACAACAACTAGTTTCATGTAACTAGAGTTCTTCTCTCGGTACTCCCTCCACGCGTGTAAAAGATATTAATCTCTTGTCTTCTCTCTTGTTGAATATTGAGTATAGGTAAAGGTGAACCTATCATAAGTAAAAGTTCAAATATTATGAGACATTTGAGGCCAAAATCAGCCTGTAAATTGTCTTATTACATCCAAAGGCCCAACCAAGATATCGACTAAACTGATGTCATGGAACCAATACTCGATCCAGAAAATTTTTGTGGACATATGAAGAAACATCTGGACTTACCCCATGGGCAGAGCACACCTGTCCGTTGGGTCCAGAGGGGCAGCTGCTCATGTTCAGGGACTGGATGGGGAGACACTTATGGTCAAGGCACATCATCGAAGGCCCACAGGGGGTCCCATCCTCCACGTAGCCTAAGTCAGTGTCATCGTCTAAAAGAACATGGCCGCCGCTGTGGAACCAGAGGTGAAGAAATGAGAAAGGCATGTGAAGTAACAGGGGTCCATGCTTTCCCAAACACACAAACCTGCAGTCCACCAGCTTGCCTTGATGGTTAAAAGTTGTGGGTGTGATTTCCCCTTTCATAATGCCAATGCGTGGATTGCGCCCAATGTTGGAACACAAAAGGTACCCACAGAAGACGTCACTGAAAAAATACAATAAAGAATAATTGATAACACTTTATAATAGCTACACCTGAAATAGGACGGGGTTAGGATTAGGAGAAAGGGTTGGAGTACTGATTAAGTAGTTAGTAAGCCTGAATCATTTTTAATAAACTATGGGTTCATTATGAATTAAGTCTTTCTTCATGCTTTATTCGGATCTGTATGTAGTTATTATAAAGTGTTGTTCAGTAATTAATAGATCTTAGATTTCATTACATACTGAAATTATAGAAAGACTATAAAAAGGGCCTACAGATGGTGCATTTTTTTCATAGTTTTCAGCAACATGTTTTGTTGTGATATTGTTATTTGCACATATTTTTAAAACTAAACTAACTGTTTGCTACACTGGATCCACTTGTCTCCATCTCTCCCACAGTTGCCTTTCTCTGTGCCTTCAGTGTTGAGCTTCTCGTAGCAGAATTTCTCTGAGCCTCCGGCCTCTGGATGAAAAAGAAACACACAGATATGTGCAGTACCCACCACAACCACATGTGTTCTGTCATGAGGTAACTGTCAAACAGAAACTTACTGGGACCCCAGATATATTTACATTGATTCTCTCTGGTCTTGCACTCTCCATTGTAACAGCGGCCCTAGTGCAGATCACATACATGAGACACATGAGACTGTGTCTACAGTTAACACTGAATTTATGCTCCTCTGAATTCTTCTTCTGAATTCCTCTGAGTTCTTACCTGGCTGACCTGACAAAGGTAACCATCCTGTTTATGGAGGTTGGGAGGGCACTGTAAACAATGATAAAATTCAAGTTAATAATTTACACAATACACATAAAATGTAATATAACTTACTAAAATATATCACAAAAAATTCACCTGTCCAGAGTCTCCAGAGCAGGTTTCTGAAATATCACAGTCATTCACGGCGTAGCGACAACTGTACCCCCTAGGAAAAAACTAGAAAGAAGAAACTGGGTGGATGGGCGGCCAAAATAAAAATAATCAAAAACCAGCATTGTGCTGCGCTAATACAGTGAACTTAAAAAAGTTCATACCAGACAGGTGCCGTTGCAGCACGGCCCGTCGCTACAATGTGCCCCATTTGCAAGAGAACATTTCTTGCAGCAGTCTTTGTAACATTCCTGTAAATTAGCAGATATGACGTCACCGCAGTTAACAATTTACAAAAGAGAAAAGGAGCCCTTGGATGAAAATAAAACAAAGTTGAAAGAAATCAGATTTACATTTTTGTAAGGAAAAATACAAATGCATTTTTATGGTTTACAAATGGAATATAGTTAGGACAGGGATTCTATAAGCATTGTAAATTATAATATTGATGGTATGGGTAAGTTTGCTAAATGTAATATGAATAAAATGCAGATTATTCACAAAATTAGTATTATTTTTTTCCTTAACTAGATCACCACTGAGATACTACTTTCAAAAAAGGGTACACTTCCACAGTTTCACACACTGGAGGAGGCATTGGGCACATATACTGTGTACAAAATGAGGAAATCTTAATGATGCCAAGAGTAACTTACAGCTCTCCCTCCACAGTCGCACTCCTCTCCCACTTCAACAAACCCGTTTCCACATTCAGTTGGTTCAAAGAGCTGCCGGAGAAAACCAAAGGAGTGTGAAGGACAGAGCCACTGATTTATGGTGTTATAGAGTGGATAAAAGCACAGGGAGCATGTCACCTTGGTTGGCCTGTTAAAAAGACACGACCCTCCACCTTTTAAAAGAAAATCCTTGTAGTCAGAGATGCTGCATTTGGAAAATTTCCTTGAATGTTGAACTCTGTGAAGCAAAACAAGAATGGGAATTTTAAAAAGTGTTTCTTTATCTATGAATTTAATTAGCAGACAGTGAGAGAAACACGACTACATTCATACCACACAACTGTACAACAATTCACCTTTATGTAATAGAAAACCCTATGTCATGTCAATCACCACTTCATTTTTGCACTGTTTCTCCTTACCCACCTCTTGGATATAGCCCAGATATATTTTGTATTACAACATTTCTATATTTTTAGTAGTACATATATGCCTTATTTGACACTAGTCTCTTGCTATTTTTATTTATTTATTTATAGGGGTGTAACAATATCCAAATCTCACAATACGATATTGTCACGGTATGAACCTCATGGTACGATATTTATTGCAATATCATAGGAAAGCTCATGATATGGTGGGTAGGCTCACGATTAGGGATGTAACAATATCCAAATCTCACGGTACGATATTTATTGTGATATTTTGTGGAGGCTAAATAAACTGTTAATTATGCTACTTTTTCCTCTTAAAATGCCTTGATAAACTGCTTAGAACTGTTATTTCTTTATGTAGTCTATGCTGAAATGGTCTATGTAGTTCCCTCTGTCTATTGCTGCACCATAACTCTTAATTTAAGCAAAGAGACTTGAGATTCGATATATTATTTTGAGAACTTTGACGCTACGATATCACTGTATTTCGGTTATTGTTACATCCCTAATTATTTATAATTTATTATTACCATTTATATTTTTGCCCTTTGTAATTATAATATATTGTGATATGTGAGCTACTGTGGATCAATGTTTATCTAAGTCTAAGTAACTGTATGTTGAAATTTTCACAGTAAAGTACATACTATAAGGGTTTGGATCTGTTCGTGATGTTTTTAATATACCAAGCAAAGTCCTTAGACATGGTGTAATATTCCTGCTGTTATCGTTTGTGTCTCAGGGTCTTACCCAGTGTCCTCCATGAGGCAGCCGCTCCAGGAGTCAGCACAGCCACATTCCTCTGCACACAGAAAGCAAAAACAACTGAAGTACAGCTAAAGGGCCTATACAGTATTGCAATATTTTTTATCTATGTTATAATGTTGTTTCCTCATCACAAACATGCCTGGAGTTGTGTTTTGTTTCATTCACACATGTTCAGCATGTAAACCCTGCATATTTAGGCTCTTCTCTCAAGCAGAAAACACTCTGTTCCACCTTGTGATGCCATATGGTAACACAGGAAGTACTCCACTGTGTTCTTGAACTCCATACATCGTCACTAGAAACATTTAGATGATTTCAGCCCCGGAATTGCATATTTCTAGTGTATAAAACATAAAAGGTACCTGTTAACTTGAAAACTACCACTACATGACATCACAAGGTAGAGCAGAGCATTTTGAGCTTTGGGGATGCAGACAGCGTAATAACCCCGAATTACAGAAACATGCGTGAATGAAGCACAACCTCAGATATGTTTTTGAGGAGGTAACCACATTATAACATGGCTAAAAGCTCACAAAAACAAAAACAAACGAATTGAGATCTACAAGAATTATACTATTTCCCATTCACCTATATTAAAGTCTGCATAAAACGCATCATGAACTCAATGCATCTGTTTGTTGTTTTATTGTTGGGTTTCAGAAAACACCACAGCATTCCAAAGGCCAATATGAATTAATACAGATGGGGGAAGCTAAAATTAATATTGTTCAAATGCAAAATGATGTTGTAATACAGTAAGTTCTTTTGGTCAGTGATTGAAAATATCACATTCAACATCTGTGAATTTACCTCTTGGATATTTCATGGCAAAGTCCAACGTAATAAATAGGGAAAACTGGCCCATCCCCCCAATGTTGTCTGTGTTTATGAAAGTTATTGACACATAAACCGAGCCAGGCCCGTTGACTTCTGCCCTGACCTATCGGCTACTTAAAAAGATGAAACAAAGCAGCATATCCAGAGAGCAAGCCTCACTGAATATGAGGTGGGCCGACTGAAACTACCTCTTCACTACCTCTTACTCCTATAGGTATTTGTGTTTACTGTCATGAAATAAAAATAAAAAATAATGTGATGAGGTGTGCAAGTGTGATGTGTACTTCTCTTGTTAGCTGGATCCCACTGAATGGCGAGGTTCTGAGCTAAACTCTGAGAGAGGGATGCTGCCATAGCCCATGTGGTACCATACTAAGAAAAAGCAGAAGAATTATTATCGATATACCAAATCACGGCATGGTAAAATGAGCATATCTAACCTCATTGACCCCGACGCCCCTGCTGACCGAGCACATGCCTCCATAATACGCTGCACTGCTTCTGCGAAAGTGGAAGGTCACGTTTCTAGATACAAGTAAATATAAAAAACAGTGACAAAAATATTACCATGTTATACATTTTCACAATTTTAATTTTCTAAAATGTGTTTGTGGTGATAATTAAAGATAAACTGTGTAACTTTTCTGATGAAGGTTATTGCTTTTCTCAGATGATCCACTGAATGGCATTAAACAAATTTATATTGTATTTTCTTTTTTATTTCTCAAAACGAATGCAAAAACATGCTGTGAGTAGATCCACTTCTCCACAGATGTGACCTGTAACTTGATGATGTGGCTTGCTTGTCTCCATGGAGACAGTTAAATGCCATACTGTAGAACAGGGGTTTTGGGACTATTTTTAACATCACTGAACATCAGTAGGTCACCAGGACTAAACCAGGTCTAAACCAGGACTAAACCAGGACTAAACCAGGACTAAACCAGGTCTAAACCAGGACTAAACCAGGACTAAACCAGGACTAAACAAGGACTAAACAAGGACTAAAACAGGACTAAACCAGGACTAATCTTGAACTTGAGAGAGAGAGGGAGTACCCCTAGCCCGCAGAGCAGAGTGCCTGCAAATCACGATCGAGTGACGGCTGCCCTTAACTCCGTGGGGCGCAGAGCTCTGCCCCAGTCCTTTCGCCTGTGGTCACCCAATAATCTACTTGGGTGCACCTCCGGGCCTGTCTCAAAACTCAATCCTGGTTTAGTTCTGCTTTACTCCTGGTTTAGTCCTGTTTTAGTCCTAGTTCAGTCTTGGGATCAGTCCTGGTTTAGTCTTGTTTCAGTCCTGGGATCAGTCCTGGTTTAGTCCATGTGTGTCGCGCCTGCTGCTGTAGAACATTTCAAACAAATAAAATGGAGTCAAGCAAGTGGTGCACCCTTTAGCAGAAAAGTTACACAGTGCACCTTTAATAATAATAGCAGTTGTCTTACGAGAACAAGTGCACAGCGTCTGCATGATGTTTGATGCTTTGTTGTCTGTACTTGGAGAAATCTCTGAGCATTTCAAGCGGCCTCACACTGATCGGTATCTGATCCTTGTCTGTCCAGATCTCCACGGCGACGAGTACCACACGTGTATGCAGTTGTTCTTTGAAGATCTGCCATTGACATTGCCAATGAAAGAGACAAAAACAGAGAGGGGAGCAAACAACTGTGAGGTTTATAGGAATAATTATCTGAATGAAGTGGTCAGAAAAACAAGAACACTACATCACAGAGGGATATGAAGATGGGCAAAACCACAGACTGTACAAAGAAGAGGATTTGCAACCATAGAGCTTAGTTCCAGTCAAATGAAGCTCACGAGGCTAGCTGTTATAGAGGCAAATTTGGAGTTTGGTGTTCCATATTAAGCATAGAAATTTATTTACGGACAAAACAGCAAAATAAAAACACCAAGATCATGTGGTGTGGGCTGATATGAACATTTTCAGACCAACATGATGAGGTTCACTGCAGCAGTTACAGAGAGAGCATGTAAAGTCAATTGGAGCCAGAGTCAACTGAGCCGGAAGCGCCCCCATGCTCACTTCCTATTTGAAACGTGGCGGCAAGCGGGTTAACTATATTAATTTATATATACAGTCTATAGTCAAAACATACAACTTAAAAAACAATGAAATACTTTTTATGTCAAGCTACGCATTTTAAATAATGGGCAGAATCTTGTCTGTCAATATAAAAGTAAGAAAATATATCTCCTCTTGAGACCCGGCCCATTCATTTGTGTCCATTACAGTGGACTTTGAGTTAACCAGTCGATCTTTTAAGTGTTTTGAGATAGACTCTTAAAGGGGGACTATAGGTTCCTCTGTTCCTCTGCCTAAATGTCCAGGATAAAACATTAACTCAATAGGAGTTATTTTGTGGCTGTACTGTTATAAAAATAAAAAAAATAAAAAAAATTAAAAGGGAGTCTAAAAACTTTTTGGAGGTGAAACAAAAAACTTCAAAAAGACTTCCCCGGCGTCCATTACAGAGAACATGTTACGAATTACACATAAAAATAAAATCAACAAAATCTAAATGCTAAGGGGTTTATTTACCTCCAAACAGATAGATATCACAAAAAATATATTTTGCAACACACTTTTTTCTTTGGGTCCCTATATATAAAAGTATGCTATACAATTTAGCATAGCATAACACACAAATACATACATGCCTTGCTACAATAAATAAAATATGAAATATATACTCACAGCATCCACAAGATTGACTACAGACTTTGCAAAGTTTCTTGTATGCTGCTTGTTCCTATGTCTCTTGTGCTATAAAGAGAAACAAGAAAGTGAAACATAAATAAGCTGAAGCAATACAATACGCCAACTACTGTACTCGGATTACACTATTTTCTATTTTGTTTCATTCACACAAACCCTGCATATTTAGGCTGAGTTCTTCTCTCAAACAGAAAACACACCATTTCCACCTTGTGATGTCATGTGGTAATACAGGAAGTGCTTCACTGTGTTTTTAAAGTCCATACACCTTCGCTAGAATCATTTGGATAATTTCATCCCTGGAATTGGTAAATCTACTGAACAAAAGGTGAAAAGTATCTGAAGTTAAACACTACTGCTTCATGACATCACAAGATGGAACAGAGCATTTTGTTTTTGATGAGGTAACAACATTCAAACATGGCTAAAAAATTCACAAGAGTTAATTTTGCGTAATATAGGACCTTTAAATAAAAATGACAACGTACCATGCTGTGATCACTGACAATCATGAGCTCCAAATATTTCATCTCTTCAAAGATATTTCGAGGCATCTGTCACACAAAATATGGACACACATTTAGATCCTTACAAATATAGTTTTCTATTTTCTATATATTTTCTATTCTATTCTATTCTATTCTATTTTCTATATATTTTTCCTATTTTTCCTTAAACGCCTGACTAAAATGATACATCCAAATCAAACTGAAGCTGTTTCTGAACCATTTGGAGTGAAAACTAATGGCAGGCGTCTCTGTGAAGCTGACATTGTTTAGTTTTAGCCTCTGATCTGCTCCCATTATAACAGGAAGGAGGAACATCAGGTTTCTTTTATTTTTGGGGGTAAATGTAAGGGTAGGTGTCGCTGGTGTCTGGCGGGATCATCCAATAGACGGTAGATTTGGAGAAAGCTTTCGCTGTGGTCAATGCTGAAGCATATCTCAAAAAAAAAAAAAAAAAATTATGGACTTGAAATGAGGTAATAAAAAGTCTAAGTTAAAGTCTAGAATTCCTATATAAGTAAATTTTTGTGAATTTTAGAATTGTTTTTTATTTGCAAACTGATTCATCCCAGAGTGTTTCACATGACTGGGAGCATTTTATGAGATGGCGGACATCTGATAAAAGATATTTAAAAAATAATAAATAAATAAAAAAAATAAATAGTGAAAAGTGTAAATTTTCTTCTAGAGGGTCCGTCAAATGATTTTCTTCATGGAAATGTTTCCTTAGTCTGGAATGTCTCATAGTCTGGCATTAAACCTTTTTAACTTCATGGAGACCAAACAGGTCAACTTACAGGTCAGATCAGTGGAATGGCATTTTTCAGTTTTTCTAGGTATTTTTGAGCTATAAAACCACCTGTAATGCAATAAATGTTATGTAGAAATGTATAATGTCCGTGGAACATTTCAAGCAAGGCAATGACATCTCCATAGAAACAAGGAGGTGACGAACCCTCAACCAAAAAGTTGTATAGTGCATCTTTAAATAATTAAAAAAACTTTTATAATGTTATATAGATTTGTTTTAGAGTACTGAATAAAGCAGACTTCTTACAGCGCGCTTTTTCCTTCTTTTAAGCCAGGACAGGTCATCCAGGTCTGAGAAAAGCTGCTCTTCGTCCACTGTAAAACAACACAAAATAACACCACCAACTGCATAAAATATAATCTTGGAAAATATACAGTGCACATCGTCTCAGGGTCAAATCACCAAGGACATGTGAACGCTGTCCTAACACACGAACATAAAGGAGTAATTGCACCACTATAGCAATGACAAACTGTAGGTGGTGACCTCAATCAGGAGCTGGTGATGTCAGTGCATACAGAGTGCAGTAACAGTAAAGGGCTGGGGGACACTTGGAGGAGGTGAGCTCTGAAAATGTACAACCACAGAAAGTTTACCCTGTTCATCTGAAGCATTGTTCCATCGAAGAGAGGTGGTTCGCTTTAATGTGTGAGGCCTCGCAGCTGCTTCCTGCAAAAGAAGAAGAAGAAGCAACTGTTAAAACACAGGAACTGTAACATGCAGGAGCTGATGATAGCAGAGGATGGGAATCATTATATAAAAAAATAAAAAAAATATACATAGACACACAGATACTTTATTGAGGAAGTTCAAATTTAAGGGGTAAATGGCACAGAGCAGAGTTACTGTGGTACCTGTCAGGAAATCCTCCTTTAGCGGTACATCATTTGAGAGTTTAAAGGTCATACATTGTGCAATATTGACGCTTGTGAGCTTTAAGGCATGTTATAATGTTGTTACCTCCTCAGAAATATACCTGGAGATGTGTTTTGTTTCATTCACACAAGTTTGAGTAACCATTGATTATTAGTCTGCCTACATCCCAAAAAGCGATAGTTTAACCTTTAGTTTAGTAGGGATGGACAACTACTAATTACTGGCAATTCTAAATGATTGCAGTGAAGGTGCAGGTGAACGAGTTTTAAAACACAGTGGAGCACTTCCTGTACATCACACATGACAGTACAAGGTGGAGTGGAGTGTTTTCATTTTGAAGGATTCAGACTAAATTTGTAAGGTCTGTGTGTTAAACATGTGTGAATGGAACAAAACACAACTTCAGGTCTGTTTTGAATGATGAAACAACATTATAACATAGATCAGAAAACAGAGAAATATGGACCCTTTAATCCATCTCTCTCCCTTTGCGTTAGCTCTTGTTCAGAACTAATATAACAGCTGTGTAGTGCAATTTTAGATCTGGTTTAGCCATGCATTTAGTCATAGATGCAGAGGTCAATTATTTTCTTAGGTGGCACTTGATGTGAAAGGTTTGAGAATCGTAGAGAATATTTAGAGTTGGATATGATTGTTGAAGATCTCTCTGCCTCAATGGACGAAAATAGTTGGAGTAATAAATAACTAGGACAACTCTGATGAGACAATACAAGAAAACAAAACTATTTTTAAATGTGTTTTAACTAAAGAAACAACCATTTTCATAAAAAAACAAAACAAAAAAAAACACATAAATATACAACTTGGCATACTATAATACTAAATACCTATAAGATTCTAAAACATAGAAATTTCAGGTCATATGATACTATGACAGTGATGTCTGAATTTGCACAGGAAGACAAGGACAAGATCCAGATTTAAAGGTGCATTGTGCAACTTTTCTAGTAGAGGGTCTGTTAAATGCTTTTCTTTATGGAAATGCTATTGCTTTGTCTGGTATGCTTCACAGTGTGGTATTAAACCTTTCTGTTTTCATTTCTCATGGAGACCAAAAAAGGCCAAGTTAAAGGTCAGATCTGTGAAGAGGCAACCCCACTCACACTCAGAATGCCTGTTTTTCTAGTTATTTATGAGCTACAAAACCAACTATAATTTAATAAGTGTAAGGTAGAACATTCCATGAAAAGCAATGACATATCCATAGAACCAAACAGGTGACATACCACCAACCAAAACCTTACATAGTACACCTTTAAATCTAATTTCAGGATCTTAATTATTGTTTATTTTATTTTATTTATTTGGCAGGAACATTGCACAATACATGTACTGACCAGATCAGAGGTAAAGTCACAGCAAATACCAATGTGCAAGTGCTTCATAAAATGGCCTATGAACATTTAAAATACAGCTAAAAAAAACAACAACAACCCATCCCCACATTAAAGGCAGACTATGTAACTTTTTGACTGGGGGTCTGTTACCTGCTTGTTTCTATGGACATTTTTGTTTCTATTGCACTTATTCCGTTACAGGTAGTTTTATAAGTCAAAAATACCCAGAAAAACAGGCATTCTGACTTTGAGCGGGGTCGCCTCTCCACAGATCTGACATATAACTTGGTCTGGTTTGGTCTCCATGAAGATAGAAAGATTAATTGCTATAGCGTAAAACATTTTAGACCAAGCAATAACATTTCCATGGAGAAAAGCATTTGACGGGCCCTCCACCAGGAAAGTTACACAATGTACCTGATAATTTTGTTACTAGAAAAAAAGAAAATTACTTACTATAAAATGAGTCTGGTTTAAGGGCTCAATTAGATACATGAAGACTCCATCATCAAACATCCCGCTATGAAAACACAAATGGACAACGGTGAACAGGAGAGAAACAGCAGCGCATACTAGGGATGTAACAATAACTGAAATCTCATAATATCATATCATCTAAAGTTCTCATAATAATATTGTGGACAATCACAATATATTGAATTACAAGTTTCTTTGATCTTTAATTAAATTAATAGTTATGGTGCAGCAATAGCTAAAAAAACAAAAAACACAGGGAACTACATAGACCATGATCCTTTGCTCAGTTTCAGCAGACTACATGAAGAAATAACAGTTCTAAGCACTTTTAAATGTTATTTCTTTGAATTAAATCTTGTCAAGACATTTTAAGTAGCATATTCACAGTTTTGTTAGCCTCCACAAAATATCACAATGAACATCGTACTGTGAGATAGGGATGGAACAATAAAGAATAATATCACTTATCATGATAAAAAAGGGTAAAGAATAATCGTTTGTAGAACATTTTATACAATTGTAATAATTCCCGACAAAGATGATTGTGATCGCCATTGTATCACTAAAATGTGTAGAAAAAAGCTTCTTATCCATCATCAACTCCACTAGATCAAAGTACAAATATATAAACGTTGTTTAAACATGGAACTTATTCATAACATTAACATGATAATTATTAATATCCATAACATTTTAAAACTGTAAGCAACTTTAACTGTGATCATGATAAAATCTTTAATCGCAGTTATTTTGACCATGATTATCATGACAATATCGTTACATCTCCACCACACACACATACATACACACACATACACTTTTGCTTAGCTCAGAACTTACTGCAGCCCATTGCAGGTAGATAAGGCCACATAGGAGTTATCTTTCCCTCTCACCTGACCGTGGTAGTAGCAGTGCTCACCACCCTGAGGAGAGGAACAGAGCTGATTCAGCATCAAGGCAGCACAATACAATGCATACAGATCACATTTTACTCTGCCATCACGTGTTTTTAACTCCAAGGATTTACAACAGCTTGTACACTGAAAAAACTAAAATAAAGTCAAGTTAATAGTACTTGAATTAAGAATGTTTTATCATGATTTGAAGTAACTTTCACTTTCACAAGTAAAATGATCTACCAATTGTACATAAAATAGGAAAATACATCTTGTTACACTTTTTGCATGCAAAGTAAGAAACAACATGTAATGTTGATTGAAAAAAAAAAAACACACATATCCCATTGGAAGATAATTTTACTTTAGGTAATTTGTCATCAGTAGTCTCCGCCAGCTTTTACGTAAACAGATGCGATGAGCTTTTGCCAGAAATCCAACATGCCGTCTACAATTTGTGAACTTCTTTGGTCTCTGTGGTGGTGGTAGCAGCCATCTTGCCGGTGATTCACAAAGCACCCATCCATTCATCCATTTTCTTCCATTTATCCAGGTCCAGATCGTGGGGGCAGCAGTCTGAGCAGGGTCTCCCAGACTTCCCTCTCACACACTTCCTCCAGCTCTTCCGGGGGGGTCCCGAGGCGTTCCCAGGCCACCGGAGAGACATAGTCCCTCCAGTGTGTCCTAGGTCTTCCCTGGGGCCTCCTCCCAGTGGGACGTGCCCAGAACACCTCTCCAGGGAGGCGTCCAGGAGGCATCCAGAGCAGATGCCCGAGCCACCTCAGCTGGCTCCTCTTGACGTCAAGAAGAAGCAGGCTACTCCGAGCTTCTCCTGTGTGACTGAGCTCCTCACCCTATGTCTTTCGACCGCTTGTATCTGCTATCAGTTATTACCCAAAGTTCATGACCATAGTGATTCGCAAAGCATTCTGGGAAATTGCTCATATCCCTCCGTTTGGAGTGTGCCTCTGAAAAATCTGCATTTGGTGGGGTATATAACCCTACCACTTTCCCCTACCCCTCTGACATAACGGTAACTGGGACACCCCTAACCTTACACATGAACTCAAAACAGAGGGATGGGGAAAGTGGTGTGGCCAAGGGGTGTAATGGGATGCAGTCTAAAACTACAGTAGTGTTAAAAAAACATGAGCTGCAATAGATAAACAGCTGAATGAAACTGTTTAGTTGTTTTAGAGCTTAAATCTTTTAGTGTAACCAAAAAATAACCAGAAATTGCCCAATATGGCAAAGACAATTTAAAGATGAGAAATATTAGCACCCCAAAAACACTGTTCCATGTATGATATATTGAATGATAAGTCAATATAGTAATTACAGTGACAGGCCTAGTGTTTAGTGTTATGGGGGTCTATGGGGCGCCACTTCCCAGACTTGTTAATACTGTAAGTTAATGTGTTACAAAGCAGGTCCTCTCACTATCTGTGACTCAGCTGTCAGGCCCAGGGTGAGCAGAGGACATCCTATCTCTCTCTCTCTCTCTCTCTCTCTTTTCCTCTCCCTATATCCCTCCCTCCGCTCTGCACTTACACTGCAGAGCTCTCTCTCCTCCTGTCTCGCATCCCTCCCTCCTGCTGTCACATGACCACAGCTCAGGCAGGAGGCTGCAGGGGAGAAAAAGCCTGCTGATTCAGCTCCAGCAATGCCAGCCCAGCCCAGCCTGAATCAGCAGCAGTGGCAGGAAGAGGCTCTTATTCCCTCTCTGTCATCTTTATCTTTTTTTTTTTTTTTTTAAAGATTTGTTCCTATGGCAACTTACCAATGAAAGCACATTAGTAAAATTAAACTACTGTGCGTGTCCTAAAAATAAATATATACTAAAAACATTTAATCACAGCAAGTCTTACCTTTGTTTTAACTGATTTGCCATCTTCAAAGTGAATCTCGACATAATCTGAAGATAACAAATCACTGAAATGAAAGAAACACGCACGCTAATTAAACACATTGAGATAAGTTATACACTCATTTTAAACCGTCAGGATCCTTTGGGTGTTAAATGAAGATACCTAATTACCGCTGTGACTGGATTACTCTGCACTAGTCATAAAAACACACTTCAATGATTTTGCAGCATGAGCAGATCGTTGAAACAATGCAGTAAATCTAAAAAGAGCATTTTGTGGCTCTTCTAATGACTAACCATTCACAATCTGGACAAATGTCATAATGCAAGATCATACAAGCCAAGCCATGAAGCCAAAAGTGTTAAGTTATTGTAAACACTTCATAGTTTCACCTTGAACAGCTTTCCAGTTATCTGACTCAGCATCTCTGGCTATATAAAGAACACAATCCAGCCCTAATAGTACATTTTTAAAATATATATACATTTTCAGAGCTCAAAGGTAAAATGATGCTAGACATGACCTGACATTTGGAGTGATTTTCAGCTGAATATGAGGAGGAAATGTGTAGCATTGTGAGTGGCTGGTCATAGCAAGAGAGGTCTCCAAGTGAGGGCTATTTTTAGCAGCATGAGGCAGGGAGAGCCGAGTGGCCTATCCGAGTTTATCTGTCTTTGCACAAGTGTGAGTGGGTGTGAGTGGGTGTGCACGGGTCTGCGCTACATCAGGTAAAGTGTTCGAGATTGGCCATGTTTTTCTACAGTTACCTACAATAAGGTCTGACTGTAAAGACGAAAGCAAGGCACAATTTCACAATTAAACATTAAAGTGACCTAAATATTGCAACTACATTTTCCAGCCATTCTCTGACACTGTAGGGGCTTATGAGTAGGGTCACATACTGTAGATGAATGAAGAATTGAGGATCATGTAGCCATAAGATTTAGTTTTATTTCAATGGACAAGGATGTTTTTTATAACTTATCCATATTGTTATCCTTAGGTTTGTGGACAGTATCAAAACCACTCAAAACCACGGAAATCACAGCAACATGTCTAAAAGGATTCTGAATAGTCCTGCTAAAAAGCTGAACATACAAAGGGCCGCAAACCTGTCTATATTTAGATAAGCCTTGTCAGAGTTGTACCACTAAGCAGAATTCAAACCCTGTATTCTCACAGAAAAGGCCCATACAGATGTTAGCTCATGTATCTCACAGATAAGCTACAAAAGCAGCAGCTAGAGTCAAGGTCACAGTGTTGTCCAAGCAAAGAGGAGCTGCTTAAACAGGACAACATCTGTGTGTCCCCTCATTTCTCCAGTCAAAAAATCCACAATGACAAATAGGACAGACTTGTTTACGTCTAAGATGTCCTGTCTCTCACAATTATCCAGTCACTTTCATTTAATAAGCACACCAGAGCACACCAATAGCAAGATTTTGTGTTTTTGCTCATTCTACTGCAGCTTCATTAGTGCCTGGGAAGGACCATATCACTTACCAAGAGAAACAGCAGTATGAGTATTAAACCAGCTTTCTACTCTGATAGAAAATGCTTACTAAATAGAGCACCTATGTATTCATATCTTCATGTGTTCTGAGATGTCTCTAGGTCATTCAAAATCAATAAATGACAATTATAAATTAGAGTATCACCCTCGTTTTTCACACAATGTTTGAAACTTATGTAATATGAGTTAACAAATGGTGTGGTGCCTGTTCAGACTGTAAGATATATCAGTATCTTATCACCATAAAGTTTCCAAATCTAACAAGACGGTTAGAGCTTCTGAGCACTCAGCCTTGTTAACAGAATTCAATTACTATGTTTCAGAGTAGCACTGAGTTTTAAATCACATTAGCGGGTTGAAACTCACTCTGGTGTCCTAGTGCATGTTCCTTCCCTTATGTAGAATGGCTATGAGGAGGGAGCAGATCAATATGAGAGTGCAGGCCCTGTGTCTTTGGACAGGACAGTGATCTCACTCTGCTCTGTTCAAAGCAATTAAAGCTAACCTGAATGAACACAGAAGCGATGCTTTCTTGATCATTCGAAATGCACTTTGTCTGTGTTCATTGTCTGGTCACTAAGAGCTACGTGGTTTTTACTTGTTAGACAAGAACACTGTGTACTCAGTTGTTCTTTTAGTGTTGAGTAGTCAAATAAATCATACCCCTAATGTCCAAACATACAACTCAACTCAAAAGATTGTACTTTTAACAGTGGTTAAAAGGGTTAACCACTAGGATTAGTTGTTTGTTTTAATTAAAGTAGTTAAATAAGAGGGGATGTAATTCTTACTTGTTTAATGACAGATCCAGGACAAAACTGGAACCAAAAGCTTCTAACTGAAAGCTGGCCTGGGCCAGGTGGACTGGCTGTAAAAACATAGACACAGAAATACAAGTCAGTCACGGTGTACCATCTTTAGACTATGGCGCTGTGGAGAGCAGAATCCTCCAGAGTCTATAACGTACTACACTGCACAAATAACGGATGTGGACATAAATCAAAGTCACATGACAGTGCTCAAATCGAGTTAAAAAGCCATCTTCAGCCCAAATGCTCAAAAATCACTTTAATTTTTAAAGCCACAAAAGGCCAATGCATTTCTAAGATGTGTGTAATAGCACACTGAGGAGAAGGTTATAGATGAGAGAGGACATTATAGACTTAAGACATCAAAGCTCACTGCATGACACAGGAGATCAAACGCGGCAGATCAGCTCTCACCTGTCCCTCTGTGACTTGGTTTTTAGCTTTTGTGTCCAAGTCATGATAGGCACTCTCCGAGTCCTCATTCAGGAAGTACACCAGGCGTGAGGGGTAGGTGATCACAAGCTCTGCTGCATGCTGTGTAGTGTTGTCTGAAGCAGGTGCTGCAGTTGCCTGTTGCTTCAGCAGCGTTAGCACTGCGTCCCTCTCAACCTTGTCCTCTACTCCTTGAGAAACTGCAAGACAATTTCAACATCACATATAAACATATACTTTAGAAAGCCATGCTGTATATGTGATGCCTCGATAATATATTTTAGATCATAGCAAAAATGTCAACGACTATACCTACTATATATATCCTATGTATCATAGTTAGTCTGCAGGACATACAATATGCAATGTGCATTATGCAATCTAAACAGCAGCAAGGAACAGACGTCTCGTGTAGGCTACTTTATCAGGATAAGTACTGGCGACCTTCTTTTTCAACATGCACATAAGATATTACAAATAAAAATGATACAAAGCTGGACAAAGATGATTGAGTGTGCCTCAGTGGAGCCTCACGCACACTATACGCAGTCTGGGGAACATAACACACTGTTTCCTATTGCCAACTATGAGGATAAGTACATAGTCTCCAGCTCAGCATCATATTACAACAATAGTGTGAAATAGCATTCAAGAGATAAGATCAAAGTTACCAGCATACAAGACTATGTTGCAATACGTACCGAATGACGCTAGTGATGGGTACAGCCAACGCGAAGGGATGCTGACGAGCAAAGTGGCCAGAGATATCAAATGCATGATTCATATTTGAGAATTAAAATATCTCGATATCAACACGTCAAGGCGATGGTTTGCTGGCGGCCCATGGTGGTGGGGAGGTACTGTCTTCATGGAACCCGGGATAGAGGCGCGCACACACGGGCAGAGAAAGACACGGACCGGGGCTTGGTGGTGGTGCTGATGCTGCTGCTGCAATAGAGAGCTAGATGAGGAGAAGAGGAGGAGGAGGAAGAGCAAGAGGAGGGGGAGCGCAGAGGAAGGCGGTGGCCACAGCAGCAGCAGCAGACGGATTCCTCAACCAAACATGTTAACTCGCTCCCGCCCTTCTGCCCTCTCCACTTCCCGTTTGGCCCGTGAGCAGGCGGGCCACAGGAAGCAGAGCAGGTGACTTCAAAGGCACGGCTCAGACACATGGTAGACAGAGCAATTGACCCAGTCCGATAAAGGGTAAAACAGAGTGCACTGGTGGTCAATGCGTTAAAGGTCCAATATTACACCAAATGGACTCTTGAGAGCTTTAAGACATGTTATTGTGCATCATCATCAAAAACATATCTGGAGTTGGAGTTGTGTTATGGTTCATGCACCCACGTTTGAGAAACCCTTTATTATGTCTGTCTACATCTCCAAAGCTCAGAATGCTCTGCTCCACTTTGTGATATCATGAAGCTGTAGGTAGGAAGTTAACTGCTTCCTTTTACCTTTAATTCAACAGAGATCAGCAATTCCAGGGCTGAAATCATCCAAATGATTCTAGTGAAGGTGTATGGATCTTAAAAACACAGTGGAGCACTTTCTATATTACCACATGGCATCACAAGGTGTTTTTCATTTAAGAGAAGAACTCAGCCTTAAGGTTTGTGCATTAAATATGTGTTGATGAAACAAAACTTAGCCCTGCGTATGCTTGTCATGATGAAAAAAAATTATAAAAAATATCATAGTATGGGCCCTTTAAATGACATATCATAGTCTTAGCAGTGTCTAAGAAGGCTATAAGGCGTAGGCCAACTTACAAATGTATATAAATGTAAATACATCTACACTGTTGCACTTTATGCATTTCAAGGGTAGTATCACTACAACCCTGTTAGTCTTATTGTGAAATTATAATAACATTATTAAATTTTTAAAAATACACTTCAGAGTCATCTTATATCCCATAAACAAGTGATTTTCAATGTTGTTCCTTGCAACACTGCCCATTCACTCTGTATAGTTTTTCCAGAAGGTTTAAATGTAATTTGTAAATGTATTTTATTGGACTGGACGAATCAGAGCACTTGACACCAGCTTTTGGAATTGTTTCAGAAATTTGAAAAATCAAGAGACACTGAATCAGTACAAATTAAATTATTTATGCATCCAGTAATCTTCTTTTATTATCTTTTTTATCAATTAAAACATGGGTAATGTTAAATATAAATAATAATATCAGTATTGTGCTATTGTACTCTCATGGCCTTTAAGTGAAAAGACTGATTAATAAAAGAAAAGAAAAATCTGCACATTCAATAGGCTCTTGGATTCACAAGTTTACATTGAATTTCACAGGGCAGATGTTAAACTCTACAAGAATCTTTGGGCATGACTCAACTAAAGAATCTTCTGTAAGTTGCCATGTTGGTGTAGTGAGTCTCAAGACCACATTGTTTATGTTGGCTATTTATTTAAAAATGACTCAGTCACATCCTGGATGGTTCTGCCTCTAAAAGACAGAAATATAGAGATGACTGATTTATGAAGCAAACCTCTTGGTCCAAACAACACATTTATATTTGAAGGTTCAGTTCAAAGATGTCTGTCCACTAGAACTTTCTGTTGGAGGAACATTATGGCCCAGAAAAGGCCTGCAACAAAGCACCTGTCCCTCAAAATGAAAAACAAACAAACAAACAAAACATGGTTTCCTTGTTGTGAGTGACTGGTCTGATAGAGACATGAAGAGAAAGAGGCTGCAGATGGTTGAATACTGAATGGTGGACCACACTACCCCAACACCAACTTATTTTGTTGAATACATGCACTGTGTAATGGATTAAAAATGTATCACTGACAACAACAGGCCACTTTTTAAATGTTAAAATGTCATTAAATATTAATGTGTGAATTATCTCATTGACTATATGCAGGGCTGTTTGGGAGCCTGGGGGCATGAAGCTTTACAGGGGCACCCCTCTAATATAAATTAATAGGAAGAGGGTCAAATTCTGGGCCCCTAAATCAAGTCCAAAATCATTTTTCAGTACATTTTGGTTAGATTTGTTTATTTGCCAGATGTAGTTAAAAACCACATTGGACAAAGACGTCCAAACAATTCAAATATCAAAAAACAATCACATAAACAAACAATAGACAATCATTACAGATGACATATTGACACTGTGAAATAAACAAGATACAAATATTTAGGACTAATTCACTCAACTCACTCACTTTTTCATGTAATTTTTGACAATTTCCATTAGGAACAGTACTTGATCATGCCATAATACAAATAGCCAGTGTTGGGAGTAACGCGTTATAAAAGTAACGAATTACAGTAATGCATTACTTTTTGCTGTAACGCAGTAATGTAAGGCATTACAGGGGAAAAAATAGTAATATTTTACTCGGTACAAATGTGAGTAACGCGCGTTACAGTGTTTTTTTTTTAACCTGAATTGAAGTGGTGGGTTTTTCTTCATACAAATTCGCTAAAATCACCTCGATATCAGCAGCGGTGAAACGCCGGAGATGCGCCCTCATAGACCTTCAGGTAACCGCGGGCGAAAGGACTGACAAAGAACTCCACGCTGTTTAGACCTGGTTTAGACCTGGGTCAGTTCTGGTTTAGACCTGGTTTACACTCGTCCCTCCCTCTATCGCAGTTCACTTTTCGCGGTCTCGCAGATTTTTTATTTAATTTTTTTGTGCAATTTTGCATGCCCTGTTTTTTTACATTGTATGATGCGTATTGCGTTCCTCCCGCTGCGTCCTGACTGGCCAAGGGACTCCTGTCTCCAGTACAGTACAGAATGTGTTCAGCTGCCAAATTTAAATACATGTTCAATCTCTAGCAGTGTGATTCTGAAGTGCTGTACGGTTGCAAGTTTTCTCCCCGACGAAAACCCACAACGTCGACGAAACGTTCTGCACCGACAAAGGCTCCTGCGCTCGCACCCAAAAGGCAGAGGAAGATGCAAACCATCACACAAAAAGTTGGACTTCTGGACACGCTGAAGGAAGGTAGAAGTTACGCGCTGTAACAGACTCTTGCACCGGGTCAGTACCTGCAAATAGTTGCTGAAATCAGGGCCGCGAGCCCGAGCAGCAGGGTCCATAAAGAGCGATCGGGTGACAGCCGCTCTTACCTCCGTGAGGTGCGGAGCAGAGCCGCTCCTTTCTCCTGCGGTCACCTTCGAGCCCGTCCCTACAGTGAGTCCTGTTTTAGTCCTAGTTCAGTTCTAGTTTAGTCCTAGTTCACTTCTGGTTTAGTCCTGGTTCAGCTCTGGTTTAGTCCTGGTTTAGACCTGGTTTAGTCCTGGTTCAGTCCATATACTATATATTATGGGCGGCAGTAGCTCAGTTGGTAGAGCATTCGCCCACTGATCTGAAGGTTGGCGGTTCGAATCCAGCTCTCTACATAAACATCTCAGGTTGAGCGGTCAGATCCACTGACCCACAGGTTGGCTGGTGTGATTCCAGCTCCCACAGATGAATGCTGCCGTTGTGTCCTTGGGCAAGACACTTAACCCACCTTGCCCACAGTGTCTGCGTACACTGGTGTATGAATGTGTGTGTGACTGGGTGAGTGGTTCCTTGTTGTAAAGCGCTTTGAGTGCCTTGAAGGTGGAAAAGCGCTATAGAAAAATGTGACCATTTACCATATACAGCGCAAAAGTTATTTTGGTGAGAGTAACTTAAAGTAATGCAATAGTAATGTAATGCCTTACATTTTAAATGCAGTAATATTGTAATGTAACGAATTACTTTGAAATGACAGTAATAGGTAATAAATAACGCATTACAGTTTCAAAGTAACTTGCCCAACAGTGCAAATAGCACATGCATTTTATAATTTAATCTCTAGATAAAACAATTTTCTTTTACATTATGAGGTTGAAGGTCCTATATTATGCAAATTGTGAGCTTTTAGCCATGTTATGATGCTGTTACCTCCTCAAAACATACCTGGAGTTGTGTTTTCTTTCATTAACACATGTTTGAGTAATCCTTTATTATTAGTTTGTCTACATTGTGACCATACCAGCTTGTGAAAGCCTGACCTCTTCAGATCTCAGCAGCTAAGCAGGGCTGGGTCTGGTGAGTACTTGAATGGGAGACCTCTGGGAAAATCAGGTGCCACACTGGGGCACCAGTCACAAAAACTGCCATTGTGTTTTTAGGCAAGACACTTCACCCACACTGCCAAGTATGAAAGTGGTGTGTTTGTGAGAGATGGTAGTGGTCGGAGGGACCGATGAAGCCCATTGGCAGCTGCTCTTCACACAGTTTGCCCCAGGGCAGCTGTGGCTACAGTAGTAGCTTACTGCCACCGTGTGACATATGTTTGTCAAAAGCGCTATATAAATAAAAACTTACTTGCATCCCAAAAAGCTCAGAATGCTCTGTTTCATTGTTGTGATGGAGTTTAAAAACACAGTGGAGCACACTGTTTTCTGTTTGAGAGAGGAACTCAGCCTAAATATGCAGGATGTGTGTGTTAAACGTGTGAATGAAATAAAACACAACTCCAGATGTTTTTATGAGGAAACAACATTAGAACATAGATCAGAAAATAATGTAATATTACGTAACTACGTAAGAGTTGTGCGCCTATTTGGGCTTTTTCAACGTTTTTTGCAAAGTTTTTACAAGATTTCTACAGTTTCAGAACTTTTTTCTCTCTCGTAGGACTGTGCGAGCGCCGAGTTTACCCTGGTGGTGTTATGAAAAGCAGCTCCGTCCTCTCAATGAAAGCATTCTTCTTTCCAGACGGCTGACCAATAACATTTCTTCATTCTGTGGTCCAGGGGTGACGCGGCAGACAGGCGCGCCTACTGTTAATCTGCGCACCCCGTAACACAGTTAGTTTGGATGGACTCACGGAAACATTTCGCATGCCACATCTCAATACTTCTGCAACCGAGAGGAGTCACGAAAAATCTTAAAGAAATCTAACGGAGCTATACAGTATTGTACTGTGGTCTCTCCATGCGTCAGCAGACTCTCTTTTATCCAGGCAATTAACGAAAACTACTGTTGGGGTAAGACTTTTTCCACCTATAAAGATGACTTTGTATTTGTGCATTTTGAGAGTTAGCCTATACGTACAAATGTAACACAAAGTGTTAAACAAAGCGCTGTTGTGATGCTAGTTGTCCAGTATCCATAGTGATGTGATTTATCCATAAAGCGGCCTCCGCTTCCCACTAATAACATACCGAGTCCCAAAGCTGCAAGCTGCAAGCTAAACCTCAAGCATAAACTCATCATACCTTTTACAAACCATAATTGTTTTGTTTATCCTAGAGTAGCCCATTTACTCAGCCAGTCAAAAGTTTAGACTCACCATCTCATTCACAATGTTTTTATTTTATTTTATTTTTTTTAACTACTTCCTACATTTGATATGCATACAGAAGACATCAAATATATATTTGAAGGGAGATGTATGGAATTATGGAGCAAAGAAGAAAAGTTAAATAACTACAAATAAAAATATACATAACCAAATCCTCAAAATACCCATCTTTTACTTTTTGCTTTGTCTAAATTTTTTGGTTAGTATTCTTTACTAAATAATTCCATATACCTTCATATCATATATTAGCTTATATATTTCATGTCTTCTGTATGTATGTAAAATGTAGAAAGAAAGAAAAAAAAAAAAAAAAAAAAAAGCTTGTGTCTAAGATATTGACTGGCCATGTATGTTTAAACAGCACCAATCAAAAGTTTGGACCTTACTTCATATATTTGTTGTCTTCTGTATGTATATCAAATGTAGAAAGTAGTAAACATATAGAACAAAAAAAAAAAAAAAAAAAAACATTGAGTGAGAGGGTGTGTCCAAACTTTTGACTGGTGCTGCTTAAACACAACACACAAGCTTGGACACACTGTCTCATTCACTGTATTGTTTCTTTTTTCTTACCACTTTCTACATTTTAGATACACACAGAAGACATCCAATATATGAAGCAAGATATATAGAATTATTTTTTAGTTTACTTTAGTTTTTTGTTTGTTTGTTTATTTGTTTTGGCTGATTTGGTTAAGAAAAAATATAGGCCTATATTAAACATTCTGTCAGTTATTTAACTTTTTATTATTTATTATTGCTACATAATTCCATCTCACTTTATATATTTGATGTCTTCTGTATGCATATAAAATGGAGCAATTAGTAAACATATAGAAAAAAAAACAAAAATAAAAAAAACACTGAAAAGCAGGTCCAAACTGTTGACTGTTATGTGTTGTTCCTTACCTCTGGATATAAAAGTGGTAAAAATGCCTGGAATGTTCTTTTCACTTCCTACAAACAATGTTTCATTCTAATGGCCTTCATGGCAACTGTTTTGACTTAACAATTTTGTAACACAGCAACATCTGTCACCCTTTCCATGTACACACAGAAATAAGGCTATGAATCATAACAGGGTGGTCTCACTGTACCCCATCATCTTAATCATTGCCAACTCTTGTGTTCCAGGAGTTACACCACCACACCCTTTCCTAACTTGGCCACAGAGACGATCACACTCACTGACCACATACACCAGCGGACAGTTTTAGGATTAAGAGAAACCTCAGTGGTGAGATGTGCAATGTTTGTGATAAATTAGTAGTTACTTCATATCTGACTATAGTTTTTCTTATTGTTATTATGCATGCATATATAGTAAAAGTAAATGCTTAAGTCCCACTATATAGTTTCTTATTATCTTCATAATCATTGTTTAAAATTAATATAGCATGCTGTTGTTAACTTCTACTGTTAATTTATGCTTAAAGTGATGGGAAGCATATTTTGAAAATGTATTTAGTTTCTGAATACTGAATGCCTGTATTGAACTGTATTTTGTAATGTATTTCATTACATGTTCCAGTCAGAGCACATTAATCTGAATATATAGAATACTTTTTACATCAAATTGCATTTAAAATAAAGAATAAAGACGCAACATAGTATTAATAGCAGCTTTATGTTTGTTTCACTGTATAAGTATTTCCTCGCTCATAGGAGATGGAAAAATCTCAGAGGCATTAACCACAAGAGCAGAGTCGTCTTATTTTCTCACTACTTATGTGCAGCCTAAAGCCTAAAATAAATGATCAAATATTATAATGTATCCCTCTGAAAGTAACTGTATTCTGAATACCACTAAATGAAAAAGTAGCACAGTTACTCAGAATTAGAATTCAGAATACATTTTCTCTGTACATGTATTCAGTTACTTCCCGACACTGTGTATAAACACTGTGTATAAACACTGTGTATATCTACAAAAAGTATCTTATACTTAAACGTGCCCTATTTTATTTGACCTGGTTAGGGGTTTGTCACCTGCATGTCTCCATGGAAATGTGATTACACTATGGCATTGAATAGATCCTTATTTAATAACACTTGTTTTTATTTTCAAAAATATCTCGCCTCTGAACAGTAACTGGAAGCTAGGACTGTCACAATAATTACAATATCAACTTATTGTTCAGTATATGATTGCTAGAACAATATATTTTGGGCTCAGTATTTATTGTGTGTATATTTTTGTGGCAATAGTGGGGAGGTTTCTGTAATTTTTTTATGTGATATGACAAGATTTGAGCCGTAGAGGGGTGAAAAAGTAACATCCAGGACTAATTTATTTGTTGTAGCTCATGCTTTTTAATGATACTGTATTTTAAATTATGGTTTACTGTGAATATCCCACTTTATATTTTATTTTGTCATTGTCAAAAAATAGTTTCAATATTATCACAGTATATCTCTGTAGCAATATACAGTATCTTGCTTCAAAATTTGTTATTGTGACAGGCAAGTTTAATGCCATACTCAAAAACATTCCAGGAATCTCCACAGAGACAAGCAAGTTGATGGATCCTTCAACAGAAAAGTTACAAAGTTAACCTTGAATTAGATGTGCAGTACTTTTACTTTGAGTACTACTGCTGCTCATGGCAACAACTATTAAAAAACCCATACTACATTATTTTCTGATCCATGTTATAATCTCATTTCCTCATCAAAAACATACCTGGAGTTGTGATGTTTCATTCACACGTTTAACACACAAACTCTGCATATTTAGGTTGAGTTCTCCTCTCAAACAGAAAACACTCTAGTCCACCTTGTCATACAGGAAGTGATCCACTCTGTTTTTAAGCTCCATACAGCCCTGGGATTGTCAATCTCTACTAAACAAAAGGTAAAATGTAGCTACTTGAAAATTACCACTACATGCCATCACAAGGTGGAAAAGAGCATTTTGAGCTTTGGAGATGTAGACAGACTAATATTAAACAGATTCTCAAACACATGTGAATGAAACAAAACAAAACTTCAAGTACGTTTTTGAGGTAACAGCATTATAACATGTCTTAAACCTCACAAGAGTCAATTTTGTGCAATATAGGACCTTTAAAAGAATGACACTTATTATGACAACATTTTGACATAAATGTGTTTTGTTGATTTGCAGTAAACTTCAACAATGGAGCACAGTGAAGACTATGAGAACTACACTTACGACTACTATGTCGAGTACGGCAATATGGATGATATGAAAACTAGCCACCGCCAGAAAGAGACCATGCACATTATCTCGGTGATCATCTACATAATTTCATTTGTACTGGGCCTGATTGGAAATGGAACTGTCATCTGGGTCACAGCCTGTAAAAGCAAGAAAACTGTCAATAGTATATGGCTGCTAAATTTGGCCCTGGCTGATTTTGTGTTTGTACTCTTTCTACCCCTGTACATTGACTACATTCTTAGCGGGTTCAACTGGAAATTTGGAGTGGTCATGTGTAAGTTCAAATCATTTGTGGTAGTTATGAACATGTATGCCAGCGTGCTTTTTCTAACCCTCCTGAGTATAGATAGATATATTTCTCTGGTACACCTGAACTGGTCTCACAGGCATCGCACTGTGCAGAGAGCTTGGCTTGTATGTGGATGTGTTTGGGTTGTATCAGCAGCCCTCAGTTGTCCAGCTCTGATTTTTCGGGACATTGTACACGTGCATGACAAAGTGGTGTGCTTTAATAACTTCCATGCTTACGACACTCATTTAGCTGCAGTTAGGCATATTGTAATTGTGGCCATACGAACAACAGTAGGCTTCCTCTTACCATTCACAGCAATCTGTATAACAGGCATACTACTCTTGGTTAAAGTGCACCAGTCTAAACACACAGTCCGAATCTCAAGCTTCACCAGAACAATCTCTGCAATTATTTTGGCTTTCTTTTTTTGCTGGGCACCTTTCCACATTTTTAGTCTGATGGAGTTATCAATATATTCTTCCGGACACCTTCACAATGTGCTAATGACCGGCATTCCTCTTGCAACAAGCTTAGGATTTTTTAACAGCTGCATCAACCCTGTTCTATACGTGCTTTTAGGAAAAAGGATTCGCCATATTCTGAAACCTGCGTGCCTCAACATAATCAAGAGTCCACTCAAAGAGTTGAATCAGTCTATTTCTGCGACAGAGGTGGAGTCAGTACCTGAGGCCTTTCAGGAGAGTCTCCCAAAGGAGCCTATAGCTTTTTCTACTCTCTGATTGGTCAAAAGTTGATTGTAGTTGATGGATAACTGATAATTTATCTATATTAAAATATTACTGTCCAAGGATAAAAGTCATTTCAAATAATAATGCTCGCTTAGATGACTGAAAGGTTAGAGTTATAGCATTTACTTTGTTTCTGTTTTCATGGCATTATGTACATTTGTTTTATTTCCTATTACAGATTTACGTTATTACAGATGTGTACTGTTTGATATAGTTATACTGTGTATGGGAGTCAAACTTCATTCATAGATACATTATCTTACAGAACTCTTAAGTGTCTGCCACGCATTATCTAAAGCAGGGGTCTCCAACCTTTTTCTTCCAGTGAGCTACATTTACAAGAAGAAAATGCAATGAGACTTAGAGACCTATAAAACATTAACCTTTATCCATTTATTAGTACACAAAGTTAAGCATTAAAATGATACATTCATCAAATTTGAGTCATTCAGCACAATACGTATAATTCAGAAATCCTTTGGTGAGCTATTTGGAAGGGGGTGGAGAGCTACTGGTATCTCCAAAGCTACAGGTTGGAGACCCCTGATCTAGAGGTTCCATGTATACACAATGGCCATCCCTCCATCAGTAGCTCTAAACCAGGCTTTGGTTTTTTTTAGTGTCTGTTTCATGTTTAGGATTTCCGTGTTTTTCACAGAGCGCTCTTCCAGACTGATGTATATCCAGATGTGTGCTTCCTTCCTCCTCCCGAGGGTTTGTTTACAGATACAGCTATTTCCTGTTATTTTCAACAAGGCACCCTAGACTTTTTTTCATAGTCCTTGTCATCTGCAGCAGATATACAGGGTCTGCTGTATGTCAGTCTTTGTGATAAACACTTTTGCAATAGTGTATATATGCAATATACTTTGCATTATATTACATGGACTTGCCAATTCAATTTAATAATTTTGAAAATTATATAATAACATGAAATTATTAAATCCCACGTTTACTAAATGTATTATATTTCATTAACATACACCAAATACACATGGAAACATAAACATCACCAGCGTCTGTATTGCAAAATCCAGCAATTTTAGGTAGTTAGTAAGTAAGTAGTTTATTTTTGTTGTTACAGAACTGTTGAACATCTCAGTGTTGAGGATATAAAGTCAGAAGTTTTCTTAATTATTATTATTTTTTATTATCTGTGTCTATTTGATCTAGGCTATGGAAAGATAGCTAATGTAAAATAATTACAATAATAATTACAATGAATGAAATATATAAAAAATGAAAAACACACAAATTGTGTTAATTATTATCATTATATTTTAAATGTCCTTAATAGTTCTTGGAAGATGGCAGTTATAATGTTGCATGTATTATTAATATTTTACAATTATTAATACTTATTATTCTACTTTCTGTCGGTTTTCTTCGCAACGCACCTCACCCATCACCAGAGTGGCAGTGTTGGTGGTAACTCATGTGAAGAAGAGCCGTGGTCCAGGTTGATTTTACACTGTGCCACTTTACTGGACCTTTCTGTGCTTTATTTTCCCTGACATGTCCAGAAAAGTTAAAGAACGAAAGCAAGCTTACCTCTGCACAAAATGTAGTCTATGTTTCAGACAATAAAACTACAATTTCTACAACAAAACGGCTCTTAACAAAGTTGAATTTCCAATATGGTAGGAGAGGTTGTTGTTGTTCAGAGGGCTGTTGTCATGTCCCCGCAGTGCCTGTAGTGGTGCTGTGTGGAGTCTGCTGTGGATCCAACTAAAATCCCCAGCAGTCTTCCTACTGCTTATAATTTGCTCTGGATAGCCTATAATCAAATGTATCCATATTTTTAGATATGCGGAGCCTGATGAAGATTGCTATTATCATCTAATCTCCGATATCGATGCACATATAGCCTAGCTGATCGTAATAGACACTTCGGCCGTCTGTGTGGAGCGAATACCGTGCTCAGCCCATATCAATTCAAGGTAAGCAGTTTGCGCTGGAGCCTGGGCCTCGAGTCAAGGGAGCTGCGCTTTACACTCGCAAATGTCGGATAAGCGTCCTAGGCCAGGCCGCAGTCTCTTGTAGCTAAAGGGCCTCTAATATGATACTGTTTTATTGCTTAGCACTAATTTGGGGAATAAATGCAAGACGCAGGTGGTCAATAGCGACTCACTGACCGCACAATTCACCATCGATGCCATCCAATGTCAGATTATGTAACAACAGTGGCTATAATTCATATGAAATTTAGGGAGGCCTTGTGGTACAGGCCGTGGGCCTGGTTTGACCCTTTGTTTGGATCTACTTGGCAATAAACGATACAGATTTTAGTGTCTAATATATCCCGTATTGTATGCTTTCAAAAAATGTTTTTATTTCAGTTCTTGAAGTTTTCTACCATCAGATTAAATTAAAAAATGATAATTTACAGCGTTGCTTATCTCCGATGTTTCCGTTTCCTGGTTAGCTACCGCCCACTGCTGTGTGTTTTTAGCTTTCGCTAGCTTAGCGTGTTGATGGTTTAATGATATTTATTTCTTAATTTTAAAGGAACATTTTACTTAAACACACACCCAGATGTATCTTCGTGGTGATGGGAATATAAATCTTTAAGTATAACTTTTTGTGCGCTATATTGATGTTGTACAAAGTTAAACCTGTTGGGTTATTCGATGCTAAGCGCTAGGTAGCTTCTATCAAGGCTATTATATAGTGCTCTGTGCCTTAGGATATAAATTCACTTAACAAAACCTTGGATTTGTAGTCATAGCGTAAGAATATACTGACTTGTTTATAGCCATTGTCAGGTTATTTAATGAAACTTTACTAGGAAGCATAACAACATAACTAGCCACTTGGCCACTCATTAATGAAGCGTTACACATTTTCTGTGTTCTCAGTATGAACAAGTTATTCGGTGTCATTTTTAGTGGTGATAAACATAATCTGGCATTATTACTTTTCTATCTTGAAGAATGTATTATTAGCTTTTCTATTTTGAAAAATGTACTACTACAGATGGTGCAACAGCATCTGGTAAACACAGCTATTGCTAGCATTTAATTATTTATTTATTATTATTATTTTTTTACAAACTGCAACCAGACTGATAATGACACATACTGAAACGTCAGTTGTGCTCTAAATGGACTAAAGGTTATTATATACTTCCATTATACTATTGGGCATTTTAACATTATTTCCAGATGCATTTGCCACCTGCTACTTATCATTTTGTTATGAATTCTTACTAATTACATTTCTTGTCTTCCTTAATGTTATACCATCAGCTCATGTTGTCAAGGACAAGAGTCACGTGATGTATGAAGGCAAACACATACACTTCTCCGAGGTTGACAATAAGCCGCTGTGTTCATACAGCCCAAAGCTCTGCAAGCAGCGCAGACTCAATGGTTATGCCTTCTGTATTCGTCATGTTTTAGAGGATAAAACTGCACCCTTTAAGCAATGTGAATATGTGGCAAAGTACAACAGTCAAAGATGTACAAATCCCATCCCCAAGTCAGAGGACCGCAGGTATGTATTAGTCCATTTATTTGGGTATATGCAGTTGTGAGATAAAATAACAGTGTTTTCTTCTTTTTCTAGATACTGTAACAGCCACCTACAGGTCCTGGGTTTTATTCCGAAGAAGGAACGCAAAAAGAAAATGACACATTGGAGGAGATGCGTTCTAGGGCTCATTTGGAGTCAGTGGCTCTTAACATAACTGTACCTTCTTTAGCTTTAAAAGCTCCCAATGGCCTAGATGAACTTCCACCATCTCCGCCCTGTACCCGTATATTAGCCCTTCCTGATGGGGAATTACTGGACCCTTTTGCCTTTTATGAAGACGACACAGATGGGGAGGAGATAAGTACTCATCGGAAAGACAGTGCCATCAAAAAGAAACTACAAAATAAACTAGTGCTCAACCAGAAACTCTGCCATGACACAGACATCTTCCAGACACCGCCTGAGCACTTTACTCCATCCCCTGTCCCCCGCGTTCACCCCTCTTCACCCCTCAGCACTCACCTCTCTCGGCACCAGTCAGGTCTTCAGCCAGTCCAGCACTCCAGTGTGACTTCCTTCAGCTTTCCAGGGCAGCAGCAGCAGCAGCAGCCGCAGCAGGGGTTAATATGCAATCCACCTCCACCTCAGACAGTCAACTTTCTGCCTCCAGGGATGCCCACAAGTGCAGCACCCAGTCCTGTTCAAGCTTCATCACTTAGAAAAATGCCTTTCACCTCAACAAACTTGCCTGTTACCTGCAAAGAGAGCAGTAGTAACTGTCAGCGGCACGTGGTAGTCATGCACCCTGCTGCCTTCTCACCTTCTGCCACCTGCTTGGCCAGGCTGCAAAATCTTGTACAACTCTGTGCTAAAAGACACCATGAATATGGAGACCTCTTTCCTCATTTAGGTGACTTTTGATGTTGTGTTTTATACATGGATACATGGATATTAGTAAGAAATAATCCAACAAGTTGCAAAGGTATATTTATATATTTAATATTGTTTAGGACTGGACTGGTCTGAGGATAGTGATGATGATTATGAACATAATGAAGATGATGCAGAAGAGAGACTGCATCCTCTCCACAGCTCATGGGGACCATTAAACAGGTTTGTGGCATCTTATGTTGTCCGTGTTATTTTGTGTCCTAAAGACAGTTTTAATTGTTCTCTATTCCATTGACAGAGTGGAGGATGAGAGTGGACTGCCTCGACGATCACGGCTACTAAGGCTTTGCTCATACCTTCAGGAGAAATACAAGCACATGTGCAGGCAGGAAAGGGCCAGTATCCGGCAAAAAAGATATCGTTATGCCTTTCGCAAAGCCCTGCTCCATGCTGCCAGTAAGAACCCTGATTGTGCTGGGCAGCTAATCCGGGAGCTGCATGGTGTTTCAGAAAACTCTTTAAGGTACTCAGTCATATTTTTCTTTAGATTTAAAGCAAATGACAAGAATGGTGTTATCCACTCAACTGTATATTTAGATAATTTCAAACAATGTTAGGAACTGCAGTACACTGGTTGGTGTGACAGTACTTCGCAAATAACCTGCTCAAAATGAATTGTTGATCCAGAAAAACAGTTTGAACAATGACCCAACTTTTGTGTTATTCCTTTCCCAATTCTTCCAGCAGCACTGAAGGTCAAGAAAGTATAGACTAATTCCTGAACGCTCCTTCTAATTTGGACTTACCTTGAAACTAAAACTGAGTCTGCTCTTTTTGATACACCGAAAAAATTACCAAACATGGGTCACTGTCCAAACATTTATGGACCTAAGGTTCATACTTTATCAACTACATGCATCTCTGTGTTTGTACAGTGTGGCTCAAGGAAAGCAGCAGAATACAAACGCAGGAATCTGCACTGGCAGCACAAAGGGTCAGGCCTGCACCAACAAAGCTCTGCCTTTTACCCGACACTGTTTTCAGCGTATCCTTTATCTACTGTTAATTTAAATTAAAGCACTCATATAATATACTATTTTTATGGACATTTTTTTTTAGCTATATGTTAAAATTTTACATAAAAGTTTTCCTTCATTGCATTTTGTAGACATTCTGTTGAATCGTTCCCAGCAACTTTTTTCTAGTTGTACAGCCAAATTTGCAGATGGTCAGCAGTGCTCCATTCCTGTGTTTGATATCACTCATCAGACACCTCTCTGTGAAGAACATGCCAAAAAAATGGTTAGTCTTTTTTTTTTACCCACCAAACATATCTCTCCTTTTGTGTCTTAACCTTGATCTTGATTCTTAAAAGGATAATTTTTTGCGTGGAGATGGACACAGAAGAGTGCAACACCAGCAACAGCGCAAGCCACGTAAAAAGACAAAGCCACCAGCTCTTACCAAAAAACACAAAAAGAAGAGGAGGAGAGTGCCCCAAAGGCCTCAGAAACCCATCCCACCGGCTTTGCCACAGGGGAACCTAGGAATGCCTTCAACAAGCTTAGCAATGCCGTCACAGGCTTGTATCAGGTGCACACATGCTTCAGTAATTGTGCTGACCTAGTTACAGTCTTAACTTCATTCACAAGCTCCTATGGCACAGATTTGAATAGCTTCGTTACTGCCAGGGCCTTCAGTGTCTAACTAATATGACCTGTTTGGCAGGAGCCCCTCGACACCAGAGCTGAGTGCAGATGAACTTCCTGATGACATCACAAATGACATGGCAGACATTCCAAACGACCTTGAGCTGAACCAGGAAGATTTTTCTGACGTTTTACCCAGACTCCCCGATGACCTGCAGGACTTCGACTTATTTGAAGGTTTGTATGCCATCAACAATATTTTAAAATTAAAACACAAATATTGTTTTTTATATTTTTTTATGTCTCAGTGTTAAAGATGCAGTATTTGTACAGAGCAACTCATTTTATTGTTTTCTGATGTGCACTTTAATCACAAAGATGTGTATTGTGCACAGGTAAAAATGGAGAATTATTGCCCACTACAGAGGAGGCAGAAGAGCTGGTGCGAGCTCTGCAGGCAATGGGATCGTACCCAGATTCTTTGGTGTGCCTGACCTCCATTGCAGATTTAACACCGTCTGAAGGAGTGGACCACAGAGCCATGACTGTGTTTCCTGGGCCTGTGCAGACAGGGGGCATGGGGGACCTGCTCAACAGCCGCATTCAAACAGAAAACTTCACCAGCCTTGAACTTGCGGACAATCTACTGCAGTCCACTGGAAGTCACTTTCCTCCCTCGCCTCCGTCAGAACCCTCAAACCAGCCTCCAACATCATGTTCAAACCTAACTCCTCCAACCCCTACTGCGACCCAGTCCTTAACAGAGCGGACGTTTACACAAACGCACACATCCACTGTCCTGACAAAGTCAGACGCTCCCACGCCGTCTTCCCAGCGCAACCACTACAGCAGCGACCCTGTGCCCTCCCCGTACAGTGACCATATATCTTCACCTCATGCCCCCAGCTTCCCCACAGACACGCCTCTGCTCCTGGAGGTCCCTCTGAGCAGTGCACCAGGGGCCCCTCGCTCTTCATGGAACAATATTACACTCTCTCTCACTGATCCTTCACAGTTTGGTAATCTTATTGGCTCTGACAGTCATCTTATATCCACATCTCTGTCCACTCCCCCAGCGACTACTCATTCTGCCACACTGCAGCCGATGGCAGCCCTTTCAGCAATGCCTCAGACTGGTCTGACTGGTTTGGCCAACCCTCCAGCCCCCTCCTCTTCTCATGACAGTTCTACCCAGCCCAAGCAGCAGCTCCCTCAGTTCAGTGCGGCCTTTGGCCATCAGTTGGCCTCCCACAGTGGCATCCCAAAAGATGTGCAGCCTAGCCACAGCTCCACAGCGCCTCCTGCTGGGTTCTCAATAGTGAGTGCCACCGCTGCTAGTGCCAACAGCACCACACCGCCATTCACTCAAAGTAAATGATGCGGCCTGCAGCGGCTCTGAGATTGCTGTGGACTCCAGTCACTGACAATCCTCTTTGGCTTAAATTTGACCAGCTTTTCTATCTGCTGTGTGCAATATGTAAATGGTGCACTATTTGATAATGAATTTGCACAACCTCAGATTACCTTCAATAATTTCTGGTTTTCTTAGTGTACTTGACAGCCATGCAAGATTGCCGGTCACTGTGAGTCCACTTGTCTGATGCCTTGTGGTTACCAGGGGTTACAGTCAAAAGACATTCTGGTGAAAGCCTGCAGATGGACCTTAGCAGAGATTATCTCAGATTTCAAAAACTTAGATGCCTCAATCACTAGTTTTTTATTTGCGTTTGCCAGGTAACTCCTGACTTTGATTCATCTAAAATACACCCTGCCTTGCTCAGATGGCCATTACATTTTTATTTTTCTACCTATGTAAGCTCAGCATTTGTCACCCTGTTTAGAATAGTAAAAGAACTGCTTTTGATGTCAGTGACCATTATGTATGAAGCTATAGTTGTGAGTCATGTTTTGTCATGATGTAGAATCTTATTGAGTCATTTCACAGATATGAATTTACCAAACTACTTTTAAACAGCTGTTTTTATATTGTGTATACAGTGTATGGACTCATTTAATGGTTTGCTCAGACGTCATATATTCTGACCTCACCATTGGTTGTGGAACCCTGAGTGGCCTAGTAGACACTTGAAGGTAAATCAAGTTCAAAGCAATAAACACATTATCATGACTCACCATGAAAAGTATTTTCTTGGTCTCATTACTTGTAGCTTCACTTGGTAAATTTTTATCAGGAATATATTTTAGCTGTTTAACTGTTGTTTTTGACAACAGTTTCACTCAGAAGGAGACCAGCAATCAGGTTAGCTCATATACTTAGTGAATAAGGTTAAGCAGTGTCAGTGGTTTTATGATGGTGATGGTGTAAACCAGGGGCTTTAAGTGTCTACTCCAAAGGTACTCTGGTCCACATAGACCATGGTCTTGCATGTAGTATTCATAACAAAAGTGTGTAGAGTTACTTTGATGGTGTCATGGTTGGTGTCCCCGGTAATGGCCTGAGTAAATGCTTTTAATTGACACGTTACTTTGAGATTTTGCACTCATTTGCTCAGTAGATGATCATAATGGTAAAATTGTGCGGAGAAATCAAAGTTACAAACACTTTTGAGAAAAATAATGCAATCTTGGGATGTCTGGTTAGAATAAATCAATTTTCCCCTGTTAATTACAGCAGCACAACCATGTTTTGATCAATATATTACACATCAACATTGTAGACTATTTGATATTTAGAGTAGAGATCTATCTTGGGGTTTGTGGGTGATCATTGAGTAGCAATTGACATAGTTCTTTGCAATGTATTCAGTGGAAGCTGTGTGTTGTAGAGTTCAGTCTCCAAGTTTTTAATGGCTATCAAAAGTGTATTTTGTATGTTTTTTGTCAGGGTTGGAGGGGTCAGTGTTTGGTGTCATTTTCTGTCCTTTTATTTTCTTATATTCCAGTGGAGAGGGAGACTTTTGATAGCTATTAAACTAGAGGAAGCAGTGTAAGATTGCATGGGGCAGGAACACTTTGTCAGTTTTGATATTTAATTATGGTCTCTGGTGGTATAAAGCATAGGGAAGTATCCATCGACATTACTTGTCAGTGAGAAGAATAGATTTTTATATTGTGTTTTACGTTGATTTGCACAAAACCGAAGGATGCTAAAACGTGGCATGTCTTTTTTGCCTTTTTTTTGCGGGAAGCTAGTTTAACTCTACAGCTGCTCTGAGCCTGCACCAGACCCCTCATCCAGCTGTGAGAGGACCCCGTATCTGCCCCCCCCCCATTCCCCCTAGAGAGAGGGAGAGAGAGGTCACATGAACAGTGCGACGAGCAGGCTTCAGTTCTTTCAGAAAACCTGTTGAATTAAGGTAAACTGCTGTATCCACATAGCATGAGATTAGTTGTTGCACCCATTTCACTCTGGAACACAGAACAAATGTTACAGGGCTCGTAGGCACATGTAACTGCTTGACTTCAGAGCTGGCTGACAAATTCCTATACTCATTGAATGTACTGTATTACTGTTTTTAAAGATAGGATGAGCTAATCTAGTCACCTTTTGTTATTGGTCCTTGTTTTAATTTGTCTAAGGTATTTTTTGTATACAAAGGTTTACATTTTTATGTATATTTTTCTTGTGTACAAATTATGTAATATGTGTATAAACACTGTATGTAATTATCTGTATATAGTGTGAGAAATCTGATCTTTTGTTTTTGGATGTATAAATAAAACTTGCTGTGAGGTATTTACTGATATAACTTGTGTTTGTGTTTCTTGTCTAACAGGACAAACAAACGTTTAATAAAAATGCATTTTATTTTTGCTCAGTCAGTTAACAACTTTCAGTCCAACAACACTGTCCAAAATTAGCAAACATTATATTATAGGACTAAAGTGTAAGCAATGTCACACAAGGTCAACTTTTAAGTCCGCACAGTCAAGAATTTACAGTTACATAAATCAAGCCTTTCTATTGCATAACACTGCTGTGGAGGGTTACAAAAATAGACTTTTGAATATCGTGCTCTAATTGATTCAATCTAGTTTGTCTTAAACACAAAAGCAGAGAAACAACTGTTGTAATTGCAACATCACATAGTTTTGTTAAGAACCTATTTTTAAAAAAGTGCAAAACAAACTATTCAAAAGGTGCATGATGTATGAACTTTGCACGTTTGAACGGTGGTGCATGGCACATATCACATATGTCTATAAGAAACTGAATGAAAGGTTTTACACAGAAAAATCAGTATGAACTGAAACATAATGAAGCATTTAACAATAATTGTCTCGTACCTTAATTTAACACATTGTTTCAGTTGCATTACATTCACAATATAGAAAATCTGAGGCAATAATTCCCCATATGTTAATTTAATTTATATTCTGAACCAAAGATAAATAGTCCAAGAGCCATGTGCTTCTGTGGAATATCACTTTGTGCATTTGTGCACAGTCCAGGAATGACAGAAATACAACATACATTTGTCATGTGTGCTGAAGAGTTGCTGCAGAGCATTTCAGTAATTAAAAAACACTTGATCCACCATTGAAAAGCTAAAGCTATTCACAAACACTAAGGCTGATTTAGCTCAGGACTCGGTCCTCTGGTCCTGGAGTATGCTAAAACACATACTGCACAGGTCATGGGAGTTAGAACTATCAAAACACAGCAGTGCTGCTAGTCATCTGCATCTCAGAACACTGCTTACATTGTATGTAACTGCAGGTCTAATCATTTGCTGAATATGTCTGAAAATGTCTGCTGTGCATTTCATTTCACAAAGTTCAAATAGAGAAATACAATCAGTCAAATAGTACACCACATGACAGCCTCAGAGATAGGGAATCCAGGGGAGTCTTTGAGCCACAAACAGCATGCACATACCTGGGAATAGTCTCATGCTACTGCTGTATGGCTACTTTTGTTAAAGTAGAAGGCATTTATATGTGAAGTGCAAGTAAAGCTGTTAGTACACTGGGTCTACCGCATACCAATGCAGCTTCTAGGAAGACCTGAAGATGGCACTGCCCACCTATGGATGAAGGGACGCTACCACAGTTTCTTCAACAAAGCACGCACACATGCACACTCAAATACACAGGATGAGGCAAAAGCCCAAATGAGCCCAGGGCATCTGGACTGGCGTTTAAGAATCCAGTGTTCAAACTGGGAGTTTGATTGATCCAGCCACGTTATTTTTACATTCTCCACATTATTGACCATAGTCACAGCATAAAGTATGAAATGATAAGAAATCTAATATGTTTGCATATTCAGAAACACATGAAAAATGAACATAATCAAAACTGATACAGAGCAGCCATTACTATTTGAGCATTACAGGCTACCTGCCTATTGCGTACTAGAGAAATCAAAGTCTGATATACACAAAGTTCAAAGATAAGGCATTATCATATACAGCCAATATTTTATCAAAATATTTAGAATGCATCCTTTATCTACAATTATTAATTTGGCCATTTTGTACACAGTGGTTTTGTTATAAACAATGTCTATGGAATACGTGGATTAGCTTATTTACAGATTCCACCCCACAGAGCTCTTTCAAGCAGAATACCTGAGTTTCTCTCCACTAAGGGCCACACATTTAACCAAAGATCTTTCACACTTCGATAATCACAAAATAAAAGCAATACAAAATGTGAAATTTGCATCAGAACGATGAACAAACCAGACTATTTTAAGACTTTTTAAGACTATGACATGAGCGCTACAGCTCAGCACCGCTCATGTAAAACAAAATAATTGGGGAAATGTACGGGAACAATACTGTATGTGATGTTGTTCTAAACAATATTTAATTAAAAACAGGAAATTTGCGTGCAGAAGTGATTGGTTTAACCTTTTGTTTTGCTTTTTAAGTGCAGCAACACCTTTTGAACAGAAAAGAGTCTTCACACAGAAAACAAAGTTATGAAGGAGGTACTAGGAGACAGCGTGTAGCAGCAATAAAGTGAACTATCTGTGCTGCCTCGAGCATCCTGAGCAGGATCCTGGTGCTGTGCTTACACTTCGGAGGCTGTATGAAGGCTGTACGAGGGCTGGCATTTCTAGGGGCAAATGAGTGGTTCACACTTTCCTGCAAACTTCTTCACAGCTGTAGAGGTCGGTCTGATGAGACCAAGTAGAACATAACAGATCTAGTGTGTGGGTGAAGTCTGAAGCACCGAAAACCTACAAAAGAAATATAAAAACTGTTGAAACCTTTACAAATAATCATAATACAGATGCTCAGAGGGTTGTGTCACCTCTGCAGCCTTTGCACCAGCTCCACGATCAGAGAGTCACAGATGCCGGGGTGAGTCTCCTCTGCCACAAACAGGGCCTCCCGCAGCTTCTCAGCAGCTTCTGGTTTACCATTACTCGTCTCACCTTTTTCTTTCAACTACAACAAGCATCCATCCAAATCATGAACAATAATGAAGAGTGAATTGTATCTTAAAAAGGACAGAAATATACAATTACCTCTGAAAACAGCGGAGTAAAAATGTCTGCCAAACTCTGGGACAGAGGCACTGGTGGTGGATTCTCCTGGACCTGGACCACCTGGAGGAATATTATGTTTGTTAATGGTACTATATTACACAAAACTGAGTCTTATGAGCTTTTAGCCATGTTATAATGTTGTTACTTCCTCAAAAACAAATGTTGAGTAATCTATTATTAGCCTGTCTGTATCTCCAAAGCTCAAAATGCTCTGTTCCATCTTGTGATGTCATGAAGTGGTAGTTTTCAAGTCGACAGCGGCCTTCTACCTTTAGCTCAGTAAAGATTGTCAATTCCAGGGCTGAATTATCCAAATGATTCTATTAAAGGTGTATGGAGTTTAAAAACAGAGTGGAGCACTTCCTGCATCACCACATGACATCACAAGGTGGAACAGAGTGGTTTCTGAAACAAAACGCAACTCCAGGCATGTTTGTGATGAGGAAACATTCTAACAGATCAGGAAACAGTGTAATATGGGCCCTTTAAAGCAAGTTAATAACAGCTGTACCGGGGTTTCTTCAGTCTCAACAGGGGATGACGGAGCTGCTCCATTGGGAGGATGAGGAAGGCTGATGGTGCCCCACAGCCAGTCGTCCTGCTCTTCATTTCCAGAGGCCTGATCATCTGCCTCCCTAGTCACATATCAGAACAATATTAACAAATGTTCTTAACAGAGCCAAAGATTTTACTGTCAGAAATAAAGGTTTAGACAAAGCTTCAAACTCACTCGTCAGAACTGGACTCATCTCGAGACTGCTCCGCCTTCCACCTCTTGTATCTGTCAATCAACTCTGTCAGGTAGGATGTCTTTTTGGCGTGCCTCACAATAAACTTGTGCTTTAGCAGTTCTTTGGCTGTAGGCCTCTGAGGACATGATAAAACAAACAGAATGACAAGAGGGGCAAAAGTATAAAATACAGAATATATTGATACTACACTTACAAAGCTGGGCTCCTTGTTTAGACACGCGTCAATGAATTCTTTGAGAGGCCTGGTGTAGTTTCCCTCCAGTGTGGGCGGATTGTTCTTTGGGATTAGAAACAGGACTTTCATAGGATGCAGTTCAGAGTGAGGGGGCTCTCCTTTAGCCAGCTCTATTGCAGTGATTCCTAATGACCAAATGTCTGCCTGTGGAGTGCAAAAAGATTAGTGACTACCAGCAGTGTTGTCATAGAAAGAGCTTCCTCAAACACAACAACTGAGATTACTTGACTAATTCTACGGATTATTATGTTAGTTATTATCATAGACCGTATAAAGAAATTTGTTAAGGGAGTGTGACATCACCCCTAGTGTTTGGCTCCATTCAAATTAAGCATTTATAGAGGCTAATTTGAAGCAGAGTGGTATATTAGGAATAGGAATTTATTAACGGACAAAGTAGCTAAATAAAACACCAGGATCATGTAAAGCGAGTTAATATGAATATGAATATTTTAAGACAAAATGACAAGGCTCACTGCAGCAGTTACTGAGAGATAGGTGACAATTTTTCAAAATAAAGTAAATTGGAGTCAATGGATGGTTATCATTATGTTAGAACACAAAGAGCTATTAACCTTAGCTACAAGAAATGAAGCAATATACAAGCCTTGTTATCTCTAACGTCAGTGATGAATAAATTACAAAACATGGTTCAACCTTTGAATCATAGGCTGATTGTTTAATGACTTCAGGTGCCATCCAGAAGGGAGTGCCCACAAAGGTATTCCTCTTTATCTGAGTGTCAGTGAGCTGTCCTGCCACACCAAAATCTGCCAACTTCACATCTCCTTGTTCTGATAATAGCACATTGGCAGCTGAAAACACCAAATATAAGAATTATTTTCATTTAGATGTAATCAAACGCAGTTGTAATTGTTGTGCGCTGGTGAAACATTCATGCCTTTAATATCTCTGTGAATCTTCTTTTCAGAGTGCAAGTATTCGAGACCCTTCAGGATTTCCCTCAGAATTGTGGCGATCTGCGCTTCATCAAGAGGCCCCGGTTCCAACTACGAAAAACAACAGCACATCATAGAAAGTGGCCACTACAGTCTTATTTCTCTTCAACCTTAAATTTAACACATAAAGGAGGTGAAATCTTACCAAGTCAAGTGCTGATCCTCCACCCAGGTACTCCATAATAATCCATAACTTTGTACCCTAAAGCACAACATATATATATTTAATCATTGCAAAAAGCCCTCAGTCCTGCTGCACCCAATCTTTGTACTTTATGGTACATATTAGTGTTCTCAAGAATATAATAGAGATCAACCGACTTGAATTAAATACAAATTCACCCATGACCTTGTTTTACTACACACTGGATGAGGAACCCTCTTAGGACTTGAGTGTTCAGATTGTCTTTATGCATATGTTCACCACACAAAATATTGGCCTCTGCTGGAGATTTAACACCGATAGCTGATGCGGTACAAAGTGCAAATATCTCAACATAGTACTAAAATTTCAAACGCTATTCGATACTAAGGAATAGACTCAATGCTTAACTCTTTTCTCTGGCAATAAATTTAAAATTTCAACATTAAATCACGGTACTTGCTTTTATATTATCATGTGGGCTTATATCTGTATAATCCCTCAGTGGTCCAGGTAGGTTCCATAGAGATCCATGTGCTCTTATACTTGTTCTCATACAACTCAAGATCATTCTAAAGCTTTTCAGGAAAGGTTCATTTCTGTCCTGTGAATGTAACTTTTTAGTATTGATACTAGTTTTAGTATTGAATATCAATTAGTATATGATTTTAGCATACAAAAGTAAGTAAGTGCATAAAACTACAAGATGAACAAAAGAAAAAGATAAATGCACACATAAAGTATATAAATCAGGCCTCTCTCTCAGGGCCATGACATAGGCTAATGGAGCACCTCGCTTTGTGCTCTTACTCTAAGCACTAGCACCACTCCACACCCTGTGAAAGGCACTTAAAGCACTATCACATGTACAACAGCATAAGAACAGCAAAGTGAGCCGCCTCTAGTAAACACAGGCTGTCGGGGGTTATATACAGGACATACAAACAAACTCAGTTCATTGAAAGATATATAAACGTTTACCAGCTCAACTCTGGGTCAGAGACAATGAAAATAACAATAAAAATCTAAATCAAATATGAAACTCAATAAAAACTTAACCTAGCCAACAGTGCATTTGTAAAATTTCTGTCACCAAGGTTATTACAGCAATTACTGGTCCTATTTTGCATTTATGTTTGCCTCTATGTCTCTCTGTCCTCAGGTTTTCCTACTTGTGCCTGTCCAGACTTAAACCAAACAAAGCAATTTGTTTACATAATTTATTTGTGTGGTTCTACTACTGTATACTGTTATTTAACTATAGACTTTAAATAGTCCAGTGAGGATCATTTGGTCTTCCAATAATTTATTATGGTCTTTTTTCAGATCAAGGTTAAATGCTCACTAGAGGTCTTCCTCAGAGTGGCCATGCGATGACTCTGAAGAAGACTATTGAGCAGTCCAAAACTGTCAGGTATAAAAACAAACTAAACCTTGGTCTGTAAAAAGAACCTATTAAATGTGATGTATTTTTCTGCGTTCACTGAGATTATTGGATTATAAATTGGATCTTTCTTGTTTAATCATAATGTTTTAGGTAGAGAATTTTATACACAATCTCTGTCAAATAAATAAAATGTGTTTTCTTACCTTTAAATAGGATCCATAATACTTGGTGATAAAAGGGCTGTCGCACTGACTGAGAACTGTTATTTCCTGTTGAATGTCTTCAATTTCATCTTCTGCTTCTTCCAGATCAATAATTTTGATCGCCACAACTTTCTGAGTCCGATTGTCAATGCCTTTAAAGACCTCTCCAAAGGACCCCTTACCTATCCTCTCCATCTTTGTGAACAGTTCCTCTGGGTCTGCTTTTAAATTCTGGGGAAACAGAGAGATAAACATGTTTTCTAACCAGAAGGATGTTGCAACACTTATTTTATTCTATACGTGTGAGACCAACATATAAAAGTATCAGACAGTATCAGACAGATACTGAAGCTTGATTACAACCACCACTAAAGACTAGACACTATTGTATTGACTGAACTAAGTGGCCTAGGTCCCCGAGGGGCACCAAACAGCCTGTAATGGCTTTCAAAATGTCTACTTATGTTTCCTTTTGGCAATGGTTAGCCAAAATTGCAAAAGTGAAATATTAAAGATACATTTTATTTGAATACATATTTGATGGATGCACGCTTATCTGAATGATAATCGTTTTTCTCATTTAAAATTCCCCCAAGACTCCCCAGAGATACAATTCCAGTAAAAGGGCTAATGCATGGAGAGGGGCTGCAGAGGTGGACTGCCTCAATCCAACTCCAGGTGCAGATGCAAAATAAAGCAAAGTATGAAACAACTGTCATAACTCCATAACGGTCAGTCAGGTACAAATGTTGTATCTGACCATGAAAATCATTTTGGGCGTATGCCAAACAGCCTGCAAATCTGTAGACACAACCATAGCTGCATGCTGTCAGGAAGCAACTACTGATGGCATCCCCGCTAGAGGTGGGAGATATGTTTTAAAGAAATTCAAAGTATATAATTAAAAAGCTGCGAGACTGTAATATCCAATAACTGAATCTCAGCATTTTCAGCACATTTATGATGCAGGCATTGTAAATATATCATCCACTCAGTTTTTATAAGGAAAACAATAATATTTCAAACATTTTAGCCCCAAACACTGTACATTCCTCTTTTTATTTGCACGTTTTTAAGTGATCAACCCTCCACACTCTCAGCATTGCACTATCCACACTATTGCACATTACCAGGTAGAGGCTGCTGTGTATCACGTTAAAACAAACTCTTAAAATGTTAGAACTTAATAAGCAATAGTTTACAGATAGACATAGAGTTCAATATGTGACCTTAAATATTAAATACTGTCCTTCTACAAATAGCAACACAGAAATATGCACTCTTCTTCCTAAAAAAAACTAAACAATTCATTATATAACAGGCTATTTAAGCAATTGCTACAGTTATCAGTCAGCAGCAGATGAAGCAAATGAGACTTGAAGTGACTGATAAAGTCATTTACAGTTGGCTAACCTCGTAACACACCTCAGTTACACATAACATAACAACACAGACGTAAAAGAATTACCTGCATCCCTGGTATTGAAGCTTGAACAGGGGAATGAGCCATGGCGTCAACTTAGAAACGACCTCTTAACTTGGTAGATATGGAAAGCTGGTTTAAACTCTGCCTCAGTTGTACTTTGAACTCCTAGTTTCTTCGCTCGCCTTCCGCACTACGGTCGCGATGCTACTGTAGCCGCTATTTTGCAATACTACTCCGCCGTCAATAGAAGAAGTCCGGCCGCAGGGAGGTACTTTCCAGTTGCTTGAGCCGACGCTTAAAAAGTTGATTACGAAGAGCAAGAACACACTTCTGAATAGTTGTGTCGCTTGTTGTTCTGTTTTCCTATCACTTTTTTCTTTCACACAGCGCCATCTTGGTTAATGTCATTTTCAATTTCCGGTTTGACAAAAGGATGGGTTGCCAGGTAAGCGATGGTTATCTGGCAACACCATATTTACGCTAACGTAAACAAAACCCTGCATGTCTAAAAGTTTAAAATCAAGAGCTGAATCAAGTGAGGAAACGCCATTTTGGTTTCCACGTGAGCACCCGGAATTACAATTATAGATGTATTTTACACCGTTAATAACCTGCTTAATAGCAATAATTTACTGCACCCATTCAGGATCAGGATGCATAAATTCTATAGTGATTATGGTCGTTTTTAAGATATTACTGTTGAGCGTTCGTTCAGAATAAATGTTCCTTGGCCATGTAGTGGAGTTTAACATCTGTGTAAAAAAAAAAAAAAAGGAAATAAAATAAATCATCATATTTTCCCTAGCCTAGCCTATCTTCTAGAATGATTACACCAGTACCGGAAGTTTGACGCAGTCGTTGCCCGTTACCATGGTTACGCTCCAAAATGCCACAGAAATCGTTATTTTTATTTAGCCTTTTGATTCTTTACTTTGTCAATATATGTTTTGTGGATGTTTTGATGTCTTACTTTATTTGTTTAATCATACTTTTCCCAGACACAGAGAAGAGTTTCTACCCAGTCTATACAGCAGTCCACACATTTTACTGTGGCAGTCCAGACTGACTTCAGAGGGTGATTAAATTATTAAAAGTTGAACACTGAATCTAGTGTAAACATCTGAATAATACACTTAGCAACACAGACAACAGTTTAGATAATGATGCCTGTGAATATTTTCTGCCATTTATAGGAAAACCTCACTGCGGTGTTATATATGAACACTAAGAGGCAGCATACAGTAAAATAATACATACCAGTACTTTGTAAAGCTGTGACTTATGACTGAGAGGCTACGATATATTTTTTGACTATCGTCTCCTATTTATCTCTTTTTTCTGTTTTGCACCAGGTGGTGTTCAGGCTAAAAGAGGCTCGTCTAGAGGTGCTGAGAAAAAAAGGGATGAGATTCAGCAGAATTATACATCTGACAGACTGACCTGCATCAGTCAAACACATCAAATACAAGAGTGTTAATTCAACTCGTATACTGTTAATTTTAACACTTTTACCATGTCATATGAGGTCCACAATAAAATGAGTTAAAACTACACTTTCCAAAGTGTAGAAGGCTCAACACTGGTAAAGTGATGTAACCACACTCCTCATAGCTGAATTTGACACTGATTAAGATTTGATTTGTTTACACTAGTGTATAGTAAAAAACTAATGACTATATTGCTATGTTTTAACACTTTATGAAGTAGAAATAGTGTAGAGTGTTCGTCATGTTACACTACTCAATAGTAACTCTTTCTTCACTAAATACAGTATAAATGCTGTGTGGTCATTCTAGTTCATAATCCTATGACAAATGTAAAATAATGAAAACCACTACAAAATTCCATTTCGACTTAAATTGTATTAAAACAATACACATCATACAATCAACACAATTTAAACAAGTCATATGACACAATACTATTTCTGAAAAATCCAAATGACAGCAGCAATTCTCTGTGCCCTCAATAGTTGGTCACAATGATTGTCATTTACTTTTTTAAAGTTGATTTTTCAATGCAAGCAATCGATGGATGAATCAAGATCTTGTTTTGAATGGAATTCAGGCATGTTCATCTCCAAAAATGAAAGGAACATGTCTGACTGTTTGAAACAAGATCTTCTCTCCATTATATAAACATGACAATGTTCGCAATAGTGGCAGACCTGCTCATTATGAAACATTAACATTGCAGAAACTTTTTACCTCAAGAGTCAGTCTTTCACTCTTGGGGTTTCATTTGACACATCCAACGTCCATGCTGTAGACAGTTTTTTGAATACAGGTGTAAAGTTTGTGAGAGTCTGAGGACCAAGTGCCTTGAAGTGTTCACCAAAATCAGCCAGGTCAACAAGACATAAAAAACCTTTGTCCTTCCCACTTCAGTCACAGGTAGAAAGGCTGTCCAGGCTCAACCAGCAAGAAATGTGTCCATACTGATCTGTAAAATAAAATATAGAATAGAATAGAATAAATATAACATATTCAAGTAACCACCTTGCAAAACGGGCTATGCAATATTTAATGAGCCATGAATAAAAATTCAAAAGTAAATATATAGTAAATATATTGTGGTGCATATATCATAATTTGTTTGTTCCTATTAAGCAGGTTATTCTGTTGCATGAGCTGTATGTTTTTGTATACAGGAACCATTCAAATAAATAACTTGAAGTGTAATTTGAAAAAATTTAGCCCCTTAGAAAAGATTATTTTTAAATGCAAAAACCACAAGAAACAAAACACCTAAATGCCATTAATCACGAAAATAGAATGAAATTAAGGCAAAAATTACTTCTACTACTTAGCACATATATAAAATTCAATTAGTCAATTACGAAATTATTGGTGAGGTTACATTTCAGTTCTACATTTAATCATTTCATGACATACCTGCAAGTCTCTGACAAGATGGTTAATGGCTTGAGCCTTCATCTTTCCACTGTAGCCTTTAGGAACTGGGGATGCATGTGAATCTGCAGCAAGACGCTCACCCTAAAGAAAATACAAAAAAAGATTGTATCATTACTCTTTTTGACTAAAGGTCAATAGCATGTTAAGACATTGTATTGGGTAAGACATCATACTTGAAGATATTTTATTTTATACTACTACATAATACTAACATATTGATTCAAATAATTTTAATAATTCTCCACTTGGTACAATATCCCACCTCAACACACCACACAAAATGTGCACGTTTATAAGCTATTATTAAAAGAAATGTGAATACAACGAACGAATGCAGCCCCAAAGTGTGAAAGACACGGTGAAAGAACTAAGATAACTTATCTTAACTAAGCTAGGGCCGTGTGAGGGCGTTAGGATTTGGGCTGCGTGAGATCCTGGACCCGCTGTTTGCGGTCTCCTTGAGACGGAGCTAAGGCAGTGCGGAACTCACCTGGTTTAGGCGTATGCGGGTGTTGGGTTAGACCTGGTCAAATGCGGGTTTAATCCTTGTTTAGAGCCGATCCACCTCCTCTGGTGCCAAGTCCACTCCAGGCTACAGTCGTCTTCTTCTTTCTTAAATTTATTCAATTAGTGGTTATATAGCTCAAAAATACCTAAAAAAAAGAGCAGGCTTTCTAACTGTGAGTGAGGTTGCCAGTCCACAGATCTGACCTGTAACTTGGCTGATTTGGTCTAGATGATGATAGAAAGATTTAATGCCATACTATGAAACATTCCTGACAAAGCAGTGGAGAAAAGCAGGTGAAAAGTCACACAATGCACTTTTAAAATGCTTTTTTTTTTTCTTAAATCACTGGAAAACATGGCACTATATGATCACACAATTTAAGCTTCAAATTGCACAGAATGTGCAGAAAAATGTAAAATAGAAATCACATAGTTTTTATGGTGTGTAATTTTTCCTTCTGCAATTATTGATAGGAAATGCATAAGAAATGGAAATGCGAACATAAAGCTGCTTATATTCCTATGTTGTTTTTACACTATCATTTAAATGCAACTCTGCGTAAAAGTATACAAAGTAAACAGAATACAGTACTCTGATGGGACCATGTAAGCATGGGAGCATGTTATAAAATACATTTTAAGTGAGGAATTCAGTATTCTGTAACTAAATACATTTTCAAAATATTCTTCTCATGACTGGAGTTAAAATACAACAAGTTTCTAAGAAAACTGTACTTTTTCTGAACTATGACTGGGTTATACGACTTTTTCTAAAAGCACAAGAGATGAATTGTTTTTATGTGAAATTAATTATCCTTGGAAAGTTCTGGTAAATTATTTTAAAATCCACTACAGAAGATTTAGTTCATAGGACCCTGACAAACAACTTTGAGTCTGAGTGTTCAATTTTAGAAGGCTGCCATGAGTCACAAGTTCTGTCGCCTATCTAACTTCGTCTGTTTTATAGTACAGGTGCAAATCTGAAAATACAATAAAAATACTGACAAGTCAGTCATATTAATGGTGCACTGTGCAGCTTTCCAGGTGCACGCTCTGCCACCATGGAGATGTTAGTGTGCCTGGAATTTTTACTCTATGACTGTCCCAGGGACCAAATTCGGCTATGTTTTAGAGCTGGCCCGCCGGCTACAGATTGGCTACATTATTTATTTAAAATGTTGTTATTATTTAATATGATGCTTGTTCTGGATTCTATTATTAAACTTTTATTTTAATAAGAAAATGTTTAACATTACATATCTTGAAAGAAGAGAAAACACGTAGATGTTGTTGAAATTTTTCAGTAAATATTTAGTTTGGCCCATGACTTAGATCCCCGTTTTTAATTTTGGCCCTCTGTGAATCTGAGTTTGACACCCCTGCACTATGATATTAAGCGTATCTACAGTATTTCCACGGAGATAAGCACCATGCCAATTTACAGGTCTGACTTGTGGAGAGGCAGGCCTGCTTACAATAGACTACATATTTTCAAGGTATTGTTTTATTGTAATAAAAACTATATAACTATAATTACACCTATAAAAACACCCAACAAGCAAGTTTAACGCCATGCTATGGTACATTCCAAGGAAAGCAATCTCCCTATCATATCTCTCTATACACAAACAGGTGCTAAACTCTTCCAGCCACAGTCATATTTGACTTTCTTTGCATTTAAAGTAGTGAGATATTGTATTGCCTTCACATGGATATTGCTGCTTCTTCTGTTGTCTTAACCTAGATAACCTCTGTGATTCAGTTTTGTTTCAGAAGATTACATAATTCAGGGCTGAACGTTGAACTGAAAGGGGAAGGACGTTCATACGGTCATAAACCACATGGGCGGTACCGGGTGAGACTCTTCCCGCCTCCCCTCGCCTCCCCTCGGGCTGCAGCTCCAAACTTTGGCCCAGTGCGGCTCCAAAATTCAAAGAACTCGTCCAACGGGAAAACTTTGTACACTAGAGTTTGAGATCTGTCTGTCTGTCACCTCTGGGATTAACTTCATGTGAAGACAAAAAGCAGTTGTTTGGACATCTTGGTGAGTGCTGTCATGTTTTCATTAACAGCTGACTAGTTCAAAGTTTACCTGCACATTCAGTTTGCTTTACTAAGTATCTGTAATTACCTTGACCCTGTCTGTAGTGCAAAGTAAAGGCCATGTGCAAAATAGTATATGCATGCTATAACACAACATTATTTTATTTTAAGATTATTCCCCTAGTCAGAACAGTAACCTTTAACAAAACCCCTACATTTAGAGATTACGGTTTGAAATAATTATATGAAAAGAAGTTAATTCAGTGGAAAAAATATATTAATTTGACTGTTTCTGTAGTTTCAAATGATGGAGTAAACTGAGCCAACCTGATAATCAATATATAATGTATAATAATCATGTTTTTACATACATGCATGCATAGGCTTAATTATAAATGAATGAAATTTGTATGACTATTTAACTGGCAGTTTATTCCCTGTATTACTAATAATAATATCTTCATTTGCTTTGCTGCCCATATTATGCTTTTTTTTTATAAGTTATAATGTTGTTTCCTCATCACAAACATATCTGGAGTTGTGTTTTGTTCCTGCATATTTAGGCTGAGTTCTTCTCTCAAACTGAAAACACTCCACCTTCCATTCCACCTTGTGACATCATGAGGTTAAACAAGATGTGCTCGACTGTGTTTTTAAACTCTATACACCTTTGCTAAAATCATTTGGATAATTTTAGCCAAGCTCTACTGAACTAAAGGTGAAAGATAATTGCTAACTTGAAAACTGGAACAGAGTATTTTGAGATGGCTTTGGAGATGTAGACAGACGAATAATAAAGGGTCACTCAAACATGTGTGAATGAAAAACACAGCTCCAGGTATGCTTGTATGAGATAACAACATGACTTAAAACTCACAAGAGTCACTTCAGTGTAAGATGGGACCTTTAACGATGCCTGTACATGCCTGTACAAGACACTGAATAAAAACTCTGCTGTGTGACACATGAAAACATTAACATTTAGAGCTGCAAAGCCCAGCTTCATAACTGATTTCTGACACCACTACATTGGAGTCCTGACAGAAATACCACAACGTTTTAAACCTCACAGCAGTAATGACTTCAGTAATGGCCAACTGAGCACAGGCCTAATTCATCAGCCAGTTTTACTTTGTGGAAACCGGCTGACCTCGCAGCATTAGGATTTGTTCGCTTAACGGTAGGGGGGTACTTTTTTATTTAACCAATCTCTGCTATTTTGGTCATGACGTATGTAATGCGCCGTTAATGGGGCTAACTGGTATATTAAGCTTTTCCCAAATCTTGTAGAAAGAAGGGCAATAACATCTTTCCCCTTGATAAAATTCACCAAACGTTCTCTTTGTTCCGGCTTTAAATCTTTGATCTCGGGAACTGTTGCCAACACAGAATGTATGGCTCTTCAATGATTGGCTGATGCCCGGACTCACACTTCTGGGGTTCTTACAAACTGCCTAGTCTAATGTGTTCTGATTCCTGACCTAGTTGCTGGAGAGAAATGAAGTTGAGCAGAGGCACTAGGTGGCGCCAGCCTGGCTCACTGAGCATCACTTGCCTCTATGAAATTATTAGAATATAGTGAAATACAACTGACTGAACTTATTGATATTCTGCAGTGACATCATGTTGGAGGGGTTCTGCATGTATGTGTATACCGGTTACCATGGCAACACACTGTACACATTAGCAAACACAGCCAATTTATTTATTTATTTATTTATTTTGAGATAATCTGAAAACTCAATAAAAAATACAAATTGGTTTAAACAACACATTTTCAAGAGCCTGTGATCAATATGAAAAAAGGTGAGAGTGACTAGCTGAAAATTTCTAGCTTGTGACTATAGTTTTATTTGAAAAGGACTTTCAAATAGCTCACATGTTGTTCCAGCTCAGTCATAGATTGTGTTAAAACTAAAACTAAATTTTAACAAAGCCTCAGACTAAGCAGTACCCAGTTAGCTTCAGACCCCCAGGGAATGCTGATCAATATTCTTCACCAGGCAGAGATGAAGAGTATGAACACACGTTTACAACCGTTCTGCCAAAACTTTCCCATTGGCGATGAGAATGAGGAGGAGTCGGAGGATGAAGGGCCCAAGTTCTGTGGAGTGTGTGGGGACCAGGCCAAAGGCTACCACTTCAACGCTCTGACATGTGAAGGCTGCAAGGGCTTCTTCAGGTGAGGACACACTTAAAGCTGCACTGTGTAACTTTCCGTTGGAGGGTCTGGCACCTGCCTGTTTTCATAGGTATTTTATTGCTTCGTCTAGATCAAATGTTTCACAATATGGCATTAAATCTGTTTCGATGGCGACAAGCCTGCAATGCCTCCAGACTAAGTTACAGGTCAGATCTGTGGAGAGTTGAGCTCACTCTCTGTAGGAATGCTTGTTTTTTGTAGCATTTTTTGAGCAGTAAAACATCTGTAATTGAATAAAGGCAACATAGGTGAGTTTAATGCTATACTGTGAAACCAAAGCAAAAATATCTCCATGGAAACAAGCTTGTGGTGGACCCATTGCCAGAAAAATTCCAGAACCAGATTTCAGGAAAGAACGTCACTTTAGATGAAAATGTAAATTTACGTGTGCATTTGTAACTTTCCACCACCTGCTTGTTTCCATGGTGATGCTATTGCTTTGCATTGAAGAGCCTGTGACAGGTCGGACTACTTATTTGGTTAGCGATAAAGTTTACTTCCTGACTGGAAAATCAGCTTAAGGAATTCCATAACTACAGCAACAATAACAGCATCTTTGTTTAGAAAAGCGCTGTATAAATAATAATAATAATAATAATTTATTATTATTATTATTATTATTATTATTATTAGTAGTAGTAGTAGTAGTAGTAGTAGTAGTAGTAGAAGTAGTAGTAGTATATAACTGTCCCCTAGCAACCATGTTATACAGTGGGCGAAAACTCCTCTAATGTACACAGAAATTATGATTATCCAAATAAAAACTTAAGAAAGCACCTTTATTTTGTTAAAATGATGTTGAAAATATCAGAAACATTTTAAATATGTTTCTTAGGTGTAAATTGTGTTGAAGTTTTGGATAGAATTCTCCCTAGCGTGTCTATTTTCTGTAATTTTCAATATGTTTTTCAACCTTTTTCCACAAATTGCTTCTTGATTGGTGTAAGTTTTAGTTTATATGTATATTGTGTTATATTTTTTAGCCCACCAAATTAAGTCAAAATTAGAAAATCATGAAAACCTGACCCAAAAAAAAGGCAAAACATAGAGAGGTGGATGTGGACACAAGCAGGTGCTGAATCAAACAATATTTTCTACCAAATAATAATTTGAATGTGTAAATCTCATACAGGCGTGCCATAAAGAGGTCAACACCGCTTCACTGCTCATTCCTGAATAAATGTAAAATAACCAAGAACAACCGTCGAGCTTGTCAAGCTTGCCGATTCCAAAAATGCCAGGCCATCGGGATGCGCAAAGAAAGTAAGTCACGTTTAAGTAAAGAAAATTAAAGGTCCTACATGTATATTATGCAAAATTGACTCTTGTGAGCTTTTATCCACATTATAATGTTGTTACCTCATCAAAAACATAACTGGAATTGTGTTCTGTTTTGTTTCATTCACATATGTTTGAGAAACTCTTTACTATTATTTTGTCTACATCTCCAAAGATCAAAATGCTTCATTCCACCTTGTGATGTCCTGAAGTGGCACTTAAGTTAATAGCTACATTTTACCTTTTGTTCAATAGAGATAGGAATTTCCAGGGTTGATACTCCCTACAACTGTACAACAACTCACCCTTTATGCAACAGATAATACTCCCTACAACTGTACAACAACTCACCCTTTATGCAACAGATAATACTCCCTACAACTGTACAACAACTCACCCTTGTGTAAAGCTGTGTTCAGACCAAACGCGTCTAGTGCAAATAAATTGTGTCAAACTCCCCTAGTTTGCCTCTTAACTTTTTTGAGTCATTCGCTTCATTCGCGCGTAAAGGTCGCTCCAGTTTGGGAATTTGGTCACGCGAGTAAATCCACTCTATTTCCTGTGTTCGCTCCACAAGGATCAATTGCGGCTGTGTCTCTGCTGTATTCATTTGGAAAAATGGGGGACTTGGACTACGAGTGGGCTGACCAGACCAGGACCATCCTGGGACTCAGACCTGGACTCAGACAGGGACTGAGATCGGGACTGAGACCGGGACCAGACCTGGGCTGAGACCGGGACTGAGACCGGGACTGAGACCAGGACCAGACCGGGACTGAGACCGGGACCAGAATAAAAGAGATCTGGACAGAGAACTTTATTCACTTGTCAACGCCTTTATAGGGTTAACATGTAAATCATTCGCCTTGTTCACTCCAGACACATTTGGTTTGAACACGGCTTTAAAGCGTTGTGTTACCAGGGTGTTTGTGTTGACTCAAAGTTCGCTCAGATTTTGTGTGTTTCTGCAGTGGTCATGTCCGAGGAGGAAGTTCTGGAGAGGAGAATCAAAATCAAGAGACGGAAAATGCAAACTGCATCATCACAACTCTCAGATCAACAAGAAAAAATGATTGTGGAGCTCCTAACAGCACACCGCAAAACATTTGATCTAGGCTTTTCGAATTTTAGGGGCTTTAGGGTAACGGATTCACACTGTAGACCAAAAATGAACTAATAATTATCCAGGATCTTACCTTTACCTTTATTTATGTTTTACAGCCAATGGACAGAACAATAGCTTCTCCCAATGACTTGAATCATTATACGAATGAGCCCTATGACCCATTGTGTAGTCACCCGACAGACGTCAGTCCCACTGCTTACAACTTATTTTTACCCTCTCCACCTTTTTCTTCTTCTTCCTCCCCTTGCTCCTCCTCCTCCTCCTCCTCATCTCCCAGTCTCTACCTGTATTTTGACAAGGAGCAAAACAAAGAATCTGACCAGAAAATCAAGTTTTTTACATCCCTCCCTCACCTCTCGGACCTCGCCACCTACATGGTTCACAATATCATTAGATTCTCCAAAAGTCTGCAGGTTTTCAGGTAAGACGCTTAAACCGCTCATATTACACTATTTTCTGGTCTATGTTATAATTTTGTTTCATCATCACAAACATCACAAACAGACCTGGAGTCGTGTTTTGATTCATTCACATGTTTAACACAAACCTGCATATTTAAGTTGAGTTCTTCTCTCAACATATGGTAATACAGGAAGTGCTCCACTGTGTTTTTAAACTCCATACACCTTCACTAGAACCATGTGGATGATTTAAGACTTGGAATTACCAATCTTTATTGAACTAAAGATAAAAGGTCGTGATTAACTTGAAAACTACCGCTTCATGACATCACAACATGTAGCAGAGCTTTTTGAGCTTTGGAGATCAAGGGCGTAGGTTTGCCTGGGGACGGTGGAGACAGGTCACAACCGACATTTTGGGAAGACAAAATAGTCCCTACCAATATTTGCCATTTTATTCCAATAAACAAAAATATAAATGTATTCAGATATGTTTCCAAACTCAATTGTATTAATTGAACACATTTTAGTTCACATTTTCTTTATTAGACGTTCTGAGATGTGTTCAGTGATATGACGACAGAGTTACTCCTGCCGCTACTTCTTTGGCTGCAACAGAGTGATGTCATTAGTGGAACCAGGAACCTAAACTGGGGAAGCGGCAGGACAGGGCCAGTGCCTGAAGATGGTGGCTTGAGCAGGCGTAATGTTGATGCTGCGCACCAAACTTTGAAAAACTTTTCAGAAGGAACTTACTTGGCTTCATCTTCAATTAAACTTGTCTCATGAGTTGCCACGGAAAAAGAGCAACTATCACCACAAGTGCACCTCCCAAACAGAGCCCTACTCGTGCGCTGTTAGCGGCCCGACTCTACTGACAATATTCCATGGAAAAATGTATGGAAATTACCTCACTAATATCTCATCACCAAAAAGGGAAATCTGCTACAAACTTCTACTACCCTCTTATCCAGTAAAGAATCATCTTAGAAGGGCAATGGACACAAACTGTACATTTTGCAAACTGAAAAATAAAACCACCTCTCACTTATTTTGGACCTGCCCAGACTCTGTGTGTTTTTGGAAAAACATTCATTAGAGAAGAATAATAAACCAGGGTTACTTAAACGTGTGAATGAAACAAAACACAACTTCAGGTGTGTGTTTGGTGCATTATACCATAGTCTAAAGCTCACAAGAGTCAGTGTTGCATAATGTAGGACCTTTAACCTCAAATATAGTATTAAATGAAGTTCTTTTTCAGGTCTTTAAACATGGAGGACCAGATAACACTACTAAAGGGAGCTACTTTGGAAATTTTGCAGCTGCGCTTCAACATGGTGTTTAATGTGAAGACATGTATGTGGGAATGTGGTTCTATTTCCTATTACAAAGACGATGTCATACGAGGTAAGACTTGCATAACAATCCAGGTCAGACTTTGCAAAAGAAGGATCTAGATTTGCATTATTATTATGTCTATTTTGTTGTATGTATAAAGGAAAAAAAGGTTCTGATAAACTTTTGTGGCTGTAATTAATCTTTAAATCTTTCATTGATCATCTTCATTACTTTAAAGGTGCACTGTGCAACTTTTCTGCTTGCTTGTCACCATGGAGATGCTTTGCTTTGGTGTTTCTATTGCTCAAAAATACTAATACTAATACTAATTCCTTCTGGGAATAGGGGCGACTCTCCACAGATCTGAACTGTAATGTAGTGTAAAGCTGTGACCGGTTTGACTTTATCTAACACGACGGAGACAACCTATACTGTGGAACATTCTAGACAAAGCATAACATTTCCATGGAGACGAGCAGGTGGCGGACCCTGTAGTAGAAATGTTACGCAGTGTACCTTTAAAGTGATTTTTTTTTTCACACAACCCCACTGCGCGTCGGTTGGTTGGTGTGTACATTTGTAATCTAATTCACAGAAGGAGGAGGGAAATGTGGGGAAACCAGTTTAAATTAAGATGAACAAAGCTTTTTCTGCACTGTCATCCTGTGGACCTACTAACCCAACTAACCTGAACTGAATTAAGTGTTTGCAGAGACGTCTTTATAAATGACTCTGGCCTCCTTTGCTTTGTAGCGGGGTTCCAGACGGCCTTGGTAGATGCTTTGGTTAAGTTTCACCAAAACCTTCGTAATCTGGGTCTACAGGAGGAGGAATATGTGATTGCACAAGGCATCTCCCTGTTTTCTCCAGGTAATTTTCACTCTTTCACTGTGCTGCTTAAACAATTTGCTGCAAAGTTTTAGTTGCATCTATATAAATATGAATAATTGAAACTTGGATACTCTAGATCAGCCATTCCCCAAGTCTGCAGTGCCGCGGTCCCCCTGTCAATGCAAAGATCCCATCGAAGGGGCACCCCAATAATAAGCGATGTAACAATAACCAAAATGTTGTGATATCGTATCGTCAAAAGTCTCACAATAATATCGTGAACTGTCACAATATATTCCTTTGCTTAAATGCCTGGTTTTATAGTAGCAACAGCTTATAGACAGAGGGAACTACATATCCCATGATTCATTTCAGTGCAGACAACATGAAGAAATATGTTTTTTACTTGAATTCTTGGGATTATGATGGAAATAATTCACACCAAAATCTTGTCACGGTATTTTTAAAGCAAAAAAGTGTGCGATCTTTAATTTTTAGCCTCTTCAAAACATCGTAGAAAATATCGTACTGTGAGAGACATATCGTGATAATATTGTACTGTGAGATCTGGATATCGTTACATCCCTAGAATATGACAATAACTGTTGTACCAAATGACTGGTCAAAGCATTTTATAATGTCAGTCTTGTTATTATGTATAATATCGTAATTTTGTGAGCTTTTCCACAATATCGCAATAAAACTTGGATATCGTTACACCTCTACTAAAAATAATTTACTCTACATTTAATCAAATATGTCGTGTTTTTTCCTTAGAATTACATGTTAAATTATAATTATACCTGCAGGCTTAATATTGATATCAATAGTAAATGTAACCAAATATATTACATAAAGTTGATTTCAAAATTAAAATTTCTTTCATTCTTGTTGTGTGGACAACTTTTGGGAGCCTCCATGCATTGCCTTTAAATACATAACACCACTAACTACTACTACTAAAACTACTTCTACTACTACTACTACTACTACTACATTATTTTATCAGTTTTAGTTATTAAGTTAGTAAACATACAGCTGCACAGTGTAAATGTAGGGCTCTTTATGAGTCAATCATGTGAACTGACTGTAATGTTTTAGATCGACCTGGAGTTCAGCAGCGTGACCTGATCGACCAGCAGCAGGAGAGCCTCGCACTGATGCTACAAACCTACATCGACAGTAAAAGAAGAGGTCCAGAGAAACAGTGAGTCACAGCATGAGCCTCAGATTTCCCGTATCCCCTCAGTGCATTAGACTGACCTGTGCGTATTTTATGTGCAGCTTGCTCTTCCCTAAAGTGCTGGCCTGTTTGACAGAGCTCAGAACTATGACCGAGGAGTACAGTAAACAAGTGCTGCAGATCCAGGACATACAGCCTGACATCTCTCCTCTGATTTTGGAGGTGATCAGTAAAGACTGACGTCACTGTGTAACCACAAAATAAAAAGAACTGAAACCAAACAAATGCACTGTCTAGAGAAAGGTGACACTTACTGAAAGACTTACCTAACAGTGTCGTGGGCCTTGAATATGCTCAAATACAGATTGTGTAATTATCTTTTATTCAATGAATAAGTGAACAATTATACCTCAGGTATATGTAAATGGAAGACAATTGTGAATAAAATACTGTTCCTCAGTTTTTAAATGATGCACAGTTGTTATACCTTTGTCCTAAAATATTTGGAGCCAAAAACATGCTTGCATAAAAATGCAGTTTGAGTTAGGATTAGGTCACGGGCACAGTCCATAATGGTTAAAGTAAGAATTTTACATTAAATTTGATTATAGTTTATAAAACACGTTCATGTCAAGCCCACTCATGGCTTTAAACTTAATGACACTGCCACCTAGTGGCCACACTCATACTTGTTTTGAGGATAGTGGTGAAATTATGAAACTGACACAGTTAACTAATTTCCAGGCTATCCTACTCTTTATTTAATGCAAATTACAGTACCAGGGAACTATTCCTCAGAGCACGCAGAGGGAATATTTACAGAGGCGCACATTTAGCATACCTTCACAGAACAAAAAGAAAAGAACAAAACAAAAAGGAAATAAAAAAAAATCAGTCACAAACAGAGGCATTCAAGTAGTATTACTGTTATACAAGATAGTTGTATCTTTTTCTGTTTTTCTTTTATCTAATCTTAGATAAACCCAGTCAGCAGGTTACACATATGCTCCATTTTGACAGGCATATGTCACCAGCTTATGTCCTTGTATTTATTTTTTGGTAACCACTGTGGCAATTATTAATAGAGCCAAAAGAGAAGTGATCAGACTTTTTGGTGGAGGATAGTAACACGTGTCATGAATGCAAAAATTACAGCAAGCAGTTTTAATGGGAGAAAGGCTACATGACTCTGACCCCTTTAGGTGCTACTGAATCCCCCCAAACATATGTGACACAGAAGGAACAACAAGAAACAACAGAATACATTATTGCCTCTGAGGATGGCTCATCACATCTATGTCATAGTTTGGCTTTGGTAACGCAACAAACACTGTGAGAAATACATAACCTACTGTAAATTATATACAGTAAATGAGGCCTTTAAAGACCCCTGTTGCCATTGGAAAAAAACAATACCCACCAAGTTGGCCACTTCATGGTGGTTTGTGCACATATGTCCATGATAAAACATCTTGTAAAATAAACATCTTCAACTAAGGACTGCTTCCTTATTATTAATGTCTGTATATTACATTAAATGTGCAATGACAAAAGGAGGGAGTTTAGGTGGAAAGGGGAGCACAAAACCAGGTGCACCAGTGCTTTGTTGATGTGTTTTTGAGGAAGCCAGGACATTCAACAGCACCAAAGGGAGAGTCACAAAACGAGTGGGGACTTGGGGTGAACAAGGCGAAGGTGTATGAAAGCAAAGGCACTCCAAACTATAGTTACACTATACATGACTAGTTCTTGTTACAATAATACAGCGGTTCCTACTGTACTGTACAGGTAAGATTGAACATATGGCTGGATAAAGCTCATCATCATCTACAGAATCATCTGATTCTGTTTTTTTAAACCTTTTTTTTCATTCCCTAACCTTTGTCATCTTTGTTTTTGCTCATCAACAGTACATGGGTCTGCATATATACATACTTCGAAACACAACATGGAAAAATAACATAAAAAACAAACAAGTCAGACTTTGAGAGGAGCATTTATACTGTATATACAAATTCAGATGTTTTTGTAGTTTCCAACGGGAGTATCTCTGTAAATAACAAGCGTAGGCTGTACCAGGTGGCTCTATGTGCGTGGAAGGAGAGAAAAGGCTTCTTGGGTAATGTTCAGTCAGTGGTTACAACATGCTAGGCTCGGCGTCGCTCTGGTCAAACACAGAACTGTCAGAGACTCCCATAACAAGAAAAACATAAAAACAGATTCAAAGACAACAGGAGAAAGAAGTGAAGATGTGCTGCTATAGAAACACTTAAGAGTCAGTACACAGAGGGGACATAGAGCAGTGCCCTAAAACCATCTAGAGTTTACAGAGAAAAAATAGTGCTGGAATTAAGTGCACTCCAGCAAAAGAAGGAAAACTAAATAGCTTTAAATCTACTTCCATAGTCTTAAAGCAGCCACAAATATTGCAGCTGCTCTGCCAGATATGAGCTCACCATAAATGATTTCTGAACCATTGTAGTTAATATACATATATCTATATATACCTTTTTTACATAAGGAAAAGTAATATATAAACTGTGTATGTATGCATGTTTTTGTATTGTATGTATAGAATATACAAGCACACAGGACCAGATAAAAGTCACATCCATAGCAATCCGACCGCCTGGGTAATAGAAAATATAATAAAATAAAAACAATTTGCCGACCATTAAAAACAACCCCAGGCAAAACAGAAAAGAAGTAACCTGTCCAAATGTGACCCCTGCTTGCGTCTCTCAAACATCAGCTTGTCATGCATCCGGGGACTGACTGTTGGGATGGGTGTGAAAACGCGTGCCTCATGCCTGTGTCTGCAGAAACTGGAGGTGGAGAGTGAGTGGTCCTAACTGTATTCAGGCCATGCACTACAGGGGAACCGAGGGGGAAGGGGTGGCCAGGGGACTGGGGTGGGGGGCAGAGGATGCATAAAAATTCAACACTGTAAGAGCGGGCCAAAGATTTAGAGCTTTTTTCTATAGATTGTCCTCTTAAGAACATTAGCAGGCTAGCATTGTGATTACATTATATCTCTGGCACATGGCTTTCCACTGACAGGGCACAGAGACTGATGGGGCGATGAAGAGTCTGGATGAGTAAGAGGGGCTTTGTTTGGTTTGTGGCTGTGGCACGGGGGCTGTGGCTAGCTGCTGACCCCGGAACTGTCTCAGCAAGGTTGGGCTACTGTTGCCCCCCTGGCCTGGGGCAAAGAAGAGGCCTGGGGCAAAGGAGAGGCCTGTGGGCAAAGGAGAGGCCCACGGCGCTGCACCAGGGCTCAGGAGGTGGCATTAGAGGCTGAGGCGGAGGCCGTAGTGGTAGTGGGTCCTCGCTCTGTGTTGCTACCATCTGTGGGCACAAAAACACACCATTAAACAGCAGAATACGGACGTTTGCTAAAAGGAGAAAATAAGCTGCATTCCCTTTAAATAGCTCTCAATCTAAACAGAGCCAAGTACCTGTGGTAGCAGAGGCATTGGTGGGAGTGGAGGCTGCAGCCTGACTGCGGGCGTGAGCAGGGATGAGTATGGAGGCCAATGAGGGATTACTGGACAACTCTAAAAATGAACCATAAAAATATTCAGAAAAAAGCCCTAGGCCTGTTAGTGTTAACTTCCGAAATAATAAATGCACCTGATTTCCTTAAAGGATCTAATAATACTGTTTGTTTAGTAGTATGTTTGGTTAATCAGTGCCATAGCTACCGCAGAATGCAATGACTTATTTGATATAAAAACAAGAGATCAGAGCACGTTTGATCAGACTGCCAAACCACATGTAAAAGGCAGCCTCCGTGTGAAGACCTAATTTGTATCTCAATCATAACCATTTACATAACACTGGCTCGTTTGTCATTATAGGTTCATTAGATGGAAATGGAAATCATAAGACAAAATGCAGTATTTTGATGGAGTAGGAAAATTTAAAAGGGCCCATATTACACTATTTTCTGATCTTTGTTTTGACATCATTTCCTCAACAAAACAATTCCCGGAGTTGTGTTTTGTTTTATTCACACAAACCATGCATATTTAGGATGAGTTCTTCTCTCAAACTAAAAACACAGACTAATAATGCAGGATTACTGAAATGTGTGAATGAAACAAAACAACTCCAGGTATAATTCTGAAAAGGAAACAACATAATAACATGACTTAAAGCTCACAAGAGTAAATTTTGCGTAATATAGGCCCTAAAAAAATACACTGAACAACAGAAGGGAACAGAATTAGTTAATTAACTCAATCCAAATGAAAAACACTGAACAACACAAACTTGTAAACGTGTGGTGCGACTGCCGTCAGTACCTTGAGTGGTAAAATTGAAGAGGGAAGGCTTCTCTCTCCCGTTGGGCAGTTTGACGTTGGGGTCACGCAGCTCGTCAAAGAAAGAGTGAGCACAGGCCTCGAGCGGCGTGAGGCGGGCGGTGGGCGTGTACTCGAGCAGGCGCGAGCACAGGGCGATGGCCTCCGGGGGAGTACGCGGCCGAAACACCTGAACACAACACAGTGGGATTGTAGCAAAGGCTGAACTTAGAATGAGTTTCCTGTAAAGAATGGATTAAATAAACTAAAGAGTAGAGATCGAGCGATATTGGGGTTTTTCATGGCCGATGGAGATACAGATTGTAATACAGAGCAACCGATGATAAGCTCTGCCGATATTTTGTGAACGATATGTAGGACAGATTTTCTTTTATTATTTTCCCCAATCTCTGTAATTAAAATTGACCACAAAACGCACCCAAAGCAGTTTTGTAATCAGAAACCTAAGAAAGCAGTGTAGTCACGTTTTGTGTAAATATCTCTTTGTATTTAAGTATCAATATAAAGCTGTATTTTGAATATAAAGATGTGTATTTTTAGACAGCACCAAAACTAAATATCGGTCTGTGCTGCAGATTTAAGGCCAATAGATGATAGGCTAAAAATTCCAGATATCGGCCTGATATATCGATCTATCTCTACTTAAGAGTTTACTAGTATCATGCAGATATTGTGAGTTTACTTTGAGAATTAAAAGGGCTCATACTTTTTGACCCACCTTAGTCCAAGGATGTGCCTTGATCTGGGGGAACTTGAACTCAGTGTAGTTGGGGTTCATTTCACGGATCTGCTCTCGAGTCGGAGTACCCAGAACCTACAGACAAACAGACAAGATAGAATTAGGAAATGTGGGCGTAAAAAACAATAATGAAAAACTACTAAAGCCTGTGGCATATTGAAACAATCAGTTTCCTTTAGCCGTACCTTTATAATTTCAACCAACTGATCCACACCACTGTCACCAGGAAAGATCGGTTGTCCTAGCAACAGCTCCGCCAGCACGCATCCAGCTGACCAGACATCTGTGTGACCAAACACAAAAGTACAACATGTGAGTATTAAATGAAAAGGCCCTATATTTGTTTTTTACAGTCTCAAACATTTATTTATTTATGTTGAACTGTAGATAGCGATCCAGCTATGTGCATATAAAGGTCCTACATTTAGAATAACGGACTCTCTTGTGCTTTAAGAAATGTTATAATGTTGTTACCTCATCATCATCATGTTACCATCATAATGTTCCACCTTGTGATGTCATGAAATGGTAGCTTTCAAGTTATATTACTTTTTACTTTAATTTAGTGGCAATTCCTGGGTTGAAATGATCCAAATGATTCTACTGAAGGTGAATGGAGCTTAAAAACACAGAGGAGAACTTCCTGTGGCTACATTTATCTGATGACGGTCTGAACAGAAGACGCAAAAGTGGCGTTGCGTGTCTTCACTTTTTATTCCGTGTTTAGACAAGCGTTATCAGGAGGATATCTGCGTGCATACGGTGACGTAAAAGTGTGTGGAATTCAATTGGGTAAGCATGCCAGGCGGCTAGGTGGTGATACTAGGTGGTGATGTGTGACGTAAAAGTGTACGCGACGTGAGCAGATCTGACCAGAGTTGTGCGTCTTGGGCAGTGTAGACGGAACTTTTCCACTCTGGAGGGTGGTTTCAGATTTTTGCGTTTTTAAGCCCCAAAAATGCTGTCACAGTCAAAACGAAAGGCACTTCCGATAAAATATTTTGTCATTTTTACCCGCAAGCGTTCTCATGTGAACAGGCCCTGTATTACCACATGACATCACGAGGTGGAGAAGAGTGCTTTCTGTTTGAGAGCAGAACTCAGCCTAAATATGCAGGGTTTGTGTATCATATTTGTGTGAATGAAACAAAAGAGGTATGTTTTTCATGGGGAAACATGATAACATAGATTATAAAATAGTGTAATATGGGCCCTTTGACAACAACTTTCCAGCAAACAGCAAAACCAAGATCAATATCTGGAAATAGAGTGGCTCTGAGGGATGGGTGTAGAGAATAAATTTACCCAACGGAGGTTTTAGTAAAGTGCACCTTAACTAAACAGTGGCTGATTTGACCTGAAAGCATTAGAATAAATCAGTAACAGTGTACCTATGCTTGAAGTGTAGTCAGTGGCTCCAAAGATGAGCTCAGGCGCTCGGTAATAGCGAGAGCAGATGTAGGACACGTTGGGTTCTCCACGGACCAGCTGCTTGGCACTGCACATACAACAAGATGGTTAGTTTACTCTAGCAGGGGTTTGTGAATATATTTAACCAAACCCTACCCCCAGAAAGCTACACAGTGCACCTTTAAACAAAAACAGACCTACAATTGGACATCAGAAAACATCTCTCACCTGCCAAAGTCACAGAGTTTTAGAACAGCAGTCTCAGGGTCAAGCAGCAGATTCTGGGGTTTGATGTCCCGGTGGCAGATCCCAAACGAGTGGATGTAGGCCAGGCTCCTAAACAACTGGTACATGTACAACTACAACACACAAACACATGCACACACAAGTTAGGACACCGCAAAGAAATCATGTTTCCAATACACTATGTTTTATTAGCAGCTGTCGACTGGCTGACATCATTTTTTCTTGCTTATCGTTTTGTGTTGTTGTAGAGACGTATTAGAATCACAGAGAACAAGAGTTGTACCTTGACATAAACCATGGGCAGGGTCTGTTTGGCTCGGCTGTAGTGTCTGGCCACTCTGTACACCGTCTCCGGAACATAGTCTAGGACCAGATTCAGGTAGACTTCATCCTTCTGTAGAAAAAAAAAAAAAAAAGTTATGAGTGGAAGTGGCTAAAATCTAACACATAAAAGTAGCCCATATTTTGAATTCTGCTTTTCCACTCTTTGTTAGAATCTTCTGCTGGGAAAAAGCTGTTTCGAAAGCACTCATGGATTTCCTCTAAGACGAACTGAGAATCAATTGTGTAGTTTTTCCCTGCGGGCAGAAGCTGGGGCCTGCGTCACCGTGACCCCAGGAGCCTCAGTGGTCGCAGACAGTGACATCATTTACACACTTCCTGATTAGGGCCTGAACTCTGAGCACACTGACCCACAAGCAACTTCCCTGGAAAAGTATTGATGGAGAAGGTACTTCCTTTTCCTCCAATTCTCTGAAGCAGGTCTACGCTGAATGAGTCAATGGAGTTCTTTGTGAGAGTCTGATGCAACCGTCAAGATGGCGCCCTGATACCTGATAAAGTACTAAGAAAGACTTCATGATTAAGACTCAATTCAGAGCACAAAGGCGGCTTTAAAAGTGTGTCTATCCATGATTTATATTTTTTATTATTTTAGCTACTTGGTTACTCAACTAAATTCTATTAAAGTGAGAGAGAACATTCAGCCCCATTTATCTGTGGAAGACTTCTGCTCTATGACCTATTTAGCTTTGGCCAGGAGGGGGTGCTGTGCTTCCCTCCTGTCAGATATGGGCACTACACGCCTTCTCTGCACTTTGTTTTAACCCTCACTAAACACTCCAGTCTGTGCCTCTATGTTCCCCAAGTGAGACCATGCCATGTTCATTGATAACATTTGTAATGAGTACAGCGAGCACGCCGCCTACTGCTAGCACCCCAGCTATATTTAGCCTAGCAACAGCGATGACTCACTTCCTGCCTCACTACAAAGCCACTTCCTTGGCTTGTTCCCAGATAGTTACCCAGGCAGGCATATGATTGGCTCCTGGAGCACACTGAAGTGAATAATTCAGAAAATTGGCAATCAGTGGACAATTTCTATATGATGAGGCGAGAAACAGCTGTCTGGTACTTGGCTTGTTTCTGAATGAACTAAAAATAGATGCAAATTAAATCATTTAAGAGTCAATATGGAAGCTATTTATATAATGGAGAGCCAAAATATGTAGAAATGTTCCAGTCAAATTACAAATTTATAATTAGTCCCACATGGCAAAAACAAAAAATGTAATTGCAATTTTTGTGATGCATTGCAATTGTAATTACATTTGCCAGATGTTTTAAAAGCAGGTTTCTGTTCCTCCATTTAAACACATCCAGGGGCATTAACATTTGAGAAAAGACTGAAATATGAACTGATAAACTAGAATTATTATATTAATATACAGTATACCGAGTTTCCAATTGACACATTTAGAAATGTTAGACTGTATCGAGGTATGTATCATATCGGCAACTTCTTAATGATACGCAGCCCTAAACTGGAGGGCACTTGAGTCTTCTGTTTTTTTCCTTTAACTGTAAAAATAATTGTAGTAATAGTAATAAAAATAAATAAAACTAATGCCAGTGACACCAGAGACATTTTTGCATTTGCATTTTTGTCTCTGATACGACTCTAGAACAGGCCTGTCGACAGAAATTCCTCTAATATTAATTAATAGGCAGAGATTCAAATTCTGGGCCCCCTTTAAGACCCCCCCTGCTCTAGACTTTAACTTTGAGACCAGTCCATGTGGGCAGGTCTGGGAACAGAGGTCAGTTTTGTTCGACAATAGTTAATTTAATTTTTGGGCTGTCTGCACGTAGCCCCGGTGTTTGGACAGTATTATACAACAGGTTAATGGTTAAGATAAAAGGCCTGCTGCATGAGTAGAGAGAAGCCCACAGCAGCAGTTATGTAAGAGAATACCTGGACACATTCAGATAACAGTATTTGTCCCGGTTCAGCAGCAGGTTAATCATACAGCCACACAAACTTTGACATGCCTCCCACCCCTTGACCCACCGCTGGCAATAGTAGTGGTTTGAACTCGCATGCAGATATCTGAATTTAGGCTCTGATCTGAAGCTACTATACATGTACAAGAATCCTCCTCAGATTTAAGTGTTCCTAAGTTTCAGCTCCACTAGGCCTGTCACGATAATTACCATCTCGACTTATTCAATATGAAAGCTGGAACATTATTTTGAGGTCAGTATATATCATGTGTATTTGTTATTTTCATTTCTGGTTATTTTTGGTTATATTATAGCGCTTTGATAAGATCTAAGCTGTAAAAAATTGAATTAATGACTTCTATGACTCTTTAGAGATGCAGACTAACTACCAAAGTATTTCATTCTGCTCTTTAGTTATTTATTGCAGCTCATGATTTTAACAATATTGCGCATTTTGATTAGTTTTTTGTGGTTTAAATCTGCTCTTGGGCATGACAGTGGCATAAATTTGTGTCAGTGCTATTGTTTATTGTCTATACATCTCACTTCAAAATGTGCTATCGTAACAGACCTAAACTCCACAACGGTCTGATACAGGGACTGCCTCACTGCAGACATGGTTTTCAGATTTCCAAATTTGGCCTTTTTAGTAGGTATTAAAATTTTGTAAAAACACTGGTGACATTTCACATCACTGACCAACCGATATAAGGGCCTGTCTCTAAAAGGCAGTGAGATAATTGTCCAGCGTATTGGCTGTCGGCCTTAAATCTCCAGCAGAACCTGATATTTTGTTTGGCCAACCAGCTGCCTCCATATGTATAAGAGTACATGCATAAAGCTTTATTAGAACACTCAAGTCCTAAGAGGGTACTGCGAAATGTGACTACACTGATCTCTTATTCAGTGTGTAGTACAACAAGGTCGTGGATGAGTTTGTACCAAATTCGATAGAGATAATTTGGATAAAATTACCAAAACTGGTTGTATATATTAGACCAAAAATGTCAGCAGAGCTTACTGGCCCTCATTTCCCTGAATTCTCTGGATTGTTAATTGCAAAAAAACCTATATCCATCAATCTCTACTGCCTTTAGCTTTACAGTCCGTGGTAAATCTTTTGTCAAAACCACAATGTAGTTGTCCACCATAAACAAACTTGACCGGCACAGAGAGACTACTACAAAGAACTAAAAGCCCTAAGCGTCTTAAAACTATAAATTACTATTGAGTCGGTGGTGCAAGTGTAAAAAAAAAGGACAGCTCAAGTGCAAAATCACCAATGTCTGTGATCTGCTGAAGTTGACTCTGCTTCACTGACAGACAAGGAAGAGGTTGACGGGGTCCTAAAGAGAAGGGTCTCAAAGTAACCCACAAATGCAATGGTATAGCTGGGCTCCCAGCATGCCGCACTGTCAGCCCCATCCTTAACAGTGTCCCAAAGTTTTCCTTGGCCTATAAAAGTAAGCAGCATTCCCCACTGCAGAGTCATGGTCCCCCCAGAGCTGTGCCAGGCCCACGTGCCTCTCCAGCTGACACAGAGACCTCAGTCTGTCACAGACACTGACAACAGTCTGCAGGAACTCTCCTCTGATTGGGGGCTCTATCAGCTCATTTCCTCGCTACAATGGAGATTCTAACAGTATTTTTTAACATTTTCATTTTTTATTGTGTAAAGCTTTCACTTGAAATACCTTTTAAATGTGTGTTTAAGGTAACTGATGACTGTTACATTATAATATTAAATATTTTAGGATTAATATAAATACAACACCTACATATACAATATAAAACAACAAAATCATTCTGTCACTAACTCCCATCACTGTTTAGGTGATGGTAGTTAATTAGTTTATTTATTACACCCTTACTTTGGGGTAATAAATAATACAGTATTTTCAAAATGTATTTTAAGTTAGGATGAGCAGCATACAGACCTTGTCTCCACTGGAGTAGAAGAAGTAGCGGAGGCGGACTATGTTGCAGTGGTCCAATTTCCTCATGATCTGCAGTTCACGATTCTACACACAAACAAATAAACAATCATTAGGATACATTTTTATTACAGCAGGATTATTTTAAAAAAAAAGTCTTATGACAGAGGTGGGCAGTACTCACGTTTTAGTGATTCACTAAAATATATTTATATTGTACAGTGTATCCTTCAAGTTACAATCTTAATCTTGATTTGTGGTTCCTAAATACTCTTACTTGAGGATTTGTTTGATTACTACTAACAACTTCTACTTGAGTAATAATATTTAGAAATAATAATATATATAATAATAGTTTTTGTCTGCTCTACCCACCTCTGTTTATGACACACTGGTCATCCCTGGACAGTCACATTATTGTCATCAGTGTGAATGAGGCATAAAGAAGCATTCAGTAAGAGCAGAAAAACAGCTCTTCTTTAATTTAGAGGGAATGCATCGACTCAACATAAAGAATGTGTAACATATGTAACAGCACAATCAATGAGAAGAAATGTAAGATTACAGATGTGAACAAATGATGAGGAGCCATTGTCGATATTTTGACACGCGGCCTGTGAAACTACATGTTTATCATCTTTGTATGTTTTAAAAGACCTGAGAAAAAAAATCTGTGTACATGTGCATAATGACACTCAGGAGCAGAGAGCTGTTTGTCCATTACATGAATCAATCATCAAACCATTTGGCAACTCATTTGTTTCTCTTCCTTTCTCCAATCACTAAACACAAATCAGAGCAATATTTGAACTCCATGGATACAATGGCTCTGCTGTTATACCCATGAAAATAAAAATCTGCAATAATCATATAGTCCACAAATAGGATAGACAAGTTGTGCATACATGGCACACTGAAACAGGCTGGCATGGCTCATGTTCAGTGCATATTGGTGTAAGTGTGGCCTAATCACAGTATTTTAAGGACCTATCTCAAAGTCCGGGACAGTTGTTAGTATTCAGTCGTACCTCTGTGTACAAAGGAGAGCCAAGTACTACATGCTATGTACTGGTCACTTATAATAATGATTATATATTATATGTATGGTTTTACTTTTACCTCCTTCTCTGCAGTGCTGGAAAAGTTGCAGGAGCCACAATGATTATTTGATGAACGGAACATAATAATGCATTTTTGTAAGATGAGGAACTAGCGCGAAACAATCTTACATCACCTCCTGTTTGTCATGAGCATCAGCGCTCATGAAGGTCAAATGACTTTTGTTTGATGATTTCAGATACTTTATAGATACCTTTAATGTTGTTAATGTTGTTATTCACACATCTATGTGAGCTGTTAATTGGCATTTGTCTTTGAAGTGCCACTAATGACAATGTTTGTGTGATCCAGACTAATCCTAACATGAGCATACATTTTCCAAGAGGCTGATATGTGATCCTTATATAGAAAGAAGAAGGCCCTATCCCACAATGCACCAGGAGCGTGCTGTGATCCCACCACAGTATTGTCTGACACATTAATCAGATGCAGAGTGACGCACGGCCTCTTCACATGATCACCCTGCTTGTCTTGCCTGTGAAAATTAACCGTTATCTTAGGGCACATCCATCTCATAGTTCAGACAAAAATACAAGAGATGTAATGTCCGATGTATAAAAAAAAGATTAAAAGAAACCAAGTGAAAATCGCAGGTGTGTTGGGGTATGCACTTGTGTAGTGTATAGTCATCATGTGAGGAGACTTAGCCAAAGCTTTGTATAAGAAGCTGCTGAGCTACACAGTGAACCAAGCGTCTGAGTTATGTGAAATATGTAATAAAAAATAAAAAAAATCAACTGAATGATATGGGTGCTCAACCATGTTTAAAACATAATAAGTATAACTCTACTCTTCATACAGGTTTATTTTTGTTGAAATCTGAAACTAATAATTATGATTTAAGCTATGTCCTAGTTCTCCGAATAGGAATGTCACAATATCAAATTTTACTGAAACATCAAGATTTAACAATTGACCACAACTACTGACACCATGAACAGCAAAGCCTTAATCTTTTTCCATTACGTTATAAAGTAATGGTTATAATTTTGATTTTAGATTCCATAAACATGACCTAACTGTGTCCCAGATAAACAAGGTAAACATGTTGACAACAATGGTAATACTGATTTATTCTTAGTTACAAAAACACTGGACATGATGACCAAGTTGTTTTGGTTCTCAAGACTCTTTCCATTCAGAAAGCAGAGCCTCACGTGACTCTCTCATCTGCGCGGCCAGTTTCATTATGGAAATTCAACAGGTTTAAACTTACAGGACTCTCTCTGCTCTGAATCCTCACTACCTAAAGCCCAGCACCTGCAGCCAACTATTAAATCAGAGCTAGTGCAGCTTCTGCAGCTCAGGGAGGGAATTCTGGAGGTTCTGAGCTTTCACATGAGGCCTGCCCACACCGACAATGAGAAAACGTATGTCCTCTATATGCAGGTTAAGGCACTGGCAGCTAGGGCATTCTCCACTCATTAAGAAGTTGCCGATACGATTCATACCTCGATACAATGAACTTTTGATTCGATACGGTATATTTCAAATCAATTCAATACTGTTCAATAAAAAATAATGGCTAAATCGTGGCTGTGCTATTAAAAGTCTTTGTTAAACCACTTCTTGTGAAAAGTTCATACGAAACCCAAACACTTTAATCGTCAAAACAGTGAAAATGTCAAATGTGTCGCATAAACGAGTTTCCTTCCTGTAAACAAGCAACAAAACTGTACCGCTGTAGCAAAATAATTTAGTAAAATAAAATAAAAAATACTCTTGGCGATAAATCGATACAGCAGCCCATGATATCGATACTGTATCATCACATTAAACGATACGATATTTAAATATTTTTGCACACCCCTAGTGGCAACCCATTTCAGTTGTGACTGTCATACTTTTTTAAAACAATAAGCACGCAGACTACACACAGTTCCTTTAATGTGACAAAAAAACAACCAGATATTCAGTATAAATCTAAAAGTGTTTATCAATTAACCATCTATCCCGACATCTCTGGCCCAAACTGTGTAATGTTCTTCAGACGACCACCTGCCAGCTAACCACATGCTAACCACAGTCTCACAAATGACTTCATGGTGGCTGTGCATGCAAGGCTAGCTCAGGCCCCGAAAGCGTGTGACCACAAACTGTTTGACTTTCTGTGACAGATGGCCCAGCTAATGAATGACTCCCCCTACACACGCGCACACAAAGACACACACACACACACACACACACGCACCATTTAGCGGCACCGTTTATGTTTCAGGGGGAGAAGTGACCAGCACCTGCCGTAAAACCAGGCTGAACGCAGAAAGGGTTAAACAGGCCAGTGAAGAGCAGAGGTATTTTGTTTAACAGAGGTGGAGCAAAAATGGTTCTTAAACAGTAGTAGCATCTGAATGAGCAAACATGAAAGCAACCCTGCGGTAAAATAGAAAAAAAGAGGAGGAAAGGAAACATAATGGTGGTATTTTCAAAGAATACTGATCTTAATATTAGTTCAAATCTGCATAGTACACACAATTCCCAGCCCAGAATAAAACCATAGACCATTTAGTTTCAAGGTAAATGTTTGACCGGCAAAATTCTTTATCAAACCCACTAAATATAATTATGTCCTTTCACTAGCCAATTCTTTTGTATCCTGTGCTTCATGTAACAATAATTTTTCAAGTTTCATACAGTAAATAAATGATAAAATCACCAAATAACAAAATAACTGATCCTATTGGGACCATGTTAAGCAGTTTTTCTCCATGGACCTATAGCCTGGCTCAAGACTGGTTTAAACAGCTGTGCGCCTGGCCATCTCCAGTCCTGCATGTGTAAGCAGTGAGCTAGCAGCAGGAGCAAGACAATGTGGCCCCAATGACGGAGCAGAAGCCATCAGTCAAATCTATTCAAAGCACAAGGGGAGGGCTCCTCGGGGCACCGCCAGGGAGGAAATATGGCTTCAGTACTGCTAAGGCTGAAGCTAATATTTAACACAGTTTAATTGACTGAAGAAAGCATCCTACTATCATGTTCAATTTCCAGAGAAAACAGAGGATTTATTCAGATATCCAAACTATAAAACATAT